TTGCTATGGTAACAGAAATCATTTGTTAAGAGAGTACACATTTCCGTAAAAATCTAAGACTCATGCAACCTTTGACATTAAGCACATAATATGTTCATCATTTTGGGAGAAATAAGCATGGAAACATTTCTTTGGGTGTGTCTTAAAATTTTACGAAATGTGTACTTTTTTAACAAATAGATTTCTACCCACATTTGACCCAAATTGATGAAACTTGTCATCATGGTAGGACATGATAAGTAGTAGATTGTCTGTAAATATCATAATGATAGTTTTGATATTTAAGGAATTATAAATGGTTTTCGTAGTACGCCCTAATGTGTACTTTTTAACAAATGATTTCTGTTACCATAGCAACCATTTACCCCGCATTTATGAACTTTGTCATGGTGGAAGAACATGGTGAGTAGATAACTACCTGTCAATAAGAAGATGATTGGTTAGATATTCTAGGAATTATATATGGCTTTCATAATACCTCCCTTAATGTGTACTTTTGAAAAAATGATTTATGTTTCCATAGCAACCAATTGATACACATTGATGAAAATTGTCATCGTTGTAAGAAATGATATGTAGACAATTATCTATAAATATCAAGATGATTGGCGGTATATTCTAGGAATTATAGATGGCTTTCATTGTACCCCCATTAAAAATCATACCAAGGGGTATAAATCTGCATACTATAGTAACCAGTAAACCAACACTGATGAAACTTTCCATGATAGTCAAACATAATGATGTGAATAATATCTGTAAATAACAGAACAATTGGTTATTTATTTTCTTCAAAAATTTGGACACAAGTTAAGAATACTTTGGAAAAGTGCCACGTCCCCTTTCTAAATTAATTTGTATTGCCATATAATCATGAGCAATCGATTTCACAGTGTGGATAAGATAAAACAGCACTTGATTTAATATTATCAAACATACTCTGAATAAGTTTTCTAAAATGTTTTTATGGTGTTTCTTTCCAACTTCATTAAAATAATATGTGTTTTGTCTCATTGGGTGTCTTACATTTTGACGAAATTGTGTACTTTTTGACATATGATCTCCGTTTCCATAGCAACCAGTTGACTAACTTTGATGAAACTTATTACTTTTGTAGGACATGATAAGTACATGATTACCTGTAAATATCAAAGTGATTGGTTGTAAATTCTAGGAATTTTACATGGCCTTCCTAGTACCCCCCTCAAAATCAAACAAGGGGGGTATAAATCTAAATATTTCCAAAACGCTGAAAAACTAGACACCAGTATTTTAGAATCAATGTAGAATCATAAAGCACAAATTAAATACATAAAGAGAAATTTGCTATTTTTCAAAACTACTTTTACACCACGCTCATCCAGTATTGCTTTTGTGCTGTACATTCTATTCTCATCAAGGACATCTATTGTTCCTCGCCCGGTTCCATGCCAACGGCACCTGTTCAAACACAAATCATATATCTCATGGCAAAGGCAATTTACTAAACTTTCAACTGATACCAAATTTTCCCATAGGGTAAATAAACTACAACTGTATTATTTGTACTTACAGTTATTTATATACATGGGAGCTGTACCAATTACGCGTGACAGTTGAACGCGCGGAATAAGGTACATCACTTGGGGGAATGGCCGCCCTGGTGAAAACGCTTCCATATATTGTCCAATACATATTTTGGAATGAATGCCTTCTAAACTAGCACTAAAACCCATAGAACTGGCCCGGCAAGGTGGTACACTCTTAAAAATTATTACTTGGATTTCCTTATATTGAGAAATTGTACTACTCATTTTAAGTCAAAAATTACTTAAATAATCTTGAACTACTGAATAATTTTTAAGTAATTCATTTATGGTGAATTTACTAATGCAAGGAGAGAAATTGAAATACTTACTGTAGTAATTGTAATACTCATTTACATAATTAAGCAATTAAAAAACTCAAAATGACAATATAAGTTAAACCTAAGTAAAATGAAGTAAAACTAAGTATTTAACTTTAAGTGATTTTTATACTTGGGAAATACTTGGGAAATACTCAAGTAATTCATTTTAAGAGTGTAATAATATGATATTAATTTTCGATGACCATTGATAGCATTCCCTATGGGACAATAACTTTTGATTTGTGGTTTTAACTTTATTGCATTTCAATTAAATTCCGATCCCCCAGTGTAGAAGAAGCTTTTGATATATTGAAACTGAGAAAAACAAGATCCTCTCTTTAGAAAATATGCCTAACAATTTAAAAAAAGTGACAAGGTGGGGTCCTATTTTTGCTGATGTCATTTTCACCTTACAATTTGCTCTTTGATGTCATCAATATGTTCTGCCAAGGTATCTTAGTACCAGTGTGTATTTACCATTTGTCAAAATGGATTCAAAAGTAAAATTATGTATGAAAATGTTCACATTTTCGGTTATTTTGAAAAATTCGCGCAGACCTGAACTACGACGAACCACCACCTTTCTAGAGTACATTCTTGTAACTATCACAGTACATCGGTACAATGCTCAACACTGTTCAGTAGAATGTTTGTCAGAAATATAAAAAATTAAAAAAGTTACAGCATTTTTATTAGTACTTATTGAACGTCTTTATGATCTTATTAACAGGATAATTAATACTAGTACTTAAAAATCATACCCGTCATGTTGGCCATACCAGGCGTTTCTTCATTACAGTATGGTATATCGCAGTAATCCCAATCAAATTCTTCACTTGTGATACACCATGGACCTCCAACATGCCAATAGCGATAGGGATTTCTTTGAAGGCCCCATACAAAGTTTGAAATATGTTTTCATCATTCATTTACTATTTCCTGACTTTAAAAGTAATTTTAGAGATTTTTGAAAAACTTTTTTTTGGAAAAACTACTTTTAAATTTTAGTTTTTATTGAATCCAATAGAAGATAAACATTTAGCACAATGAGATTTATTTTCAACCTTGATAGGCCAACAAAGGGCCTTGTTCTCACGCGGTACTAACTCACCGGGGCTTATCGATACCAAAACCCGGTTAATTTGAATTTCAAATCTACCCTGTCTTTGGAAAATCAATGATTGTGAGACTCACATTACACCATTTTTTCTTCAAACTTGCTCCATTAAAACCTTCACAGAAATATCTTTCAGTCGGGACATTGCTTTTGTTTACAAAGTCGCTCGTTTTAGCGGCGTTTTGGTCCCCAGATGTGAGAAGTTGCAAATCCTCAGAGATTTTAACCACAATCCTTGATATCTCGCCAGTTCTTCTATCACTCTCCCCCATATTCTGCGCAAGGACTCCCATTACAACCCTTCATCGATGCATCAACATGTTTATTACATGAAACGCACCAATTCTGAAAAGTCCTATATGCAACTGTTCGAAATTGATCAAAACACCCCGTTGTCTTCCAAAACGCTCCGCAGAGTCTATGACTACAAACGTGTAGTTTCAATGTGTATAGATCCAAGGTGTATAGATGTTTTGGAAGAGAACGGGGCGTTTTGATCAATATCGAACAGATGCGTACGACTTAACATAATAAATATGTTGATGTAGAGATGGAGGGTTGTAATGGGAGTCATTGTGCAAAGGGAGAATAATAAAAGAACTGGCGATATATCGAGGCTTTTGGTTGAAATCTCTGAAGATTTGCATCTTCTCACATCTGGGGACCAAAACGCCGCTAAAACGAGCGACTCTGTACACAAAAGCAATGTCTCGAGTGAAAGGTATTTCTGCGAAGGTTTTAATAGAACAAGTTTGAAGAAAAACGGTGTACTGAGAGACTCACAATCATTGATTTTCCAAAGAAAGGGTAGATTTGAAATTCAAATTAACGGTTTTGCGGGGCGTTTTGGTTTCGATACGCCCCGGTGAGTAAGTACCGCGTGGTTCTGAAAGTTCGACAATTTTTGAAAAACTATTTTGCCAACTCACTGCATATCATCGCGTCAGGATACATTTTCAAAAATGCACTAACGTTTAAATTTTTAGATTGAATGGTTCAAATCTTATCTATTTAATGGAGTAGAGAAAATAATTAATGTGTTTATGGTGAGAAGTGTTGTGTTTGTTGATCTAAAATTATAAACTTAAGTGTCTAAAATGGCGGGAAATTCAAATATTTTAAAATAATAATATAAACAACTTTTTTCACAAATATAATTTTTCAAAAAATGTTTGAAATGTTTATATAACCAGGCTTATTGTGATAATGCAAATAGAAATATTAAACATGTTGAAATGGGATTTTTAATCCTCTGAAAATGTGACAGAAAAATAGAGAAAAAGAGTAGCTTGGCAAAGGTCCCTGAAATTTCTCTGGACTATCCCTTAATTCTCAAATATTTCACTATAAAATGCACACGCATTATCATTTTCACACCATTGCATATATTACACAGGACACTATTTCAATAATAAAAAAATGAAATTATTTTCTATGTCAGTCTTTTCTAAATATGCTTCAAAAATAAATCAATATTGATTGTCTAATAGGTTGAAAAGAAGAATACATCATAACTATATTTTAAATATACCATTGGTTTCTATGGGAACTAGAGTTTTGAAATGCATTTTTCTCTGAACCAGTTTCAAGCATGAATGAGTTCATTTCTCACTTATTTATCAAACACCTTTTCTTAATTTATTTTATGAATGCTTTGCATTGGTGTGAAGTATCGCCGATTAAAAGATACACGCGACCTCTGGAAAGTTTACAATAAACTCATGATTTTTCAAAGAGTCCTTCAAAAAACATTTTTTGAATTTTGTATAAGGGGCCTTTAAACATTGCCTTTTAGAAAATTGTTGAGCTTACAAAAATATATTTCCACTTTCCTTGCTTCACATACTTACGTTTTTTATATCATCAAACACAACACTATTGTGAAACAAATGTGGTTTAAAAACCAAGTCAATGTGGTTTAAAAAATTGGTAAAAAACTGTTGCTGATGAATACTGACCTGCAATAATTAGCTGCATCTGCCAATGTCTCTTCGGGGAAGTTATCAGGGTTTTGATAGGGAAACTTGAGGCTGTCCCAGCGTTGACATGTATTCCCTTTAGACGTTGTACTTTTCGTTCCAATATATTCTCGACCCATACTGGTTATCTTACATAGGGCGGCTACAGTGGCAAGATACTAGATATAGTATATTTATTTACAATAATTGTATTCAGTGGGAGGACACCAGAACTCACAAGTATATTGAACAAAGTTAATCGAAATATTCATTGTCTTCATTTAAAACTGCCGACCTAAAGAGACGTTTGTTTTCCCGATTTCAGTCATAAATTATGTCAATACAGCGTGTAAACTTTGGGTAGGCGTTGTCATTTCCGGATGCCCAATTAAGGAATATAAAAGTAATGATCTTGTTTAGACATCGTGGTGCAATGAAATCGTAAAAAAGGTTAAAGGCCACCTTAAAGATATGTTTAGCTAAAAAGTAAGTCAGTATTACATAATCACGAAATGAATAAGTCTCAGACTGGATACACCATTGGTCCGAATAAACTAAAACCTGCTTGAAACAGCGACACCTTGCATGCTCTGTTCACTAGTACACGCGAGTAAAATAATTGCGTTACATTGTGTTATGAATGGGAGGGTCATCACAAAACTGTGGCTATAAAATGGTCTTGTATATCCAAGGTATGCAAGATATCATAGGGGCAGTTATGATGGGACATTACTGATCGACCAGGGAAGAAACTTAAAAGACAATGCGCCTTAAAATGTGTCCTTTTTACTTGTAACGTTGTTGCCGATGTATCTCTTGGAAGCCAGGGAGTTAAACATAGGCTTACGCCAAACTACACATATGATTTTATATAATTTACTAGACAATAGCATAAGTCTTACCTGTCAACGTGCTGTTGGTCATGTCTTCATTGCAATATGGTATATCGCAGTATTCCACTCCACCATAGTTGTTATTTGTGTAACACCATGGACCTCTAGGACTGCTATCGATATTCCTTAAAAGGTTCATAATAAAGTTCAAACCACTTTGGCTTATGGTCCTACCAAATGCTATCAAAATGTGCTATGTGAAACTTGATTTTGAAGAACCATTTGTTAGAAAAGTTTATTTGTTACGCATGGTTATGCAATAATTTACATCAAAGCATATCATACGTTGTAACCAGTTACGTTAAGAAAATGGAATCATTTTAAAATTTTAGTTCTCATTGAATCGAATGGTACATATAGATTTAACATGATAATTGTCATGACTCATTTTCAACCTTGATATGCCAAGTAAGCATATCATAGTGACACAACACATTTGAAAATGCATTAAACGTTAAAACCATAGATTGAATGGTTCAAATAATATGAGTCTCTAAATGGCTAATCTGTTTAATCTAATGGTATATATTATCAATGATTCCCAGCCATCTAAAGTTTGAAAATGGAAAATACCTGGGTGTTAGTCCATAGATAATCCGAGAAAATTAAAAATAATTTTTGGGATTATATGGTGCAATCTTCAATAAAATGTTTTTAAGTGTACTGATGTTTTTTAGATGAAAAACAACTCCTGGCCCTTTGGATACTGAAGTGTCTGGATGATGTATAAATATTATAATGCTAAATTTATCATGTGGAAAATATGATTTTTGAAAAAAATTGTGCATTCTAGAAGAGTTGAGAAGTTATTCATCATATTCAGATGAATTTCCATGAGAAAGAAAGGCTCATATTCCGTCAAAACTTCGAAGTAAATGAGTACTTACAAATCTCCCTAAAAACTGTGAAAGGTCCCGTGCAAATGAAAAACATTTTAAATCATCAAAAACAACGCTATTGTAAAACACATTTTAACAATGCGATTTAAAACAATTGCTAAATGCTGTAAATTATGAACCTGCAATAGTTAGCTGCATCTGCCAATGTCTCATCGGGGAAGGATGCAGGGTTTAAAGAAGGGAGCTTTACGATTCGACTGTCCCAGCGCTGACATGCATTCCCGTACAAAGTTGTACTCTTCGTTCCAACATATTCCTGGCCCAAACTGGTTGTCCTACAATTTACGTCTACAGCGACACGATACTAGTTTATTAATTTAAGAATAATTTAATTTGACGTGGCCTACACTACACCAGCACACTACACCAGAAGATACGAGTACATTAAACTAGATCTAAAAATGTGGTAGGGATTTTGTGTTAAGACAAAGAATGTTCTGACAAGTGTTTCCAGAAATCATGTTGACAGGCAGAAATATGATTATTTTACCCTTACAAGACCTGATTGAAATAACATTCATATTTGATTAATTTTCGAGATATTTTATTTTCAAAATTATTGATGAAGATGCATTTTACCTTAAAACATATTTTGGCTAGTAGTACAAATATCAAAGTATCATCAGAAATAAACCCCTTGGCATCTCATTATAGATAAAAAATAGTTAATGCAATACTTATGTACCAGAGGCTGCTCTACATTTCCTAGAAGGTCAAAAGAAATAACTACACCTACGAGGTGGAAGAAAATATGAGATGATGGGATATCGCCTGGTTTCCATTTCTAGTCATTCCAGAAAGTTAAATTTTTTTTTAAAACAACAAGTCTTAGATATCAATTTCTGTGTCATATAATAGTAGATTTTGATCCGCGATGCACTTAGCATTGTCTCTTTCATATTTGTAGCTTCAAGCAAAATATGACAGCTTTAACAGCTCAAAGGAATATTCTAAAAACATATCCAAGCTGTATGTGATATTGTTATACAACAACAGTACTAATTTGTTTTTATTTTGACTTTATAGTGACATACCCCTGGTGGGAATTAGAGAAGAAAGTTGGTGTGGTCAATTTTATCAGTTTGTAGAATTAAGTTTTAAACATTCCTCAGTTCGACCTTTTGGACTATTATTTTTTGAACTTTCTGAACCATTTTGGTTCGAACTTTTTGTCGAAGATATCATTGATTATCCCAAACCATGATCTTATGTGAAAGGAAATAATGTCCAACACCAATCGAGAGCCAACACTAGAATCTGGGACCAGAATGCCAGGGTTCATTTCATTTAAACTGATGTCATTGCAATACAAGTTGAAGAAAAGAGTTGAGAAATAGATAGCTAATACTCATTGCATTAAAAATTGTATATATTATTATTCATAAAAATAGAACATTCAGTCTCAAATGATGTGGGATAGACGAAATCCAGTCTCGAAATCCTTAGCAATTCAAAGGATCAACATCCATTCGCAAAACCGTCGTTATAATCCATAAAACACAAGTATTCACAATGGACACAATGAGAAAATTATGCCTTTTTGATCCATATTTCTCAATCCTTAATGCCATAGCCGGGATCCACCTTAAAAGGTGCCAAGTGAAAACGTTTTTAGTTAGCCTTGATCAAAAATTGAATATCATTAGCATCGTTCAGTTTTGTCCTAGTTTTGATCCTGATCAAGTTCCTTGATTAATGTTTCATATGCTTTACTTTCTATTATTATTAATTTTCCAAAAGGCCGAACCTCCTTTCTGAGTGACAGATGAGTAAATGCTTAATACAATACATTTACGATCAGACTTTGATGATGTTTGCTTTCTGATTCTTTGACCACGTGTTTCTTAATAAGTCACATTTATGTCTGAATTTTCCTGACAGAGTGTTGCATACCACCATTACTGTAGCTTAGGATTCAGTTGTATATAGGATTTTTGTTGGGTTTCTTTGTCTCCATACTCGTATGTCAATCAAATCAAAACAACTTAATATACTTAATAAGAAAAATTCTAGACATGTTATTTCTAGCACTACCTTTGTTCGGAGTATTTACATTTATCCTTATAAATTGTATTCCACCAATTTCAATCTTTACTATTAAACAATAAATCTAATATTTGGGTCAGTTATGTGTTCTTTACAATCAAAATTATCGTAAAGAAATACAGCAACATCTCTTTCACATGTGACGTCATATAATTTAGTAAACAATAGTATAAATCGTACCTGCCAAAGTCATGTTGACAATGAGAGGCATGTCTTCACTACAATATGGTATTTCGCAATATTCCCAATCATATTCCTTAGTTGTGTAGCACCATGGGCCTCCAGAAGCGCTATTGGGATTTCTTTAAAGGCCACATATAAAGTTTAAACCGATTTCGCTAATATCATATTTCCACCAAATCTTCACACACAAAGATGTATAGAAGAACACAAAAGTGTACAACATGTCTCCACAAATGGGTGTTTCTATATACTGCAAATTTTTCATCCTGAATGCTGAACACTAATCAGTTGAAAAGACAAAATTTTAACAGAAAAATCAAATATGGCCGTTTCAAAATTTACCAAGACTGCTCAAAATCTAAGTAGTTTGAGATTTTCATACAAAGAATCATTCCTTAAACCTTGAAATCGATCTGTCAACTGGTTTGCCAGGACAAGACCTTACAGAGAGGATTTTAGGATGGAAAATCCAAACTGGTCACCTAAAAAACCCAGAATGAAGAAAATTAATCATTCCTGAAATTTGGAAATTGATCCCTCAAACGTTAGGCTGAAAACGCATAGACAAGACTTAACGGACGAGGTTTTAGGACAGAAAATCCAAAATGGCTGCTTTAACATTTACCAATGATGCCTTTAAACTAACCAGTTCTAGATTTTCATATTAAGAATCATTCCTGAAAATTTTAAATCGATCCGTCGAATGGCTTTCCTGAAACTGAGTAGACAAGACTTTACAGATACAATTTTCCAAAATGGCCACCTTAAAATTTACCAAGAATGGCGAAAAACTAATCAATTCTAGATTTTTATAACAAGAATCATCCCTGAAAATTTGAAATTGGTCCCTTTAACAGTAGACCTGAAAACGCGTAGACAAGACTTACAGACAAGATTTTAGGACAGAAAATCCAAAACAGCTGCATTCCTGAAAATTGATCCCTCAAACAGTTAACCAGAAAATGCATAGACAAGACTTTACAGACAAGAATTTAGGACAAAAATCAAAAAATATCTGTTCTAGATTTTCATACTAAAAATCATCCCTGAAAATTTGAAATCGATCCGTCAAATGGTTATCCTGAAAATGAGTAGACAAGACTGCACAGACGGAATTATTACGCCAAAAGTAGTGCGAAATGGCCTTTTCACGTGTTGGCATAAAGTTTTGATGACATTTAAAGACATAGTTCCTCTTTCACGTATATCATGTCATGGAAATGGGCATACCAGCGCAAAGATCTTTGTTCCGTGGTGAAGAAAAGCCATCAAACATTGTCTGAAGAGCAGATTTATCTCCGTCATTCTACTTTTAACATGGCGACCTTGACCTTGAAAAAATATAGCCATTTGGGCGATAATAGGTGATTCAAAAGTGAAAATGAGTGCTTTTTTCGTAGTTTTACTTTGACCAAGCCTAGAAAAAAATCGAAGTGGTAAACCTACCCCCAATTTTTGATATTTTCGTTGTCTAGAAGTGTCCTAGATGATATCAAAGTTTAAGAAAATTTGTATGTCTAGAAATATTTTATAAATTAGTGCCAATATGGTGGGTTTGGGTGTTTTTTTGCTCTCATTTTTTACCCCATTTCTACGGTTGCCATGGCAACTATAAGGCTTTGGTAACCATGCCAACTTGATTTTTGAAGGACATCCACCTGATAGTAGTTGGGCCAAGTTTGATGGAAAATGGGCTTGGTTTGATATGCTGGCAGTGAGGTTGATTGTGGCATGTAGTAAAACGGCAAAACAATGGTGGAGTCATACCAGACAAAAATTTACGACGTACAATTCAAAATGGCTGCCTTCCCTTAGGAAAAATGTTATGGGTCACCCATATGTTTCACATAACTACCCATATTGTTACCCATAGCCCCCAAGTACCCATAACTTAGAGATAATTGATGCCGTATCCAACCTAAGTTTTTTGGTAATGACTTATAAGGGGTAATAATGTGTAAATAATGATTTTATGTTATGTATTGGTATATTGTATATCATTATGTATTGGTAATGTGCAAGTTATGTGTAGGTTATTTGGAATTTATGTGTATGTTATGGGGACACGTAATTTGCCAATAACCTACACATGCTTAGCCCATAACATCTACTTATGTTAAATTATGAGTATATCATTGTTATAACATGTAAGTTTTAACCATAACTATTGGTTATGGGTAACACTATGGGTTATGTACATATAAACCATAAATAATCTAATGAATTACCATTATTATGGATAACACTATGGGTAATACCCATAACATTTTTCCTAAGGGTTGACATTTACCCAGATACATAATGTCGAAAAACATGTCATTTCTAGATTTTCATACTAAAAATCATCCCTCAAAATTTGAAATCGATACGTCAACGCGTAGACAAAACTTTACAGCAGACAAGATTTTAGGACGGAAAATCCAAAATGGCTACCTTGACATTCACCCAAAATGCCAAAAACCCAATCAGTTCGAGATTTTTATACTATAAATCATCCCTGAAAATTTGAAACTGATCTTTGAAACTGTTCACCTGAAAATGCGTAGATAAGACTTAAAAGACCAGATTTTAGGACAGAAAAATCCAACATGGCCGACAATAAAAAAGCAGGTATGAGTTTCTGCTGATTTTTTACAACACAGGACACCTGATATTATTTTTAGAGCTGCTAAAACTATGAAAGCTCAAAAACACCAATCTAATATGATACAAAGTATTTTCGCTCGCTAACTTTCCTTAAGACATTCAAAATGGCTGCTATGACTGAGCTAACAGGTCCAAAACTTTTAGCTTGTGACTTCAAAATGGCCGACAAGAAGTAGGTATCGATTCGAAATTTTATATACCACATCTGTATGTACTGATAAAATATCCCTGAGAATTTAAAGATGATATCTGCTGTGGTTTTGGAGAAAACTGTCGAACATACAGACGGACAGACAGATGCGCCTAGGCCGACAATATGGCCCCACACTTTGTGGTGGGGACATAAAAATGAGCAAGTCTAATTCGCTTGCGTAAACTCTGGGCATACTTGACGTATCAAGAAAAAGCGGACTGGCACTTTAAGACATTTTAGATCATCAAATAAAACATTGTTGTAAAACATATTTTAACAACAGGTGATTTAAAGAAATTGCTAAAATACTGTTAATTATGAACACTGACCTGCAATAATTAGCTGCATCTTCCACTGTCTCATCGGAGAATTCACGAGAGTAATGATGAGGTAAAATGGACGTTTGGTTATCCCAGCGCTTACATGTATTCCCTTTCGAAGTTATATTCTTCGTTCCCACATAATCTTGGGCCATACTGGTCGTCTTACAATTGCGGGCTACAGTGACAAGATATATACTAGATAATTATAAAGTATTTATTTAAGAATAATTTGATCCAGTGTGGCCTACACTCTTTGGGTGCACATTAAAACGCAGGAGTATATTGAATTACTCAGATGCGAGTTGGTAGTTACCAGTTTCGCCACCAGGTGGCTGAGTCGGGGGAAATAACATGGCAGGGTATTACAGAATTCCTTTAAACTTGCATATTCATCAGTTTAAGTGGTTCACTTTTCATATTACCCTAATGTATCTGATAGTTATACAAATCAAAATATGTCCAGTAAAACAAAATATTATCTGCCCAACACAAGAAAAGATATTTCCAATTTTGTGATTTTACAACATGGGGGCTATGGGGAATCTCCCCGACCTAGAAGTCACATTTTCAAAGAAAATTAAATTTTCAAAGTTGATAAACTCTTTTGAAACCATATTTCTAGATGTAATTTTACATGTAGATTCCGAATATGACATCAGTTTGACTTAATTTTGAGTTTTTAATGACGTAAATCAAGATTATTTCTACTCGCATCTAGGCTATTGAATTAAATTGAAATATTTGTTGTCTTAATTTAAAACGATCTATGGAGACGTTTCTAAACTTGTTATACTTGTAAACTTGAAATCATAACACAACAAAACAAGTGAGCCGATATCACTATAAACATTAAAAAATGTACACTGACTGATTTAATATTTTGTCACTATGTGCAAATTTGTTATAAGAAATAGAAATACACCCCGGGAAAATACACTCAAGCCTATTCAGTGTTTGTATTTTTGTAAAAACACTCACGAATGAACCCCTATCATACGGGATGTCATCGAAAGATTGGTTCAGCTTGGGGGAGCATGCTGTTTTTCATAAAACACTAGCTATGCATCATATGTTCGGAACGAAATGAAACATCTATCCGAACCTCATTGGAACAAAACGACATAAACACAACGTGTTTGGGTCTCTCAATATTGTAATTGTACAAAGGAAAGTTTGGTTGATTTAAAAAAAGTATCTTGTTAATGAAATAAAAGGTTTATCTTAATTTTCATCTTTTTTTTTGGGGGGGGGGTTGTTTTAAGTTTTTGCATACTTTTTGTAAAATCAACCAAAATTTCCTTTGTATAACTATAATATTAAGAGGACTTAAAAATGTTGTATATGCTATTTTGTTCCAACAAGGTTCGGAAAGACATTTTATTTCATTCTCAAGAATTGGTAGAAAGGAACAAAAAACAATTGCACTAAAAAACAAAAAATGTTAACAAAAGCAGTTATACAAGGGGCGATCGATATATTCTGATAAAAATGCTTTCATTTTGTGATTTTTTCACATATCCCTCTCATTTTTTCAGAAAATGTAGATTATGTAATTACACATACAATGCTGAAATATTATAGCTATGTCTTAAATCATTAATGAAATAGGGTTGCTATGGTAACCTGTATTAAGGGTAGGCAGGTCAATCCAATTAAAACATATAAAATATCATAATAACTTGTTATTTTAATTATTTTAAAGCATGCGGAAATCAAACATTTTTTTCTAAAAAAGTTTGGTATTTTTGCCCGTTGTTTGTTGCTAAACAAAAGTTTATTTGTGCTCACTATAACATCACAACAACTCACAATAACAATGTATGACAGAACTGACCAGTTAACATTACATGTCATGAGACACACAAAAAATCAAAATGTCAGATGAGGTAAGTGTGGCTGTTGCAGAGTGTGACATTAACAGATACATTAGGAGAACGATTATATTTTATGTACTATCAAGAATAAGTAAGAGGACACTGTCAGAGAAATATGGACAAAATGTATGGGCAAGGTGTTATATCTGCTTAAAGAATCTATAGGTATTATTGTAAAGAGGAAGGCATGGTAAATGTTGAAGATCATCCATAATCTGGTTGCAAGAAGAGCTTGTGGACAGAGAATAACACTACGATAAATTGAGATGCAACTTATGAAGCGAGAACTATCCCACTGTAGAAAAAATTAGCAAACAAGAGCAACAGGGGTATGGACCAGTTCAACAAATAGTTGGCAATGACTGGAAGATGCTTTTGATCTGCTTAAAATAGGTACCAAGGGATGATTAAATTAACTAATTTATCTATTTTATACATTATAATTTAACTGACCTGCCTACCCTAAATACAGGTTACCATGGCAACCTTTTTTCAAACTTAATTTAAGATATAGCTATAATATCTTAGCATTGTATGTGCAATTACATAATCTACATGTTCTGAAAAAATGAAAGGGATATGTGAAAAAATCACAAAATGAGAGCATTTTTATCAGAATATATGGATCGCCCCTTGTATAAAATACATAAAAATAATTTTCGCAATAAATTGTTGTCAATCAGTCAACATTACATATAATACCGTGTTTTTACAGAATGTTTTCAATGATTGGTTTAAGAGAAAAACATTGTTGAATTCAGTTCACCATATCGATACCTATCCTTTTACTGCGTTTCAGCCTTCGCTTACGCCATGTTGCACATATGATTTTATATAATAAAATAATAGTATACATCTCACCTTCTTCATTACAATATCGTATTTTGCAGTATTCCCAATCAAAATCGCTATTTATGTAACATCCTGGACCTCCAAAATCGCCCACGGGATTTCTTTAAAGGCCAAATATAAAGTTTATATAACTTTTGCTTATATTATATTGTTATTAATGTTATCAAAGTGTGATTTGTGAAACTCCTCAATTTTATTTCCAAAAAAAAGATTTTGAAGGACATTGTGAAAATATTTTCAACTTACTTAGTAGATAGGCCAAAAATATTGCTTTATTTTGAAAGTTTAGCACATTTCGAAAATATTTGTACCAGAAATATATTGAAAATTAAAAATGCATTTAAAGATTAAATCATGGGTTAAATGTTTGAAACAATATGATTTTTGCCTGATCGGTAGTCAATGGAGTAGAGAAAAAAATATGTTATACAATGTGAAGTATTGTATCTAAAATCTAAACTTTTATTTCTAAAATGACGGGAAATTCAAATATTTGAAAATTATAAGATGAACATATTTGAAGTCATATTTTTCAAAAAATGTCTCAAAGTCACAAGTCATGGAAAGTAATATTTGAATGATTAAACTATATTTTCAAACTTTGCACGGGGCCTTTAACGGATTGGTGGGGCATAAATATGGTTATTGTTTATGAGTCAACAAAAAGAATCGACTTGAAATAAAATAAAACATTTGTCATTTGCAATTAGGGGAAATTCGGGAGAATGAAAAACATTTCCTCTTTTGTGATTGCTATAAAGAATGTAGATTATGAATATTATAAATATGAAGCCAAATGTTTGACTTGAATTTCAAAGAATCCCGAATCTCGTTAAAAAACATTTTAACAATGGAGTTAAAGAGAATTGCTTGAATACTGTTGATTATGAGCACTTACCTGCAATAATTAGCTGCGTCTGCCAATGTCTCGTCGGGGTAGTTATCAGGGTTATTCACATAAAAGTCGGGCTCTTCAATGCTGTCCCATCGCTTACATATATCCCCTTTCAAAGTTGTATTCGTCGTTCCAACATATTCTTGGCCTGCTCTGGTTTTCTTACAATTGGCGGCTATAGTAACATGATCTTAGGTTATTAATTTTAGAACTAATTAATTCTATGTGGCCTTCACTCAGTAGGTGAACACCGAAACTCACGAGTATGGGTGGTAGGGGAGAAGCAGGCCCGTCAGAGACTTTTCTACAAGAGGGTAGTGTTTTTTTATATAAAATTAAACTGGTCAAATTTTGCCGAGTACCTCAATGGCAGATATGGGTCGGATTGGGAGGGGGGAGTCGGTTACCTCCTAAAAATAGGCCCACTAGACCTATTTTTGGGCTTACACCCATGCCACTGATGAGTATATCGACTCAGTACGTGAGGTGCTAGGTGAGTCAATACTGTTCTTCGCTGAACTTCAATCGTGAAATAGTGAAGTACATGTTCAAATTTATATGACGGTATTAGAAAAATTACAAATAATATCGTTTTGAATTTCAAAAATATTTGATATGTTTTAATACAGGTCACATAACATGAAAAGTTTATCTATAGAAGACACAATACGAGTATACATGGAATGTACATGGGATGAAGATATCCAAGGTGCAAAGGGTGATGACTTTCATACAATCGAGATCACGGTAGAGGAAGGTAGTTTGCAAACAAAGATGGATCTTAACAGACCAATTCATTGTGGGTTTAGACGTTGTATGCACGCCTTCCACTATGAACATATTCTACCAACATATACTTCAAAAGCTAGGTTGCTTTTGACTGACATAGACAGGTAAGTTTACACTAAATTTAAGTGCAATGTAATATTGTCATGCCGTCGGAATGACATGTGCTCTTCGTGGTGATCGCAAGCGCTGCGCGACAGCGCTTTGTTCGATCGCCGTGTGCCCTTCACGCTAATCCTGACAGCTATTACAAGGTGTCCCGAAAGTATGGGGCCCCTAGTCTTGGCCCTAGACAGACCTATACCAATGCCTCCATAGTTTGTGTCATATATCGAAGCTTTAACTGTCGAAAGTTACACTGATTTGTATTATGGTTTAACTCACAAATGGGAAAAAGTTACAGACATTTTAAAACTTAGTTTTTGGTCGAAATTGAAGTTGCTTTTCACGCTCATCGTGACAGCTATTTTACTGCTTATGTCTGAGTTATCAAACCTCTCGAGTCGTTTTTGAACCTTCTGACAGAAGCAGGCAGTGTTATATGGAGCATCAGGACGGTACCTTAATATATACTAGGATACTATATATTCCTGTATATGTATACTAGGAAAAGCAGATACAAAACGGGCTCTTTGAGGGCAATAAACTTAATGAAAGAGCAATTGGTTTACTTGATATAGTAGCTAAAGTGAACGCACTTTGTTTCCCTCCTCCCCGTGTCATTGAAACACATGCCACATGGCATTTTATCTAAATGTTGAAGAAATGCATTATACATTTTGATAGTGCATCTGAATCTTTCCCCGTGTTCATACCTGTAGCATCACTCGTTCTAACATTGTCAGCAGAAAGATCACCGTCACATAACACCATAACGACCTTGATTAAATAAAATAATGTTTTCTGTTACAACTTATTCAGATGCTAACATCTTTAAAGTACAAATACAATCTAAAATCGCCAGAATGAAGATCATTGTTACGTAACACCATAACGACATTCACAGTCAATTATTCAATCTAGAAAACACTAAAAGATTTCAAGCTTGTAACTGAGCTGGGTTAAAGGCTATATAAGCTCAAATCCGAGCAAACTTGAGAGTTTTTATTATATTGAATAAAACATATAAAGTTTAGGGTCTTACCAATATATTCGATAACAAAACAGCCGACCTGAAAACAATAAATAAGGTAGAATAATGACATCTTACCTTACCTTTTATACTTTTTATTTGTAAGCAAAATCGAGCAAAATGGTAACGTTGTATCCCTAATTTCACTGCTATTTAAGGTGTAAAATTGTCTAAAAACCAAGTTTTATACGGGATTTGGCACTTCCATAATTTTCTGTTAGTGTGTCAATGTTTATTTTAAACCTGTATGACCAGTTTGGAATGGCATGAAGAATATAACATATAGAAATAATGTCCTAGGCTTTGAGGAAAATGTATTTTTGTATAATAGCAAAGTGTAATCTATGACGTAATTTAAAGAAAAATGTCACATTAGTGAGTTTGTGAGACAATGTTTTTAACCATTGCTAACTTTTTTGAATTTTTATCTAATTTTTCAAAATTTCCACCTGTCATTCACAGTATTTATGACCTGTGCCCCGAAGAGTTTAGTAAAATTATACAAAATTTTGAAAATCTAATGACTGATAAAATACCATACAACTTTTTTTCTTTACAGAGGTAAAATGTGACCAAAAGAAAAATGAACAAAGAATCTATATACGGGCCTGTTTCCATCGAGTTTAACCACTTCATGGTTGACGCAGTGCTTTGATATTTTTGATTATACTATATCAGACTTATATGACATGGAAACTCTGGAGATCATTTATTCAGACAAACAGAATGACAGCTTTATAGTAAGATGCATATGTGTGATATGTAACGTGACTAGCATATCTAAAAAATATTTTGGGTCATAAATTACATAAAGATAATGCATCTGATAATACATTCGATATTTAGAATAACATTTGCAAAATGCATAGTAAAATCCTTCTTATCGCAGTCACTTGTTTGTACTAACTTATTTTTATTTTAGAAAAGGAGAGGGTAATTTTACTAAAATTCTAATCTGTATGTTATTATTGAAAATACCTCCATCCTATGGAATTTTGTCTGATTCATTATTCCTATGTTTCGGAGATTTAAGAGTAGATTAACAAATGTATTTGCAAATTTAACATACATGTTTTTGCTTACTACTGGAGTACTTTTGTTCGTTAAATCAATTAGTTTTGGCATTCTTACTTTTCAGTTTTCAAATTTATTCTACATCCAAGTAATATGTCTCCCTAAATGTGCACGTTTGTTGATCGTAAATATTGTCACATGTGTCAATGGTCAGTATCAAGCGAAGGTAACGGCCGTCACCTTCGCATCAAGGATGGCTGAGGGGAAGTGTAGATTTTGATATTTTTAGTTTTCATCGAATTAGACTACTTTATAGTTGACATATTGCTTTGATATTTGAACTCAGTCTGACATATATGACATCGAAACTCTAGAGTATGATCATTTGTTCATATATCATGTGTGGGCGTCACAGTTCAACGATATCTTCCACCGCTTAAGGTAAGGAAACTGGGATTTGGGTTTTACAGATGATAACTGATATGCCGTGATGCGGTAACGTTATGCGAGTTTATAATGGAGACCTCAGATGTCAACGTACCGCTTAATGAAAACTATCATGACCGTTACCGTGTCCTACATTTACAGTTACCTTCCCTTATGGGACATACGATTTTTAAATTAACATCATGCCTGCCTAAGGGTATAAAACAACAATTTTCTTTCTCCTGTATAACTCATAAGGAAATTATGTTCATCTTTCTAGTATTACAGATATTGCATAGACGGACATCTATTGATAAAGATACTAATCATTAATCATCTATGAAATCATACGTAATTGAACAATTTAAAGTTAAAAACAGTACAGTGAATCACAAAAAACTGGATTTGAAACGAGTTAAGTTATTAAAAGTGCGTTTCGGGAAAATTGCTGCAACATTTTTTGCTGTCATTAATAAGACAGAAATCCAATTGCATTCTAAACAGTAAAATCTTTATTCAGTCACATTTAACATTGATACAATATTGTTAAGCTTTGTTCCCTTGTATCTAAGAGGCGTTGATACAACTCGTTCTTATGCCAAAGAAAACGCCTGCAAATAAATATTGTTTTTTGACTCATTATACCTTGTTTAAAGACTTATTTATGGAAGAAAATTTCAAGGAAATTGAGGATATATACATGCGCTCGCAGCAAATGTTACAAATATTAATTTTATTCGTGGTTTATTAAAGCACCTTGCAGTATCCCTCTACACACATGGATATCTCCGTAGCGTCGGTGTCACGCTCGCTACACAGAGTGCCATCGGGAAAGAACGCCGACCTTCGAGAACCATATGAATCTTTAAGGTAGCAATTTACGTCACATAAATTGTCACCTAGAACATAAAATCAAATCTTAAAATCCAATTTTAAGAAGAAACATGGGATCAAAATATCTTGATTGACAAAATGTTGACTCGACTAGGCTATTTCTTTTTATATTTCTATACCGCAGTATATTACCGGGTTCGGTAACCAGGACACAAAAACCTCCAAGTATTTAAGTATATACGTTTAAGTATACCTCCACAAATAGGAACATCGCAGTAGTCCCATTTTTGATTTGGATCTGTCGTGTAACACCATGGCCCACCTGGCTCGCCATCGGGATTTCTACAAGTTATAATTTAAGTCCTCTTTTATTTCAATCTATATTGCACTGATGACCAGAATGTTAACTATACGCAATCTAAGAACTTACTGTTTAGATATATCTTCCCGTATTTATGACAATATGGTAATATGGCAACTCCAGACGAGTCTTCTGGACCAGTATATTTTTAAGAAATTATGGGATTTGCATATATATCAGTTTATTCATATCGTCTCCATGAAGGTAAAACACCCCGTAGAAATTGATAGGTTGAGAGGGTGAATTATCCAAAAGATGCATGAACCAATATAAATCCTGGTATTAGTCCAAATGTTTTGTTTCATTTATAGGCTTTTTCATAAGACCATGCGTTGTTCTTATACTTGATAAGTAAATCAAGACATCAATTTATGGGAACTTTCAAAATGGCTGCCAGAAAAATGGCTGCCCAGAAGTTCATCAGCTCTAGAACTTGATATTCTCTATCATGTGTGCGTATTTGGAGACGATCTGACAAGCAGTTTTTCTGAAATGGCGATGACCTCCAGAATGGCCGCCAGAAAACAAAATGGCCGCCCAAAAGTTAATCAGCTCTACAACTTGATATCCTCTATTATATGTGCGAATTTGGAGAAAAATCGACAAGCGGTTTTCCTGAAATGTTGATGACAAGAATTTCCGAAACCCTTTCAAAATGGCTACCAGAAAACAAGAAGACCACCCAAAAGTTAATCAGCTCTAGAACTCTATATCCTCTATCATGTGTGCGTATTTGGAGAAAATCCGATGAGCGGTTTTCCTGAAATGGCGATGACAAGATTTTCCGAAAAAACTTCAAAATGGCCGTCAGAAAACAAGATGGCCCAAAAGTTAATCAGCTCTAAACTTTATATCTTCTATCATGTGTGCGAACTTTGAGAAATTCTGATGGGCGGTTTTCCTGAAATGGCGATGACAAAATTTTCCAAAAAACCTTCAAAATGGCCGCCAGAAAACAAGATTTGGAGAAAATCGGATGAGTGGTTTTCCTGAAATGGCGATAACAAAAAAGCGGGACGATCACGATAACGACCACGACGACTATGACGGCTATATCCCATCGATGGTGTGATAAAAATTCCCTTTTATAAAAGCATGGCGATCTATACTACACTATTACTACATAAACAGGTAGAGGTCTTTGCACATTGACCTCATTCTGTGCACCCTTGAGTATTGTTCCAGGATCGTGTCTCTTATACTAAATGGTGAACAAGGCATTAACATGACAAATTGTCACCACCTAGTTGCTCCCAATATTATTAGTTCAATCTCAAGTCAGATTTGAACTTCTGAGAACTTGTAGATGATTTTGAAAACAAATTGGTCAATTTGAAGCAAGTTGAAAAAGAGTGTTTTTACCCTGAGATTTTAATTGGTCAATTTGAAGCAAGTTGAAAAAAGACCTTTTTGACCTTGAGAAGGTAATATAGTTAGATTTTAACTTTTGAAAACTTCTAGATGATTTTTTAAAAAAATTGGTCAATTTGCAGCAAATTGAAAAAATACCTTTTAGACCTTTTTTCAAATCTTAAATCTAAAGTCAGATTTGAACTTCTGATAACCTGTATATGATTTTGAAAAAATTGGTCAATTTGACACAAGTTGATAAAACACCCTTTTTACCTTTTTTGAAAACGTGTAGAAGATTCCGGAAAACTGAAGTCAGTCCAAACAGTTAAGTTATTGGAAGTTGTTACAGACATCAACCGCCGATCGCCAACCACCAACCGCCGCCACAAAAAACGGAGACCATATCAATATGTCACCACTTTTTGGTGGTGAAATAACAATACCAAATACGAGCTTTCGATTCGCTAAACGATATGCGTTACCCTTTAATTGTGTGGCTCTTTACCAAGTTAATTTTCGAGAAGGTTCACTACAAAACTGCTGTCCAAACCATGCATACCTGCAATAGTTTTCTGCAGCTGCTAGAGAGATCTCTAGAAAACCCGTGCCGTCTTGTGCATGATTATGAGGGCTCTTGGAGTCCCAACGTTGACATTCTTTACCATCGGAAGTAATGTTAATCTTGCCCGTGTACAGTTTTCCAAATGCACCTGGTTTACACCAAATCTCACCTAACAGAAAATGTAAAATTAATTGCAATTGCAAAATCCAACTAACGCCTGACGGCTACCGGATTAACCTACTATTTTATGGGTAACTCATTTAAACATGAATAGTACATGTCACTATTCCATTCATATTTAAATGAGTTGGTCATAAAATAAAGTAAATCCGGTAGCTGACATGTGTTAGTTGCATTCGCGAATACAAGGTTAGCTATCCAAAAGCAGTGTGGGACAACAGATGATTGACCGGCTCATCCCGCGGCTCATGATTATATACTCTATTCATTCTTTCAAAAGTTGAATAGAAAACACAAAAGAAACAAACTTAAAACTATACATGCTCTGTTAAATGAGGTGCACTGAAGCTGAACTAATTACACCCACTTGCTTCTCAATACACTTACCTCATAGTCAAAAGAAATCATTTTTTCCTAAAATTGGATCAGGGACCACTTATGCCTTGACCACATATGCTCCGATTTTCACGACGGCGCCCGGCCGATCGAGTATTTTGTTCAAAATTGAATATTGAACTCAATCGGCCGGGCGCCGGCCGATGGATCGGAGCATATGTGACCCAGGCATTACCTTCAGTGCCCATTGTGTGGTTGAAGTTAGATAAACAATTCGTCTTGGGTCTTCTAATCCCGAAGACTCATTGTTTATCCAGTACATAAGGAATACCTGTGCATAACGGAACCCCACAATATTCCCATCTTTTATTAGGATCTGTAGTATAGCACCATGGCCCACCACTTTCATTATCAGGATTTCTACAATCATTAATACGTACTGTCACAGACATAACCCGAACAGAATGAGTGGAGTGGGTCAATAGGTAACGATTTCTTCTAGATTAAACCACACTTAGGTAGCAACACAGAAGAATGAACTATGATTTATTTTAAGAATAACCAGCGATAACAAAGAGGGTGCATTATTTTTCTATTGTTTTTAAGAATTTAGGCAATGATTTCTTCTAGGTTAAACCACACTTAGGTAGCAACACAATAGAATGAACTGTGATTTATTTTTAAGAATAACCAGCTATAACATAGAGGGGTGCATTATTTTTCTATTGTTTTTTAAGAATGTACAGTTGGTATTAGTAATCGAAAACCAGTGTGACACAAAAGATTATTGACAGGCTCATGCAGTGCACTAAAGCTTATCTAATAATATCATATTCACTCTTTCGTTTAGTACACATATCTCATAGTCAATACAAAATAAATAATTTTTTTCTGAAATTGGATCATGGACCACTTACCTTTGATAAGAGTCAGTGCCCATTGCGTGGCTTAAGTTAGTTAAACAATTCATTATTTTTCCTAATCCCCAAAACTCATTGTTTATCCATTACATAATCAATAAAACTGCATATTTATTTTCAATGAACACTTTCACCAGATAACGCATGGTATGTTTAAATTTGAAGGTCTTCTATGATACGCTTCCGAGGTATGATATCTATTAAAAAAAGTATAGCTGATATTGTTACGCGGTATATGGCATACATTCATGGTTGCGCGGTATTTGTGATACGAGTGAATATGCCATACTCACCTGCGGTATATGGCATATTCCGCAGGTGAGCATGTGATATTCCGCAGTGAATATGCGATACATTGATTTCAGTGAATACCCGATACTCACCTGCGGAATATATCATACTCACTTGCGGAATATGCCATATACCGCAGGTGAAAACGTGATACAGAAAGCCTTGGTTTGATTGGTTGCGAGAATCGACTATAAATGTAAAACTACGCTGGATTATCATTATAGTTAGTGCGTCGAGTACTAATATATGAATCCTGGATTGCTTAAGTTTATTAACCGAGATTGGTGACTGATACTTCTGCTTAGTTAATATATTCGATACACAGCACTGTTGATTCAGTAATCATTATAATTATTTATAACGTTTTACTTGTTCGTTCAATCGATGCAATTGACAATTGCGTACTTCCATATCACGTTCTCATCGGTTGGTGTGTATGTCATATACCGCAGGTGAATCTGTCATACACCGCAAGTGAATATGCCATATTCGTTGCGGAATATGACATATTTTTGTATCGTGTTTACCGCGTAATAGATATATCTTTATTTCCGTGAAGGAGGTACAGGTACCCGGGACCGACATTTACGTCATATATTCAGTTTTTTAGCCAGTTTGGCAAATTTCAATTAGATTTGATTTTTATGTCACCACCAAAAGTGGTGACATATTGTTATGGTCTCCGTTTTTTTGCGACGGCGTCCGGCGGTTGGTGGTTGGTGGTTGGCGTCCGGCGTCTGTAACAATTTCTTACAACTTCCTATAACTTAACAAATACTGTTAAGACTGACTTCAATTTTTTTCTAAATCATCTACATGTTCTCAGAAGTTCAAATCTGACTTTAGATTTGACATTTGACCTTCAATGACCTTCTCAAGGTCAAAAAGGTCTATTTTCAACTTGCTTCACATTGACTAAATTTTTTTTCAAAATCATCTACATGTTCTCAGAAATTCAAATCTGACTTAAGATTTGACATTTGACCTTCAAATCTGACTTTAGATTTGACATTTGACCTTCAATGACCTTCTCAAGGTCAAAAAAGGTCAAAAAGGTCTGTTTTCAACTTGCTTCAAATTGACTAAATTTTTTCAAAATCATCTACATGTTCTCAGAAATTCAAATCTGACTTAAGATTTGACATTTGACCTTCAAATCTGACTTTAGATTTGACATTTGACCTTCAATGACCTTCTCAAGGTCAAAAAAGGTCAAAAAGGTCTGTTTTCAACTTGCTTCAAATTGACTAAATTTTTTTTTCAAAATCATCTAAGTGTTCTCAGAAATTCAAATCTGAGTTAAGATTTGACTTAAGATTTGACATTTGACCTTCAATGACCTTCTCAAAGTCAAAAAAGGTCTTTTTTCAACTTGCTTCAAATTGACTAAATTTTTTTTTCAAAATCATCTACATGTTCTCAGAAATTCAAATCTGACTTTAGATTTGACATTTGACCTTCAATGACCTTCTCAAGGTCAAAAAAGGTCAAAAAGGTCTGTTTTCAACTTGCTTCAAATTGACTAAATTTTTTTTTCAAAATCATCTACGTGTTCTCAGAAATTCAAATCTGACTTAAGATTTGACATTAGACCTTCAATGACCTTCTCAAGGTCAAAAAAGGTAAAAAAGGTCTGTTTTCAACTTGCTTCAAATTGACTAAAAAAAAATTTCAAAATCATCTACGTGTTCTCAGAAATTCAAATCTGACTTTAGATTTGACTTAAGAATTGACATTTGACCTTCAATGACCTTCTCAAAGTCAAAAAAGGTCAAAAAGGTCTTTTTTCAACTTGCTTCAAATTGACTAAATTTTTTTTTCAAAATCATCTACATGTTCTCAGAAATTCAAATCTGACTTTAGATTTGACATTTGACCTTCAATGACCTTCTCAATGTCAAAAAAGGTCAAAAAGGTATTTTTTCATCTTGCTTCAAATTGACTTAATTTTTTTTCAAAATCATCTACATGTTCTCAGAAATTCAATAATGTCTTTAGATTTGACATTTGACCTTCAATGACCTTGTCAAGGTCAAAAAAGGTCAAAAAGGTCTTTTTTCAACTTGCTTCAAATTGACTAATTTTTTTTTTCAAAATCATCTACATGTTCTCAGAAATTTAAATCTGACTTTAGATTTGACATTTGACCTTCAATGACCTTCTCAATGTCAAAAAAGGTCAAAAAGGTATTTTTTCATCTTGCTTCAAATTGACTAAATTTTTTTTCAAAATCATCTACATGTTCTCAGAAATTCAAATATGACTTTAGATTTGACATTTGACCTTCAATGACCTTGTCAAGGTCAAAAAAGGTCAAAAAGGTCTTTTTTCAACTTGCTTCAAATTGACTAATTTTTTTTTTCAAAATCATCTACATGTTCTCAGAAATTCAAATCTGACTTTAGATTTGACCTTTAATGACCTTCTCAAGGTAAAAAAAGGTCAAAAAGGTCTGTTTTCAACTTGCTTCAAATTGACCAATTTTTTTTTTCAAAATCATCTTCATCTTTTCAGAAGTTCAAATTTGACTTTACAAGTTCTCAGAAATTCAAATCTGACTTAAGTTTGAACTCATAATATTGTGAGCAACTAGGTGGTGACATTTTGTCATGTTAATGCCTTGTTTTAAATGCAACAGGTGTTGTTAGAAATATTTTGCTGACTGGTAACACAAAAACAGTAAGTATTGTGATGTCAGAGTGTTGTATGGTCGTGGTTTGCAGGTCAATTTGATTAGGCATTGTGGAAGAAGGGGTTGGTGAGAGAAAGGAACACCCTACTCTACACGGACAATGCACCTGCCTATAGATCTCAAAATGTTTAGAAAACAAATCATAGAAGACCTCGATCACAAACTTTACCATAACGTGCGCCTATTCTTTTTGCGATATACTGGTTAACTTCCTAATGAAAAAATAATTTTGCAGATTTCTTGAATTTTCTGGCAAAAAATACTCTATTCCACTCATTTTGTCCGAGTTTGATTCACAAGTAGGTTTTAGTAGCTATGATTAGGGAAAAGACAAGTCTTGGTTTGGTGAACAGTCTACAGGGCAGCTGATTTTTGAGGAAAATTTAAAATAACACCACAATTAAATTATGAATATTCAAAAAAGCACATTTAAATTTACAATATGTAAAATCAATCAAAATTGTTCGAAACAGCCGTAACGTGCAGTAGACCGATTCTATAAAAAGACTAGTCATTGTTTTGACTATAACGAAGTTCATCACTACTTATTACTGCACTAATAATGATTTTTTTATGATAAATATAGAAATACCACCCAAATCAAATTATGGATATTCAAAAGAGGACATTTAAATCCAGAATATGTAAAAATATCTAAATTGTCCAAGCGGGTGCACGTGTAACATGCAGTAGACTGAATACCTTCTTTTTCCAAACCGAGACTAGTCTTTTGACAATATAAAGTTTGATGTTTATACTCTTGATTGATTACTCTTGATACAAATAAAGCTGTGAACGATGAACACATGATGGATATGAACAAGAAATTTGATTTAAAATATTCCATTACCATCATCATGTATAAGTCATTGCACATAATTAGATCACTTGATTCAGTTAAATCGGGCGCTTCTAAATTGGTTATAGCAGGAGGGGGGAAGGAGGTACGGATTCTGGACACCTGCTTAGGAGGATGCACATTTCCGTGTTTGATAGTTGATACTGACCAAACATACGTACCTGCAAAAGTTTTCTGCAGCTGCCAAAGAATCATCCGGAACAGTTGCTATTCCATGAGAATGCGGGCTTTGGGAATCCCAACGTTGACATGGTATGCCATTCACAGTCCTACTAACTTCACCAACGTACCCTGCACCCAAAATGTCATACTTGCAGTCGAGTGTGTCTACTATCAAAATAAAAAATGTACAGGCCTTCAATTAATGGAGAACAAGGCATAGGGTAATAGAATCGTACCTAAAACATAGCAGTGTGGGCTTGATGACCCAGAAAGCAAGATGGCCACGGGAAAGTTAATCAGCGAGTTTGAGTCACGAAACATAGAATTTAGCTCATTGTGACAACTTTTGATGGTTGAGGTTTATTAATGTCTCCGACTTTACCTATGTGGGCTCTAATGAGTATGTATTGCATGCGCCATGAAATGCTGGTATTCTCCGTCTCCAATCATATTGATGAACTCATAAGAATATATTCGTGTATACAGTATATACCTGTGCAAAAAGGAACCTCACAGTATTCCCATCTTTCATTGGGATCTGTAGTATAGCACCATGGCCCACGACTTTCACCATCGGGATTTCTACAATAGAGGAGTTTCCATATAGTTTTGAAATCTCGCTAATTCTCGTTTTTCATGAGATTTTAAGAGATTTACACTTTTAACAAAAATTAATTTAAGAATCATTTTCCATGACGTTTTAAAAAAACTTGACAAAATCTCCATTGATGCAATGCTAAGATCCTTTAAAACCTTGCTTTATTCGTTTAACAACCAAAATATTTCATGATTAATCACGATAGATACATTGACAGGGACGGGGTCATTCCATAGTATGCCATTTGATTCAACCAGCACTTTTCATAAATCATAAATTAAGTGACTATTGCAAGTTTATAACTTTGACGGCTATGGCAGTTTGGATATTCATGAGTATTAGAATTGAGGAAAATCGTTCCAAACAGGAGAACAACTATTTTGAGACAGAACAACTTGCCATCCGTTCGTTTGTTTGTCTATCCACCATTCATTTCGGAAAACAACTCAATACATGGATAGGTACCTGCAAAAGTTTTCTGAAGCTGCTAAAGAGCCAAACGGCACAGTTGTTATCGAATGAGAATGTGGACTTTGGGAATCCCAACGCTGACATTGTCTGCCGTTAACAGTCACACTTATTTTACCCATGTACTGTGTACCCAACTTGTCTTGCTTGCAGTCGTTCACGTCCACTAACAAAATATAACATATAGAGAGGTTAAGCTACACGTTCAAATCGCAAATTCAAAGCGCAAACCGTGAACCCGAACCCGTAAGTTTACGCTCAAGTACACGTTTAAGATGTTTCTGTGAAACAACACGTCTAAAACCATGTCAGTGGACGTGGAGATGTAGTTATGTGGTGACTGTCACTAAGTGCCATGACTATATGGTGTAATGGTTAGCACTTGGGCCTGTGTTCTAATACAGTCAGTCGAATACATTTTTGTTTTTTATTCTTGGTTTATTTCATATTTAACCACAATTCAATTACTTTAGTATCATTTTTTGCTCATATCAAGGGCGGACGTAATACGAAGAAAATGCCTCGTACGCAAATCAAATGTAGTGTTAAGGCAATAGTAGGCTCTAGTTGTCATTTCATCTTGTTTAGTATACATACTGTACTAAGCACCGGATATTAAACTAGCCCTGCCTGTCATATTATACGAAATGAAACAAAACGATCACATTTGAAGTTGTCATTTACCCATTAAAATGTATTCTTACTAAGGATTTCGGGTTTACAAATATAATATTGAAGAGTATCTAAATCAAATATGGGCTACTGGGCCACCCTAGAACAAAGATAAAATCAATCACGTAATGAGCGACGTGTAATAATTCATTTACACGTAAAAACCTGTAATTTCACGCTTACGAAAGTAGACTAATCTGACGTCATTTTTCCGCGCGCGCATTGAAGTTCACGTTCATGGTTTGTTGACTACGCGTCTGTAGATTGCAACAATGTGATAATCTACAGGTAAAAATCTGTCAAATTCACGCTGACAACAGAAAATAAACAAATCTGACGTCATTTTCTGCGCGCGCATTCAAATTCACGTTCAAGTTTCGTTAAATACGTGTAGCTTAACCTATCTATTGAAACAGCAAGTATATACAGTATTTGGGTAGTGAGGATGTTGTAATTAATCAAAATAGATCACTTTGTGAAATACTTGGTGCACGTTAGATGCACATGGGAATATATAAAAACACAATTTTTGATCTAAAATTACTACCATAATATATATTGTGGTTTATTCAGCCCAAAATAATACAATGTCTGTGACTCAATCCAGGCCAGGTATGAACATATTTTATCTCGGGAAGTCAGTCAGCCTGTCACAGGACTATAAAACAATGCTTCGGCAGTCATGTAGGCAGGCCATGGTCAGGACACGACCACTTGGACCTCGTGATATATCAAAGATCTTTGAAAAGTAAAGTTGTTACAATTTAAAGTCCGACAATTTATAAAGAAAAGCCGCGTATACATCATGTGGGCTCTGTTGAGAAGCACAGTTATCAGATGTACATTCGCCGCTGGTACGTATACAAATCATATTTATGAACTCATGAGAATATGCCTGTGTATATATACCTGTACATAACGGAACCCCACAATAGTCCCATCTTTCATTAGGATCTGTAGTATAGCACCACGGCCCACCGGTTTCATTATCAGGATTTCTACAATTGATATACTTCAAATTTATAAATCTGTATTTTTAATGAGAAAGTTTATCAATTAATCGCTGAATGAACAGGCCAATTGGTATGGTAAAATTAGAATCTGGTAAGATGTGTATACCAAGGTTTAACTGACTCACCTAAAACAGATTTTGATCACAATGAGGATTGCGTAAAGTCTATGATTGGACAAGTAAAAAATACAATTGCGTTGACTTTTTTATCTCGGATTTTTGAAACATAAGTCATAAAAAACGCTGGTCATCAGCATCAAGTAGCTTCTGGGTGATAACTTGGCACACTAGTATTTTCAAACAAACAATTTCTGGCATTTTTTGATAATTTCAACAACAACCAACAGCATGAGCTCATTTGTTAAGTGATTTTTTAGCTTGTATTCGCGAACGCAACTTTCGACATTCTCATGAAAATTAATCCTGCATTTGTTAATTTTTCTGGCAAAAAGTAGGTTCCCGTTTTTTTGAAAAACAATTTTGACTTTAAAAACCTATATCTTTGTAGAACCTGAAAAACGTATCAATTTTTTGTTAAATAAAGCTAGCAAATTCAATTGCCTACCTAACTTGTATTTTTTGCATGGACTCGGATGATTGGATATTCTGTCAAATGACTTGCGGCAAACCTACCATTTCCCACTGGTTAACATGGGAATGTCAATTTTCAAAAATTCATCAAATCTATCAACAATTTCGACCTGCTGTAATTGAGGAAAATGCGTATGACCAATCGCCCATACAAATGTATTCTCCGTTCAAGTTCAAGTTGTGAAAAACCTTGCAAGCTTAAACTTCCTATTGACTTTTCAACGCTTGTGACGTTGTGTCATTTTAAAAAGTTGATCTCATGCCTTAGAAGCGTATCACTTAAAAATCATAAATTTTACCAACCTTGCGATTTATTGCTAAACTTTCTCGTGAAAAAAGATTTGCAGATTCATTGATTTTTATTGATTTTTAGCAGAAATCGTATATAATCCCCAATCCCGCTCATTTTGTCCGAATCACGGCTGTGACTGTATTTAAGTAGATATTATTAGCTATAACGAAAGTAAGTTGATAAAATATGATGGACAGTAATACTCTCTTGACTGTACGTAATTCTAGACACAGATTAGCTATAAACGATGGACAAATCATGGATATAAAACAAGAAACTTGGTTATTTTAAATTTTAGTACCACATTCCTGGGTTTGGTTACTAACAAAACATACGTACCTGCAAAAGTTATCTGCAGCTGCCAAAGAACCATCCGGAACAGTTGTTATTCCATGAGAATGCGGGCTTTGGGAATCCCAACGTTGACATGGTATGCCGTTAACAGTCCTACTAATTTTACCCATATACTGTGAACCTAATTTGTCTTGCTTGCAGTCGGTAATGTCAACTAACAAAATTAAAATTATATAGTCCTACAATTTGTAAAGAAAGACTGCATACTGTATATATAACAAAACAAAAAGGTAACCGGGGAGTTCATCCATTTTGTTACATTGACGTTCCATCGAAGTAACTAGTTGTGGAATAGTGAAAGAGCCCGATTCTCGAAAACATCGTCAATTATCCAGGTGTAAAAGGGTAGGTGGTCCTATCAAATTTTGGTTCTACTCTCTATTGATTTATAAAGTGACCCAATCACAATCATTTCCTTATTATTTATACACAGTCAGGGCCAGAAATGGCCGTAAGGAAAGGGGACCATAATCCCCAGGGGATCATAATTTCTTTTCCTCCGGGTCAATTATGAACCATAATAAGCACCGAGGAGGTCAAGGAAAACAAAAACTAGACTTACATTTCCTCAGTCCTGCCCATTCAATATAACCTGTCAGCTCAGAGCTCGCACTGTGGTTGAGGCATATTTGTTGTCCCAGATCTCGTATTACTTGCTCCACCACTGTCTCTGAGTTCGTACAAGCCTTGACGCGAAAAGTATGTAGGTATAATGATGAAATATAATATCGAATACTCTTTTCCCCATTCAGGAATCAAGATCGCAATTCAAAACCACGCATAAACCGTGAACGTTGTATTCGTACTAAAATGCCTCAAATACATACAAATGTTTTCATATTTCTTCATATTATTTTTACGTTATATCAAAATTGTACATGGGTATTAATTCAAAAAATATCTGCGCTTGTTTGAAGTTGTGGCTTCTTTGACTGTCTTTTGACGGCGCACTTATTTACGCAGCACAATATATGTGATTATCATATCACTGTTATATTCCTCACTCTCGGATCGGTCCATGTCCTACACGTGACTAGAAAGCCACGTGACCTCCGTTGAATATTAAATAATATTAGTCACGAGTAATTTCAATTTTTTATAGCCCAGGGAATACATTGCTATGATTGATTAGACATCAATAGTTTGTTATTCCTTTAATGGCTCAGTGAGGGATACTAGTATAACAGTGAATAATAATGAAACAAATAATAAATTCTATTTTCAGTGAATACCTGTGACAATTTCACAAGATGATATTCCCTTCGGACCATCGTGGATTATCATGTGAAAGATACACAGGTATTCACCTGAATAGAATTAAATATTTGTATCATGATGGTATTTCCAATTGTAGAGATTGTGTGAATTATATCCGTTTTTCATCACACCATCGGTGGGATATAGTCGTCATATTGATCGTCATCGTGATCGTAGTCGTTATTGTGATCGTACCGCATTTTTGTTATCACAATTTCAGGAAAACCAATCATCGAATTTTCTTCAAATTCGCACACATGATAAAGGATGTCAAGTTCCACAGCTGATTAACTTTTGTTAGGTCATTTTGTTTTTTGTTTTTGGCAGCCATTTTGAAGGTTTTTGGATAACTATTGTCATTGTGATTGCAGGAAAACCGCTCATCGGATTTTCTCTAAATTTGCACACACTTTTTGGGCGACAATCTTGTTTTCTGGCGGCCATTTTGAAGGTTTTTCGACAAACCTTGTCATCGCCATTTCAGGAAAACCGCACACCTGATTTTCTCCAAGGTCGCACACATGATAGAAGATATCAGGTTCTAGTGCTGATTAACTTTTGGGTGGCCATCTTGTTTTCTGGCGGCCATTTTGAAAGTTTTTGATAAATCTTGTCAACATTATTTCAGGAAAACTGCTCATTAGATTTTTCTCCAACATCGCACAAATGATAGAAGATATCAAGTTCTAGAGCCGATTAACTTTTGAGCGGCCATCTTGTTTTCTGGCGACCATTTTGAAGGTTTTTGATAAATCTTGTCATTGCCATTTCAGAAAAATCGCTTATCGGATTCTCTTAAAATTCGCACACATTATAGGGGATATCCAGTTGTAGAGCTGATTAACTTTTGAGTGGCCATCTTGTTTTTTTGGCGGCCATTTTGAAGGTTTTTCTAGAAATCTGCTTTTTTTAATGAATCTTGTCATCGCCATTCTAGGAGAAATGCTCATCAGATTTTCTTCATATTCGCCCATATGATAGAGGATATCAAGTTCTAGAGCTGATTACATTTTGAGCGGCCACCTCTTGTTTTCTGGTGGCCATTTTGAAAGTTTTTGATACATCTTGTCATCACCATTTCAGGAAAACTACCCATTAGATTTGCTCCAAATTCGCAAACATGATAGAATATATCAAGTTCTAGAGCTGATTAACATTTGGGTGGCCATCTTGTTTTCTTGCGGCCATTTTGAAGGTTTCTCGATGGTGTGATTTCGTTCACGGCATGTGCCATGTGCTATTATAAAAGTCGGTTGTGGTCGCCTTAATGTCGCCCAACGGCGTATTGTCGCGCCTGGGCCGTCTCACCGAGCACCCTGTATACTGGGGAAAGGCCTGGGACGACGAAAAGGGATCTTTGGAGGTGTTTCAAGGGTGTCGACCTGGTTTGGTGGTACGACAGTTACCAATAGAAGATGGCTCCACAAAACAATTATGTACAGGGTTTTTATAATCTATTCTAACATAAGTTTTTACAATATAATAACAAAATGTCCATATAATATACAAGTTTCTCTTCAAGAGTCGTCTCTGCTCTGGAGCTTGATTAGCACTAAGAGTCACTGCGTCTCTTTATGTTCTCCTCCTGTAGTTTGTTCAGCTCTAGGAGTCTCTACGTCTCTTAATCTTCTGTATGGAGTTTGTTCAGCTTAAGGAGCAACCTCAGCTCCGGGAGTCACTTCGTCTCTGGGGAAACCACGCAAACTCTCTCTCTTGGAAGAGTACCAGCCTCTAGAGCACTCTCTGCTTGGGAGTCGCCACTTCTCGGGAAAAACCTCTGCTCTTGAACAAGATTCACACGCTCGGAGTATCTTAGCTCGGAGTCGTCTCGTCTTAAGAGAACAATGCAAACTCTGTGTCTCTTGGAGCACCTCAGTTCCGGTAGTGTAACTTTGGCTCAGACACAAACTCTGTCTCTGGAAGGGGTCCAGGCTCTGGAGCAACCTCTGCTCGGGAGTCGCCACTTCTCGATAAAAACCTCTGCTCTTGAACGATTCACACGCTCGGAGTATCTCAGCTCGGAGTCGTCTCGTCTCAAGAGAAATCAACGCAAACTCTGTGTCTCTTGGAGCACCTCAGTTCCGGCAGTGTAACTTTGGCTCCGACACAAACTCTGTCTCTTGGAAGGGGTCCAGGCTCTGGAGCACTCTGCTCGGGAGTCGCCACTTCACAGGAGAAACCTCGTCACCCTCTACAGAGAAATAACACCTCTGGAATGTCAATCAGATGGTGAGATTAGACCAGAGCTGCTACTTCTCGATCTCGGAGTACCTTAGTTCCGGTGGAGTAACCTAGGCTCCAATGGAATAAACCTTGCAACACAGAAATACCTTGGTTCCGGTAGTGTAACCTCAGTATCTAACTTCTGGAGGAGTCAAATCACCTCGGAGGGTACGTCAAGTTCAGCAACTTGTATCAATTTCGGATCATCAATAACTCGGAGGAGGAGAAGAAGCAACTCACGAATATCGATCATTAAACTGAGATTAGACGGAGTTGTATTCTCAACCCTCGGAGCAGATTCCACTCTAGAATAGATGGAGGAGTAAGCACTCGGAGCAGTGAGTCCTCAGAGTAGGTATGGCTCTCAACTAGATGGAGGAGTAATCACTCGGAGCTGGCAATTCTCGGAGCCAATGGAGGAGTAATGACTCGGAGCAGTGAGTCCTCGGAGCAGATATGACTCTTGAATATCAATCAAACTGAGATTAGACAAGAGCCATAATTACTCGGAGCTGGCGATCCTCGGGGCAATGGAGTAGTAATGACTCAGAGCTGACAGTCCTCAGAGCAGACACGACTCTCGAATATCAATCAAACTGAGATTAGACAAGAGTTGTACCTACTCAGAGAAGGAATCACTCCTTAAAATGGCGTCACTTCCGTAAAAAATAAAGATGGCCGACCGCAGGGAACTCTGGGAAGAAGAAATCAAAATGGCGGACGGCAATATGGCGTCAAACTCAATAATCAAATTGTCACTCACCAAAGAACTTTCTATTGTCTTGTCTTTTCCCCAATTGTCGCAACGCACGCAATTTACATCAAGCAATAGCAGCAAATAGTCAAATAATATCCAAATATAATCCACAGTTGTAATCAGCCACGCTCGCACATAAAATGCCCCAAACTGACGAGGTCCTGCTTGTACAAAATCTTGGTAAGCTCTGATTTACAGGTCACTTTCTCACACTAAAATCCAGACACCTCAAGTTGCATCATGGGAAAATACAACTTAAGTTGGCGGTAAATTCAAATGAAGCAATCTGATTGGTTGAGCTCTGTTGCTGAGTGCCTAATTATTCTAATTTATTCCAAGGCCGTCGGCTGATTCAGTAAACATCCAAGTGCCTAGATGAGATTCTGCACGTAGACACTTTACAATACAATTCTTTAATTACAGTGAACAGAACATGAAATAAAGATGAAATAACATAAAATCCAGTAAAATAAACGTTTAAATGCCCTAATACTACTCAGGGGAGAATTAAAAATTCCCACACTCCCCCCTATTAAGGTTGATCGCCCACGATCACAAAATATAAAGTCAAATACTTAGAAAATACATCTCAATTTTACAATGTACATAAAGAGCTCAAGTACCTCTTACAAAACAATTACAAGTAAAGAGCTTACTTAGCTCCTTTCAAAAAGTTACACAATTATAATCAATACTCGCTCAATCAACAGTCTATCTACACTCGTCTACTATCTACACTACTATCTATCTACACTTTGTATTGTATTATTTATGAAAAGAGTCACTAGGCCTCAGTCGTCGCCCCTCTGTCACGCACCTGGGAGAGCCTCATTGGCTCCTCCGATGAGCCAACTCTTCTCCAGTTCATCTGGTTTCTATCAGCACAACAAACTGGTAAGTATGTCGGCTGTCTTCTTTGACATCTGGGTCTCGCTCTGTAAGGTAGACTTTCTTCTGACTGCCCACTTGATGACTCTCTTGGTTTGGAGGCTCGCCTCTCTCTTGTCAACTCGCTACCACTCGACCGTCTTGCCCCCCTACTTGACCTTCCCTCAGTAAGGATTGTAGGTATCACTGGGCTGTCTACTGAAACTCGAGATCGCTCTGCTCGTACATCAAGTCTTTTAGAGGCATGTCGGCTCTTCACTTCAGGAGAGTCAACTTTGCTCCTCTTCTGTAGGCGCATGGTATCTCCAGCCTCATCAGGATTCTTTGGAAGCTCATTCTTCTTTCGCTCTCTCCTCCGTCTCTTCCCTCTTTTGTGGGTTGAAGTAATGGAGGTTCTTGGCTCCTTGGACTTCTCTTGTTGGGAGCTACTACAGCTCTGGATTCCTTCACTGTTGGAGTCATTGAAGCTCATCTGTAAGGAGCCATAATTGATCACAGCCTTGCTAGCCAATAGATAGTCAGTACCTAAGATCCCATCCTGGCTAATTTCGGCCACCACTATCTCCAAAGGGGTCTTTCTCTCATCTGACTTCACTTCCATGGAGCACAAGCCATATACTGCTATAGGGGATCCATCGGCTTGCACCAAGACATCTTTGGCTGGTTTCAGTTGTGGTCTCTTCCAGTAGTTGATTCGGTTGAAGCTGTGTAGACTCATCAAAGACACCACTGATCCTGTATCTACTAGGCACTTCACACGGGCTCCACATATCTCAACATTAGCCTCTGCCTTCTGAGCAGATTCAGCCCTCTCAGGATCTACCACTGCTCGACCTCTGACATCAAGGAAACATACTGGGTGGATTCCTGGAGCATCTCTAATCTTCTTTGGTTTAGGACAATCAATGGAGAGGTGCCCTGGCTCCAAACAATTGAAGCAGGTGACTAGAGGACATCTTCTCACAATATGACCTTCCTCTCCACATCGTCTACAAGTAATGCATCGAGGGGCTCGGAGTTCTCTTTGCTCTTTGAAGAGCTGTAACGCCTCATTCATCTCCTTCATCATCTCCGTCTTCATGTCCTCCATCATCTTGAGGAGCCTTTCCTCCACAGGGTCGCTGGTAACAAGTGAAATGTGATGATCCAACTGTTTTGGCTTGAGTCCCCTTCGGATACGTTCCGACTCCTGGTAAGCTTCCTCCTTCTGGGCCTCCTCAATGGCTTCATCAAGAGACTTTGGGGCTCGGCGATGCACTGCAGCCCGAACATCATCGTCTGTTATTGCCTTTTCAAAGCTCCGTCGAGCAAGTCTGTCCTGGGAGGGACGAGGCATCTCTGGATAGGCTAAGGCGGCTAACATCCGGATACTTTGCCCTAAACTCTGTAAGGACTCCTTCGGCTTCCGGACTCTAGTGTTAAGCTCGGCTTCATACATAGAGGCTTTGTCCCCTGGTCCAAATCTTTTAGTTAAGGCCTCTAAAAGATCACCATAAGTGTGTCCTTCTTCTAACTCTTGGACCAGCTGCTGAGCATCACCCCTCAATTGGTTGGTGAGATTCTGCCTCTTCTCCTCGTCATTCCATCTATTGCTTTCAATACAATTCTGGAAGTGGGCTTTGTAGTCAAGCCAGGGAGTTTTGCCATCAAATAGTTGGGTTGGCTTGATTTTAGTCTTCCTTCCCTCCTTCATGGAATCCAAAGCCTTCCCACACATCTCCATGGCTTTCTCTGTTATCTTCACCATTGCCTGCTCATGGTTACTATTGGAGCTCTCTGCTCTCCTTTCCTCCACTGTAGGATGAGCCCCAAGGCTCTCTGGAGGAACTTCCATTCTATGGGATGTGGTTTGTTCTTGTTGAAGTCCCTCAGTGGTAGCCCTTCTATGAGTATTGGACACATTGAGCTTCTCTGGCTCTGCCTTGACATTAGGCTCTGGAGGTAATCTGGCTCCAGATTGATTCCATCGACCAGTAAGTGGTTCCTCTCCAGACATGCGAGGGAGCTGGTTTGGATCCAACCTTGTGAGCTGAGGAGCCTCATGTCCTCTAGTCTTTGGAGGCAGAGCATTTCTATCTCGCTGCAAATCAACATCTCGACTACATCTAGTTATTGAATGTGGATCATCTTCTGGAGCAGGCATTCTCTGCTTGAACCCAGATTCATCTATTATACGATCACCATTACTCTTCAGAAAGACTCTATTGGGCTCTAGCAGCATTGTCGTTTCTGGGAGCAATCTCGACTCTTCATCTTGTGACCATCTAGGTTGCTGCATTTGGACATCTGGTTCCAGATGGAATCTTGGGGAATAAGGAGGCATCCCTGCTCGGTTAAACATCTCTCTTGGACTTCTTTCAGGTTGCGTCAGAAGAGCTGATCTCGGATCGCCTACCATCTCAACCCTAGAGGGATTCACCATCCGGGACACCGGTGGAGGAGCTTGGCTCATCTGCCCTAGGGTAGCATTCATCTCTTTCAAGAAAGCCTCCATTCCTTCTCTGCTCTTCTTAGCCTCCTCTTGACCTTGGTTCACCACGTTCGCCAGTTTACCGAGTTCAACATGGAGACTGACCATCTCTTCAGATTGAACTTGCAGCCTTCTCCCAACATCTGATCTGAGCGTTCCAAGGCTCCCCTGTATAGCCATAACCTGGGATTGTGTGGAGTCCAACTGTCTCTCGAGGAGTATTTGTTCATCCTTCTGCCTCTCTGGTATCAGTGTGGAGGTAAGAGGATACTGCCCTCTATGTCTCAGCCTCGCTCCCTCTCCGAATTCTCTTCCAAGGCCAGGGGGTGTACGGACATCTCTCTGGAGCTGAGTTGAAGACCAGTACCCAGTAGTCCCTTCAAGACCAGGATGCATCCTCATCTGCCTCTCTGTGGGTAGTTGTTGGAATCTTCTCTCTGGAGTCCGCTCAGCTCTGGGGTCATCTGGATCCAAAGGAATTGTGTCATCACCTGCATGCACATAAGGACCCAACCCGTCTCCTTTGAAGAGCACTGTAGACTGCAATTGAAACTTGTCGACTGGTGGGGTTGTCCTCACTGCTTCCTCTTGTTCCCTTTTTCCCCGAGAGCCAGTCATCATCATCTCAGTGAGTTTGGAGTTCTCTTGACCCCTTATCTCTGGGGTACGCTCCAACTTCTGTGACATCTCAGCCATCTTTTAAAGACAACAGATCCCACCGCTGCCACCAATGTCGCGCCTGGGCCGTCTCACCGAGCACCCTGTATACTGGGGAAAGGCCTGGGACGACGAAAAGGGATCTTTGGAGGTGTTTCAAGGGTGTCGACCTGGTTTGGTGGTACGACAGTTACCAATAGAAGATGGCTCCACAAAACAATTATGTACAGGGTTTTTATAATCTATTCTAACATAAGTTTTTACAATATAATAACAAAATGTCCATATAATATACAAGTTTCTCTTCAAGAGTCGTCTCTGCTCTGGAGCTTGATTAGCACTAAGAGTCACTGCGTCTCTTTATGTTCTCCTCCTGTAGTTTGTTCAGCTCTAGGAGTCTCTACGTCTCTTAATCTTCTGTATGGAGTTTGTTCAGCTTAAGGAGCAACCTCAGCTCCGGGAGTCACTTCGTCTCTGGGGAAACCACGCAAACTCTCTCTCTTGGAAGAGTACCAGCCTCTAGAGCACTCTCTGCTTGGGAGTCGCCACTTCTCGGGAAAAACCTCTGCTCTTGAACAAGATTCACACGCTCGGAGTATCTTAGCTCGGAGTCGTCTCGTCTTAAGAGAACAATGCAAACTCTGTGTCTCTTGGAGCACCTCAGTTCCGGTAGTGTAACTTTGGCTCAGACACAAACTCTGTCTCTGGAAGGGGTCCAGGCTCTGGAGCAACCTCTGCTCGGGAGTCGCCACTTCTCGATAAAAACCTCTGCTCTTGAACGATTCACACGCTCGGAGTATCTCAGCTCGGAGTCGTCTCGTCTCAAGAGAAATCAACGCAAACTCTGTGTCTCTTGGAGCACCTCAGTTCCGGCAGTGTAACTTTGGCTCCGACACAAACTCTGTCTCTTGGAAGGGGTCCAGGCTCTGGAGCACTCTGCTCGGGAGTCGCCACTTCACAGGAGAAACCTCGTCACCCTCTACAGAGAAATAACACCTCTGGAATGTCAATCAGATGGTGAGATTAGACCAGAGCTGCTACTTCTCGATCTCGGAGTACCTTAGTTCCGGTGGAGTAACCTAGGCTCCAATGGAATAAACCTTGCAACACAGAAATACCTTGGTTCCGGTAGTGTAACCTCAGTATCTAACTTCTGGAGGAGTCAAATCACCTCGGAGGGTACGTCAAGTTCAGCAACTTGTATCAATTTCGGATCATCAATAACTCGGAGGAGGAGAAGAAGCAACTCACGAATATCGATCATTAAACTGAGATTAGACGGAGTTGTATTCTCAACCCTCGGAGCAGATTCCACTCTAGAATAGATGGAGGAGTAAGCACTCGGAGCAGTGAGTCCTCAGAGTAGGTATGGCTCTCAACTAGATGGAGGAGTAATCACTCGGAGCTGGCAATTCTCGGAGCCAATGGAGGAGTAATGACTCGGAGCAGTGAGTCCTCGGAGCAGATATGACTCTTGAATATCAATCAAACTGAGATTAGACAAGAGCCATAATTACTCGGAGCTGGCGATCCTCGGGGCAATGGAGTAGTAATGACTCAGAGCTGACAGTCCTCAGAGCAGACACGACTCTCGAATATCAATCAAACTGAGATTAGACAAGAGTTGTACCTACTCAGAGAAGGAATCACTCCTTAAAATGGCGTCACTTCCGTAAAAAATAAAGATGGCCGACCGCAGGGAACTCTGGGAAGAAGAAATCAAAATGGCGGACGGCAATATGGCGTCAAACTCAATAATCAAATTGTCACTCACCAAAGAACTTTCTATTGTCTTGTCTTTTCCCCAATTGTCGCAACGCACGCAATTTACATCAAGCAATAGCAGCAAATAGTCAAATAATATCCAAATATAATCCACAGTTGTAATCAGCCACGCTCGCACATAAAATGCCCCAAACTGACGAGGTCCTGCTTGTACAAAATCTTGGTAAGCTCTGATTTACAGGTCACTTTCTCACACTAAAATCCAGACACCTCAAGTTGCATCATGGGAAAATACAACTTAAGTTGGCGGTAAATTCAAATGAAGCAATCTGATTGGTTGAGCTCTGTTGCTGAGTGCCTAATTATTCTAATTTATTCCAAGGCCGTCGGCTGATTCAGTAAACATCCAAGTGCCTAGATGAGATTCTGCACGTAGACACTTTACAATACAATTCTTTAATTACAGTGAACAGAACATGAAATAAAGATGAAATAACATAAAATCCAGTAAAATAAACGTTTAAATGCCCTAATACTACTCAGGGGAGAATTAAAAATTCCCACAGTATCCTAGTTTTTACGGGGCATAAGAGTTGCTGTATAATTATAGCACGGAGATAAAACTTTTTTCATTTAATAGAAATTATAATGGTAGTATACGTATTCATGTCGTTGCGACAGCGTTACCCTTTGCATTCGTTTGACTTCACTTCTTAAAAGAGAGCTTCGTCTTAGTTTAACTAGACTCTGCACGCAGGGTACGACAGCGTCGGACTGGCTGCACGTAATCATTTTTCGATTTCGTCGAAGTAAGACAGCCTAGACTCAGTGAGAGCAAATGTGTCTGAGACACACGCCTGTGAATGTTAGCATTATATCTTGACCCTGCGGCCTCGGTTAATGTCTGGTATACGAGGAACCCGTCCGTTCAATCTACCAGTAATTCACTGATTTTAAAGATTTATTTAATAATTTATACCCATTACTCAATAAACAATTGCAAATAGTTCCATAAATCAAAGAACGTATCCAAAACTTACTTGAGTGTTACATAATTCCGCCTCGTAGTAGCTTCCATGGCATCTAGTGTTCTTTGGCCTGAAAGTGTAAATTTCCTGGCTGGAATCTAGGAATAGATTGTTTAATTCCTGAGATCCTTATGGACAAAGAATAAAAAAATATTGGATTTTGTAGTACATAAGGACCTTTTACACCAAATATATTTTTACACATATATATCGGGTGTTCTAAAAAAAGTGAACACCTTTTTGAAAAGATTTTCTCAGTGATAGCTGACCCGAATTTATTGAATTTTATAAGGGAAAGGATCAAACTTTGCTATTATAGGGGTTTAAAGATTATAAGTTCTCCCAAAACCCAGTAATGAAACAATAATTGTATATTTACAAGTAGAATGAGTAACATGTTCAATGAACAATAAAAATACAAATATCAACTTACATAGGTGAGTCACAAAATCTGCTTCGTTTTCTTACACCTGCTCCGCAAGTGGAAGTACATTGAGTCCAGAGACCCCATGGACCCCAGCCTCCCTGGACTACCTGAAGGCGTCCAAGGTTCTCCCACATCTTATCAGCATCTGTAGTCCAGTCTGTACACCTCGTGTTACGTCTACACCACTGTTGGAATAATGAATTAATTATTTAGATAGGAAGGAAAACTCACCAAACTAAGGACCACATGAAAAGTTTGAAAATGTGTACTATCATCCAAAGACAATTTTCAAGACTTGTTATACTGTTTCAATCATATTTTGCAGAAGATGACTTTCGAAAAAATTTGAACATTTGAATTCCCGTCATTTTAGCAGTAAATAATTTTAATATCACAGAATAGACTAAAAAAATAAATTTTAATTAAGTAAATTCACAATTTTCTAAAATCAAAGCCCTTCAAACAATTCTTTCAAAATTTTTTAACAAGACTAAAAAAATAAGCCACGGTGGTTAAAACTTTTCCCTTGGCCCCAAATCAACCATGATTATGATCTTCCCTGACTAACTAACAGGGTATGAACTATAATTCGAATACCAATTTTATCATTTTTTGTGATTTAAAAAATAATCGTGTTGATAATTATAACATAAAACCAATGTACAAAAAACATTCCCTCGATTAGTAGATTATTGCTTCAATGGTAGTACACTTACTTTGGTACCAGAGCAATACGTTCCCTCTACGTTCCCAACATCAATAACTGTTCTGATGTCATAATTATTATAGTCGATACATTGTATATCGTCTTCACAAACACCCTACAATTAGCATTATGATGTCATATAATAGTTGATACATTGTAAAGTGTCATCACAAACAGCCTGCAATAAGCATTCTGACAAATTGGGGTAACTATCTCATGAAAAAAAGGTTAGCCGAAAGGTCAACTTACTCTAAAATAGGCCTACAAACATGGTTCAACTGACACCTGAGCAGAAGAGCCAACAAAAATTTCTAAAAAGCAAGTCCAGTGTACTCGTTTAAGAACCCCTATTGTATAATAAATTCATGAACAAACTACAACAAACACATCTGGTGTCATACTTTATAATATATTGTGATGACAAAAACCAAACAATAATCATTTTATGTCATAATTAGTTTAGTTGATACATTGTATATTTGATTCACAAATGTACTACATCGAACATGTTAGATGTCGTACATTGTTATACATTGTGATCACAAACACCCTAAAATCAGCATTCATAGTTATCATGTCATAATGTGATTACCATTGAGTATCATCTTTTATTATTACACAAATATTAACATGTCTAGTTTCGGTGAATACCTGTGCATATTTCACAAGTAGTATTCCACGAAGATGGATCGAATTAATTTATGAAAATTTCTATAAATTAGCTTAAGGTTATCATTAGCAAGTGGTACAAAGATGAAAGAGATCGAAATATCCAAAAAGCATGTCATAAAACTAATTTCAGAGCTGCGCTATGATGTATCAATGTGTGATTCAATTTAAAAATAGCAAAGTTAAAGCATGGCGTCCAAGACTTTTGGATCACCCCTCGTATTCCTCAGTAAAAAGTTGCAAAGAATTTGTCTGATCCATTGATGAGAAATGTGTTGTCAAAAATCGGCTCACTTTTTATTACACTGGACTTACTTAATAATAAAATTAAAATAACACTGAACTAATTCTCATTTGTTAGTCACGTGTATTACATAGACCCTCATGAAAAATTAGATGAACTTTAATTTGAAGTGCTTGATAAATGAAATAGAAAAAAATATTCGTACCTGACTTGCACCAAACACATATCCCTTTTTTCCGTCATCTCTCATATAAGAGAAATTGGCTCCCAAATGTGTCTCACATTGCTTGTTAATGTCATAACGTTGACCTGGCAGTTCGTACCCCTCGACCATATTTGGAATTTGGTAGTGTTCATATGCGTTATCGTACACGCACGCCGTTGGCCCCAAATCCCTGTAAAATTACTTCGTTTAATAGATAATGCAAGTTCAATGGCCAAAAAGAGTTTTAAAGGGTATAATACAATACATCTGGAAACCAGTACAACACAATCCACATCTTTAGATTTCTTATGTTAGATCATGAATTACAGTAGTATAACATAATAAAGAAAACAACCCTAAAATTGGAGGTAATTCGAAAAAAGAAGCACCTCATCATGCTGATGAAATCCTCTGCGCCACATGGTGAATACCCTGTAGATCCTCCACTCATCATATAACCCCTTGGAGGTGGTAAGAAACAGTCATTGCGCCCATCATAATCAGCATCGTGATTCATATTCATACTTAAAGTATAGGATTTTTATTTATACCATTACAAGGCGTCCACAAGAAAGTATAACCAACTTCAAAACCAAATTATTACTAGAATCCCGAGCAATTTTTTGAAAACAAAGGTAACAGGAAAAACCCTTACTTGTCCTACATCAAATAATACCTAGATTATTATATAACTTTCATGTATGACTGAACAATCATGACCATTATGACAGGTGGTAAAAAAATTAGCGCTGTGCCAAATAACTATCTAGTATCTTCTGTGGCAATCGATTTGTAATTGGCTTGGTATTATTTTACTGTTACATAATGTTAGAGGACATGACTTTCATTATGAACTGGACTTGGGGCTGGGTAACTATCTCATGAAAAACAAGTTTGGCAAAAAGACCAACTTACTCTAAAATAGCCTAGACAAACATCGTTCAACTGACACCTGAGCAGAAGAGCCAACAAAAAGTTCTATAAAGCAAGTCCAGTGTACTCGTTTAAGAACCCCTATTCTTACTATTGAAAATGGATTCTAGCAAAACTATCAAACATGAATCTATTTGCTAGACTCAATCAACTTGAGTTCTTCTAAAAAAATTAGGATTTCAGCAAGGGTGTATTGACTAAATGGGGTACAATTCACATTAAGGCTGCATATCACCATGTAGAAGTTTCATTGCTGTTCAAGATGCTCTTATGATCCAATTTCCCGAGAGCGACGTAGCAATAAAAAGAAATGGAAAATTATCCAAAAAATGTGAAGAACATGGAACGAGTTCAAATTTGAACATGAATAATTTTTTGAACACAAAAAAACATTCATTGTCTCAATCCTGCTTATTTGGCATAGTGCTGATTTCACCACCTTTCATAGAAGTCATGATTACTCATTCATCCAAGACAGTTACATAATGATCTAGTACCATTTGATGGAGGACAAACTGGGCCTGATACTGCAACCTTTGAAGTTTTAATTTAAAAATTGCTAAGAATTCTGGTATCCTGGCTTTGAAGTTGGGTATACTTTTTGTGGACACCCTGCATTTAATGAGAGTGTAACAGTGTATTCTCAATAATTTTCATTGGCATTCGGTAACTATTGTCATCTACAATAAGAGAGAGATACTACTCTTATCTAGGAGAGATGTAAATAGACAATCACTATTGTCATCAAAATAATGTTTATAGGCACATAATACTGCCATCTAGAGATGTTAATAGACAATCACTAGACAATATACAGATATTTAGACTACAACAGCCATGTTTCTGTCGACCTAGTCCCTATGGACATGTTCCTTCTTAACACAATTGTATTTCTGTTGTTAGGCAGTTTAAGGTATGGTCCATAGGCTTAAAAACAACTTAAAATAAAGTGTAAATGTTTATATATAAAAATAACCCGGACATAGATCAAACAAAATAAACAGGTGTCACTTACTTGGTTTTTTACATAAAGCTTAATGACATGTTTTTCCCCATGTTATGAAATTGGAGAGTAGAGGATTAAAAAAATGTATATTTCCAAAACTGAATGACAGGACTTTTGCAGACTGTATGATCGAAAAAGCCATTATTGCATATTTTTAAAGTTAAATCCACCATATTGCATGGAGCCATCCATTGCCAGTTAACAACAATTTTAAAACCTCGGTGTCTTCATCACTGTTATATAATTTTATGTGATTTTCATGAATGAATACAAAAAAGTACACTCATAATCGCTGTTTATTAGTATTGTCTGTCAGTGAAAAAGATAAAACGACCAAAAAATGCTTACACGTGTCCAAGTTCGTGGGCAAGGCAAACAATACCACTGAAATGCGCATTTGCCTGACATATTGTAGCACTGTTCCTATCATGGCATAGACCGCCTTTCCACCCCCAGCCAACAGCACCACAGACATCTCTGAAAAATATAAATTAAATCAACATTCTCTCTTTAGGAGATGATCGGAATGAATCCAAATCTATTATGTGACACTATGCGATACATAAACGAATATGATGGTAGATATTGTTTCGATCTTACTTGACAAGAAAATGCGCCACGTCCCAAGCAGGTCTGTCAGCATGGGCTGCCTGGTAATCCGATACAGGACCAAGACCTTGGCAATCAGTCCTATCAATACCATACCACTGGAGCTGATATAGAATTAAACAAAACTAAGAATGTGTGTTCTAATCAAAAACAAAGCATTGAGAGGTCCGTGTTGGCTTGGTCGGACTTTGATTACATAAGGTTCATGGTGACAAATTAAACTGAAATTTAAACAGATAAATTAGAGTATGGGCACTCACTGGTGTATTTTCGTAAAAGAATACTCGTGTTACAGTGGTACTGATGGGATGCACAAGTTTGGGATCATGGAGGAAAGCACCGAGCTGCAACCAACATTCAGTAAACGATCATTCAAGACATAATCAAAATTACATGTATATTATGTTTGGTTATGGAAAATGTACAACTAAATTTTAATCACTAATTGCAATGCATGATATTTATGTAGCTTTCAGACACAGTCAAACTTTCCTTATGAATAATCATAGCCATAATTTGCCCATGGGCCCGCATTGGACAAGATTTACTGTAATATGATAGAATAAGGGATCTGTGATCTAGGATTGGCCATGAAAAGTGTGGTCATTAGAAATCATCCTGGTGTACCAGGCTAGTGATTCATGGATGTTGAAAAGTGTAAAGGCAAATTCTTACACCATTAATGAAAATGATGATGTAGTTTGTCATATCCTGTAGGTTTCCATTGTACACATTTGATATTTCTGCCGTTAGATTACCACCAATAAACACACTTGTCTCAAAATTTGCCGGTCTTTCCTCCTGGGATTCCTCCCCTATTTTAAACACAATATTAACAACGTTGAATTATATGATAATTAACACTTTTAAGTTATTTATCGAATTTTATAGAAACAACGGTAAGGAAACTTAGGTATAAGCCATTTTAAATCTGACCTGCTTCACAGACGTAGTAATAATCAGAGGTGGCTGAGTGACAATGGTCTACTTCCAAATTTGACCCGTCTTTGATTATTATACACTTCTGGTCCTTATCGTTTGTCATTCCCGTCAATTCGATATTGGTCGGCTGAAACATCATAAAACTGTATCGATGCGTCAACCTCACTCTGAAGTTAGGTACAGTATAAGGAACACAGATTCAAGAAACTGATAAACTTCGTTTGGAAACTGGACATAACTGAGCTAAATGATGAAATGGGGTTAACTCTGCATGTTCTGTTCAACGAAGAAGTAGAAATGATTTGAAATAATTTTAACTTCTTCTGTTGCATCTTTGGCTTTGTATTTCTTTATTGGGGAATGCAATCGAGAATAATATTTTGGCAATGGTAAATAAACACAAATCAAATGATAAATATCATTATTAGATCTGCCATTACCTTATACCAAGACCCAACGTCCCATGCCCATTGTCTTGGTTCATGTACACCAACTTCTAATCCACTTGTCATCCACCGTGATGCTCCAACTACAGTCGTGTTAGCAATTAGTTCCTTAACAAATGCATACTCGTTGGTAGTGTCAATACTGACTAATCTCGCTGCGAGGTTTGCGCATGCGCTCTTAGCTTGGACATGACCTTTGGCATCCTGACCAGAACTTAGCCAGTAGCAATGATTGTCATAGAATTTCCCGCCTTTGCTCTCACATGCTTAAATACACGAACCATCACATGAATGTAGTACGTTGTCTTTATCAATATATAAGCACAGGTACTAATGGGGGAATGCTCAAACGTATGTCAATCCCTAGTTTACAGAAAGAGCAAGAACATACAAAATCGATCATAATCAGTCATGTGTTAGCATAAGAAATTCCCAATATATGTAATAACCAAAACACCAGATAATCCAGAATTACGTCTCGTTGAAAACCCTAATTTTTTATGACTAGAAACCTTTGGTATTGGCATTACTTAACTAGTTTACGGAAAATCGTTTGGAGTTTTTGAAGTTATGGAGGATTTCAGCAGGGGGCGATTTTCAAGAATTTGTTGAAAATAAATTGCTACAAAGTATACACAATTATTTCAGCTAAAATATATCATTAAGAACCTTACAATATCAGAAAAATAAATTATAGGTTGTCAAATGTTGTTTTTGAATAAGATAATAAACTCCTGTATTTCTTTCTATATTTTGATAACACTCTAAATTTTGCTAAATTTGTAGAAATAAATCAAGAACTGTCTATATTACTGTTTCAAAGCAATGAACATAGGGGTTCTAAAACAGTGCATAAAATCTAAACGAAGCAACCTTAGACAATTTTGGTTGACACTATTATGCAAAACAAAGGGACATTCTTTTTTAATGATCTACAAAAATTAGTTTCAAAACTTTTATCAAACAAAAAAGTTCAGGATACATGTATGCATATATTCATTCATGTATTCAATATAAAGATAAAGCATCGAGTCTCAAATGATCTCGGAAGAGTAAAATCCAGTTTCAAAGACAATCTGAGTAAATCTTACCTGCCAAAGTCATGTTGACCACGCCAGGCGTATCTTCATTACAATATGGTATTTCGCAGTATTCCCATCGTTCATCTTTGTTGGTTGTGTAACACCATGGTCCTCCAGATGAGCTATCTGGATTTCTGAAAAGGCCCCACATATATAAAGTTTGAACAATGTTGACTTAATGTGCGAAGAAAATTCGAAACTCTCCAATTCAATTTCAAATATGGATATTGTTAACAAATTGTGAATCTATTTCCAATAAAATGTTTAAGCAATAGTCACGTTTACACAAACGCGTAACATATTGAGAAAGTAGCTTAAAAACTGAAAGCAGTTCAGAGAAAAAAAAACAATTTAAAATATCAGTTCTTATTGAATCCGATGAAACAAATATTGAACATCATAAGATTTATTTTCAATCAAGACAACAATGTTGCTTTATTTTGAAAGTTAAGCATATTTAAAGGGGGGATGTCGCCTAGGTTTCTCCCCCAAACAATCATTGTTGTCCCAATATAATTGTTCATGAAAGAGAACAAATTGAGGGCACAATATCACCAATATATTGGGAACACAACAGAACAACCGTCAGAACAACCAGCTGTCGGATAAAAGTTATATGAGAAAAAAATGAAAAAATAGTTTGCTTCCTGAGTGACGTCACAGCATTTCATCGATCACATCACAAATTTTAAAATTCAAATATTTGAAAATTATAAGATGAACAACTTTTGATTAAAAGTCATATTCTTAAAAAATACCTCGTTTTCAAGTCATGAAAAGTTATGAATGATTAGACTATTTTCTAACTGAGAACAGTCTCCATGGAATTGACAAGAAGTAGAGTTGTATTGTAATTATCATATTATGATAAAGGGTAACGGTTTTTGGACTTTAACCGAAGATGACCGGATATCTAGCCCCAATCTATCAAGGAATTTGATTGGTTCCTTAAGCGTCTTCGGCCATCTTCGTGATATGAACATCTTCGGATACAGTGCATCAGTCAAACAAAGAAACGTCCCCGATTATCTTAAATCAATGTGTCCATCCATGATTTTGGACATTTTTTCTAAAACAATGCCTTTAAAAAAATTGTTAAAGTGTGCGCCAACGTTTAAAACTGCGCAGGCGCAGCGCTCTCGCTAAACATATATAAAGAGATTACAAGGTACAGGCTTCAGAGGTAAGTAAGGAAGGTGAACAATCTTCATCCCATGTTGATTTCCCGTATAATCGTAAACAGGCAAGTTTCACCATTGAAATTGAAAATTACGTTGTATTACGGTATACGTAGTCCGATTTATCGGATATTTTAAGCTCATCAAATGCATTTTAACCTTTTTGGGGACAAATGCTTATTGAGACTTTTTAACATTTCAATAATCAATATTGTTGATAATAACAAATTATGAACAATATTAAGACTATTTTATCATTTAATAATGTCATAAATTATGATCACTGACCTGCAATAATTGGCTGCATCTCCCAGTGTTTCATCGGGGAAGTTATCAGGATTATTTCTAGTATGACTGTGGGGCGTTTGGCTGTCCCAGCGCTGGCATGTATTCCCTTTCGGAGTTATACTCTTCGTTCCGACATACTCTTGGCCCAAACTGGTTGCCTTACAATTGACGGCTATAGTAACACACGACATATTGAACTAAATTGAATTAAAATATGCTCCAGATCTCCTTATGCTTTCTCTTTCGATAAGTATAACCGATGCTGTTCAGTCTAGATAGGACACAACATAATTTATTCCAATTACCTGTTTTACACTCTAGGATGTAGTATATAAACCACTCCTGTCCAGGGGTACCGTGGATAGCTGTTGGATTGACGGATTCAGAACTTAATCTACATTCCCTTGAATCCATGTTATAATCACATGATTTACAAACAAAAGTTGTCTCTTGATGGCAAGCTGCTTTACAACCCTCCCTTGTAAGATTTGGCACCGATTTCTGGGGAGTTCCTGGCATTACTGTTCCGGGATATCGTTTAAATATTCTTTCCAGGCAAACTTTAGATAAAATATATAAATGATTTTGATATTACAAATAAAATTTGAATAATTCAAATGGCTTCATTTATATCATTGAAAGCCATTCATAAGTATTGCTGATTGCTAATCTTTTCTAACCTTTGTCAAACACTCTTCATGAAACTTTTAGAAGATGAGAAACATATGCCTGGAGGCATCATGCAATAATTCTATGAGAACCAGGATGGAATCATTAAGGTAATGGTTACTATGGTTATCATTGTCTTTGGCCTTCTGGGCCTCACAAAGAGTTAACTTGTAAATTGATTGTATTAAAAAATGTAAGACCATACATGTACATATAAAGTGAAAATCCAGTGAATATGAATTCTCAAAATCCAAAAAGGAAGACAAAAATCCAGATCAATGCTTTACGGAAATCCTTTCACTGCAATACAATACCTTCAGTTTGGGACATCATGTCGTCATTGTTTGGTATCATAAAGTCCTCTGTAGATCCCGCAGGATCTTCTCTCTTGGTTCTTTCTTGGAACAGGTCATCGTTCACGTTGTACATAACATGGTCATTCTCATAATTTTGATCTGAATTGTCGTTTGATGGTATTATTGCTTTCATGTTGTTCCCATATTTTATAAGCCCAATCTGGAAAAATTGTATCATTTATGATAAGCAGCAATCGGGACATCATATATTAAAGGTTGTATGTGATTTTCAATCCTATTCAAAGCTTTAATACATTATGTTGCTGTGTATATATAACACTGATTTTTACATTTAGAGTGGATATTCATCTTTTATTCCGTATAAAGAAGATAGAAATTGATACGATTTTGACGGAATGGGAGCTGTTACAATGACCCCTACTTTAAGCAATTTTCAGAGTGTTCGTCCAGTGTATTCAATGACATGAATGCGGGGCCCACCTTAATTCAATTCCAATAAAATTCCGGTTTTTGGTCTTATTTCTTGAAAGCATTATCATACGCTATTATTATCATATATTTGTATTAATATGAGGAATCGATTCCAATATGATAGATCGCTTATTTTACCCAAGTTAGAGTTCATTTTGGATATAAATGTGAAATAATTTGGGGGATCCACTAACAGTTTGGGGGTTTCTCCAAACGAGCAACAGTTATTCCACGTTATATTCAACTCACTGAAGTATTCCTGTTTTATTATCATCATTTGATATTATTATTTGAAATGTACTGTACACATTATTACTATATATTCATATTATTGGACATTAAATTGTACTTAATTGTTAATTGTTCCCACCCAACCCCCTCCACCTCCTATCAGATATGACTAACTTACCCAACTTGCTAATGATATTATTATTTTATATTAAATAAATTAATTTCACCAACACGAATGTATTTTGTTCCGTTATGATTAGCAACTGAGCAGGTCAAGGGAAGAGACACAGAAATGATGGATTTCAGTTAAGTCGTACATATGATTCAAACGAAGTTTGGGAGATTGCTTCTACACATAGTGTATCTGAGTATAATATAAGTACAAGATACAGGCCTACCATCTTGCCATCACACACTGTGGCTATCACGTGACCGCTGGACTCTTTGCCATTGATTAGAGACATTGTTTTCCCGATGTATACACAGCTTTTGTCAAATGTATGTTCTTCACTCCCATCTTGGGTGATGTAAATGGACTTAAATTCTGAGCTCGCTAATACCCTAGCATCCCTTTTGAGTCGTACATCGTAGGTATCATAACCAGCCTGGGAATTACAGAGATGATTAAATGAGTATATTCATTGTTTTATTAAGCATTAGACACAGTTGTTACACACAAGAAGACGAATAGACGAAAATATCACAAGTGGATAATATCAACATAATAAATGGCTTCTGATTTGACTTTGATCTATGCCCCCCTAGCATCTTAGCCGAGCTACCCTTTGTGCCCAGGTACTTCTTTGACTGCCATCTTTACAATGACACCGTCCTAGCAATTATAGTCTCTTCCTATCATATCCCTAACAAAGTCAACATCTTCCAACAATCGCATCCTTCATCAAAGGACTTCATTTATGCTTAAATTCAACCCTTCAGGCCAGGTAGTTTCATTTTAGCTCATTGGTGGAAGTAGAAAAATGCTTTTTCCGCTTTCTCCAATCGCAATGCTCCATACTGAATTCAATAGGCATGTTTTGCTCTTCTTCTGTTCATGTCCCCGTAATGATATGCAAATTACTTTCAATTACTATTGATTGGATTATTAATAAAAAATGCATCCAGACTGGAGCAATGAAATAATTAGTGAACATATAATGCCTGTTTATCACTGTCATTTATCTTTGAATTGAAAATTCTTTGTTGATTTATACCCTGGTGGTTATTAATACTACTCGTGCCATTACGACTGGTGATACTATTTGAAAGGAAAAAGTTCCTACTTTTGAAAAAAATCTTTTGATTGTCACAATCACATGTGCTGGAAACAATCGAAACCTACCCGTATCGTTAGATGAATTTGTTCCATGGAATCTCGAGACTCCATATTGCGTCTCAACCTGTGCGCATTGACAAGACTCCTGTCCATGTTCGCACCTGTAGCATCGTGAACAGTGACGCTCGCTCTAATGTTGTCAGCAGGAAGGTCACCATTACACACCATAACAAACTTTATTGAATAAAGTATAATATTTTCTCACATTCTATTATGGTCAGCAACTAGCTCACTGAAATATGATACCAGAGGGATTTTTATCAAATGAAAGATTTTCCAAATAGCCTAGCCATTAAGCCGGGCTCTTAACGAAAACTGATGTAGTCTTTTATCTCATGTATGATCGAAAAATGCAATCTAGAGATGCATGTGTCATATATGATGTCTGTACATTTATAATATTAAAAACTACAAGGGGAAGTTGAGAAACTCAAAATTAACCCTTATGTGAATCAATCGAAACCGTATAATAAACAAATACTGGATGACCATGAGGTGGATATGCCAGAATACCTATCCGAGGAAAAAAATACTAGGCGAGGCGAAGCCGAGTCTTGTATTTTTTTCGAGGTGCATTTTTTCGAGGTGCATTTTGAAGAATACCTTATATTTTAAAGAATGGGTCCACTAAAACAGAAGCCGAGCCTAGTAATTTTTTGCGAGGATAGGTATTCTGGCATACGGGATGGTTGGAGATCTCGTTGCTTCAATACTGGATATAACGAGATCTTGCTGCCACGTATGGCAATAGACCCTGTAGCTCTTAACCAATCAGATTTGAGTATTTAAATGAGGTGCATAATAATGAATGATATCTTGCTATGTGAGTCGGGGATAATCAATATATAAACCACCCACACATTTGAAAACTGTGTCACTCAAATACTATAATGTCTTATTATATTGAGAAGAAGAATGAAATTGAATGAAGGTCTTACCAATATACTCGATAACAGAACAGCTAACCTGAAACGATATTTAGAGAGAATAGCATTGCAATCTTATGGTCCATTTAACGACATTGAAATTCTTTTAAAACATTTAAGTGTAAAGGTTGTCTTGTGCCAGAACGACAATAAGAATACAACGCAAGTGAGAATCAAAAATGAAAATAGGAACATATATGTGACAAAAAAAACAAATGAAATAGAATATGTAGCACCCGAAAGATATACATTTTTACACCGAAATGATAACGCACCCCTATTATTTTATTTCTTCATTATCATTGAAATTTTTAGTTTATCAATGTCACGGTGGAGAACTGAAACGGCATGTATACTACTTATTTCATCTTAAAGTCGCTTTATTAGTGAAGCTCATTTTTCCAAATCTAGTTACCTCAATATGAGGGTCCTAAATTACTTTCATGAAAAAAGTTGTGTTTGGTCATTATTTATTGTTTTAAGAAAGATTTATGTAAATAGCTATCAAAAAACTTGAGTATTAGCAAAACAAAAAATCGGTTCAGGGGACAAAATTGTGAGCTGCTTTCATGCCATTTTTGAAATACCTTTTTTTACAGGGAATGAAAGGTGGTAAAAATGTATACATTTAGAGCTTGGGATTGTACCTATAGTTTTCCTAAAAGAATTGAAGTTTTTGATTCACTAGTCATTGAGAAAAAAAGTGATGCTATTTTCAAATTTGACATAGAGACTAGAGAAGCGTGATTGTCCGTAGGACTTCAGCGAACCCCTTATAGTTTCTACATTGCTTCCTCTATGTTATGGGGGTATATTTTAACTTGCGGAATAGAAGTAAGATGCAAAACATATTTAAGCTTGGTTTTTAAAGGTTTAGGTTTTTTAGTTTCTGGAGTATTAAAAAAGCAAAAGTCTATTACAACTAAACTAATTCGATAAAGCAAAAAAATCAAAGTGATAACGAATGACTCACCACATTTTGATGCTGATCGTGCTAAATGCAGATCTTGACAGACATATGACTGAAATACATAATTTGATATATACTACCAGTTTGATTTATTTTATTAATATTTATATCACACTGTATTTTGGTCGATGTGACATCGGATACTTTTATAAAAGTGAGGCTAAAGTCAATAAATAGCTAAAAAACTACAGAATGTACTTTGCCCCATCCATTCATCCATTCATTGATTTTCTAGAATTTTTACCAGAGATAAATCGCCTCAAAATGCTTTTTAATATAAAACAAGAAAGGTCATCTATTCTAATTCTAATAAAAAAATGCAAATGAAGACGTTGAAATAACGAACAAATGACAGTATGAGTGTCGTCCGGACGGTATCGGTGCTCCTGTAAAACCACTATCAAAGCTTTATCTGAACAAAATATCAAACAGAATCCAATGCTAAGAATGACTTACCTGACTCCGAGTGGTCCAAAATGCATTTAAATTATCAGCCATCGTTGATTGTATTTAAGGCCTGGAGATCTTTGATGAGATCAAATGGATAAATTGCTTCTTTGTAGTATGTTTTTATGGTCACAGACAATAATTGTTTTTATGGTCACAGACAATAATTCAAAATTATCAATTAAAAAACCATTTGCTATTATGAGATTTTATACAATGAGCATAGCTAAATTTGCTTTTTTATTTATTTCATTAGCCATGACTGATATTAAAAATGTTTAATATCACATTTAGATTCTTACAAAGTAATGTTTAACCAGCTATCCTTTGGAGTATACGTCTTCATTGTAATAGTTCTTATATGTGAATTCATGAAAATATTTTTTAATTCCGCAATGCGTTGCATTTGACATCGACTATGGCAACAAATCAATGTCACGGTGGAGAACGGAAACGGCATACCTACTACTTATTTCATCTTAAAGGAATATTCCTTGCCAGACCCTTTCTCTCTTGATATGGTAGCTATAATCATATATATAGTTTCCATATTTAGCAAAACATGGGAAAATGTTTTAATATGGTCAATATTGATCATTTAAAAATCTTGTGCTCATTTCCAGTGAGCTGCCATCTTTTAAGATTTCTTGCAGGAAGTGATGTCATCAACTCTCAACTTCTATAACCTTGCCCATAACAGTATAGGAAAGTAGCACAAAATCACTTCTAAACAAGTGATCATTACTTTCTGTGCAAAAATATTTTCAGGGCTTGTCAACTTAGAATAAAAGAAGAGATTTTCAGAAGGATTAAATAAGATACAAAGTTGAAAAAGAATATTTAGCTGGTTTTGTAATTTTTAAAAGCTCCTCACCTAATGCTATATGCAAAGTTGAGAGTCGATGACATCACTTCCTGTGTGAAATTTTAAAAGATGGCAGCTTACTGGAATTGAGCATCACATTTCTAAGTGATCAAATTTGACCATCAAAACATTTTTGCTTGTTTTGCTAAACATGGCAAGCATATATATGGTTATAGCTACCATATGAGGAGAGAGATGGTTTGGCAAGGAACATTCCTTTAAAGTCGCTTTATTAATGAAGCTCATTTTTCCAAATCTAGTTACATCAGTATGAGGGTCCTAAATAACTTTCACAAAAAGTTGTGTTTGGTCATATTTAAGTCGGTTTATCCTAATTTGCCGTTTATAAGGGTCATTTGAGACCAAAGGTCATATTGAGTCAATTTTTGTGTTTAGTAAACAAACCTCTTCAGGTCGTTTTAATCCATCATATGGAAAATTACTTTTTCTAAAACGTTTTTCTCTCAAAAATGGACAAAAATTGAAATCCCCCTTCCCTTTCTGTTTATGGAAGCCTTTTTAAGCAACTTTTGTAACTAGCAGACTTCCGTTATGTCATCTTTATTTCTGACACTCCCGTTTCCAATGGTGTATTCGAACCATGGGACGGTACCAATAACGTTTCCCTATGACCCTCGTATGTTCAGCTGATTCATTAAAATGCAATTGTTTGTACTGACACCACTATTATACACGACTGTTCTGGAGCTTGTTGAACCTTTTCAAATTGCTTTATTGTTGTCGACACTTCTTGCGGAGCTATTGTCTTGGAAATATTGTGTTAGATATAAATAAGACACTGTATTTACAAGAAACACACGGGATATATTAATTTATAAATATTTTTAAGTTATTGCTATGAAGTTATCAGGGTTTTTCTGATACAAATCTATTTGTTAGAGATTCTATTGATTCGGATTTCAGTTGATCAGAATACGAAGAGTAAATATCAATTTTCAATATATGCTTAAATTGTTTAGTTAGAAACAGGTGTTTTAGAATTATAACTACCATTTAGTACATCTCTTTATTGTCTAATTTGAGTCATCATTAAATTTATTTTCAACTAATGTCTCTATTGATGGAATTCATTGCATTTTAGATTTCAACGAATCCATTTGTTTTGCTGAATAATATACACAACCACAAATAAGTTTTAAAACAAAATTTTCTCATTGATTCTCAATCAATTTTTCAAGACAGATTGCTAAGGATAATTCAATGCTTTTAAAATATTTATCTATATGTTGTGACCCAATCAAATCTTCACCCATTTAGGAAATATTCCTTTTCTCACTTATCCTAAAGATTCCGCTAAAATGTTAAAAATTCTGATAATAATATATTTTCAATTATATTGAATGTTCAAAGATAATGTTTCCATAGTTGCATTCCAAAAAGTAGGAAAGTAGGTATCAAGTGAAACTTTAACAAAATTTTTAATAATCTAAATGCTGGAGCCAATAAAATTCGACTTTAAAGTTATTTCTTACAACCTGATGTAAAAAACGTGTCATTTCCAAACTAATATTGGGGGTTGTTTGACGCATTTATAAAGGAAACAATGCAGCTCGGATCATTGGGGTTTTAATTTCTTCTGAGTAAGTATCTTTTAATTTTTTTCAACAAAAACGATATTTTTAAATTATAAAATTTTGTAAAGCGTTCGCCCTTTAGCATTCTTTCACAATAATCTTATATACATATTTAACAATCCTTTTTATACAGTTTTTACGAGAAGAGTCATAATTTTTAAGTACTAAATTAATTCTAGCGCATGTTAAAGGTAAGCATTCTCGTTTTGGAGACTAAATTATATTGAAATGCCCAGTCCAGCTATGACCTAATATTATTTCGAGTTTCAACCATATGTTAGTTTTGAAGGCATGCTTCAAAAATAACATGACAGCAAAAAACAGTAACAAAGGCCGTACACTCGAGTGTATACGGGTACATAGAAATATACGGGTACATAGACGTACAAGTACACCACAGCCTTTTATACGAGTAGTTAACCACTCAGTCAAATACCCAGAATTACAAAACGTACAAACAAACTTGTCTGAACAAACTTGTCTGAACAAAGGCCGTACACTCGAGTGTATATATTTGACTTAGTCTATATCATTTATCCCCTTTTCTATTGTATTGTAAATGTATTGTATTGTATCTTGGTTACCGCCATATTTGGCGAGCAATATTTCATTGGTATATTCTGTATTTTTCGTATTTTACACTCGAAGACAGAGCCAGAAACCCCTCCTTGGAGGAGTCCTGTGTTCTTTTGTGTATACGGGTACATAGACGTACAAGTACACCACAGCCTTTTATACGAGTAGTTAACCACTCAGTCAAATACCCAGAATTACAAAACGTACAAACAAACTTATCTGAATCGGGAATCGATCCCGGGGCCAGGCGATATAGTAACCTTGACTGCCACTGAGCCATAGCGGGTGGACTCCTACAAACTAATTCTAACATTTACAATACAAGATAATCATAATTCGTTAAGCTATTTTTCATAAGAAATAAGAACAGGAAACATTCAAAATAAAATAGGTTCCATAAAACTTCCATGATAACTAAACCAAGGAAACTCTGGATTTCAAGTATCTAGTATGCAAACATATAAAGTTCCGAAGTTGTATACATTAAATATACACTCGTCGGCATAGGGTGATACATGTACTTACTCAAATGGATGGTAATATTAACCTTTAATTTTCTTTCATCATTAACGAAATTGTCTTACATAAAGTACTCGTATATTGATAAAATTCTCCTTGTAATCCAAAAGATTTTTGGTATTACAAGCAAATTCATGCATAATCAAAATTTTTAAAGATGCAAAAACTACGATCAAGAAAGAAATGTCCACAAAATAAATCCTAAAATCGCTTATCTAACTGCAGGAGGTAAACAACAATGGCAATTGCAAGCAGGATTATCATCCTTGTATGTGTTCTATACGAGAACATTGAAACAATCTATGCCACACCAACTGTCTTGTCTATATCTGCCCAGCATAACAGCCCTGGTGCAGTTCCAAATAATTGCTATGGGACGCTACTGACGCGAACGGTTATATTGGTCCCGGCGACGTGTGTCTATGATCGAAAACTTGGGAAACCGTATCGCATGATTAAAGTGAATACCCAGTCTATTGGCAAAACAAGATCAGCAGTTCATGTCTCTCCTACATGGTTAAAGAAGGGGCATACTTCGTACAACCTGGCTTTGGTTATAATACCAACCCAGAGGAGCACGCCTACGACTAAGTTAAAGTGGAACCCATACACAATTGAACAACTCCAAGTGAATTTGAAGACCCCTACAAAGAAGTTTACTGGCTGTGTTAGCTTGAAGAAACTGGGGACTGCTTTAGATGAAAACAAAGATCACTTCATTCCATTCAAATGCACAAATTTAGCCACACCTGAAAGTAAAGGTGGCCCTATATACCAGACCAACAAAGGTGTCGATGAGGTTTTCGGATTGTATAATGGAGCTTGTACTATAGGTTGGGGACTTAGAAGTAAAAAAGGACACTGCGGTGTAAGAGTTACAGAGAGAACGTACAAAGAGCTGTGTGTTGTGGCCAAGACGAAAGGTCAAACCATAAATGGATGTGAAGATGTTCTTCTGAACGAAGGTACCTTAAATTTCGATAGTAGGATTAGCCTCAATTAGAAATCGTTGGGTCATCAACCATGTAAGAATAACAGAACAATGAACTTAATTGCTCCCCATGGCTATTCATCTGAGACCTCGCAAATATATAAAGCTGTTGGTACAAATAAGTACTATTAAGGAGAGGACTTAGAATAGGCGAAAGCCTCTTGTCCGATCCATTTCGTCCAATTGTATTAATATAATGTATGTAAAACTTATAGACGAATAAAATATTTTTAATAATTTTAATAATACTATAGGCATTGCATTTTGTTTTGAATTCTAAGTAACTAAAATTAAGAATAAAAGAATTGTACAAGTAAGAAACAATAAAAAGCGCAATTATGTCATGTTCCTACATGTTTATAGGTTCAGGAGACACAACTCCAACAATTATCACAACAGCAGCTGGCTATACCGCCGTTGTTAATACACCCAAATCGGAATATGGCATCTTGCTGCAAGTCTGTCCAGCAAAGGGTATTTTTAAGAATTATTATTGTGATATGCAAATTGCAATCAAAGATAGTATTTCATTTCTTAGTCATTTGTAAACATGATTGGTCCAAAATGCCTGCTTTCCTTGGATGACAAATTCATAGGAATCTCCTGGTTTGCTTTCTAGCACTGTTACTGTTTACAGGATGTTGCGGCTCAAGGATTGAACAACTGCAGCGTTTGCCGAATGTGTTCAGGGACACGGTGGTGCGCCAGATCAACATGGTGAAATTCAAACTAGACGTGACTGAAACCCCTGCAATGTTCTATCGGCCAAAGGAAAAAGATTCCTATCTACAATATGAGGGAACGCACGGTGACTTTGAAGAATGGAAAAATCAGTGAGTCGTTCAAGTATTTACAGCTATGATTAATCGTTTTAAGAAGGGCAATATACGTAAAATATGAAACCTCTATAAAATGAAACTACTCTCGGTTGAAAAGAGTATTTAATCGAAAATAAAACCATATAAAGACTGATGTGAAATAGAATACAATTGCTTATTATAGTAAAATAGAATAGAGTGGACAATTCAGTTATACAAATGAAGTTTATATTGTTTTCCAGAATTTCAAAAGAGATAGCTGCTGGTAAGTCCATAATATTTATGTTTAGAACAACTGTTTAAACATATATTTGTTTCATCAATATAACATACACAGCACAGTACTTGTATAGGTTAACCTAAATAAGACTTAAATACTGGAGCAAGCAAGCATTTTGTTGCATTGGTCAACAATTGCCCAACTAAATTGAAATATAGTAAATTGCCCTGTTTGTATGCAGTTTATGTATTACCGGTTATTTTTTGTATAAAATTGGATTCTGTTCACATTAATTCTAAAGACCCAAAGTTTGAAATTATGTTTTTATCATTTAAATTTACTATTTTTCATGACTAGAAATATTAAAAATGAGAGACATATTAAAAATGAAAAACAATTAAAGCAACTCTCTTTGGGCCCTGCATTTTAAAATCACAATGGCAGGAAATAGATTCTCCAAATGAAAACTGAGTAAAACATTATAAACTGGGTGTAACTTGCTCCGCGGTACCATTGTTCGTGTTACCAACTGCGGCAACCATTGATTAACAAAAATGTAGTGGTGAACACTCAAATTAAGTAAAATATAAAATAAAGATTTTAGAGATATTGTAACAAGTGGTTCATTTACTTTCACTTTCATTTTAGACTACGGTGACATATTCTGATGTTTTATAATATTAAGTAACCTTTAAATCTCTCATAATTAACAGTCAACATTACAGGCAGCTGGTGGGGGTGCTCCTTGCTTCTGATTGGGTGATAGTGTTATTACGTTTTCACCAGCAATCACAATGACCAATTGATCATGTGACCAGGGTCTGAAGCAAGGAGCAGGACCGGTGTCTGTAAGTCAGTTGCATTCTTGGTTTTGAGGTGTCAACGCCTGTTCTTATTTGATATTAATATTTATACTTTACTGTCACAATACACAGAATATTATTTTATACCTGATAAAGGATATATAAACTTACATTGAGTGTTTGTTTGTTATTGATAGCAAGGGGTAAACCAGTAAGGGTTTATCAAAAAGCACGTCTTTATTGAGACAGGTGAAAATAACGCTACCACCCCCTCCCACATAGAAAAATCTCGAACGAACCAAGGCCCCCGCTTCAATATTTCAGATGAATTTATGAATGTATTTACGTTCTTCCATTAGGCACCCGCACAATCTGTATAAAAATATAAAAAATATGGAATTTGCAGGAAAGATTAGAAGAGGGATAGGAATTGAGGAAGAAGGAATAGCACATAGAGTTAAAAAAAGAGGCAGGATTTCAATTATACAAGGACGTACTATAGCTCATACATGTTTAGGATCAAAACAGTCACAAGGTACATTGTGATTTCTATCAAAACGTATAGCTAGATTACGGAAATTTACAATTCTGAAAATATATTGGACTTTGTAATAATTGTTTCATAGTTTTTAGCTGAATTAACAGAACAAGTGCAAACAAACAGGTGACACGCTCATGTCTTGGAAAATCACGTTAATCGAGCTGTACTATAATATCAAATTACAGGTTGCACTTCTTGCATTTATCTATTTTAGATGTACCTGAAAGCAATTCTGTACCATCATACTGCAAATATGAGATTTGGAGACCTGAATTCCGCCGGGAGGAACCATATCTAATAGATCTTGATATACGCCAGATGAAAGGATACTGCACGTTTATGTGCCACCCAAGATTGATAGATAATGTGAAAATATTGTACTATGATAGGGTTTATTATAACATACCTATGATGATGTATAGTGCAAAGTGTACACAAGACAGCGGGCCAATATAAGTTTTGAAAAGCCCGCGCCCGCTAACTTTCTGATTGGTCAAGGCACTGACGTCATAACCAATCAATCGAAGATAAAACTGCGCGAGCAATTTTTCTAAACTCATTTCAATCATTTTCAAACCATTTGTTTGTCAATTCTATAAGAAAATGGTGCTCTCTGACCAGTCTACATCATCATAGATATGTTATAAATCGTTTATGTCACTATCGTGGCACATATGCCCTCGGTTCTCAGAGATCAATGTCCCTCCCAAGGTCGGGCCATATATCACTGAGACCTCGGGCATATATGCCACGATAGTGACATAACCTCTAACTATAAAATGCATGCAAATATCTTTCTCGCCATCGTTAACTAGTAAAGCCTCTTTGTGACAACATTATTTATACATTTTAAAATAACAATATCATTGAAACATCTTCAGGGTGCTTGTTTTGTGACGGTTGATATTGCTGACTACACAAAGGCTGATGAGTGTATTGACTATTTGGATGACTATGGTCTCTGTCAGGTAACTGGTCAAGTCGTACCCAAGACAACTGGTACCCAAGACAACTCGTACCCAAGACAGCTTGTACCCAAGCCAACTCGTACCCAAGTTTATGTTTTTTAATCAGGTGTATGACTGGGAATGGGTATAGATATATGTATTATAATTGTTCCATACTGTTCAGAATAGTTTGTAAGAGAGCTTTGGTATAATAGATTTTATTTAGTGACATTTTGAGCTTTGAAAAATTAAGTGTAAATTAGGATATTTTGACTATTATTTTATTTTTTAGGGAAGAGACCTGTGTTCAAAATCATTTTTCAAAATATTGGTGGTATTTTTGCATGTTTATGAGTGTTTGCAATGTGTCAGATCTCATTCATCTTTTTTTAACATGTAATTTATTTCCTTTATAATCAAAAATACACAAAATATCTACAACCAATCGCCATAGGCATTCTAGGTAGTTTATATAACAACTATTTACCGATCGCTGTTATGATCACATGTTTTCCAGTTATTCTGGGCATTAGATGTCTGCAAATTGAGTATTCTATCCAAAGATGGTGCTGTAGTATACCATTGAGGTCCCCAAACAGGTTTTTAATAGAACTTCATAATGAATGAATTCAATCTGTTAACTTACAGGGGAAGCCAGATTGTAAAACCAGGAAAAGACCAAGAGACAAACGATTCGTTGATGATCATAAGTAAGTTAAGAAAATGTTTTGAGGTTTTAACAAATGTTTACTGGTATGGATATCTAAGCACAAGTGCCAAAGGGAAAGGACCAAAAGTTGTAAAATAACTTAGCAAGAAAAAGCAAACTCTAAGTGCATACCAGTCAAGAAAAAAACATATATCCCAAAACCATGATCAAACGTGAAAAGAAACAATGTCTTATACCCCCTTCCCCCACCATTCAAGACAAGACCCGATAACACAATCCGAGACCAGAACACCCAGGGACATTTCATTCATACTGAAGTTATAACAATAAATGTTGAAGAAAAAATTAGAAATTGATAGCCAATACTCATAACATCAAAAATAGTTGTAGATACAAGTACTCATACAAGATAGAGCATTCAGTCTCAAATGATGTGGGATAGAAAAAATCCAGTATCCAGGGGATATTTATAATTAAAAACACAGTAATACCTCGTCACCAGCGTTCAGACAGAATAGTGTTGCCAATATTGATTGTATTCCAGCTGGAAAAACTGCAAAGGAAGCTTTATTGGAGGGAAAGCACCCCAGTTTAAACCTGCAATGGCTGATAAAAACATTTGTCAGGTAGGTGAGAACATGCAGTTTATTTAGTTAATTAATCAATGAGATTATTGAGAGATCATTACGTTGATTTCTGTTCAAACATATCTAATATACATTGTATTGTATATTGTATATTGTATTGTATTGTATATTGTATTTGGAAATATTGCATGTGGATAGAATTTCTCTTTATTGCAGGACCACAACACCGGAAATCGATTTTATTATGCAACATTATACTCGACTTCACAGAAAATACCAGCATGGTCGGCTTACAAAGTTGAGGATTTATGTACTTCAAAGGACAGGTCATCATCTTGGAGAAAGGAGAAGGGTCTGTCTTTTTACCTCTGAAATTTAGATTATCCCCGTAAATAAGATGGTTTTCTGTAACAATATCAGTGTTTATTCCCTTTTCCGATAAAAAATCATTGCTATAAATTATAATTATTTGTATAATTTAGACTGAGGTATTTTGTTAGTTCTTTGAGATATTTAGTTAATTTTACTTTCAAATGACATCAAGGTATTCTTTCTAATATCTGTCAAATGTTGTTTGTCTCTAAATAGTAGATAAAAATATTTTGTTGCTTTATTGAGAAAAAGTGCCTCCTAAATTGTTCGTTAAAAGTCAAATGGTTACCTCTTGTAGAGATATGTAGCAAGTTGGAAAACATGTTAAACTTGAGAAAGAGCGTTTATTTGATATAGAACAGTGGTCTGCTATCACGGGTTTGTGGAGAGGTGGTTCATTATGAAGCTCCCTGTATAATTACAGTCAGTGTATGTTATAATTGTAGAACTAGACTGTAATGATCAAGCATCAAACGATGATTATAAAAGTTCTGGATATCACAAAGGGCACCTGAACCCAAACGCTATACATAACTGTGACGTTAAAGTCATGAAGTCTACTTTCACACTCACAAATGCTGCACCCCAGGTATATAGAGGATATCCTATGATTTTTGAAGGATACCATTTTTAGTACTTTTTTAGAAAATCATAGGGTATCATTTTTATCCTATGCTCGCTAATATCTATGAATTTAATTTAACAAAATGATTATGCGCCAAAGTTGCGCATACCAAATTTGTCTTGTGTTATATATATGTAGTACCGGTATCCATCGGATGCAATTCTATATGATGTTATCTGCTAGATCTTGATTTGATTCCTGCAACAACGATATGCACCTTAATAGGCTATAAATTATTGAGAGAACACAATGAATGAATACCCGAAATTGAAAATGTACCTATGAATTCTAACTCTTGCTGATGTTTCAGATCACTTGTTTACTTTTTATAGCGTCCCACGTTTAATAGTGGCAGGTGGAATGCACATGAAGGAAAGACGAGAAAATATCTCAAAGAGGAATGTGTTAAAAACAGTGGGCATCTATACCTTATAACTGGTAAAATAACCTGTTATGCTCTCAAAACATGTGTTTCATTTAGTCAGTTCAGGATTTTCGGTATATCTTTGAGTTACCGAATCAACAATTGTCGGCTCAAAAGTTTGAAAAAGGGAGTAAGCTAGCCGCGCCCCCTTTGTCTTTATCCTTCCAAAGCCCTCTCGCAAACGGCAGATAAGAGGGGCTCTGGCATACCAGAATGGGGAGTCAGAGAAACACGGTAAAACATTACATTTGTCTGGTACATGTAACTTTTTACGGCTGTGATTTACAGGTACCCAAGAACCTTTTAGCGGAACTATTGGAGCGGGAAAAGTAGGAATACCAAAGTAAGCATTTTTAGGAGATTATTGTAATTGGTCTCAACGATTTCATACATAGGCCAATGAAATGCCAACTGGGGTTCCTAATCACCCAAAAAATCCCTTCATTCTATTTATTTTATAGTACAATAGTAACAAAATATTAAACAGTATATATTCTTAATATATATATATCCATCTTCTTAATTCGTTCTAGATACTTTTGGACAGCTGGGTGTTGCATCCATAAAACCACTGGAAATTACATTGGATCCTTTGCTTATCGGAGTGAAAACAAAGATATTGATGTTGTATGTTATAAACTATTGTTATTGTTTGAGCATTTGTTAATCATTAGAAACTTTATATGGCTTGAATGGGAGCCACCTAAGAGAATTTCTTGAAAACTAGTCTAAAAACCAGTTATTTGTTATTAAACATTGACAATTCAGGTGGCCTAACCCAAATTTAAAATCTAACTTTCGTCAAAGAGCTTGAAATGTTCTTACCATTCAAAGTTAACATATAACATTGAAATTGACTTTTCTTTTCTTAGCCTTGGATGATCGTTGAAGGTTAATATAGCATGTATAGGTTATTTCCATCCTAAAGGACAATAATTGAAGTGCACATGTTATAAGGCAATAGTTATATTGCAACAAAGCATTTATAAGTCATTTGCTTATATTCAAGCCCTTGAATAAATAGTTGCATTTTTTCTTTAGGTTGTAGACATGGGAGTGAAGACACTCGAGGGGCACCTCAAAATGGGAAGTAAAGAGCTATTTCCCGGAAATATAAAGTGCTCCAAAAAAAGTTCTGACTTGAAATGATTACATTAACAGCAAGGCAGAAAAGACTGAACAATTCAAACATCCAAAATAGTTCTGTGTACTACTGCTCTGGATTTTTAATTAAAAAAATCAATTTGCATTTCATTTCTATCGTTGATGTAATTTTCTCAATTTTGGGGAAATCATGTTGAATTTCCTTTTGTGTAGATCACTTGATCAAACAATGGTGTTCAGGTGGATTCCAAGAGAATCACTATGAATTAGATTGGATTGAAGAGTTCGAGTATGCGAGGTCTGTACTGAGACTACCAGGTCGAGGTTAAAGGATTTAAGCCCAAGACTCAATGCAATTGTTTGCTGAATCATACCATGAAGGTGTTGTTTCCAAACCTTTGCATGACCACGCAGCGGGAATGCAAAGTATAGGAAACAACGCCTGTGTGGAATGAAGCAGCTACAATGCATTGAGTCTTGGGCTTAAATTCTTTTCACACATTGCAATTGTTTCTATAAAATCATCCAAAAGGAACGAAATCACTAAAAGAACACATTTTCAATGACAATTTTTGCAAGGGTCAAAATGGCAAGTCATCAAATCCAATGTGAAAAGTCCATTCATCACCATGACAACTGTTTAATTAGTGACCTTGCATTTGTTATTGATATTTCACACACTGTTCGTTATGTGAATACTCTGTTCGGATTGGCTAGCTATGTGTGAATAAATATATAAGGCTGTTTGCATACAATAGTACACTACACTAATCATTATGACAGAATCTAGAATAATGCAAATTGTGATTGGGAAAAATGATGCAGAATACTTAGCTAATAAGCTTAGCAGTTTTTGTTCCTCTCCCTTTGTTGACAATTGTGCTTAGATAAATATATGTCTCTATCACTGCTAATTGATGTTTCCCGTAATATCAGGATTGGTTCTCAAGATGTGTACTTTTAGTATCTCAGTATATACTGACAACTACTGGGCTATCCGTTATCTAATGTGTAATCTATCATTTCATAAAGACGACAACGATTTTATCACCGCTACTATCATATCGTCCATATGTCCCTTTACCAAGTTATCAAAGCAGTACCCTGAAGCGTAATTTCTTTCTGGTCGGGATGGACAAATTTTACAGTTTCCGATTCAATAACTGAATGACTGAATCTTGATTCACCCATTCCGATTGGATAAAGCTAGATCAAAGGATTCATCCTTATTAAAATGATGTGAAAGAGACTCTCCGTTTCAAGGAGAATTCCAACTATTGAAAAGGGGACAAGACAGGTCAGTTTGCTGTTTAGCACAATTTGATAACATCGTCCTATAAATTCATTATCTAGTGTAAACTAAGGTTAGAACTTAGAAGGTAGTTATTAGTATAGGGGGAACTGGATAAGTAAATGGATCTATAATTCTACTGAGTTTGCCAAAAAACTAGATAATCCAATTCCTGATAATTTGTAATTTCTCGCTGATATTTGACTTTGACTATTGTAGTTTTTTCGATACGAATGTTCTCATTAAAAAGTTTGCTATTTTTAGAACCAGTATGCTGTTGGCGGTGCTGTTCTCGCTTTGCTTGATTGGCGTTCAAGGTAAGAGAACAACTTGTGATTATAATGGAAATATTTAGAGTTAGTTGGTTAGTAAAGTCGCACGTGCACAGCTAGTTATCATTTTAGTATTTACCTGTACCTTTTATTATGAAACTTAAAAATTTGTGATATGTGTTTGCTTTGGCAGATAGATCGAATGTTAATTATTGGGAAAAAATTGGTATAATATCATATCAATTTTATGTTGCAAATAAGCGTTTGAAAAACTAGACTGTGAAATTTTATTTGTTGGAAACACTTTAAATTATAATTTTGTAATTGCAAGCTAACGATGCCTACAAGAGAGTATGTTACTACACAAACTGGTCGCAATATCAGGTAAGATTACAAAAATATGCGTCATTATATAAAATTGACAGATCACTTGAAATTATTTGGTTGTGATGTAAGGAGCGACAAAAACAGTTCAGGTCAGATTCATATAGAAGAGGACCTAAAGTAAATTGTGAAAAATATGTAAACCCACCAACTGGTTACTCAAACATGTTTATTGAAAATGTGACTTAGATTGAAGGGCGACCTTATATGATTATATTTTTTAATTTTCAAATGACACTTGATAAACAATTAATTCAGCTTAAGGGTGATATATTTTTAAAGTCCCCGTCTAAAGTTTGAAAATATGTTTTTATCATTCATTTACTATTTGTCAGGACTTAAAAAGTGATTTTAGAGATTTTTGAACAAAAAAAAAAATTTGAAAAAAAGTTGTGAGCATTTCATTTCTCAAATATTCAAATTTCCCGCCATTTTTCAAAAAAAGATGAAATTTCTTGATCATCAAATATTTCTTAATGCATTTCAAAAAGGATTATCTTTTTAACACCAATGCAAAGATTGGACAAAGGACACACTATTTCAATAATAAAATGCCATATTTAATGGGCCACTCAAATGTTTTAGCATATCAAAAATATTTTGAAACATTAGTGATGTCACTAAGGTACCAAAAACTTTTTGAAAAAAATTGAATTTTTTTTTTGATGTCAATCTTTTCTAAATATGTAAGATTTTCATAAAAAACCAATGTTGATTGTCTTACCAGGTTAAAAGGAAGAATAAATTATGTTTTAGATATCATTGTACCATTGGTTTCTATGATACGTAACTAAAATTTTGAAATGCATTTTTCTCAGAACCATTTTCATGCACTGATAAGTTCATTTCTCGCTTATTTATGAACCGATTTTCTTAATTTTTTCGGCAAAAAACATGGGAGGATGAATGCTATACATTGGTATGAATTGTGGCTAATTAGAAGATATGAGTGACCTCTAAAAGTTGGTTTTAAATAAATTCACAAATTTTGGAACAAAAAGTCTATCAAAAAACACTTTTCGAAATTTAAAAAAAAAGTTTCACATATCACACTTTGATAACATTGGGTAAGGCTACAATATAAGCCAAAGTGGTTTAAACTTTATATGGGGCCTTTAAAAGTTGCCACTTAATTTTCCTTATTATTAATTATAACGTATTTAACGTATGTTATTTTGATATACGAGGGATGATTCAAAAGTAATAGACAAAATAGTATAGACAACGGTATTACATCAAGAGAAACACATTTCAAGATATGGCACATCTCCCTCATTAGGGAGCGTATACTCGGAATTGGCTTTTTATGCACATTGGCATCATAATAACATGGATATTCGTAAAAGTAAGCTGGTGAAATACATTTTACAAGATGGTAGCATAATACGTTCAACCGTATTCCACTTCATTCGAATTCCTGATCATCAATTTAGATTCTATTTAATATTTTAATCATCTGTAATGGCACTGATTTCCCTCAGTCTCAATCTAATGATTGCATTTAAAGTCCCCGATAAATCGGGCTACGTATACCGCCGTGTTTACATTAGGGAATTAGAAGAGTTTATTTTTTATTTAGGTATGCACGCTACGTATATCAATATTAGGCCTTCATTCATGTACTCGTGCGCATGTAATCAGCATGCCCTTCAATATTATGTAAACCAGGCTATTCAAGTACTGTATAATGTACACTATTTATGTGTGTGCTACATACAATACAATTCCCTGGGAAACAAAACACAAATACTTTTTATATGTTCAAAATGAGCCATTTGATTGATGCAAACACTAAATAGCTTCATAAATAACATCTACAAAGTATATCTAATAGTAATTTTCAATTTCAATGGTGAAACTTCCCTGGTTACGATTATATGGGAAATCATCACGAGACGAAGATCGTTCGCCTTCCTGGCTTACCTCTGAATCGTGTACCTGGTAATCTCTTTATATAGTTTAGCAAGAGCGGTGCGCCTGCGCAGTTTTAAACTTTGGCGCACACTTTAAGATGGCTTCTGCAAGAAGAATAATGTTATCGTTGTTGTTATCAGGGGGACCAAGTCTGGTTTTCCAGATCGCTAAAGATTCAGTACTCTCTCATCACCTCTACTTAAGTGCTCGTATAATCTCTAAAGGCTTGCCTTGAAAAGACCTCGTCTCCATGTGTGTCTTTTAATTTACCTGACGACAGCCTGCCTGTGTCTCAAGTTGCTACCAATAAGACTATAAAAATTCTTTGTTTTACTTTATTTGAGATCGCTAAAGATTCAGTACCCTCTCATCACCTCTACTGAAGTGCTCTTATAATCTCTAAAGGCTTGCCTTGAAAAGACCTCGTCTCCATGTGTGTCTTTTAATTTACCTGACGACAGCCTGCCTGTGTCTCAAGTTGCTACCAATAAGACTATAAAAATTCTTTGTTTTACTTTATTTGAGATCGCTAAAGATTCAGTACCCTCTCATCACCTCTACTGAAGTGCTCTTATAATCTCTAAAGGCTTGCCTTGAAAAGACCTCGTCTCCATGTGTGCCTTTTAATTTACCTGACGACAGCCTGCCTGTGTCTCAAGTTGCTACCAATAAGACTATAAAAATTCTTTGTTTTACTTTATTTGAGATCGCTAAAGATTCAGTACCCTCTCATCACCTCTACTGAAGTGCTCTTATAATCTCTAAAGGCTTGTCTTGAAAAGACCTCGTCTCCATGTGTGTCTTTTAATTTACCTGACGACAGCCTGCCTTGTGTCTCCAGTTGCTACCAATAACATTATAAAAATTCTTTGTTTTACTTTATTTGATGAAAATGACATATTTCTTGGATGTGTGTAAATCTTTAAGTCTGGCTCATTTTCTTACTCTATTTGACTCACTATTCTAAAAACATTCATTGGGATGTAATACAGCACAATTTGCTGCTGAATTTAGACCTCACAAGCAAATGAATGTGAGTCTTCCTTGACAATTGATTTAGCATTGTGTAGACCAAGCAAGTTACACGTAACTGAAACAATAGTACCCCACACAAGTTTTTGATAATAACTTCGACCCGTGATTTGAAAACTCTATCCTTGACTATTTGTTATTAAATTTAGCACAAATAAACTAGTTGGAAATTTTTTTTTTTTTTTTACTTCAATAACAATAAAATTACAAGTAATCAAATCAAGGGTGTCATTAATGGGTTTTCACCCAATTGACGTCATAAAATCATTCTATGAATTGTTCATTTTAACAATTTTATTGACTTTTATCTCATTATCTTGTCAATATTCATCTTATTGAATTTCATCTCAAAGCAGTCCTGTATTTATGGTACTTATGAATATATGTTTTACTTGGGTTAGCTACCACTTGCAAATCCTTTCATTTATGTACTCAGAAGACTCTAATGAACTTAAGTAAATGTACTGTACAGCTGTAACGTCATAGTCATTCAAACAATTTAGCAATTTGGTAAAACACTGGTAACTGTGTAGCATTTTGAACTTACTGCCATTTAACCATTATTAATCATATGACTAAATAAAAATTGTCCAATGTTGGAAATTTCCTCTAGTTTATGTGTGCTAAATTTAATAACAAATAGAAAGGATAGAGTGTTCAAATCACGGGTCAAAGTTATTATCAAAAACTTGTGTGGGGTACTATTGAATGCTGTTAAATAAAAATGTCTAATCTAATCTAATGTCTGTGAAAAAATTAGACTGATTGGGTAAAGTTAAGTATGCCTATAAAATTTTGTCCATTACTTTTGAATCACCCCTCGTAATTGGTTCACAGACCGACCTATATCGTTTCATTTACGTTTCATAGGTGAAATTCTTCCCGGAGAATATCGACACTTCCCTCTGTACGCATCTCATCTACTCGTTTGCCAGTATGGAGGGCAACAGACTCAAAGCTTATGAATGGAATGATGAAAGCACGGCATGGAGCAAAGGAATGTAAGTTATCTGGTCAGTCATGGGCGTAGCCAGGGTGGTGCGATTGGTGCGAGAAAAGAGCTTTAAATGCTTTTTATTTGAAGCTTCTATTATCTGCTTATTATTTGAAGCTTCTAACTCAATTTTGAAGGAAGTTGCATCAAAAGAATCAAAATTGACTCGACTGTCAAAAGCGACTCTGCTTTTGGGTTTTTGGTGACTTGTATTATGAATGTCTTGAGTACTCAATAAGTACACACTGGCGGATGCAGTTGCTGGGCAAACATTTTGTAGGCCCTCAAAAATGGGCCTTTTGGGTATATTAGGCCTTTTAGCCCAAATTATCAAAAATGAGCCTTAAATTTCAGGGGGCCCAAATTTTCTCCCGACTCAAGATTTTGGGCCTTGTTAGCTTCTTGATTCGCCAGTGATACATGATCATATCAAAAATGTTACAGGTATGAACGGTTCAATGACTTAAAGAAAAAACAGAGGGGATTGAAGACATTATTGGCGGTAGGTGGCTGGAACTTTGGAACAGCAAAGATGACTGCCATGTTGGCTACAAAGTCAAACAGAGAGGAATTTACACGCCATGTCATTGAGTTCACTCGCAAACATGGATTTGATGGGTTTGACTTGGATTTCGAGTATCCTGGATCTCGCGGAAGTCCACCAGAGGACAAGCAGAGATTTACACTTTTAGTTAATGTAAGACTTTTTATTTGATGAATTTGTAAAATCAACCTAATTTTTTGTTTGGGCCAAGGCTATTTTAATACACCAAATGATGTCATACTGTATATTCTACTTTTTCCAAAAACATTTAAAATTGAAAAAAGCATTAATGAGGCATCCAATTTGTTTCATTTATCATGTTTATTGTATGTATTCGTTTCAGGAAATGCGTCGAGAGTTCCAGCACGAAGCGGTTCGAACTGGTCGAGAACGTTTGTTACTAACCGCTGCTGTGGCGGCGGGGAAGAGTAACATCGATAGGGGCTACGAGGTCGAGAAAATATCTAGGTGAAAAATAGGGAATTCCAAAGATATTCTAGAAACAGGCCAATGATCTTAAACATATTAAATCCGTTTTCCTAATGCTCTACAAGATGTGACGCAGAGAGGCCTCAATAACATCTCTGATCTGAGATAGAGCTATGTTAAATATACCTTGAATTATTTTAGATATTATGTAATCAGGGCCGTCAGATGGGGGGGTGCGATGGGTGCGACCGCACCCCCCTTTGTCATCCCCCAAAATAAATTTGAAAAAAAAAATTTGAATTTTTTTTTTTCATTGACTCATACACTTTGAAAGTACCCAGAAAGCACTAAATAGCATCTTAAAATTGTCAAATTTTCTAGGGGCATTGGCCACCCCTCACACCCCCCACAAAACAAAGGAAAAGTTCTAAATTTATTTTAGTGTTTTGTCTCAGACACTTTTAAAGTGCCCAGACTTCATCAAATAGCTCCTTGATATAGTAAGTGTTTCTGGGGGACTTGCTCCCCCGATTGCATCTTGCACTTGCATAACCCCTCCCCTCTGGCGCCCCCCCCCCCCGCTTGACCCCCTCAAAAAAAATTGTGATTTTCTCAAATTCTTTAATTGGCTCATACACTTTGAAAGTGCCCAGAAAGCACCAAATAGCGTCGTAAAATTGTACAATTTTCTAGGGGAGTGGGCCACCCCTCACACCCCAAACAAAACAATGGAAAAGTTCTGAATTTGTTTTATGTGTTGACACTTTTAAATTGCCCAGACATCATCAAATAGCACCTCGATAAAGTTAATGATTCTGGAAGACTAACACTTACTCGCCCTCTGGGATCCCCACTCCACCTCCCCTTCTGGCAGACCCCCCCCCCCTAACACCCCCCCCCCCCTTTGAAAGTGCCCAGAAAAGCACCAAATAGCACCTTAAAATTGTAAAATTTTCTTGGGAAATAGGCACTTTTAGGCACAGACACTTTAAAAGTGCCCAAACTTCATCGAATAGCACCTTGATATTGTAAATTTTGATATGGTGGACAAACACTTGCTCCCCCTCTGGCACCCCAGCCCCACCTCCCCCTCTGGCACCCCAGCCCCACCTCCCCCTCTGGCACCCCCCCCCCTTTGACACCCCCAAAATTTGAAAAAATTGTGATTGTTTTTCAATGTTTTTATTGACTAATACACTTTAAAAGTGCCCAGAAGCACCAAATATCATCTTTAAATTGTAAAACTTTCTAGGAGAGTTAGCCACCCCTCACATCCCCCAAAAAACAAAAGAAAATATTCTGAATTTCATGTATTGTCTCAGACATTTTTAAGTGCCCAGACATCATCAAATAGCACCTTGACATGGTCAATGTTTCTGGGGGACAACCCCTTGCTCCCCTACTAGCACCCCACCCCACTTTACCCTCTCATCCTCTTTGACACCCCCAAAAGAATTTGAAAAAAAATTCACATTTATCTTATTGACTCATAACGCACAGGCGTACCAGATGGTTGCAAATTCGCTCCAAATACAACCAAATTTCAAAATGTTCCTGGGGAACGACCCCAGACCCCCTGAATGCTCGGTTTTTATTCACTCAACTCTTGGTGGTGGTGGCGTACTACTTAGAAACTTACACTTTGAAAGTGCCCAGAAAGCACCAAATAGCATCTCAAAACTGTAAAATTTTCTAGGGGGAGTGGACCACTCCTCACGACACCCACAAAACAATTGGAACGTTTGGAAGTTGCATTTGTTAATTCCAAACCAATATAGAGAGTAACCGAGCCTCCCCCCCCCCATCTGACTGACGCGATTTGATTTACGCGGTAAAAAATTGACAATTTATATTCTCTCAATTTTTTTTTTGTCTTTAGTAAGCTTAAAACCGCACCCCCCTTGGAGAAAAGTGTCTTACGGGCCTGGTAATCGTTGCTCTTTTTTATGCAGGGATCTCGATTTTATCAATCTGATGTCATACGATCTTCATGGCAGTTGGGAAGATGTCACTGGCCACAATGCCCCTCTTTACCCACGCAGTAACGAGGTTGGGGATGAGAGAAATCTCAACGTGGTAAGTAGAGTGTTTCTTCTAGCTATATCATGCAAATATGTTTGCAGCATCTGCCAAGGTATTAAGTAGAACACGTAAACTTATCATTCCTAGAAATGTGTACCATTATATATGTTGGGTTAACAAGACAAAATATCTGGTTGGGCCATTTAACCCATGACTGCCGAACCATTGCTCAGTCCTCATCATACAAACTCAATAAACTTGTAATTCATTTGAATTTTTTAAAAAACATATTCAGTGTGGCTAATTTGAGAGTAGCTTTTTAAAATGAAAAGGTGAAACTCGGTTATAGCATCTTGCACTGATTGTTCCAGGCATGGGCAGCTAACTATTGGGTTGCACTAGGTGCACCAAAGAGTAAGATGGTCATTGGTATGCCTCTCTATGGACGAGGTTTCACCCTCAGAAGCAGAGCAGGAGGCAGCCGAATGAAGGCAGCAGCAGTAGAGGATCCAACCCTGGATCAAATACCAAAGAAGCGGGATACCTTGCATATTATGAGGTGCGTGGCATATTTTTAAATGAATGTTAGATGAGTTTTTTAATGCAATGAAAAAGAATTTATTTATCAATGCATTGTTGTGATCAGATTGATTGAAAACTATTGATAAATTACCATTGTTGTGGTTGTATAATAGTTATATTTGCGTGATTCAGCTGTGTTCCACGATAGCAAACGGGGGTAAAGTATTTTGGGATGACGAGCATAAGGTACCATACGTTGTAAGCGGTGACCAATGGATTGGGTATGATAATCCTCGCAGCTTAACACTGAAGGTAAAAATCATCCTACAAACGCAGGGGTATAACAACAAATACATCATATTATAGGCTACGCAATTCCTGTTTATTCTGTATATTGAAATCTTGTATTCGGTGAAACAAATCAATCTAATTCGATAATTATTCAATGCAGTAGAATGATGTATACATTGAATGCAATTGCATTTGCATACCATACATACATTTGTATACCATACATAGCCTAAAAGTACTACTCATGGAGATTGGTTTCAATCGCAGGTTGATTGGATGAGAAACAATGGATTCGCAGGGGTCATGGTATGGTCGGTAGATCTTGATGACTTTGATGGAACGAAATGTCGTTCAAGCACAGAGAGCTACCCTCTCTTGCGAGCCATAAACCGTGCTCTTGGGCCAAGGTAAGAATTTGTTTGTTTTTGTGATACAGGCCTAAAGTACCCTTGTTCCGTATGTTAAATGAAATAGACTTGTATAAGGGACCATATACTGTTTGTCTTCAGGGCTACTCCTGGCACGCGACGTCCTGGTGGTAGAATTGTTCGGACAACACCCGATATCCGTACACCCGTACCCAGGACTAGGCCTACGACACCAGACGATAGCACAATCAAAACACAAACCACAAGAAAACCCGATGGCACAACTCGGACTGAAACGACAACCCGCCAAAGTACCATGCCCCAATCTACTAGGCCAGGTAATCAATACATTCAGAGAAGCTAGCCATAGTATTTCAACCCTCGCACCTATAACCTTGAACTTTGAAACAATAAACTATAAGATAGTACTATCTTATAAATATTGGTGTTTTCTAAGAGAGCTCTTCTACATACAATTTTTCATTTATATTAGGAACTAAAGCAGGAACTTTCTGGCCTCATCTTATTTAGCTTTTATTTAGGAAAATTATGCCATGTTAAAATCTAATAATAATTTTATTCTATACAGGTGGTACCTTTGATTGTTTAAATGTGGATGACGGGACATATCCTAATCCTAATGACTGCACGGGATATGTGCAATGTAATCATGGAATCGCTCACATCATGCCTTGTGCACCGGGACTCGTGTTCAACCCATTAATGAAATATTGTGATTGGCCATACAATGTACCTAACTGTAAAGTAAACTAGCTCATTCATGTACTCAATTTAATTTGCTCGTATGTTTAGCTCACATGGTGAGCTTTTGCAATCACTCACTTGTCCGTCTGTCCGTCCGTCCGTCCGTCCGTCAACAACATTGGCACGTTTTAAAACCTCTTTCGATAGGATTCCAGTTGTAAGTTATTTTTGTTCAACATCAATACAGAAAACTCCCCTATCAAAAGCTCTCCTATTTTCAAGATGGCCACCATTTTTGTCTCGTGAAATTCATTTTTGACCCATTTCCTAGCTTTACAAATAATTCCAGGTGTCCTGTATTGTAAAAATCCATGTCAATGTGAAGAGTAGTTGTATGAAATAATTTTGTTCCAAAACATCAGCAAAAAATTATATCCGTTTTTTTATTCCAGCCATTTTAGTTAACATTGATCTGTCCATCTTTAATATCAATTTACATTTGTATTATAACTGTACATCGATGGTCGAAATCATCCTCAGAGTAACTGGGTCACAAGATCCAGAAACATTTTTACATTAAACCATATTTAATATAAATTTACATGATCGAAATCATCGTCTGATAACAATGGTTCCAAGATCCAGAAAGAATCCTTTAACACATGGAGCACTGGTTCCGAACTCAATGTCTGAGTATGTTCTAATAAAACGGGACAACAAACAATAATACTGACTATTCAAATTATGTTCATTATTATCTTATATGAATAAAGTGATAAATAAGTGATGAATAAGTTAAATGAATAAAATTCAATTTAGTCGCATCTTTTCATAACTTGTCCGTTTATGACCTAGTACTGTATGAGCGTCGTCATGAAAAGCATTGGTTTCCAACTCGTTTAGCGATGTCCGGATTCCCCGTAATGTTGCACAGTACAATATACTGGGAAAGAAACTCGTCTATATTCACATAAGTGCCCTGGAATGGAGTTGAAAAATTTTAATAAATGGGTGACTTAACAATTATAAATTGAGTACTATTGAAAATGCTAATTATGCTATTTATATTTTGGCAGGCCTATGTATTGTTTAATGAAATAAGGCAGGCAGTAAAAATCTCAATTATCATTATGTATATTGCAAAAAACGATGTAGGCATTTAATAGATTATGCAATACAAACCTGTAAATGTCTTACACCCCCATTGTCTTCAAAAGGCTGTCTCCCATGTAAGACACGGCGATTGTTAAACACAATACAATCACCTGGTTGGAGCTTCATCATTTTCTACAAATTATAGTTTACAGATAAAACACATTACAATCACCTGGTTGGAGCTTGATCATGTTCTACAAATTATAGATTATAGATAAAACACAATACAATCACCTTGTTGGGGCTTGATCATTTTCTACAAATCATAGATTATAGATGAAACACAATACAATCACCCAGTCAGAGCTTGATCATTTTCTACAAATTATGGATTATAGATAAAACACAAAACAATCACCTGGTTAGAGCTTGATTATGAGTGTATTTGTTAATACATACATGTATAGTTTTACAGTATTTTTATTTAAAGATATAAATGTTTATATTCATTATATTTACTTGTAAAAAGTGAATACCTGGGCATGAGATTGCGTCATAAGCCTGGTAAGTGTATTGTAGGCATCGTAGTATGGTTCAACGTCACCAGGCTGTGCCATTAACGGTCCCTCGAACTGTGGAGACCAATGCACACCAGTGATCTATATAAAATGAACAAATAACATGGACTACATTCTCGAAATGGAATAGTCTTAGTAACTATGTTAGACCTCACCTAGTTTTGACATAAATCACCATAATAAAATCGAATATGATCGTTTATATACCTACAATGTCAGACAACAATATGAAGACACCCTATGCATACTGTGCTATACGAAAACAAGGGTGTGGATATCACGCGTAAGTTTGTGAATTTCAAAATGGAAAAAAATGTATATCGATGGGTCATCTCGATTTCCGATACTAATGCCTGGGTCACATTTGCTCCAATTCATTATTAATTCAATATTGTATTCGGTTTTGAACAAAAAACTCAGACGGCCGGCCGGGCGCCGGCCGATGAATCTGGGCAAAAGTGACCCGGGCATTAATGAAGGCTGTAAACGGTTATTAAAGCGGCAATACCAAATTCTTTGCAATGAAGAACACAGCTATAGACAAAATTTTCCTTTTATTACGCATCCTCTGCAAATGGGTAAATATAAGTTAGTACCCAACATGCCTTAGTTTATGAAATATCACAAAATCAAATTAAAAAATAACCGTTAATATTCGCACATTGCGTATATTATATCCACACCGCCACAGTCTGTGTAGAGCGAGTATTGAGGTATAAGGAAACAGACAAACACAATATGGTAGACAAATATGGGTCAGACATTATACACACATCACATAAAAAAATGATACCCAAACATACCTGATCGTTGTGATTGAGAATAATATGCGGCCTCTGATATACCATATGAACAGGGCGTTCACGTTCATAATGGATCTTCTGAAAAGTAGCAGGCACTCGACAAAGAACCTCAAACTTTTCAGGATAAAGTTGACGCATCTCCTCTGCTATGTGAAAGATATCCAGGAATATACTCTCGCCTCCCTTAACACATGGGTCGTTTCTAAAACAAATAATAAAAATACCTGAAATTCATCACCATTACGAAGGCTATTCTGACATGTGTGAGAAAAATATAAAACTGCAAGAAAATAAACCCATAAGAGCAGAACCAGTATAAGAAGAAAGTCATTGTCTCAAGTTGAAGGTTAGAATGTCTACCTAAGACAATGCAGGAACTGTAGACCAGGTGGTGACTCGTAGTACACTAGATCCATGTGATACTGTAGGCCAACCGTGGAGTATGCTGCATTGATTGGCTTGTCGGTGGTAACAACATCAAAGGTTTCGCCATATATTGTACCTTGGATCGGTGCTATAACTTCAGCGACCTGCAAATGAAGAGTAAAACGGATAAATAACTGCAAATGCGCATAGGGAGAACAAAGAGTTTTAAAACACGGCAAGAAAACAAAACATGATATGACATAATCATACTAATGGGAAATACAAACCTTTTTCACTGTTTTGTCAACAGTAGGAACATTTTTTACCAAACAGATGCCGTCTTCATTGAGATTTTTCAAATATCTACAAGAATAAAAAAAATCTGGAAAAGCATTAAAATATTACCGTGACAACAATAGACATTTTGTATACTGCGTCTTGTCATCCAGCGTTTCATTTCACTTTTGAACTGACAACAATATCCAACTAGAATGTCTACAAGTTTCAACGTCGCGTGTTAAGATAGCTTGGAATAAATCGCAAGAGGCAGATATACACGTTATTAAAGGCAGATAGTGACGAGTAGAAAGTAAATTCCTCAAATGTCACAACATTATAAGTTATTGAATGACTTGAAGTACAATGCAAGATATATTGTGCTCGAGAAATTCAAATCACTCTATAACGTTTTTATCGTATGATAGGCCAATACTTTTTACTTTGGAGATAATATTCTGTATTCTCTGTATTGCCACCGAGATGATCACAGCGGACAATCACAGAAGCAATATAGATTGGTGCAGAACAAGAAATGACCAATCAGAGGACTTTATTTTACATATCATACGATAAAACACAATATTTCAGTATATACAATTTGGATTTTAAGGGCAACATCGGCATGTTTAATCAAAGATTGATTCTGTACACTTTGTACCATTTGCTCCATTAATTGAAACACAAAGGATTAACTTACTGCCACTGTGCATCCCTGTTATCCATAATATCAAAATAGTCAACTTCTTTTATATCACCCTGAAAAACAGTGTTACAATGCAGTTAAGTTGGAATCGAATTGTTTATATGTCTCTGTTCTGCGCACATAGCTAACATGCATCTTGGATTTCATAGTTCATTTTCATAGTTTAACTGAAAATCAAACTGGCTGGCATAAACAATCTCCCATATTACACAACTAGGCCTAGTTATACCTTCAAAGCACTTGAAATTCTCTGATCTGTGACGTCTTTCGCCGTCTTGACAGCATAGTTGTATTCTTGTAAGAAGCTAAGTGGAATACGACCTTTATGGTCGTTACCTTCCCACTCCAAGCACACGTCTTCACCTATAAAACAGAGAGAGACAATACAAAAACAAGAGAAAGTAGGTACCAAAGGATACGATTACAAATAGATATGATTTAAGTGCTTATTGAAAGTGTTTGCAGATAAAAGTTCACAAAGTTAGATAATTATATAATGTGTACCATTCAGCTCATAACCATGTGGTTTAGAGAATTCAGCAGTTACAATCTGCGTTTACTGCTATGTTAGTAATAGTAACCCATGGTTAGGTGATCCTGGAGTAGTTCCTAGAACGATGAAGTGCACAAAGACGTCATTAAATTGTGCTAGTTTATCTAGGTACCTTGAATACGAGCAGATTGTAACGAAAATGCAGGTGGAAGGCTCCAAATATCAAGCAGTCTCTGCCCACTGTGTTCCTGCTTACATAAAGGACAGTGGCAGTTATACCTGAGCCAAGTGGCATTATAACTGAAACAGAACATGTATTTATAAGACGAACATTTCCAGTTTGGCCACACAGCAAGCATTCGTTTGTAACAAACATAAAGCAAGCTCTACAGAACTGTACAGGTATATTGTCTATGAGTTATTTTAAAGTGTAATATAAACTAGAATATTACGGTTCTAAGTGTTGACATTTGAACTTCTGATAAGTGGAAGATTGAGCAACATGCGATAACAACCGTGTTACTCGTGTCATTGCGGACATTTCCACTATTACTGAGAAGAAGAAATAGAGACTAGTTGAATGTAAGTTTCCAAGCAAATGTTACCATTTACCATTTTACAATATTTTTGTTCTCGTCATTCCATGGGATTTCTATTTTCTTATTGTGGGATCCACAGTCTTTACTATCCCTTAGAATAAACGCTCTCAAGCATAACATAAAGGGAGCTCTGAATAATCACAATGCTAATTCCTATTTTACCTATCTTGTTGGCCATCAGCCCATGATACAGTCAGTGTCTTCTCGGTCCAGTGAAGCAAATCATTTTTAGCATTATTCCTAATCAAGTTATTGCCAGCAGTCTGTTCCATGGGTTCCGTACTTGCTTTCTGGAGTAAGAATGGTAACGATGGTCACATTATTATGATTAAATGAGAAATGGTTTTATATCACCACTACTCCAAGAGGATTGATTGTTTTACACTTGGACTAATTATATAACAGTATAAATATTATACAAACGTAAGGTTTGTCTTGTGACAACATTCAACTTACGACATATTTGTTTCTAATACTGGTATGGTTTAAAGAACCGCACGTACTCTTGAACCTTTGATGTCCAAATGGATCTGCAACAAAGAATCCATCTTTACTGAAGCAGAAAATACATGTGACAATATAATAAAAAGGTTTTAATAAACTTTCCTGAAGAAACACCCATATCTTCATCCTTTATAAATAGAAATGACTAAGCTTTTTATCGGCAATATTCGTTTCATCGTATATTGTATAACAAGCATCACTCTTGACGAATCATTATGTGTTTCATCCTAGATTTATTCACAATTATTAAAGCTAGATGATCTTACAATACATTTTGGGTTTTGGTTTGAGTTCGTACATACCACAACCAGTTGCATATCCCCGTTCTCCTTTGCCCGTTGCTTCTATCGTCACAGCCCATTTCCCTTGTAAAGTATGTCTAAGAATCCTGTGTCCTTTATCATTTAGACTCCGGACAACCAGTAATGTATTTTTACCAAGAGACGCCATTGAACTGGATGACCTTAGGCACTAATCTTCTCGTAATCTTGAACTAGACCTAGTGCCTTCTTTTTCAAAGTCGAATGTCTAAGTAGAAACTGCGGTGGTTTATTCATATACTAAATCTATTTTAAACAAAGACTTTGGACCTGTCTCAATATGTTTGTTGATCGTTGAAACGTGACTGTCCTCGTGTAATGTGACCAATGTAACCTCTAGATCATTAAAAACATCATCTCATTTGAATGGTTGCCATTGTAGTATCAGCGGGTCAGCATGACAAATATCTGAACAGTATCTGAAATATATGTTTTATTCGGTTAAGGTCTGAAATATATGATTAAATTATTCATAATAGTAAATTGCACTATTAGAAAAATCGGATTATAACTAATATCTGAGCTGAATATGAAATTATGAATGAATTGTACTATCAATGTCAGTCTATATATTCGGACTCAATGTGTTATCTTTAATTATTGTTAAATCATTAAATGGGGTCTAAAGTTCGCGATAATAAATACTTTTGACTTTAATGACTACCCGAAGATTTATATGAGTATTATTCACAGACTAAACATTCTGATCCTTTTAACAAAACACAGATAGCTTCAGGGCGACAATCATGCAAGACAGCCCATGCAAAAATTCAAGACGGCCGTCAATAGTGTCGTCAAAATAAATTTGTTTTGATCATTATCCCACCGAACGAAGTTCGAGGGGGATATAGAGAAGCCGTCCGTCCGTCCGTTCGTCCGTCCGTGTGTCCGGGCGATAACTCCAATGATTCAAATTTGATTCAAATTTTATATGCTGATGCCTAGGGACAAAGAAGTTTCGCACAAAAAGAGATTTTCAAGATGGCCGCTTAATTTCAAAATGGCGGCCATTTTTCGTAAAAATATGTAATCTTTGATAACTCAAATACCAGTGAACGGATTTGGTTCAAATTTTATATGATGATGCTTAGGAACACAGTAGCTATGTTCGACAAAAAAATTTCAAGATGGCCGCTTATTTCAAAATGGCGGCAATTTTTCGTAAAAAACGTAATCTTTGATAACTCAAATACCAAAGAACAGATTTGGTTGAAAATTTATATGATTATACCTAAGGACACAGTAGCTCTGTTCAGTCAAGAAATGATTTTCAAGATGGCGGCTGAATTTCAAGATGGCGGCCAATTTTCGTAAAAAACGTAATTTTTGTCAACTCATATACCAGTGAGGATTTGGTTCAAATTTTATATGACGATGCCTAGTTCACAATGGTATAAACTAACTTTGTGCCAAATTTCATGCTTCTATCACAAAGTGCACAAACATTTCAACATTTACACTAGCTATAATAAGCATAATATGTTTTGTTCGGTGGGATTTGCTACTCCGTGGAGAGTTGCTGTTTTTCTAGTTTCATTTATTTCAGCCCTCGTATATTATGTGTACGAATTAGTACATGCACTCATGTTTTTGGATTTTAAATTAACAGATAGATAATGAGATACAGGATTCTTCATTTTTAACTAAAGGACCAACTTTAAGATTAACTAGTAGCCGAGACAGAGCAAGATCGTCCCTCTCTTTTTTCTGATAACTTTTTCAATTCTCAATATTTTTCATAAAACTTTCACAGGATGAACTTAAAAGCATCCCTAACTTACAAAATGTTTTGTTTAACTCATAATAACGTTTCATTATTAAATGTCCATCACTGATTCTTGAATTGAGTTGAACTTGTCCAAAGGCCAAATACCAAATACCTAGATATTCACCATTGACTTTGAGACCTTAAAACGTCAATACTTAGAGTAACTTTGAGATGATAATTACCCACGAACATTGACCATGACCTCAGGTCACCTAACATAGGTAGCCAAGGGTCACAGTTGTCCCCTTAAAACTTCAAATACCTAGATATTGACATGTGACCTTGGATTGACCTTGAAATCAGGTCACCTAATCATGGGTCGCCAAGGGTCACAGCAGCCCCGAAGGTGCTAAAAAGGCCAAATACTATATTGACCTTGAGATGACCTTGACCCAAAAACATTGATCTCAAATTTTGTTTTCTTTTATAGATATCATTAGATGCTGGATCCGCCACTGTATCTGTTTTAATATACTTAGTGGCTTCTAAACCTATGTATCTCTTCTCGTTCTGGGGTTCAGCTTTGGAGAAAGAATGATTGGAAGTACACCTGTATCCATTGTTGGAATTGCCAAGGTGAATTTTTAATACAGTTTCTCGGTTACTCAGCATCACAATTGTGTCCGTTTACTGATGTGTGCAAGGTAACATATCGTGGATGGTGAATTGTCTTGGTTAGCAGCAAATGACTTCTTTGCCAATGGATGCTATGACACTTCCTTCTGGCACAATTTTTCAGATTTGCATCAGCGCATCCTCCTAAGCAGGTATACAATATCCGTACCTCCTCCCACGACATTTTTATCACAAACGTATATCAGTATATGTTTAAGAAAATGTACATATTTGCGAACAAATAGTTCAGAAGACAACAGAATCGTCGATTTAATTCCTCACTTAAGTTACATAAAAGGTATTTCGGAAAACAGTTAAGATCTGCACTTTTAACCCAAATTGTGTATGTAACTCAAGTGAGGAATTTAATCGACTTGGCAAAAATGTACATTTTCTAAAACATATGATACCGATACACGTTTGTGAGAAAAAACGTCGTGGGGATTCTGCCTACAACATGTGAAATAAGGAAAAAAGAAAAATCGAACCTTCGATGTTCCGACATTTTGTTACCGAAACGTGGTACTGTTTCGGTAACCAGCGTAACTGAGCGGATCACCAGTGTTATATGCGTATTACACTTTATGCCAAAATTCTTAGAGTATGCCTACTCTTACATCACCCCCGAAGAAGAAATACCTGGCATAAGTATTCAATTGCAATCTTCAGTAATTTCTTGTGATATCATATCTTGTAAACATCATTCTGGAAAATGTGTAACACACATAGTCAGAAACTGGAAGATTCATAAATTTTCACAAGGACACTCATGGCTATTATGAAACGTAAAGGCTAGAGTACCGACAATTGTCGGTACTCTAGACTCTGATGTGGTGGCACGCTAGAGGACCGACAAATAAATTGTCGGTACGGGAGATATGCTGTGTTTACACGCTAGAGGACCGACAAATATTGATTTTCGAATTTTCTGGCGCATGCGCAATGCGCGGGGGGATATTTCAGATATCATACGGATATTTTGGGAACAAGTGCAAAACCCGGGGAGGGCATTAGCTCCGGTTACCCGGGGATTACCAAACCCTATATAGTCCATTTAAAAACCTGTGGTATCGTTCTAAATAACCCCAGGCCTGTCAACTGTCCCGCAATTTGCGTATTTGTCACGCATTTGCTGAAGAATATGAAGTCACGCCAGTTATTTTTGCGTGACAGAAAATGTCACGCAAATACGCATTTTACCTGGTAATTGCAGGCCTGTCAACTGTCCCGCAATTTGCGTATTTGTCACGCATTTGCTGAAGAATTTGAAGTCACGCCAGTTTTTTTTGCGTGACAGACAATGTCACGCAAATACGCATTTGACCTGGTAATTGTCACGCAAAAATATTTCTGTAGAATTTTTTTCGAAATATGTTTATGATACGGTAAAAATACGAACGTCGGAAAAAAACCGAACGCAATTTGTTCGGATTTGTCACGCGAATCCCGTTTATGTCACGCATGTACATTGGAAATTTTCGTCCCTACCCCCCCCCCCCCCCCCCCCCCCCCCCCCCCCCCCCCCCCCCCCCCCCCCCGTTGACGACATCGCGAGCGTAGCGAGCGCGAAAAATTTGAGGTGATCAAAGTTTGGCAAAGGTGCTCAAACTTTGGCCAAAGGTGTTTAAAAGTTGGCCAAAGGTGTTCAAAATTTGGACAAAAGTGTTCAGATTTGGACTTAGGTGTCCAACATTTTGAAGTCACTCATATTAGGTGGTCCCAAGTTGACAGCCCTGTAATTGTCAAGCAAAAATATTTCTGTAGAAAAATTTCGAAAAAAGTTCGTCTACACAGCAAAAATACGAACGCCGAAAAAAAACGTACACATTTCGTTCGGACTTTTCACGCGAATTACGTATATGTCACGCATTCCGTTCGAAATTTTTCGTATCTACGAATGAATCTATGAATTTTCGAATTTGGTGTTGGATTACGGTACTCATACCTTATAGCACAATTTTTGATGGAAGTTGCATTTGGCTCCCTTAGTTAATGGCCACGATTCCATCTCGTATGAGGGAGCTACCAAACGCAAAGTAAACAGTAATATATTCCAAATGAGATATTTCTCCTGTGCCATGGCGTAGTAAGGGTAGAGAGCGACGGGGGCGAAAGCATCCCCTCCCCTAACTGTATATATCGACCCATTAGATAGAACAAGAAAAGAGCTTTAAAATGTTTTTTAATTGAAGTTGTAGGACAATTTTAATGGAAGTTGAATCAATTTTTGTCAAAATAAATTATGGCTCACTACAAGTTAATGCCTGTACGATTCCAAACTGCAAAAGAAGCACTATGCCCCCCCCCTCAAAAGAAAAAAGTAGGTCCTGCCGGGATTCGAACTCGGGACCGAGGGTGTTGGAGTCGTGCTCGCTAACCACTAGGCTACCGAGATGAAGTTATTCCGAAAAGTAAAAGTAGTGGATTTATTTATGAAATTGTCGGCTCTCTAGCAAAAACACGTAGCAGCCACTTGCGTACCGACAATTGTCGGTTCTCTATCTGGCACTACTAGGTGACGATAGAGTGCCGACAATTGTCGGTACCCCAGCAAATACCCCTGGACAGTCTCCAGTACCGACAATTGTCGGTCCTGGAGCCACTCCGATTATGAAAATGCACATGACTTCCGGTTTAAACTTTTATCTTCCGGGTTAAGATGGTGTCGGAGTTAAATCATCGAACTGATGATATCCCGTAAATAATGTGTCAAGGCGATGAAAATGCGGAGAATATATAGTAAAATTCAGACTTGGTTACTAGAGTAGCAAATAACATAGGATCAGAGACATTTTATATGTCTGCTAGTTAATGAAGTAAAGACTTCGATCCAAATAGCAATTAGCCAAGGCCAAAAATAGTTCGGTATATTGCTATTTTTGAGTGAGTACCATTTTCCAATATACAACATGCAAACATCTTACATACGATTTGTAAACAGTATCCTAGGTCCTCTTATCCAAACAAGACATATTCATTCATATCCGTGTACGAATGTAAACTTCGTTTAAGTATCGTATCAGGCAAGCCTTGTGCTTTTATCCAAGCCTTACCTTCTGAGGCCTACCAGTCCTGCCACGTAATGTGAAGACTTCTGCATAAACATATTATTACTGTAAATATCTGACTTTCAAGATCAACCAAGGGTAACACAAAGCAACACTAAACATGCAAGAATAAACGTACATAGGGGACGAAACAAAGAACAATATCGGGTTAGTCACTACTATTAATGCCAAATCAATAGGTGTATGCATAGGAAACTAATATAAAGCTACTGAAAGAGATTAGCTGACAATTAGATACCAAATATGCAGACAAACTAATGGTACGAGCCTGGGAAATTCGGGTATTAATTGTTTTGAACAACTCAGATTTCTACGAAATTCTTGAGCGTATCATTTTATCATGGGAATGTAGTATCTAAGTCAAAACTACATTTTCATGATTTTACATTTGTCTTAGGACTAATATAACAAATTTAACATGCAAAATGTCACCACCTGCCATTTATTACAGACCCCGAACATCAACCGCTGAACACCGTCAAAAAGAATTGTTGAAACGATAAGAAATCGTGAATTAGTAAAACTGTATACGTTAACTTTCAACTATTTTATTAAATTTATATAATTCATATTATTTATACTCACGTAATGCTACCATTATCTAGTTTGGATTAAAAGTTAACGGATACACTTTTACTAATTCTTTTACTCTATCCCTTCGCAAACTTCATTTTTGGATCAGAATCCATGTAATTATTTTGATTATTTCTATGAGTATGCGCCATGTAAAACCATACAAGAACCAAAAATAAACATAATATTTATTATTTAATAAAGATATATATATTTGACAAATGTTAATTAAATGTTGCACTGGAGTTGTCCATACAATAATTTTGCATGCACCAAAATACAGTAGTCGCCTTTAAGGTCGGCAAGTGAAACTAGCAATCTGTATAATTAACTTGAACCGTTCACATGTGAACAGCAAAATGACACAACTGCGAGATTGCGAGTAGGTAGTTACCAGTTTCGCCACTAGGTGTCTCTTTCGGGTCAGATAACATGGCGGGTATAGTAGAAAGTTCCCTTTAACTTGAATTACATCTGTTTTAGTGGTTCAATTTTTATATTACCCTTATGTATCTAATAGTTATGCAAATTAAAATATGTCCATTTAAAGAAAATGTTATATGTCCAATACAAGAAAAGATATTTCACTTTTTGTGATTTTGTAACATGGGATCTATGAGGAATCAACCCGAGCTGGAAGTCATATTTTCAAAATAAATTTGAAAATGTGGTTTTAACAATATTTTTTTATTGATTTTACCTTTCTTACCCACTTCAACCGAGTCACTCCATAAATTGTCCACTAGTCTTTCATATAATGTTGTACAATTACCGTAAATTGACTTAATATTCCTCTTTAATCAAGTTTTATGTGATGTTTTATGATAAAATTTCAAGTTTTTTTCTTTTTCATGGGGAATTCCCTCGGGGAATCCACACTGGACGAAATAACCATGACGAAGAATCCCGGGAATTCAATAATCGATGTAGGCAGAGCTTAACTATTTGGGACAATAACACCCTCCCCCAACTTTCAAAACTTAGTTAATTATCCGACATCGATCTTTTGCATTGGTCACTAAACGGTTGAGCTGGTTGACTATAAATGGGCCAGGGGAAGGTAAAACATGTGATTTACACCACCTAAGACAACAAGGCAATGCACATGATTTCATATATTAGATAAAGATTTCTCACGTTCAGTGTTACTTAACTAGATTAATCTCTATATGTATATTGACCCTCATATGGGATCTTCTTGCCACTTGCTTGGTCTGTTACAGATATATTCATTGTATTTTACCTCTGTCACTGTATGTCCATACGGAACACGACACAGAACACATCCCATCCAAACTTTTCACCACCCTAGCGTTGATAAGCACTGATAAACACTTCAACATTGTATTATAGTAACTGCATTGTTACAATTATCAAAAAATAAGCTCTCATAACATGTTTGTGTCTACATTTACAGGAAGACTAATGTCAGATATCTCATTGTTATAGGGAGGTCAAATCATCTTTAGGCCAACAATAACTATATTTTATTGATAAAGTTCCACAATATAAGGATGTAATGTAAATGTAACAGTTGTTGAATAACGTAGTTAAATGCTTCCAAAATGAGGTCCTTAGATTGAGATGAGATTTATTTCTTGTGTGTGTTTTCATTCATGCTCTCAGTTCGTAGTTTGCCACTCAATAATTTCGTCACTGCTAGATTTATGTTGAATGTTAGTTGTCTTAACTAAGTACATTTAGTTGTAGTAATTGGTTAAGTTGAGGCTCATCAAGGCTTTAGTTCTTCCATTTAATTGTCTGAAAAATGAAACACAATTTTTTAAAAATAGATGGCCATGAAAATGAACATGCTTACTTTTACTGCATATAACAAATGATGGCACATTACTAGATAAGTTAGTGAATAATCAGTAAATGGATATAATGCATTTAGGATTCATTAAGGTAAATAGATTTCAGTATTTTCTACATTTAGATCACTAGATATAACAATACTTTAAACATACCGAACTTTTCAGAGCATTTAATGCATACATGTCCTCCTTGGTATGTGGGGTAAGCCTTCGTTTGTAGTCTTCGATGCCTTGCCTGTCTTTCATTTGGACTAGAGTCTGGAAAAAGGAACAAAGTTTAATATTAATAGTTGGGTGAAATAGTTGTATAATGTACATCAGACACTCTCAGAATTTTCAGGTACATATTTTCTGTAAACGTAAGTACAAAAAACTCAAAGGAATACAGGATAAACAGATAATCCAATCCTACAGTCAGTTCAGGATATTGGAATTATCCAATGGGCAATATATAATATGTATGCCTTCAGAACTTTTGATCCCCTAGCAGATATAAAGACATTGATAAAAGATAAACTTAAAAAAGATAAAATAGAGTTTCAACTGCAAGAATGATACAGAAGTTCTACGATGCCTTGTATTTTTTTGTATTTGAGGCCCCTTTTACATATTTATTCATAAAGGAAAATTGGAAAGTAATTCAATTTTGAAGCAGATTTTTTCTTGACTGAAAAATAAAATCATATTTTTGTTATCATCAAAATTAATAGACTAAGGTCTTACATCAATTGCTTCTTCATGGCATTTGTATTTACTGGCTATATTCAGTCGTTTCTCGCTATCATCTATAAGCTTACAGTATTTAGTCAGCACCTGTAAAACAATAATCATTTGATGCATTTGTTTAACATGGGATCTGCCATTTTTGTTACATTTCATGAAATTCATCAATTTTGACATCAAATTTTGACAGAATGTAATGGAGATATAACATTGAAACGTTGCGGATTTTATAGCGAATAGAATCAAGAAACAGATTTATTTACTTTATTGGGATTTATTTTGTTCCCCGCTAAGAAAACAGTCGTTAAACAAATATGGGGGTTAACATGTAAACCTATGAGGTCCTTAACTTTTTTTGAGGAGTATAGTATTTAATGTTAACAATTAGCAAAGATTTGAACTGCATCGATCTGTTATCATATTTGCACCCAGCAGTACATTTGATCCTAGACACTGGGCTCATTGGCACTGACCAATAAGCTTTGCATCCCATTGTGCAGTGTATGTCTGGTATGAATGTAGAACTCATGATTAATACAAGTACATTTGACATATATTTTAATGTGATTTCCACCTTCATCTTCTATTTCATAATTATTCTCACTTATTTATTGACTGTAATTTCATTGGTACCATCAATTTTAAATATCAAGCATGTTACGAAAACTCTTTGTTACAGTCTTAGCACACAAGTCAAGATCAAGACCAAGTATCCCCTTAGCTTGGTCCTTGCTAATTGTACTGTTGTGTGTCTAACTATGTCAGGCTATGTGTGAGAAGATGTTTACTCAAGTAGAGGGGGGAGGGTCACAGAGGCTTGAAGCTGGACTATTAAGACATAATACAACATGACTTGTTTATGGGTTACTTACAGTATAATAAAATAACCATTGGTATATCAAATAAGCATGTACTTTTATGTGATAACAGACTTATAAATACAGTAGCTCCCTTATGAGAGAATCTGAGGAGCAGACAATGCTGCAATGCTGTAGTGTGATTCTGATTATTGGTTTACTAGTTCAGTAAAATCAATCAAAGCAGATTGAGTACTGTAATCTATGGATTTTTCAAAACACTGGCACATGTCCAGCATGAAACAATTGACACATTGACCATAGCTGTTTTGGCATTTATGTGGTGATCAACACTGGTTGTATTGATTGAACTAGTTAAGAAATGAGGAATGCTATATGAATTAATTGTCTAATTAGTGCCCTTCGACACCTCGTTCACTTTGGCAAATTTCACAAATCTTTGTAAGATATAAAGGATTATTTTGATACAGGTCTCTAGGGTGCTCGCCAAAATGTAAGAACTCTCTCTTTCTAGAGGCTTTTATTTTGAAAATATTCAAGACTAATATGCATTATACAAGTTGAAGAACCTACATCAGCTAGAGCTCCATTCTTTGAAAGGACATCAATGACTTTATCAAAGCCTATGGAAGCTTTCATCTTGGTTCCTCCAAACCAACCCTAGAAAACATAATAGGAAAATTCAATGAGAGGATCTTCAATAATATGGTTGTGTAAAGAATAATGCTTCATTTTTCATGTTATGTCTAGTAAATTGACAATTTTATTAACTAATTTTCTCGAATGGAGTGGGGCTGTTAGATATTGTTTCTTTTTGTTTATATTTGCCTGAAATAAAGTTAGAACAGGACCAGTTGTCTCAAACAATTAATTTATTTTGACATGTTCCTGAATTATATATCATTGTACAGTTCATAATGACTACTTCAAATGTGAAGTCATATCAGGGATAAAATCAAATCTTCAATTTGGTAAAGGAAACACAAAATTCTTATGTTTAAAATTATCTCAGGACTTAAAGGGACTCATACAATTAGCTACGTTGACCAAAGTGTTTACATTTTCGGATTAGAAGGGTTTATTTGTTTTTAAGGGGTGTTTGCATTGAAGATTTCGTGCAGTACAAAATAATTCTCAGTTTTCCTTATAATGCTTGCGCTGCCCCGTTGTTTTCGTATTCCAAAATAACCAATATAATCACTATTGATAGGTGGATTTTTTTGTTGAATACCTTATTATGTTATTCTAAAGTTATTAAACTATGTATTGAACTGAATGAGAATGTATGTATTTTTACAAACCATTATGTATATGGACACTCTCTTACAATATGGTCTGTGAACATTGCTACCTTGAAATGTGTGGGGCAGATATCGGTCGTTCCCAGGCTTGGTTTGGACAATGAAAATAACCCATCAGATAGGAATCGCCTGGTCATTGATGGAAAACTTAGGAGCGTGGCGAAGACCAGAATACGTCGCGAAGAAAAGGGCGATGACACCTGGACACAGGAATCATCCGAATGTAATTTTCCTAAGACAGATAATGCCTGATTGCATTACAAAGGTACATCGACTTTTCGGATTATCATCTTTGGAAAATTCACATAATTTACACTGTTAAAATAGATATGTTACGACAGATTTATACATTTATGTGTCTCTCAGATTATCGGCAAATGGACGTTCATCATTTTGGTACTGGTTAGAGGGCCGCACATACACGTAACATGTAAATGTGGAGGGGGTGCCATATCAAGGTCACAAATGGCAGTGAAGAACTCGGGATGCATATACAATATAAATAAACATTGACAAAGCTATAATTATTTATTTCTATTCAATTCAGAAAAGGTTTTGTTCATATTGTGAATAAAATATTGAAGTTGTATTACCAAAAATAAACATAAGACTCTGCTATTGTGCCTGTGAAACATATAACACTACATACAATTTTTGAATGTATTTCTGGGTACATAATATTGTATTTTTGTAATCTAAACCAGATACAAAGTACCCAGTCAAACAAACATATATATCACAGTTAATAAAAACATTTTTATCTATGTTCAACCTATTTATATATTTTCTCTGGACGTTTGTTTACGAATAAAAACAATTTATCTTAGTATGCTTCCAGGTAACTAATCCAAATCTTTTCCAAATACTGAAATGTTTTCTTTGATTGATATTTTCGCCCACTGTTTTCTCTTGGAGTTCCCTCGTTTTGAGGAACAACCGCTCTCTTGAATGGTCGATTAACATTTTCATTCCAATGCAAAATAAATAAATCAACCCTGACTTGAAATGACGTATCACCAAAGGAATGCCTTTTGGGCAGAAAAGAACGCAAAGCATTGTTTGCCGCTTCAACGTAACTTGTGCTAAGTCCTTCTAGTACGAGATGCGGATTTTTGTATATTGAAGTGTCATGGACAAATTTCGATAAGAGGTCAATTAATTGCAATTAGGTCAGTAAGTAGCACACGAGATGGGGCATATCTTGGGTTTCTTACACAATGGCTCGTAAGCCTGCAACTTTCGTGGTATCCTTGGTAATGTGACACGATCGCATCTAGACTGTCTCGTAGTAGAGTCTCATCATTTCCTGAGTGCATGATGGAGTACCATATGTGATTTTTAATTCCATCATATTTATCAAATAGCTGACCATGCCAACATATATTTTCAGTTTTCTTTGTCCCTTTCGAAATTTTTTTGAAAGATGACATAACATTTTTAATCACATGCCAAACGTCCTTTTGTTCCTTTACTTCCGGAAAATCGTCTTTTACGACCTTGCTCACGCTATTGTTAGAATCGTGCACGATGCAACGAACTTTAATTCCTTACTGTTTGAAATCATTTAGAATTTCCTTTGTTGCAATCGTTTCATGTCGCTGGACAGAACTGTCATCGTGATTTGTTGATTTCACCTTATCTGCCAATACAGTATGCGTTTCGTTGCAAAGGCCAAATGTTATACTCCTCTTGGCATTGCGGAATGCAGAAAAACACGCATCGGTTTCCATGGTTATCCCAGACGCCCCACTGCCTGCTAAACTATTTTGTATCGCTCTTTCTTTAGACGCTTTGGCTTCGTTGGATATAATCGTAGATAATCGATTGCATGTTTCATTATAAACACGCTCGTTCGTGCTTCCTAATGTAGTAGCATTTAAAAATCTGGTGAATGGAGTATACATAAGTCCACTACAAACTAAACCACAAGCCATTTTCTCGTTCACGAAAAATTTTGACCAACCTTCGATATAAGGCGATGACTTCCATAAAAATGTGTGCTTGCCATTTGAAATTGTGAATGTGGCCACAAAGTTCGCAAAATCTTCCAATCTAGTAACGATGACAGTTCTACTAAAATGGCAGCGTTGACCCAGGCTGTACACGGCACCAACGAGCGAATTGATGGACGACTCACACGTAACAAATAAGCGTTCACATTTACTTTGTTCCTTGGTAATGTTCACAAAACTGTTGTAGTGGAAATTGGCATCAGGAACAGCTTCATTACCAGTATCTGTGCATTTTACAGCCAGGGATAAGAAATAGTACATAACTTGCACAATCGTAGACAAATCTGGACGCTTTTTGCGGAAGCCATTCCATTGCTCGTTGAAGTTGTCCTTCTCCTCCTTACTGTTGAATGAGAGTTCGATAAACTTCTTGAACTTTTTATTCTTTGCAGCCATACTGAAAAGAAACATATAACAACATATAGATTAGATAATATTTACAGCGAGAACAAACAACTGCAATTGTGATTGTTTTCCTCTTATAACACGGGGTGCCAACTATCACGTAAAACGACCGTTAATTTGAATTTTAGACATACCCGATGTTCGAAAATCAAGGATTGTGAGTCTCATACTGCCCGATTTTCTTCAAATTTGTTTTATACAAAGCACAACAAAAATGCCTTTCTGTTGGTACATTATTTTGTTATACAGAGTCTCTCGTTTTAGCGACGTCTTGGTCCCCAGCTTTGAGAAGCGTTTCTCTCAGCTGGGGATCAAAATGCCGCAAAAACGAGAGACTCTGTACAATAAGACAATGTATCGGCAGAAAGGCATTTTTGTTTTGCTTTGTATAAAACAAATTTGAAGAAAATCGGTGCAGTATGACACTCACAATGATTTTCGAACATCGGGTAGGTCTAAAATTCAAATTAATGGTCGTTTTACGTCATAGTTGGCACCCCGTGTATATATTGATGCTTCTCTGACATGTTTTTTCGCTTTGCTCATTCGTAATAAAATGGATATCACTCAAAATGATCATACAATATTGCGTATTGCTAGCTTATTTATAGGTTTCACTGAATCACAAAAAGTAATTTGATATGACCCATCCCAGGGACAGATCCAGAAATCAAAAAGGGAGAGGGGGGCAATACAACTTAGCATCCCTAAATGCCCTAGAAATACCTAGAAATGCCCCAATAATTGTGGCCCTAAAGCACTTTAGTCCAGATCCGCCATTACATCATTTGATCTCAATGAAAGAATGCTGAGGAGTGAACCGAGCAAAACATAAATCAGTATTTGTAAACAACAGATAATAAGAGAATAATCAACAAAATTAAAACATTTAGATATCTTGAGCAGTTGTACAGTTCGCCACTCTGCAATACACATTGTACATATGCCAAGGATCAGTAAGTCGTACACATGTACTTATCATTACGTGAGCAATCATCCACAACACGTTGATATTTTATATGTATCGGCCTGATAAATAATGCAGTGGAAGTTTTCAATGTTTATCCAAAATATATACCCAACACTATATCAATACATAAAAATATACCTTACGAGTTACATCTTGAATAATTATTTGCAATATAAAATATGTTACTTACCTAGATTTGTAAACATGCGAATTTATGTTTAGCACACTGTTTCGACCGTCCTCTCACACCTATCTGAACCAAACTTTGGTTGGCCCTATTTATAGTCCCCGAGTACGGACAATCGCGCACTCTATATAGATTACCACACACTTTAACTATTTTAAATCAAGAATAGAATGCAGGAATTATAAGCCTACAAAACAGTTTTGACTTTAAAAAACATTATGCTCAACATGCAGAACCTTTTTAATGATGTATGATGTAAACAATAGATTAAGGTCGATAAAAATAATTTTTAAATAAAGATGGCATGGCAATCGATCTGTGTTTATCTATGTTTCTCCTTAGAGAAAAAGATAATACTGGATTCTTTCTGGTGCTGCCATCTTTATATCGGCCCAGAACCTATGATGTAAACATATATTCCACCTGGACATGAAACACTTACAAACAACTCAAGCAAACAGTTGATTATGAGGTTAATGTTTAGAAATAGCAGCAATTAACTTTTCGTAATAATATATTTTATTTTGAATAACTATCCTCTCTACCTAAAACTTAGCCTTGTCTATTCAAAATTGTCTTGCCTATTTTTGATCCTGGTTTAAATCATGGTGTTTTGATTATTGCTGTTCTAAAGAAGAGTAGTACATGTTGAAGTGCATATACTTACTGATGTCAACTACCCAGAATCAAGGGTTTGTGCAAGTTAATAGATATCCAGGGGGAAGGGATCATGCACTAGAATGTACAGGCCATACAAAATTGAGATAATTTTTTGAAACAGTGGGTTGATTTCATTGCAAGATTTTGTATTGCAGATGACATAATCATGCGACCAATTGCCTTTTGGCATTTTGTGTCCTGTTCATAGTAACATACAATGTACATATGAGAAAAAATATTAAATAAAACCATGGGCTTTCAAGAGATTTATATAAATTTAATGCTGGCATGTTATATAGCATGTATAGTTGATATGTACTGCAATGATTGCATTGATGGTTTACATTAATAATGTTTTCATACTTAGCTAGCATAGTGAGAGGAACGTGTTGGTGTTAGATAGCAAGATTGTGAGAGGGATTATGCAACAGGGCATGCATGGTTAGTTGGACTAGCTAGATAAAGGGTGCAATGCATTTATAAATGGCTTGGTTTCAGTCAAAAAGAAACAATGTAATCTAGGGAGACCTCACATTTTCCACAAAATTTGGAATAAAATGATGAGTTTAACAACAAAAATATTTGCTTGTAGTCTGAATTGATGAAGCAATGTAGATTAATAAAATAAAAATGAAAAATAAAAATGAATTTTGGCCGTTGGATAAATAGGGTCTCGGAGACCAGATAAATATATCTTAGTTGAAGGAACAAAAGGTTAGAAATCTCTGATCAAGCTTTAGGAATTGTTTAAAGATAAAAGAAAGGTCTCCAAATATCTTGGTTCACCCTTTAGCTAGCTGGGGAGAGGGTCATGCTGGACATTTTAACAACATCAAAGTGTGAAATACTTTATCTTTGATGCCCAATGTACTCATGGTGTTCTGAACCTTCTGGTTGCTAGCAAACACACCCTATAACAGATAAATATTAGCTTGTTACCATGGCAACATAACACTGCGTGAGATGAAGTCATACTACAGTAAAACCCTGTTAAGTCAAATATACAAAGGGCTGACTCACAAAACATTCAAAGCTTTAACAAAAAAGACCAAACCCATTATTTTTTATTTGAAAACAATCTGACTCTGCCCCTTATTTGACTAAAAAGGTTTTACTCTTTTGAGAAAACAAGGCACTCTAAGCAGCATATTAAAGAGTTCACTGGTTTAATTATTTTTAACAAATATTTTGAAGTCAATCAAAGTTCATGTAAGATAAAAAACAAGTAAAATAAAAAAAGGAATGTTGAACAATTAAGTATTTCAGTAATGTTAGCTACCTATCTAGAACCAACACCAAACCTTACTATTGTTAAAACGTTTGAATATACAAGGCATTAACATGCAAAATGTCACCACCTGCCATTTGTTACAGACACCAAATGCTGAATGCCAAACACCAGACACTGTCACAAAAAAGTTGGAGACCATAATAATATGTCACCTCTTGTGGTGGTAACATAATAAAAACTAAAAATGCTATTACATGTATTGTTAAAACTACATGTATAATTAATATTAGGACTTTTTCAATTAATCAAGTATCTAATCTGAATCCCAATTTTTTCATTTCACCAACAAGAGTTAGTGACAGGTGGGGGCACACAGACTTGATACTATAATTAAAGCATTCATACCAATGCCTTCAAAAATACAAAAATATTAAAAAACAATATAGTAAAGAAGAGGTACCTTTGTTGCAAATAGCTGATCTATTGAAAGCCATCTTCTTCTTCTACACAGAGCACTGAGGGCAACCCATAAAAACTGCTTGTCTGTCAGCTGTAAAAATAATAAAAATCTTAACCTAATACAGCTGTCATGGGCGTAGCACCCGGTACGCTGGGTACACACAGGCATACCAGATGGTTGCAAATTTGCTCCAAATACAACCAAATATGAAAATTTTCTCCCCCAGACCCCCCTGAATGCTCGTTTTTTGATTCACTCAACTCTTGTTCCTGTGATCGTGGCGTACTACTTAGAAAAATAGCGCTACGCCCATGGCTGTGGACACTTATAGGCTGGTTGGTACATGACCACAGTGTGCAAGACTACATTCAAAAGGATGGTCTATCCCACTGTCCCAACGTCAAAACTCAGAACTCAGAACCAATGCAGGATTCAATTTCAACATAAGCAAATTGCTACTTAATTTAAATATTGCTAATTGCTTCTTGTTTTTGTGGAAAACAGCAGGAAACACTTGTTTTTGTTATAAAAACTGCTAAATAGAGCATCACATGACATCATATCTAGTGTAATTACACCTATTTCATGGCTAAAGGCGTTTTCAAGGCGTTTTGGGTAACGTAGGCTAGAAAATCGCAATCCTGATTACACCAGAATTTTAAAAGCGCCTTGAAGACAACTTTTCGTGATTACACTTGATTTTTCTAAAGCGCTTTTAGACTGATTTAAGACAAAAATTTGCCATCAACCATCGCATTTGCATCAAAATCTGCTATTTAGATATACCAGGTACACTTTCAACCGTAGCGCCATCTCTGGAGATTCAAAATGATCCGATACTGTATGTTCCTTTTTTTCTTAAATCGTATTCAATCTACCTCTGGCGTTAACAAATATGTGCTAAAGAAAGCATGGAAAACAATGCACAAGCGCGCAAAGAGAGAAGCTCGGTCGTTAGGAGAGATCCATAGGGTAACTGGAGGGTTGGATCTTTGAGAAATTATTTATCCTAACTTAAGCTTAGGCTTTTCATTTCCTGCGAGATCAGGTCATACGCAATCGCATTTTTTAACGTGCCGTTCATCATGGCCTGGATCTTTTTGTCAGCCCAAATCGAAAGCATACGCTCAGTATTGACGTGGTCCCAATAAATTCTACTTTGTTTCGACATTTTGGTGATTTGATTGAGTTTTGCACAATATTTGAATTTTGTTTTTTGAAGTTTCCTCCACACCGGGAATCAATAACATGCTTGATGCTCATGCGCAAATAAAGTTTTCGTTCAGTGTAAAATCGAGTTAAAGCGCCTTGAAAACCAATCGGTATTACACCTACACGTTAAACCGCCTTTGGGTGTGAAAGCGGTTTTTAATGACTAGGGGTCTGGGAGGATTACAAAAGCGCTTTTCTAAATCGTGATTACACCTGACTCTAAAGGCGGGTCGAAACCCGATAGGATTTTAAAAAGCGCTTTTACATCGTAGGTGTAATTCCAATAATTGCGTTTTAAGTTCGTGTTATTTTTGAAAAAGACACAACCGATTAGTCAAAAAGGTTAGATAAGAGAGCTTTTCAAAGAGATAAGAGAGGTTTGCCAAGCATTGTTAACTGATAAGTAAGAAGGATCCATAGTGATTTTGTAATCGGTAGGATAAAGGCATTTCGACTGTTAAAAAGAGAATGAATGCCCTTTCTATTCAAAAGATTTCTCAGTACAAAAAAGAATGTTTTATTAACAAGGTTGGGTATGTATATATATACTGTTAAAGTTGATGCTAAACTCTTGAGTTGACCCCTTACCCTATGTGCTTTGCGAATTGCTGTTGGACTTGCTAAGGAATTTTCAGCTAGTTCATAGTGGTAGAAACAACAGTAATATAAGCTGGTTATCACAGGCTGGTTAGACAGTTTAGCTTTTCTGGGGAATTCTTTAAAATCTCTATTCTGGCCCGACTGTTCTGCATGGCTGTCTGCTGCCTGGAAACATAAGAAACAAACATGCATGTACTAATATTTGAACAAGGAAACATTTATGGGTGCATTTTGTTTCAGTTAGAAGAGATAGGTAATTTTATAATCACTCATTTTGTCACTTATTTTGCTGATAGTATTTCATGCAATTTGATTTTAGGTGGTAGTTATTCTGAGAAATCCTAAATCAGTATTTAGCAGCATGTATCAACTTAAAACTTTAATGCCGGACTTGTATACCAAGGTACCAACTTTTGATATGTTCCTGGATGGTCAACTTACAGAATTACAAAATCAAAGTGAGTTCACCTGTATAGTTAGTAGGGCTTACAAATTGAGTGAATTATTGGAAAACATCATTTTAAATATCTTTATTTTAGTTCACTTAAATTTCTATATTCATAAAAACTACCCTGTACAGTACCTACAACAGCACTTAATATGTTCCAGCTATTTGAAGTATAGATGAATAAACACAAGGGCACCCATGTCTCGAACTCGCAACCTCATGGTCACAGCACCCAATCGTTAAAAGGTGCTGGCGCCAAAGACCTCTTAGCCAAGTCAACAATCCAAAAAAGGTTGTTTTGTTAGTTACTCCATATTTTCATAATTTCAGTGCATTATGGGACCTGGTTAAATCATGTCCAAGGATGGTGGGAAAATAGGAACAAACTAAATGGCAACATACATTTTGTGTAATATGAGGATATGATCAAGGTGAGTTTAACATTACCCCTATTCGGTCAGTTCATCACAAGTTGGTCATAATACAAAATATAGAACTACAAACATATTTCCCTTCTCATGTTTTCATGGACATTGTCTAGGCATGGCAGTCTTGTTTGATACAACTAAGTGTTTCTAAAAATTCATAAAAACTGTAATAAATAATTTCTACTAAATGTCTCTTTTAGAAATCAAAGCAAACTAAACAGCAACGCCAAAGCGTAGCAAATCCCATCGAACAGCCATGGATGGCATTTTTACAAACAAAAATGGCCGTCTTCTACCAAAAGTGTCATTAGACAGTGTGCCATGCTATAGTATTCACATACCAAATATGAACAAAATCGCTCCACTACTTTTTACTAGTAGTAAAATACGTTAAAATACTGTATTTTAGTTATTGCTCGGACGGACGGACCTATGGACGGGTGTACGTACGTACGGACAGACAGACAGAAGGACGGATGTACAGATGGACGGACGGACGGACGGACGGACGGACGGACGGACGGACGGATGGAGGAAGGGAGGGACAGACGGACAGAGGTGTTCCAATCACCCAAACTGTGTTCGATGGGATAATAATATGTGTATGCTTTTTAAAATTGTAAAAACAGTACTTATCATTAATGAACTACAGTATTTAATTAATCCATTTATAGAATATGCCCAGAGTTCTGAATGAACTCTCAAAGTTCTTAGGCAAGAAACTTCCTGAAGAAAAAATAGAGGAAATGACAGAATACCTCCAATTTGAGAAAATGAAGAACAATCCAATGACTGCAAATCCATTTGAGAAGGTTGCAGTATTTGATGAACAAGTAAATGGTCCTAGCTCGTATAGAGGTAGACACATGCAGAAAGGTACCATTTTCGTTATCATAAATTGATTTTGATTTCCTGGACTTTGTTCACCTATGTTAAAAATAACATCAAGGTAAATTCTAAGGCTTTTAAACAGAAAAGATTTTTTACAATCCTCTCTAAAAATGCATTGAATATTCATCAGTTCTAGGAGATCAATTTTCATATTACCCCTCTGTATCTGGAAATGTGACAAGTAAAACAACATATTATCTGTCAATAAAAGAAAGGATATTTCACTTTTTGTGATTTTGTAACATGGGGTCCATGGGTAATTTCCCCAACCTATAAGTCACATATTCAAAGAAAGTTAAATTTTCAAAGTTGATAATAAAATAATGTTTGGAACCACCTTTCTAGATATACTTTTACTGAATTTTGAATATTTAATTATGTAAATCAAGATAATTTCTACTTACATCTACTCTATTTCATACTTTACTACACTTATGGATGTATCTTTGATTTGGAATGAAAAAATTGGATTTAATTCATGATTCAAATTTATGGCTCTTGTAAGTGACAGCATTTAAAGCTTTAAAAGATATGTTTATACATGTATCGAGTATTTTCTCGGCAACTGATGAACCAAACTCACTGAAAATTTGTAAGAGGAAGAAGCCTAAAAGAATCATTAGCAAGTTGTAAAAATATAAAAAAGATCAAGTAATTATTCAGTGAGTACTAAGAAATTCAAAATAGCATATCATCTGTGATGAGAACTCTATACTGTTTGTACCAGCTATCAGGTGATACCGTGATAGCATCTGTCAATCAGTCAAAAAAGCTTGTCTGTGTGTCATGTCTAATTAATTCATTTAATTCTTCCCAAATATCAAAAATCCATTCATTTTCAAAATTCATTGAATGTGATATTGTTAGAATAAATATAGAAAAGTATTTTTGCTTGGAAATGGATTAATAAGTGACTTTCACATTGATATTGGTTATTTTGACATACTGTCTTTAATTCAAAAACATATGCAGATGAGACCAATCTCTTACATATTCATGAATTTGGCTCATCTATTGCTGAGGAATTACTTGTCAAATTGCTTCCCTTTTTGGGTACAAACACTATGAAGTTTTAATTGCGTTGCTCCGGTATGGGATCTTTTGACATGCTATTTTGAATTTCTTAGTACTCACATAAGATTTACTTGATCTTTTACATATTTTTGTACCTTGCTAATGATACTCTCAGGGTACTCTGTACGGATTTTCAGTGAATTTGATTCATCAGTTGGCCGAGAAAATATTTGTCAAAAAGTGTCTCATTTTTTTGGGACACCCGATATATCTTTTACTGACTCAATAAACCATGTCATACAAATGACATATCAGTCACTACAGTGAACAAAAAATGTTTCTATGTGAGCAATCTGGGATTACCAACAGAACCACATACATTCATAGTCATGGTCACTTTTAGGTGTTTTAGATGGCTGGAAAAAGAAGATGACTTCAGCGCAAAGTGAAAGAATTGATGACTACCTCAATCCAAGACTGACACAACTTGGCTTAAGATTTCAATATGAACCAGAACAACGGCAACGCCAAAGCGTAGCGAATCCCATCGAACAGAAATGGCTGGCAATTTTACAAACGAAATATATAGCAAACATCATAAAACAATACACCAGAAAGGCCACCATTTTCAAAATGGTTGCTCACTAGCCAAGTTGTCATCAGAAGAAATAATATGCTTTTAAGTAGCCACCTATAAAATCTTTGAAAAATCGCATACATGTACTTGTAAAATAACACACATAAAAATGGTGGCCATTTTTCAAAATGGCTGACTACTCCCCAAAGTTTTATTAGACAATGTGCCATGCTTAAATTGTTCACATATCAAATATGACAAATCGCTCCACTACTTTTCGAGTTATAGTAAAAAATGTAAAAATGACAGCCATTTTATAAAATGACCGCCTACTATCTGAAGTGTCATGAGACAGTGTGCAAGGCTCATGAGTATTCACATATCAAATATGAACAAAATCGCTTCACTACTTTTCAAGTTAAAGTAAAAAACGTAAAGATGGTGGCCATTTTTCAAAATGGCCACCTACTACCCAAAGTGTCATTAGACAGTGTGCCATAGTATTCACATATGAAATATGAAACATACCAAATATGAACAAAATCACTTCACTACTTTTCGAGTAATAGTAAAATACGTTAAAATGGCGGCCATTTTCAAAATTTTTTTCAAAATGGCCGCATTCTACCAAAAGTGTCATAGGACGGTGTGCCATGCTTATAGTATTCACATACCAAATATGAACAAAATCGCTCCACTACTTTTCGAGTTATAGCAAAAATCGTGAAATAATGAGTAAAGGCCGCCATTTTTCAAAATGGCTGCCATGTGCTTCGTTAATGTCTACATTTGTAGCTTTATTAATGTCCTTCATAATTTTTTTACATTTAAAACATATTGCTATTACAGTTTTACATATTGCACCTAAATTACTGTAAAATCGGCACTAAAATGGCCGCCATTTTGAATTGAGTGGCCATTTTGAAAATCGGCTTTCGAGCAGAACTTCTACCCTCATAGGGCACCTGTGTATAAAATATGAACAAAATCTGGCAAAAGGTATTTGAGTTATCGCCCGGACAGACGGACGTACGGACGGACGGACGGACGGACGGACGTACGGACGGACGGACGGACGGAGGCGTTCCCTATATCCCTCCGAACTTCGTTCGATGGGATAATGATGACTGAGGGCAGGCTTAATATAAAGTCCCTTATATGTTTTCTGAATATAAAATATATTACCTCTATAGGCAGTTGTCTCTCCAGGAGGGCAATTTGTTCCTCTATGTGTTGAGCATCATGGTTCAAACTTGGGTCTGACTGGAAATGGGCTCTGGAAAATGTAGGATTTGTTTATTCTCTAAATAACAAGGGATACTGTAAACAATAACATAAATATGATTAACATTACTGTACGTCTAAGTACGTTACAAAACTCACAGAGTCAAGAAATCTGTAGAGTACATATCAGCCTAACATTTCTTATAATTACTTTGATGGTTTTTGGCTTTACTGATACAATTAATCCAAAAATGTTATTCTGAGATGATTTGTTAACGACAAATAAATATGTACCTTGAGCATGCTTTTAAGTTCTTTATCTTTGTTTCTTCATTTTGAACTGACACTGCTTGTTTATACTTGATCATCTGAAAAAAAAGATAATATTACATGTATTTCACTTCATAATAGGCGAGGATCATATGATTAAGGAATATAGACCAAAGAGCAGGAGTAACAAATTCAACATTTCTCCCGGGTATATTCGCGAATAGTACCCCTGGTAATACGAGTAATGTGTGACGTCATAACGACGTGCCATAGTAATGGTGGACCCTAAATGAATATTCGAAACATTTTGGTGAGTTTTCAAGTTTGAATCGTAAGACCTCAGAGCAGGTGTAATATCGTGGAATACACCCCGCAGGGCTAGGTACAAATGTTTTCTGTACCCCGAACGACCAAAGGAATTGAGTGGTTCGAAAGTTTTTGTGCCTAGCCCTAAGGGGTGTATTCAACGATATTACACCTGCTCTGAGGTCTTACGATTCAAAACTCACCAAAATGTTTCGAATATTCATTTAGGGTCCACCATTAGTACGGCACGCCGTTATGACGTCACACATTACTCGTATTACCAGGGGTACTGTTCGTGAATATACCCGGGAGAAATGTTGACTTTGTTCACATTGAAGATGTGAATACAGTCATGTACGAATGTAGTATTAAACACCAATAAAACATCGAGGATTGGATAAAAATCTGAATATACTAAAACACTTTTTATTGTCTTTTGGATGCTTTACATATACATGTACATAGCAATGCTAGGATTTCAGATATTACTATAAAAGGCAAAATGTTAACTACATTAAGAAAAGGACACTTATATATTATTTCAGTTTTGAAACTATATTCCAAAAATAAAATTATCATAAAATAATAACTCACAGCGGCCTCCTCTGTTCTGCCAAGCATTCTGAAAGTGAAAATATAATAACATTACACATACAGCAGTCTCTATTTTAATCAACAATACAAAGAGTGAACAGTATCCCATCCTTGAACAGAATAGACAGTTTTTGGGTTAGAGTCTAAAATGGCCACCTTAACATTTACCCAGAATGCCCAAAACTAATCAATTTGAGATTTTTACACAAAGAGACATCCCTTTAACTGAGCCCAAAAATGAAATATAATATTGTTACTGTCCACATGGTTGGAACGTCCATCTGACTCTCGCAAGGACTTAAATTTATATACATCACTTAAACTGCCAAAACAACAGTTTGTCTTCTTTAAATTATGAATATGAATTCTTACCCTAATATGTCTACCAGCTCTATGAAGTCATAGTGTTTCTTGAGGTAGTTAAGATAGTGTTCTATAGCACTGGGTCTCATCATAAGGATCTGGTTGAACATTGAGGGCTTGATGGTTTTCTTCAGGAATAATACTGCCTAAATCATGAATATTTGCATCTTAAATTACAAGCTCCTTGACATACATACAATATTCAATTTTCATTCGGTATGAAGAAACTTGTAGCTATTACAAAATAGAACTTTACAGTGAATATGACAAGAATGTACTGTACATGTACCAATACAATGATGTTAAAATGATGATTTTGACTTTCAAAAGAAACATAATAGAGCCCAAAGGTACCAACATCACAAACAAATATTTTGAACTCCATAAAAGCTCTTGAACTATTAAAATGCATAATGGGCTATTTAGGCCACCATGTAAAAAAATCAATTAAAGAGTACAGAAAAACACAAGACTTATACTTCAATTGTAAGCAACCACTTACAGCTGTTATAGCATTGCCATCATGAAGTTTAATGGCAGCATCAAGTAACGCAACCTTATCATCCTTTGATTTGTACATTTCTAGTGAATATTGTTGTCCACATATAATTCTCTTTACAGTCTCGGTGGGTTTTAACACAGTCCATCTGTCTTCCTTGGCACTCTACAATGAGAAAATTGTTTTATATACAGGGTGGGCCAAAACAGTGAAAGAATTGTTTTATACACAGGGTGGGCCAAAATTATGCAAAATTTTGGAAGGCCTGGTATTTACTTAAGAATTGCTTTAATATGATAAAAGTTAAAGGACAAGGATTGAAAAGAATGCATATGGCTAAAAAAGTACAAGAAGAATTCTAAATTGTTTAATTTTCATGATTACTCAAAGCTTCATGTAGAACCTGCTAACAAGGAATGCTCTCTGATATATACGATTACTGAATTATTTGATATCTTCAGGGATGTTGATAAGCTTCCTGCAGTATGCTTTCACATAAAATAAAATATCAATATTTAACCCAACTATAATATACTACCTTTAAGGATCGTTGGAGGAATTTTATCTCAGACTCTAACTTGGCAATGTGTGATGATGTTGGCTTCACCTCTGATGGTTTATGGCTGCTAACAACTGGAAATGGAACTGATAATTACATTTTATCATTTTTAAAGGCCCTATGTAAAGTTTAAACCACTCTGGGTTGAAAAAGATGTGATATATAATACCATTTCAAATGTGATAGTGAAATTATTATATTATTCAATATGCATGTAAAATGTGATACTAGTATTAGGGAGTTGTTCATTTTTTAACTTTAGGGCGTACAAATATTGTAATACCACACTTTTGAAAAATGAGGTTTTTAGTATTTATATAAACAAATATATGACAAAATGAATTTAATTAATCAAACACAGTTAAGCTATTTTTCTGCATTTTGCTACATAATTAACAGGATATTAAATGAAAGCATACAAAAAATTTAAAAATCACATGTAATAACTCCATGTAACTCAGTTAATATTATTAGCTTACTTATGAGAAAACATTATATAGGCCTATAAAATACATACCATCATCTATTGAAGGCTCTGTAAATCCCTGAATGCCACTACTGTATCCAGAAGATGAACCTGTAAATCAATAAATTCAACTCTAAACAAACACACTCAAGTCATCAGGTATGCAATATTAGGAGGGTGATGACTTGTTTAAAATCGACCATCAAGAATAATATGCATCAGCATTCAACAGTGTATATTTTACAGAAAACTCAACAGAATCAAAATGTTTGGTTATTTGATTATTTCCATTATTTTGAATTATTTATGCAAAATTCACATATGTTTAATGCATGTATAAAGTTGTCTCTCAAGGGTCCACTGAGTGTAAAATTAAAATTGAATTGAGCTCTTAGGAGTTAGAAATTAGGAGTTAGAGTTAGAAATGGTCATTCAACCTGTCCCCCAACAAAATCAATTCTGTTCCTCCTCAAATGTTGACATTTAGACACTTTTTGATCTTGTTGCTTCAAAACTGTTGGGAGATCAGACAGGCCCGTAGCCAGAGGGGGAACTGGGGGAGCGGAAGCTCCCCCCCCTGGCCAGAAATTCTTTCAAAATCATGCAGTTTTTCACCATTTTGAGAATTTTTCGCATGATTTTCAGCCAAAATTATGTAAAAGCTCCCCCACCTGGAAAAAAGCTCCCCCTCCTGGTAAAAGCTGGCTACGGGCAAGATATCACCTACACTTGTTATATCAAAGCTATCTGGGATAATAAATTACCTGATTTAAAGCTGGGTCTTGCCTGGGGCTGGGGTGGTGCATTGGTATTTTGATGTGGAATGGTGATATCACTTATTTTAGGGGAGGGTTGATAGCGAGCAGATCCTGTATAGCCTATAAATAGTTGAATAAAGGTATATATAAATAACTTAAAGGTGACTCAAGTTTAAATTTGGGGCCACACCTTGACAAGTATTTTTCACCAGATCGTTACAAAGCCATGTCTCTGGTTGAACAGTTATGGTCAGGGGACCATCAGAGGTGGTGCAATCAAGCATCCGTTCCTTGAGCAGGCAAAGGAAAATATATCATACACAGAGAGTGCAAGGGGATGGATTTTCTATTCAAATTCTGTGATCTGTCCCGGTGTCTGTAATACTTTGAAATTTGAAATTGGTGAGCAAATAGCTTTAAATATTGAAAGAAAACATGCAATAAATGATGAAATCTTCATAATAATGAAACTGGGTTGATGGGTTAAAATAAAACTGGGTAGACGCTTATGAAGCAGATTAAATTCCTAGGGTTTCCTTAAATATCTTTAGGGATAGCTGTAGATGTCAAGCCCTAGTACTTTCATAATACCATTTGTCTCATCATGCTTTCCAGTGTTGAAGTCGAGATGCTCAGATCCCATTTTTAGTGCACTATCTTCTGATAGTGCTTCACTGTGTTCTACTGAAGTTTCTTCATCAATGGGTTCCTCCTTAGGTGCATAACCAGCAACATTCTTAGTAGCATCTTTGCACACAAAATAATTATGACATCATAAAGATTTTATATTTAACATGAATGAACTGTGAAAAATCATAAACAGGAGAGCGTAGCAAACTCCTCTTTGTTAAGATCTCTTAAAGTCTATATCACAGTTTTTACAACATATTAGCACTGTTTCATGTTATATTGAATACATTTAAAAAATATAGACTTTCCACTGACATGGTTTTATATTTACAAGTATTTACCTAGCTGCACATTCGAAGGTTTGGGTTTACTGATGGTCTCTCCTGTCCAATCTATGACATCATCATCATCTTCCATTAAGGAACCTTTCATAGAAAATGTCAATCGTTTGGCATTCTCCAAATTCTGAAAGCATGAACATGCCAATTAATCTTTTATAGGCCTGAGGATCAAAGGTGTTATTTACAGCCCCCTTTATTTACATAATGCACTGTTAGGCCCTGTTGTACATACACTGGACAAAATCCAATGGTAGTACCATGATTGTATTCTTATTCAAAATCTAAATAAGAAAAGTTTCTGATTACATGGGATTGAAGAAAGCATAAAAATGAGGCAAAAAGGTTCACCATTAGGGAAGTGTTCCCAATTACAAGTTCTACTCTAGCTTACAATTTAGATAAATTTATAATAATGAAAATATACTGTACCTCTTCATCAAAGTCAAAGCCTCGTATTTTAGATTGGTTCCAATCTCCATCTTCGTCTATACTCTGTAAAATCGAAATCATTATGACCATTTATATCATAATTTTGTCATCATTATTATTCAATAACATCATTACTGTTATCACAATATTCTCATTTTGTTTTAAGTGACTCCTTTTATGATGATCTTGTATTGACCGTCAATAGCAAGTTACTAATACAGCACAGCTGTAATCATTTTTTGTATTGGAAATTAATACTAGGAGGGTCTGTGTCATCCATGTTGGTAATTGTCGGACATTCAATGCAGACATTCCTTTGTCGGACAATTACTGTACCTACATGGACAACATTGCCTCCCTTTCTAATTCCTCATTGAGCTGAAGGATGTGTATGGAAGCCCAACTGTTCTGGGCTGCCCAAGTGTTCTGACTCTTGCCCAACTGTTATGACAACCCAAGTGTTCCGAGTTCACTTATTTTATCATATCTTAAAATTCATGAGGGTCAAAAAATAAAATTTTGCTGGAAAAATGCGAGAATAAAGAAAAATGTTGACCATTTGAAAGTTTTGACTCAATTTTTAATAATATGGACCCACCCATCTTTTAAATTCCAGACAAATTTTTTCAAAAGGCCCATTTTTCCAAAAATGAGGCATATTCCTGAAATTGAGACCAAGCCTAAATATATTAATATACTAGTAATCTGTCTAATTACTCAGGAGTGTTCCATTGTCCAAAAGCCAAACATCCGGAGATTTGACACTCCTCAATGGGTACCCTGTTAGTTTATACAGAGACATATAAAACAAAGCCTTTTGTGCATAAGACAGCAAAATTATAACTGGTTTTGTTAACTTAAAGTGTGGACCAGAAATAAACCTCAACCATCAAAAGTTGTCACAATGAGCTAAATTCTAAGTTTTGTGTCTCAAACTCTCCCAAGCGGTAGAAAAATAATTTCTGTTCAGTTTAAGTTGCACAATAAATGAATCCAAAGCTTCATACCTGCAAATGATTGATAAATCCCTACCAAATCAAACAAATGTTTTTATGAATCGCCATGTTTGTGATCCAAGGAGGATTGACTCCCAGAATGCAACATCAGTAACCTTATTTACTCGTGACAGCTTTCAAAATGGCGGAACAGTATTTTGAAAGGTGGCATGTGTCATGTTGCATTCTGGGAGCCAATCCACATTGCGGCGTCATCGGGCTCCAAAATCACCTCAACATTTGAAGAGTCGGCGTTAACATGTGAATATCCACTTCAAATTTTTAAGTTCTTATTTGTCATTATGGACCCAAATTCCACTATATCTGGACTTATTAGGACGGAGAAAATAGAGCACTGAATACACTGAGGAAAGAATTTATTACATGTGACAGCATGTAATTTTCATAGCTTTTGTAATTCTTTATGTTCCCCACTGTAATTTCAACAGTCATCTCTGTAGAAACCTAAAAGTGTATTAGAAATTGGAAATCACTGTATCGAGTTTATTTGATAAAATAAGTGAACCCAGAATACGTTGGTGAAGTCTGAGTACTTCGGCAAGAGTCGGAATACTTGGGTAGCCCAGAACAGTTGGACCTTCACAGACATGCGATTTCAATAAAATTGTTTTTAAACACAATATCGTGCAAGGTAATACAATTTATTACATAAATACTCTCTTTGTATTTCTATAGCGATATTTCACTGGATTTTCCTTGAAGAGAACTCCCTATATCCCAAATGTAAAGATTTAAAAACAAACCCGGAAGTGGAACAAATATAAAGTTAATTTTAGGAATGTTTTCTCCATAACTCAGTAATTTTCAAAGAGGCAAATGTGGCAATCGGAGATGTCTGAATATTGTTGCTTATTGCTTGCTATCAATAATAACATTATCTTGTGAAATTACTGCAAATGACAGATGAAAGTAAATAATTTTCATACCCGCCTGGCTGACATTTTGTTTTGTTTTGCAGTACAGCCACCTATCGTCGATAATTCCCGGGGAGTGTCAACTTTCTTGTGATTGAAGTGATAAAGTTTTGTATCTTACTCGTATTTTCACAAAACATGATAATTGAAACCAACCAGTTTGTTTTACTAGTTCAATATGTCGATTTCATGACAGGGGATTAGATTTGTTTAAATAAATTTTGATATTTTCGTTCAGTGTAGAATATCAAATCGAGGGAGACAGAGTTCCGGTCTAAATTTCTTTTTTATTTTCTTGCAACAAATTCAATTCTTCTGCAATCTAGAGCACAATAAAAACTCTACACTATGTCTGATGCTGAAGTTGTAAAAGATGTTCCAGTGGAGATTGAATTAATCAGAGGAGCAAGTGGTAAACGTCATAATTTATTAACTTTTAATTTTGTTTCTATTCAATAAAGATACCCCCATAAATATGTAGACTGTATCCTTCGTCTGATTAAATATTCAGACTGTAAGTCACCTATTGTAAAATGTGGTGTTGAATAAATGTTACAAATAAGTTTGTTAAATGATAAAATGATTACCTTGTAAAGTACTTACAATATTATTTTTTCGTATATTGTCCTCTTACTGAAGATATTCATAAAATGTACAGACGCTTCTTGTAGCGAAGCCATTGATTAGGTCAAGCCATTTTGGCAATGCCAATTCTCACGATAAACGAGATTTAGCCAGTGACGTCAGTCTATTTGTAAACAAATAACACGTGGAGCGGACGGAAGCGTGTTGATAATTCCATTTGTGCGGGAATTTATTAGACTAGATCTAGTCATTTATTATCATTATCCCGATTAATTTTCTTCATTTATAGTAAATAGAGCGGAAATATTTATGAAGAAGGCCGAGGTAATCAAGTGGTCATGTGTTGTCAAAGTTCAAAAAATTTGCATATCTCGTTTGGATCTCGTGAACTCAAACGTCCTTGACATTGATTTCGCGATGTACTTATAAACACGTCCTGAAGTTTTGGTGAGTCTGAACATTTTATTATTTTATATCAACTTGTACCCGCCTTATACAAATATTTTTGCTTCTAGTTTAAGATGAACATCTCTTCAACATATTCACCAATTTTCAAGGTGAACATTCTTGTAATAAACGAGAAATTTATGTGCAAAAAATATCACCGCGATTTCCATAGGAAATATATCAATCATAACAGACCGAATATTATATTCGGTCTGTTGGATACATACTACATAAATATGAGGTTACAGTGGGGATCATAAAGAATTACAAAAGCTATGAAAATTACATGCTTTCGCACATGTAATAAATTCTTACCTCAGTGTATTCAGTGCTCTATTTTCTCTGTCTTAGTAAGTCCAAATATAGTGGAATTTGTGTCCATAATGACAAATAAGAACTATCATATAAAATAAAAACATTCATTTATTGTGCTACTTTAGTGAACGGGAATTATTTTTCTACCGCTTGGGAGAGTTTGAGACACGAAACTTGGCATTTAGCTCATTGTGATAACTTGTTAACGTTGAGTTTTATTTTTGTCCCCCACTGTATTTTGAGTTTTTTTTAAATTATTTTTGTCATATCGGAATAGTACTATGATTCTTTGGGGAAATTGATCAGATGATTTGAATTTGTATTCAAGTCCTAAGAATCAGCAGTTTTCTTACCTTTTTCTCTTCTTCTGCGAAGACGATTCTATTTTAAATGTAATGAGCAATCGATTAGTCGAAACAATGCTTTATAATGGTAACAGTTCACACTAATATTTGTCCTTTTGATTTGACATAATTTCCTTCATTTTTGATTTTTGCGCTCTGCATTGTGGGGGGAGTATGATGGGAAACTTAGCAGAACCAAACAAAATCATCTGTCAAATAATAGCAAAATTAATTGATTATACCTAAATCTAGGAAATCAAAGGCCGAATACGGCAAAACGGACAAACCTGAGGTTGAAAGTCCTTTTGATACACCCCTGAAGATAATGATGAATTTACTTTTTTGGATTTCATATTTACGCAAAGTTTTTATTTAGATAAATATTATCGCAACGAAAGTGCAGATTGAAAAATTTTGAGAAATGTTTGTTATCCGTACAACTAAATCATCATTACAAGAATCAATATAAGATTTTGAGGGCTACTTATGGTAGCATGTTGCAGAAAAACTAAACTCAAGCAAGTGTCAGTCAGATTTCGCGGTGGTCCGTTTTGCCTGCTATTGCCCAATGAAGTCTGTTGGACCTCACTAAGCAAAGGGCTAGACTATGAACTGATTTGCCAGATGATTGATGGATATACAAGTACATACAGTCATCCCATGTAGGGCTATTCGATGCAATATAGTTTCATTGACTCGATACTGTGCACCAACAAAATTCATTGGAAAATTTCAAACCCACTAGTCTGATTAATCCTGATTTGGTTGTTTACTTTTAAAAAAAGTATCACTGATTATATCCCTCCTCATGCTAATTTTTGCTGATTTCCTTGAAGAATAGACATTCATTTTGTACTGAAATTTTTTTAATTCTGCAGTAAATATACATGTATAAGGCACATTTTTGACAAAGGATAATATCAAATATGAGTATAACTGCATTTGAAATATTAGTCTGACATTAGGGTGTTTCACTTTTCAATTATATTTCCGGATCAAGACAGAGTTTTGCCCAGTTGGTCTATATGATGAAAATGACTCTGCAATTTTCAGATGATTATAAACATGGTAGGGAATGGGTGTCAGAAAATGTGGTGGCGTGGGGGGCCTAAACGTCAACGTCCTCTACCAGGAGGCCAACTGGGCAAAACTCCATCTTGATCCGGAAAAAAAGTCGAAAATTGAAACAGCCTAACTGACATCTATTTTTGGAATTATCACAATTTAGATCGAAAAATGCCAATTACATGTAGTTTGAGGTCAATTTTTTCAACTTTCAGTGCTGGGTAAACACACATTTAATTTGAAGTTGTATTGATGTTGAGGTCTGATCTTGTCAGATTGGTTTACAGCTAGACTTTTGAACTAACTCTCCCTTGAATTGATTTATGCAGACTCTGTGTATTTTACCAAATAGTTTCCACACCTAATGTCCCCTCTTACGTCTTTAGGGCACCTAGTTTTCCACGGGCCACCTGAATTTAAAAAGTGCACAATCCTTTTGCAATTGAAACCTCACAATACATTTTCTCAACTAAAAGTGAAGTTAGATATTTTTCCCCAGTGTAAAGGCACCAAAATTTTCTGTCAGCTTCCAGTTTATCTTATTAATGTATGCAGATAAAAACTTACACCTCTGTTATTCAGCAATGGTGGGATATCCACTTTCTGAGACTCAGGGGGTAAAAATGACCACGGGTCAGTGTTTAAACTACTGTATATCTGTATATTCATCATTATTATCATTATTATAGGATTAGGCTTCAACATTAGAGGAGGTATTGATATACCACAAACTCCAGGAGAGAATGGAATCTATGTGACAAAGATTCGTTCTGATGGTTCCGCTGCTGCAGATGGACGATTGCAGAATGGTGACAAAATCATAAAAGTAAGTTGGCAAAAGAACTAGAATCAATTGATCCAGTTGTTGACATACTGGTAATAGTAATACATATACATGTACTCAAATGTACAGACAGTATACTTTTACATGTCTGCCACAATATATTTTTGCTACCAGCGACTTTGAATTGTTCAGGATATTGACCATCTTTTTTAAGATCTCTTGAACAGATGTTGATGTCATATGGATGTGTCAGTAAAAAATAATCTTTTGCTAAGTCTTTTATATAAACCTTTCAACGACCTCAATTCTTCTCTCACTTTGAACGTGATTTGTTGATGCTTTGAAGCAGTCATCTCTGTACATCAATATTTTCTATAGAATTTGCAACAGCAATGGGATATTGTTATATAAATAGTTTCTTCTTTCAGATAAATGGACAAGATATAACAGGATTTGCACATAGTGAAGCAGTGAATATGTTCAGGAAATCAGGAAACCCAATAGTTCTCACTGTTTACCAAGGTTCAGAAGCCAGACCAGTAAGTATCAACTCGTAGCTCACTTTTATTGGGTGTCTCATTATTTAGGGGTGGGATTACACTAGTTTACTACTCTGACATATACATGTACAAAGTTAGAGGATCAGGTCACTCGGATTAATATATGTAACAAAAATCTATTAAAAATAAACAAAAAGTAAAGTGAAATCCAAAATATTGATTAGTAAAACATGTAAAAATTGTAAAAAAAACTCAAAAATAATCTATTGAAAGAATAGTCCTCTGCCCCTTTGTTAAAGCTTAGGTTTTCCCTTATATGTAGAGTGACATAAAAATTTTGCGATAACATTCTCAATTACCAGGTACTCATCATTGTTTACTAAAGAAGTAAAACCTGTAAAGTGTAACACCTCTGTAAGTGGAACACTTTTCACACTCCCATTCTCATTTTTCGTGAGGTTTTATGAGATTTGCATATTAAACCTCCAATGACTCACCTTTCCCTCTTTTTAATGGCATATTTGAGTTCAGTGAGAAGTTTTCTACAAGAATGATATTTATTTATACAGTTATGTTATTGAAATATTCTTTCCATGACTTTTTCAACTTTTCTAAAAAAAAAAGTATAGGCCAAATCTCCATTGATGCAATGTTAAAATTCTTTAAAACCTTAGTATATTCGTTGAAACTTTAGTATATTGTTTAACAACCAAAATTTAAGTGACGATTGCAAGTTTCTGCCATTGAAGCCTATGGCAGTCTGGCCCAATCAAAACGAATAAAAACAAGTGCTGACATCTTTTTATTCAGCTACTCCCTTATTGAATGTTCATATGTGGAACCAAGGGTGTTCCACTTTCACAGTTTTCAGTGCTTGCATGCCAAAGAATCTTGTGAGTTTAGGAATATGTCTTTTGTCAAAATTTTACCAAATAAGTGAGAATAATTAAAAAAATTATTGCATAAATGTGGCTAGCTAAGATATGTTAATGGTATTCTTTTTTCATGAAACTAATCCTGAATTAATGACTTTGTAAATTTCTAAGGTTCCCATATTCAGATTATTTCATTTTGAACATTTTCGGACAATTTTACACAAGGGGAAGCCCAGACAGAAATTTTTTTTCTCTTCATTGAGAAGTGTGCAGCACTGCACATTTGTCGGCCTGATCTACTGAAACAATTCATCAAAGGTCATGAATAAGAAGCTATTCCAATATGATATAATGTATAATGTATATTTTTAATAGTATCCAACTTTTTGTTGATAATGTTTGGTGTTTGGCATCTGACAGTGGGTGTTTGGCAATCAGAGTTTAGTGTCTGTAGCAAATGGCAGGTGGTGATATTTTGTAGTATAACGTCTTGTATATATTTGGTGTCACCCTTTATAGTTCCAAAATGCAAATCCATATTGTTTGAAAACTGACTAAAACTGGTAACTTGTTTTTCAGCTGACTGAAGAGGATTCAGTGGATGGAGGAAAAACTGCGAAGAGTGCGCAAGGAGGCTTGTCTTTAGTGAAATATGGATCCTTATTGGGACTTTTATTCTTAACTGGAACTCTAGCATATTTTGCAGTAAAAAAATATCGCTTACAAGTAGATTAACTGTGTATTTTAGGAATATAGAAAATCACTATGTTTACAGTATGATCGCTATTTACAATGCAATATCAAGTTTCAAATTAACACATATTTTATTGATTATGTAAGAAATTATAAATATGATCATCAGTAAAAGATAAGGAAATTAGACAAATAAGCCATGAAACAAATCGTCTGAAAAGAAAAAAAGTTTTGTGCCATTGTTATAAGAGGTTACTTGATACTCAGTCTTGTGATTTTTACTGTGTAATAATCCTCATGCCATGCAGTGTAGTATAAGCTCGTGGCTCAAAGTATTTGAAAATCATGCACTTAGGTATGAGCCCACTCCTGTAGCCAGGGGAGATTCATGTTAAACCCCCCCCCCCTCCTGGCCAAATAGTCTTTAAAAATCATGCATTTTTCACCTTTAGAGCACTTGTCAAGTGATTTGGGGTCAAAATTGTCAAATTTGAACCCCACTCCTGTAACTTTTTTAAAAAAATGACCCCCCCCCCCCTTGGTAGAAGCTGGCTACAGGCCTGGAGCCTTAGTTGTCAAAATGTTGCAGTGTATGTAGAATGGACTAAACATTATCCTTTTACATGTTATTATCATTGGAGCACATTTGTTTGCTTGATATTTTGCAACGTCTATCAGGTTAGCTTTTTTTTAAAATAATATTCAACATAATATGATATAACAATAACACATGCTCTTTGCTATAATCACTTAATAACCATGTTCAGCTACATAAAGCCAAATTATGATCTGTGCATATAGTAAGTATCAATGGTAGTTCTACTACTACCATACTATAACTCCATAATTTTATTTCACTTTTAAAAAAGGAAAAATGTAGCCATGCAGACTAATGTTGTTCATCTAAAGGGCTAAGTCTCTAAAATGCCCTATATATTTGTAACAGTCTGCAGTTTACTCTATAAATAGTTTTTTTGATGCAAGGGTTCTATCCTGAAAATCCAGAGGCTTGAAAATTGCACAACAAAATCCATGTAGCGAATTATAATGTGCCTCTTATAATTTCAAAAGGCACTAACTATGTGAGTAATCTGTTAAAGCTTTGGTATTTCCAGAATAGAAGTTTTGTAACAAAGTCTATTGATGGCTCAAGTTACAGGTTATTCTAAACATTCATCAGTTCTTAAGCTAATAGACACTGGATTCCATTTAGAGTCTCTCTATATATAAAGGAATAGTAGAGATTATGAGTCCCACAATGAATGAGCTCCTTTAATAGAAAATTTGTGCATTCAATGTATTTTGTGTATTTGTATAAAGAGGTCAAAAAGGCTAAAAGAAAAACATTTTATTATGAAGTGTATTTTGTATGGGAAATATTAAATGCTAAGCTGTATAACAGGTTAACATGTTCTAGAATCATTGTGGTATCACTTGTGTGTATTGTGTATACATAGTCTAGCACTTCTAGAGTTTTGAATGAATGTGATACTTATTACATTGACTGACAACAGACACCTGCTCCCTGTAGCACATATCACTCTTTTAAGTTGCAAATGTACACAAAACATTTTGTATTCATATATAATACAGGTGCGCTCCAGTATGTAACTTTTGAGGGAAAATTATTATATTTTGAAAAACTGTATTAAATCCCTGTATATCCTCCTTGAGGTAACATGTATTATATTTTGTAAAATAAAGTAATATATTAGTGTAGATTGATATTAATTTTAACAAAGTAATTTCCAAAGTTTGTTGCCATTTTAACTTTTCTAACTGTAAGGAAAGTAACTGTTTCACATAATAAATGCATAATAAAAATCTGTATTTCAAAGTTATTTTATTTATTCACTAAAATAATTCAATAAAATCTATGCTTTTCATATTGGTCAGTGAAATCTATTAATCTGGTCAAAATGACTTTTGCTCTAACATCTAAAACTTTTTGTTGCATCCTGCCCCCTTCTGCAGAACATCAGACCATGGGCTTTCAAGGCACGAAAATCAACAATGGTAGATATACAATTTGATTGCTACAAATACTCAAATATAATTTTCATAGTTTTTTTTATTTCAAATCTATGTAATTACAAAGAAATTACCACTGACAGCCTTTCATAATTTTGCAGCAAAAATCTTTGATGTGAGAACCATCTATTTTATATTTCCAAACCTAATTTGTTGGGTACATTAATAGATGTCACTCTGAGTGAGTGTTGATTACACTATTGGGAAATGAAAAATGTTAATTTTATCCGCGTTACGCCCACATTTAATATGAAGCATGAACATTGTTGGCAGTAGGTAGAAAAGTACATTATATCATAAAAATGTTAAAACTTTTGATTCAAAAAATCACTGGATAGGCCTAATAATCCACTTAGCAAGGGTATGTGTGTGTGTGTTCAATGACAGCAATCAAAGGATGATTTGCTACAGGAATGCAACTGTTCCGTGTAAAAATACTCCTATCCCAGTCTACATTGTTTTTTGGTTTTGCCAGCCTGATATTAGAATTCTAATAAACCACGATTGCCAACAAGAAAATCTCCGGGACAGTTTTCCGCTAAGTCCCGGTGTAAAAGGGTAGGAGGTTCTATCAAATTATGGTCCTACTCTCCATTGATTTATATGGTGACCTAAATACAACTCTTTCTCTCATTATCTTATACAAAATCAGGGCCAGTAAGGGCCGTTAAGAAAGGGGACTATTATCCCTGGGGACCATCATTTCTTTCACACCGGTGTGAAAGAAATTATGTTCCTCCTTTTTAAAGGCCCTTACTGGCCCTGATTGTGTACAAAATAATAAGAGAAAAAGGTCACCATATAAATCAATGGTGAGTAGGACCATAAATTAATAGGACCTTCTACCCTTTTACACCGGTCAATATAGTCTCCCCGAATATATGGTCCAGGGGACCATTCACCCTAGGACAGGGTGTGTGGTCCTAACCGGACCATATTTTCTGTATTGGTAAACAATATAACCCAGGACTATATATACTGACGGACTATAAATACATGTACGTTGACCGGGTTCGGGTATGGTCGGATGATAATCCGTTTTTCTAATCGCTGCATGTACTTCACGTACGTAAATATCCAAGCTCATGTGCCAAAGGCATGAAAGGGAGATGACCAAAAACTGTTAAGTAACCTAGCAAGAAGTATGTTTATAGAGTATCTGAATGATTGGAGAATTGGGTATCGATAGAATTGAATAACATAGAACCGTTTTAAAGATGTACTTTCAGTGGGCAATATGAAATATGTACTTACGAACGCACGCGTACAATTTATTTTCGACGTCATTTTTAAACGAAAAATGAACGTGTAAAATTATCATGTTTCTCGAGAGATACGTTCTTTCCATGTGTAGTATTTACTTTCCCAATTGAGTATGAAAGGTTATAAAGAAAACGTTTGGCTTAGGTGCCAGCTCCTGGAAAATGTCATCCGGCCTTTGGCCCCATTGGACAACTGCCGAACACCAGTCGCCTGAACACCAACCGGCGCCAAACACCATCCTCAAAAAGGTTGTTGGAGACTATGACAATATGTCACCACTTGTGGTTGTGACACAATAAGAAGGGAGGGGGTTACCCCCAAAAATAGATCAACCTATCTTTATATAAAGATGAACATCTAGGACGGTGTTAAATCTTTATCGGCCGGGTTCATCTATTAGTGAATTCTGGGTCAAATTCTCAATGCCTTTCTTCTAGGAGAATTCTTAGCAAAACAAAGATGGGCTGAGCATCAAAATAAGTGATTATTTTATTTTTTACTCCCGCATTGGAAGTCCAGCGAAGGTTCGAATGGAAACATATTATATAGCCTAGAGACATAATGTTGTGCGTCTGTCGTGATTATTTAAGCTTTTTACCAACAAAGTTCAACCATGCTTGAAAACGGCAACCATTGATCCAGATTGCCTAGGCGCTAGCTTACATAAGCACGGTGTTATAGCATGACAGATACGACAAGGCAATTGGCCAAATTTTGCGGTAACGATAACAAAAAATGGCGGACGGGAAAGACAGCATGTCCTCTTTTTCGCCTGTAGGCAAGATTCACAGGTAAGCTTTCCTTTTCAACTAGTTCCATTCGGTGATGCATATGTGAATGGTTATAAAGATTGAGTTAAATCTGTCGTGTGGTTTACAAGAAGCAGAATCTAAGCTGTAAACCTACCCAGCTGAGATTTCGAAGTTCATAATTTTTAGTCCTTCTTCGTATTTTCTCAGTATATGTGCCTCAGAGCCACTCAAAATACTAACTGTACGTAAACTGTGTATAAACAAGCCATAAAATGACAAATGCAGAACAGAAATGTGGTGAATATTGTAGATAATAAGGTTTCAATCGCAAGGTCGTTAGACAGATACGTATGTATTGCATGCTTTTTTATGGACAGCAACGCATTGTATTAGTTTTACATTAGATGTAAGCGGACGGTTACATGCAAGTTCCTGTCAAGTCAAGGTCCCTAGATGGATAGCTCTCTATGTGTGAACTGCCTATATTTGTTTTCAGGACTCGCAAGAGACGCTCTTGCAAATTGCTTGAGCCTCTATAGGGCAAGGAAAAAAATAGCGAAAGCCAATGAAAGTGAAAATGATTGTAATGAAGAGGCAAAGGAAGAAATTAGTAACAACGAACAGGCGACGGAAGAAAACAACTCCAAATTAATTGATGATGTCATGAGTGACATTAGACATATATTACCATTATTACAAATCATATTCAGCTGTTTATGTCACCATCTTCATAATAGTACAATAACGTCATTTCAAAGGGCAATATAGTGAAATATTGGACCTAGGGCCGCAGGTCCAAGGTCCAATGTTTCACTATTTTGCCCGCAGAAATGACGTGATTACTATTATTACCACCGTTAATGCCCAGGGCTGAAATAGCAAATTTGAAATAGAAAATCTTACGCACTGAACGATATCACTTTTCCCGGGAAACATAGCCGGGCGGATAATATCATTATTGCCCGACTAAAGTCATTAACGCCCGACACAATATTGCTCACGTCAATATAGCAATTTAAATGCCTTCTCAACTAGTACTAAAACCCCTAGAACAGGCCCTGCAAGGTGGTAATAATACGATTTCATCTATTATAGCTTACAAAACTCAAATCCGGTTGAAAAACATTTCAATTTTGGATCACAAGCGATATGAAATGATTCGGTTTTACATATATGAACGAGGTTCGCGTAACTGTCTATCAATTTTTGGCGTATCCGCAAATTCAAAATACATTATTATGGCTTGAGTAGAACATACACTCCCCTCCATAAGTTTGGCAACCTTTTTCCCCCATTGAACTACGTGTTAAAGCCTCTTTATCTTTGAATTTTTATTTACTTAACCTGCGATGAGAATACTTAAACTATTGATGGGAACGTAATTTGACCTTAATTCCAATACCTCCAAATTTTCTCAATTTTTTTCCTCAATTAGAATAGGTCGAAAATTGGTGATAAATTTGATGAACTTTTGAAAATCGACATTCCCATGTTAACCAATGGGAAATGGTAGGTTTGCCGCAAGTCATATGACAGAATATCCATCCATCCGAGTCCTTGCAAAAAATACGATTAAGGCAGGCAATTGAATTTGCTAGCTTTATTTAACAAAATATTGATATGTTTCTTCAGGTTCAACAAAATTATAGGGCTTTAAAGTCAAAATTGTTTTTCAAAAAACCTCTCCCATTGAAATAACACAGGAGGCGAAAAATTATTTTCAAAAATGACTTTGAAGCGCTGTAACTTTAATATTCATCAAATAAACTAAACATTAAGTGTTCAAAAAAGTTAGACAATTCAATTTTCTATATAAAAATATTTTTTGCTGAATCTTTTACTGAAAATATATCCTGATTTCTGATTTGCCCCGAACTCTCCATTTCCCATTGGATTACATGGGAATGACGATTTTCAAAAATTCATCAAAGTTATCATCAATTTTCGACCTATTGTTATTCAGGAAAAAAATTGAGAAAATTTGGAGGTATTGGAAATAAAGTCAAGTTACGTTTCCATCAATATTATAAGTTATTTCTCCGCCGGTTAAGTAAATAAAAATTCAAACGTAAAGAGGCTTTAACACGTAGTTCAATGGGGAAAAAAGGTTGCCAAACTTATGGAGGGGAGTGTATTAAGTGGTTTACAATGCTTAATTGCCTTTGTATGATCGTATGTAGGTCACATTTATATACACCAAGGTTGTTGCGCAATGTAGAGCATGCCCTAACGAGGAAAAGAAACAAATTACTAAATTTTATGAAGTTTTGAATTTCAAACTCGACAGTTTTTCGCTTATTTCATGTTATCCATGGGCGTCGATTTGCAAAGACTACGTTCAAAATAAACATTACTGAATGCATCACCGAATGCGACGCTTACATAAACCTTTCATGCTTTTATTGATACGCAGTAGTAGAACATAATGCACCTACCTTAGCTTTCTGTTTCATCGTGGCCATTTTATTGGATAAATCAGTGATCGTATTCGACTAACCTCGTTTTCAGAGGTGGCGTATCCGTCATGCTATAACACCGTGATAAGTGTCCGATTCGCGGCAGTGTGCGTTGAGTGCGACAGTAACCCCTTCTTGAGCCATTTTGAGTTTTTTCCGGGGGGATTTCGTTAAGGGCGCTGAGGCCGGAAAAGGAAAATGTCCTCTTGTGAGTTGAACTGTTGAAGCATGAAGAGGCTGGGGTTCAAGTGCAAGCAATGATGATGGAGACTTGTCTCTTTTTTAGAGTGTACACAGGTGTAAAAGGGTAGAAGGTCCTATCAAATTATGGTCCTACTCTTCATTGATTTATATGGTGACCTCTTTCCCTTATTATTTATACACAATCAGGGCCAGAAAGGGCTGTTAAGAAAGGGGACCATAATCCCTGGCTGGGAGACCATAATTTCTGTAACTAAATATCCGAAGAAGAAGTTGTTCGAGGGACAAAATAAACTAGAATATATATTCCACACGGACGTGTATAACGTCCAGTCAACGTATTTATTGTCCATCAGTATCTTTTTTCTGGGGATAAGCTTATATATTTAAAATACCTTAAAAATACAATACAACGTGGGAGGATCATAAGTTCAGTCATCATGAGAAATCATGGCCTTCTATTTGAACCTTTCTTAACATAGGCTATTATTTTCTATGAAAGAAAAATGTGATGAATAACAAAATTTAGTTCCAGGGGCGTAGCCAGCTTTCAGTCAGGGGGGTGCGATCGCCAAAAAAATTAGGTTTTCAGTCGGGGGGTGCGGAATTTTACAAAAATTGATGCAACTTCCTTCAAAATAAAAGTAGCTTCAAATAAAAAGCATTTTAAAGCTCTTTTCTTCTATCTCATGGTTATATTTTCGCAATCGCACCCATCGCACCCCCCCCCCCTGGCTACGCCTATGAGTTCAGTCCGCATATCGTGACATGTGTGTTGACATGGTTGAAGGCCTTTTACAGGCAAGAAGACCTGGTCGGAGGCCTGGTCAAAATTTTACAGGAAAATATATTGATGCATTTTTACAATTGAAAATTTGTAATGGTAATATCGCCTATAAGGTGACGATCAGCTTTATTTCATGGTGTTGAGATAATAGGGATTATTTTAGGTGGAAGAATAATGTCTAGGTGAGGGTTAACAAATCATACTTGGACTTGTTGCCTAGCAACAGGCCTCATCACTTGGAGTATTAATAAATATTTTAAGGGGTCGTCTCAATAAGGCAATATTTGAATACATATATAGATACTTCCGTGAACCGATATACATTATTTTCCAAAACAGTATACAATTTGAACCGTTGAGTGTAGTTGACTCTAGATGAAGACAGCTTGATGCAATCAAACGCTACTAAGGCATTCGATAATCACTGCATAACCACCAATGAAATGATACTATGATGTATCATCAGGCTTTAGATGAATATTAGAATGGCATTCTGACAACCTTTCTTCATCCTTGGCCGGGATCCTTGGTTCAAGCCAAGGGTTAGGGTATTTCAATTCTTTCAGCTCAGCGAGGCTTGATCTTGAAGGATGACTTTTCTTTCGCCCACTTTATTTTCAAGACTATTGGGGTGGGGGGGGGGCAACAACTGTGGCTTTACCTTGAAACTCAATTTTTCAATCGTGTTGGAAATCGTCGAATTCATGAATTTGGACTAGTTTACCTCCCTATTGGCTTCACTTGCCCTAATTCGGAGTATGAATTAATACATATGGATGGGGCGAGGCCCGGAGGTGAGGGGGGGGGGGGCCTGGCCATAGGAACGTCTATAATATTTTTATTCCATCGCAATCCCTGATTCGAAAGCTCCCGGAAAGCTCATGAGCAACAACTACATGTACCGAGGAATAACATCCCAAATAATTTTACATGATGATTCCTGCCAATTTTACGTTCGAAAAATGCATGTAATTACGGGGTAATTACTTTCCTTCCGAATAAAAGTAATTGAAACTACTCCTATACTACATATCAGTAGTACTAGCTTTAGATAAGAGAAACTCTAATTTATAAATCAGAATGATCCAACACAACTTGACCATGGGAACACAAGTCAGAGAAAATAAAAGTGACAGACGTGCATTTTTGGGACAGAATTATATCAAACATATCAAAAATACAGTCTACACCACCCCTTTGCTTTAGCGTATTGAATGTAAAGGTAGCCCTTACAGAAAAGTTTATTGTTTTCCTTACAATAAATTACAATTTCTTTTCGTTGTTTTTTCTTGAAGTGACTTCAATATTTCGCCCAATTCGTTTGATTTTATAATAGAGTACATCATGAGCTTTCGTTTGATATACTGGATGATGTGGTCATTATCTTGGTCAGTGCCCCGTTCCAAAGTGTGTGCATTTAGAACCTAGGGACGCGTGACGTCACAGGTTTGGAAGAGGAGGAAGACAGAAGACCGTCGAATGACGACGTGCTCGTAATCATTGTTGGGCACTTCCCATTGCTAAATCAGCCCAAATCGAACCGATCATATGATATTTAAACATTTGAACTTGGATTGGATGTGTGAACTAGAGGACCAAACCGACCATGGCAGCGAATATGTACAGAGTTGGAGGTGAGTTAAAATTTACAATGGGGGTAGAAAAGCATGGAGGCTTACGGCTCGGCGGAGGAATTTTTAAAACACAATTTGGTCAAAAACTATCATTTATTCGCATCATTTGAGCAATATATGTATATTTATTCAAAGAGGATATATTCATAGACATTCTGTTCGAATTCAGTTGCTATTTTACGAGTTCTTCTCAAAATATCAACAATAGTAAATTTGAATCATATCAATTTGTGAGTGATGCGGCCATCGACGAAAACCAAATAATTAAAATGCTAATATTTCAAAATCTACCCGAAAAGGGTCAATATTTTTCTTTTATTACTTTAAGTGATGTGTTACCTTGAATGTTGATGCAGATATCATGGCAAAAATATGGATAAAAACGTCAATATTTTGAAGTTTTGGTTTATATTCTGTGGCGCATGAACACAATATGGTCATAACACAAAGACCTTTTTTGTGTATTTACAGATTATGTCTATTTTGAAACTTCATCAACTACACCTTATCAGATCAGAAGAATAGAAGAATTAAATAAGGTAAGATTTCGAAACACAAACGTAGTTTTGTTTTGAATGCTAAAATACCTAATTATTTGCATATTTATTTAGAAATACTGGAAATCATTGATCTATAGTCATAGAAGTCAATCATTCGTTGAGCAATTGTGAAATCATATAATACTTTTCATTATAGACCCCGAATGGCAATGTTGAGGCAAAGGTTATGTGCTTTTACAGGCGGCGGGACATATCTAGCTCCCTTATCCTACTTGCAGACAAGCACCAAAGTTAGTAATAACATTTTATATTATATTTTGTATATATTTTTCTTTGTGTCAGGTTTCGCAACATGAACCATACCAATTTTGATATCCCCATGGAGGTAGTTGACATCTTTTCGTGTTTCCTGTGTGGCATATTTCGATGTTTAGAGTTTCTTAGATGGTTTGTTATGGTTATAGTAAAATAGTAGTCTGCTATAGTAAAGTAGTTCCACAAGCGAAGCATCGTGATTGGTCGTTTTCATGAATGAATGAAACTTTCAAAATTTTGGTGGGAAATCATGAGTTGAAAGAATACATTTGAGAATCGTATCATATTTATGGTGATTTTATTCAGTTTTTCATGTTAGTGAATATTTAGGGTGTTTATATACATAATTTAGCAAGCCATTTCTCCTGAAAAAGAACTTTGTTGGTAGATATAGCAAGTGTAACATCAGGCAGATAATTTAACTTCTATCGAAAACAAAATGATACTTTTTCATGACTAAATGGGATTCACCCATCTGTGCTCCATAAATAAAAGATACAGACATTTTTCATCCTAAAAAGTAATGTGCATGAAATGTATTGTTACACACATATTTATTATTATCATTGTGGGATCTATAGCCTGTACCATGAACTCAGTTCAATCATAAAAAGGTGTGAATATTATTTTATACTGATATAGCTAAATTTGAAAAACTGTCTTACATTTGTACCTTTTCAAATTTCTATATTTTTGAATCACTTTTGAAAATGTTTCTTTATTGAGGCGTAAAGTCTTCTGTTAAATTTTCATAAATTTGGATATTTCAAACTCTAAGTCTTTTAAATAATTTCCATTCATACTTCCCAATTTCTAACCTCACATCATCACCGTGTATCGTACTATATGTTCAAATTGTAGATTCAGGAAATATATAAATGTTTAATTATATTGAGGTGAATACCCATGCATCTTTCACAAGTGATATTCCATTAAGCCCAAAGTGAAATATCATCTTGTGTATTTTGTCACAGGTGTTAACAGAAAATAGAATTAAATATTTGTTTTATTTTCTCTGTTATATTCCTCACTCAGATTAATGGAATAACAAACTATTGATGTCTAATTGATAATAACAATGCACTCCTGAGGATATATAACATTTAAATTACACAGGCCCGTAGCCAGGATTTGCCAAGGGGGGGGTTCATTTTTCAAAAATTTCCAGGGGGGTTCACATTTGACAATTTTGGCCCAAATATGGCTAAAATCACTTGAGAAGTGCTTAAAATGGTGAAAAACTGCATGATTTTGAAAGAATTTTTGGCCAGGGGGGGTTCGCCCGAACCCTGCGAACCCCCCCTGGCTACGGGCCTGTTACACTAGGCTAAGTTGTGACTGATGAATGTCATTTGTTATTATATCATGTCATATTCCTCTCTCTCTTATTGGACCATGTCCTACACTTGACAAATGATATTCACCAATCCGACTTAGTCCAGTGTAGTTTATATATACCTGGGAGTACAGTACATTATTATGGTCAATTACTCAGATGCGAGTAGGTAGTTACCACTTTCGCCACCAGGTGGCTCATTGGGGGGAAATAACATGGCAGGGTATTACAAAGTTCCCTTAAACTTGAATATTCATCAGTTTTAGTGGATCACTTTTCATATTACCCTTATGTATCTGATAGTTATACAAATTAAAATATGTCCAGTAAAGGAAAATGTTATCTGCCCAACAAAAGAAGATATTTCACTTTTTGTGATTTTACAACATGGGGTCTATGGGGAATCTCCCCGACCTAGAAGTCACATTTTCAAAGAAAATTAAGTTTTCAAAGTTGATAAACTCTTGACGTAAATCAAGATTATTTCTACTCGCACCTAGTCTATTAGACATCAATACTCTGTTATTCCATTAATATGATTGAGGACTATTAAACAGTGAATAATAAAACAAATATTTAATTCGGGCTTTGTGGAATATCACTTGTGAAAGATACACAGGTATTCACCTCAATAGAATTAAATATTTATATAATATTTAAGTCACATGTTGTATATAAAAATATGATAGTGATATAATAATTCATATTATGGTAAAGGCCCATCCACTTTATACCTCTTCTCAATAGACTCCCCTCCCCTCTCTTTTAAGGTTGCCTTGTATCAAGTCTCTGTTCAACCCCCCCCCCCCCATTTATTCCCCTTCCAAGGCTTGTATTATCATTGTTATGGTCTCCCAACTTTTTGTGACAGCGTTCAGAGTTGGGTGTCTGTAACAAATGTTAGGTGGTGACATTTTACATGTTTTAAAATGCCTTATTTTTGAAATTGTAAAAGTTCAGAGATTTTTTGTAGAGTTAAATATGATATCTGTCTGTCTATTAAATATGCCTTAAAGGCAAAAACTTATTGGAAATGTATAAATTACTATTGATTTGAAGTATATGAAAAATGTTAACAAGTATTATACTTAAATAATTTCCTACACCCTCAGTTTATTTAAATGTTTCTTTGTCTTAATGTTCACCTTAAACTCAAAGAAGAAATGTGATATCTCATGATTGCATTCCAATGGGACTACTTTTCTGGAACTATTTTCATCATATATATTATAGTCTAAGAACTACTTATTATAGTGTAAGGCTATGATGTTGTGAAAGGGTGCTGGTTAAATTAAGCATCAATTAAGGGTGCAGGAAAATGTTCATTGTAAAGCACTTGAACATCTGTCATTGTTATTTTCATTAAAACTGTCATTTGGAAAGGATTCACCTATGTGCTAAATAGATTATGAAGAACTATTTATTTAACAAAGTAAATACTAATCAATGAGCATATCAAAGATCATAAGTCCCCCTAATGGTTGGTCCTTTAAAGGTACATAATCTAAAAATAGAGCCTTATCGCTAGCAATAGAAGCTATGCATTGGCATAAGTAAAGAAAAATCCAATATAAAATGATGTTAAAATGCGATGAATACTTAACCATACAATTAATAAATGTTGGATAGTGTGAAATAAATATACATACTTGATATAACACACATTTCAAATAATGACATAATTTTTTTCCCTTTGGTTCAGTATTAATTTTTTTTTATGGTATTAATTATCGTTTTTGTTCAGATTTTTTAGGTTATGTTTATTGATTGCTCCTTCAGACACATTATGATATTTATGTTTTTATGTGTATTAAGTGAATATTGGTTATGTAAAATTATATTTATATTGATTATTTGTCTGATTTATTTGTCAAATTTGACTTATTGTAAGGACGTGTATTCAATGCTTTAGTAACATACATACAAGTCATACATTGATGATTTCATATGGATCGCATAAAGAAGAGAATAATAGAGTTTATCCCGGGGGATATATCTATATCTCACCAAAGGGAGGGATTATCTCTGTATCCAAAACTGACATATCTCATATTCGGAGAATTTACCAAATACTCCTCAAAATGATGAGATTTTGACTTATTTTTACATCTTTATTATCGATCATTGCCCATTTGCTAACAATACCATTGTTATAGTTTAAAATTTGTTTTCCAATTTTCATCTCCCAGGAATGAGATTGATTTCTGGTTTCTGTATACACGATATTGAATGAATACAAATTTTCGGAGAATAATTAAGATTGACTTGAATTATTTAGTGTGAACATAGGTTTAAATAGAACTTGCCAACAGTCAAAATTTGACACGAAAATTGAGATAATAGTCAGATTAACTTCTTGGAATTCATGTATTCGTTGACATCTGTAGACATACATTACAATCTATTCCAATTTGGTTTTGGGTCAAAGGTCAATAAATCCTAAAAGTAAGCAATCAAAAGACCAATTTGTGGTATCATATGGAAAAATACATTCATATTTTACACACAAAATGTTTGTATATATCAGGTAAATTAGTTCTATGAGCAGTGAGCGGTCCTGTGACCTCTTGTAATTTAGGAAGTTTCAGCCATGTTGATTTTTTGCAAAATTACATGTCAGAGAAGCATCAAAATATATGAGGTCACACATTTTATCAGCCAAACTAGTGTATTTTTATCGTACCTAACAAAAGGTACGATATTGTAGTCAGCTTGACGGGCGGCGGGCGGGCGGCGTCTCACTTTTCACCTTGTCTACAGGTTTCCAGCCAAACCATTTGAGGGATTCATCTGAAATTTTCAGGGATGTTTCTACATATCAACGTCAAGAACTGATTAGTTTTTGGGCATTCTGGGTAAATCTTAAGGTAGCCATTTTGGATTTTCCGTCCTAAAATCTTCACTTTCAAGACTTGTCTACAGGTTTCCAGCCAAACCATTTGAGGGATTCATCTGAAATTTTCAGGGATGTTTCTACATATCAACGTCAAGAACTGATTAGTTTTTGGGCATTCTGGGTAAATCTTAAGGTGCCCATTTTGGATTTTCCGTCCTAAAATCTTCACTTTCAAGACTTGTCTACAGGTTTCCAGCCAAACCATTTGAGGGATTCATCTGAAATTTTCAGGGATGTTTCTACATATCAACGTCAAGAACTGATTAGTTTTTGGGCATTCTGGGTAAATCTTAAGGTGGCCATTTTGGATTTTCCGTCCTAAAATCTTCACTTTCAAGACTTGTCTACAGGTTTCCAGCCAAACCATTTGAGGGATTCATCTGAAATTTTCAGGGATGTTTCTACATATCAACGTCAAGAACTGATTAGTTTTTGGGCATTCTGGGTAAATCTTAAGGTGGCCATTTTGGATTTTCCGTCCTAAAATCTTCACTTTCAAGACTTGTCTACAGGTTTCCAGCCAAACCATTTGAGGGATTCATCTGAAACTTTCAGGGATGTTTCTAAATATCAACGTCAAGAACTGATTAGTTTTTGGGCATTCTGGGTAAATCTTAAGGTGGCCATTTTGGATTTTCCATCCTAAAATCTTCACTTTCAAGACTTGTCTACAGGTTTCCAGCCAAACCGTTCAAATTTTTACATATGTTACACAGTGAGCTGATTAACTTTTCTGCGGCCATCTTGCTTTCTTGGTCAACAAATGCCGTGTTTAGGTATGATATTGTTCACGTCTGTGTCTTGTTCACTATGATATTCCACAGTGGTCTATTGATTGCTGATGTTTTTTAAGTTTTATTGATGCACAGTCAAAATGAAATGGACTGTGGAAGTCATGTGCAAGATTTAAAGCAATATCTGTTACCATGGCAACACTATAGAATTTGTGGTTATAAAGCAATAACTTGAGAATAGTTGGGTTAACCTAAAACAAATACATGTACTCTAAATTCTGTGTGTAATCGTGTGTGGACATTTTTCATGCTAATGACTTATTCACAACAAATGAAGAATACTTAATAATAATCTCTATGCTTCATATCTATCTAACAATGTTTGTGTTTTAGAAGTGTAACATTTCTGATTTTATAATCCTAAGTTTGTGTTTAAGAAGTGTAACTTTTCTCACTTTATAACCCTAATTTTGTGTTTTAGAAGTGTAACATTTCTGATTTTATAATCCTAACACAATTATTTACTTGCAGATGAGTTGGAGGATGACATGGAAGAAAAAATGACAGGTGTTGTATTTTTAATTCTTGAAGTTATTTAATTCAAATTTAACCTAGTAAAATGGTGCCATCTATTGGTAACCATCTCCCTTGTTGTCATAGCAGCAATAGAAAGAAAGTTAACAACCATATTTGGAACTTTCAGATAACATGGATGAAGACCTGGATGAAACTGAAGATGAAAAAATGGAAAGTGAAGCAGAGAGGACAGGTGCTGATATCAATGATAAACAAAAACATCAGTTGAAACATCGAGAGCTGTTTTTATCGCGACAAGTTGAGACTTTACCCGCTACACACATCCGTGGGAAATGTGTGGTTACTCTGCTGAACGAGACCGAATCTTTGCTCTCCTATTTAAATAAAGATGTAAGTGTCCTTGAATATCAAAACATATTCCTCCTATTTTGGCTTTTTAAGAATGGGCTATGTAGTCCTCAATGGATATAAAATCTGATTATGGAAGTCATTTATATAAGCATTTCTTCTCAATATGGAACCAGACCTTGAACCTAAAGTATTGTCCAAATTTATGTCATGATGTTAAAAATAAGGAACATATTTTACCTTTTGGCCATAGAATAGCGCAGAAATCTGAGAAAGAGAATCATTAGTAATATGAAAATGCTGCTAAAGCTTTTAAAAACATAGTTATTTCTTGTGTCTTTTTGTAAACTAGAGGAATAAATGGAAATGAACATGGTATTTCTGTTTTCAGGACACATTTTTCTACTCACTAGTATACGACCCCCAACAGAAGACCTTATTGGCAGACAAAGGAGAGATTAGAGTGGGCTCAAAGTTTCAGGCTGAGATACCTGCAAAACTTCAGAATGGTAAGAACTGTACTCTTATTTAAGCTTATGTGAATGGCCTGTTGTAATCGCCCATTGTTTTATAAGCTGCAATTGAATAATCAGGTCTTGTATAACACTGAGTTAACCATCACATACTCGTTTCCCCTTTAAGTGGCGAGTTTGAGAGAGGACCAGAGATGGTTAATATAAAATGGTGATCTTTTTTATGTCTTTTACCTCTAAAATAATTCAAACTTCAGTTTTCCTCACAAATAAATAAAGGCCTTCCTCTATAAGGTTAAGGATATTGAGATGGTCCCAATGCCAAAACAATGTATCTCCAAGGGACCAAATCAATTAAAGGTGAGGATGCGATGTACTTTCTGCATAGTCTTATTTTGAATTTACATTTCTAGTTACAGATGATGAGAGAGATCTATCAAAACTTGAGCGCCTAATGTGGGGACCCGAACATCTCTTAAATGATCGTCAAATAGATCAGTTCATGGTTATCGCCCGTGCTGTAGGTACCTTTGCTCGTGCCCTAGACTGCACCAGTACTGTTCGTCAGCCTAGTCTACACATGAGTGCTGCAGCTGCATCAAGGGATGTTACTTTGGTATGTCCCAGTCTGTATTAATTTGTATTAAAATAGTATAACTACTCCTCAGAGAATGTAGTTCATGTGGTTGCAAACATTTTGCCCTTTCTGAGTAAGAAATGTGGGAAACATGCCAAAACATCTCAAATTTAATGATTTTCAATATTTTTAAATTGAATGCAAATAGAGATTTTCAAATGAATGTAAGATAATTTTCAAATTCTCACTATGGTTGGTTCATTGCTGAGAGATCACTACAGAGTGATACGTTTTCTGTTCAAATTCAAATATTGTGATATAAATAATGTGCAGCATGATTGGATGAAATAGTCTGAAGCAAATTATTATTACATTCATAGAAGCCAATGGCTAAAGCATCAATACACTGACAAACATTTACTTGATTTCATATTCTTGTTTTAGTTTCACGCAATAGACACATTACATCGTCACAAATATGACACATCATCTGCCATGAGCACACTAGTTCCACCTGGTGGCCCAGTTTTGTGCCGTGATGAGATGGAAGAATGGTCCGCATCAGAGGCAAATCTTTTTGAAGAAGCTCTAGACAAATATGGCAAGGATTTTAATGATATCCGACAAGATTTTGTAAGTACAGAGAACATTCATCAATCCCTTCTGATAGTGTACTCTTATTGAATGTTTACTGGTGGTTGGTAACAAACATGGTGTAATATTAAATATTTAGGTAAACAAGGCTATACATCATTATTGCAAATATCATTTTTCAAACCCTGTTTGGAGATTGTATATTGATCATGCTGACATCTATACCAACAGTAGAAAGAAATATGTTTTGTAGCTACATTTAATGATGCCATCTTTAATGTTATCAGAAAAATAAATGTGTGTCAGAATTATCCTCATCTATGTAGGATTAGTTTAGTGAATAAGAACATGAAGTGATATTTTGAATTTACTGTAACATGGTGAGAACGGTGAATTTTCCTCAATTTTCTCTGTTCCTTGTTTCTTACAGCTGCCATGGAAGACACTTAAGAGTATAGTGGAGTACTATTACATGTGGAAGACAACTGACAGATACGTCCAACAGAAGAGAATCAAAGCTGCAGAGGCAGAGAGTAAACTGAAGCAGGTCTACATTCCCAACTAGTGAGTTCAATTAAAATACTCATCTTATATTTTATTTGTTATGTCACCACCACCAGAAATGGTGACACATTGTTATAGTCTCCAAGGATGTTCCACGTTCGATGTCTGTAACAAATGGCAGATGGTGACATTTTGCATGTTAATGCCTTGTTATTTTGTTATTTTTATTTTTTTAGATTTGCTACTATTCATCTGGGCTAATCGTTCGGTATCTGTATGCTGTTAAACATGTATAAATCATTGCTTGAAATTTTTTAATTTATTTACACATATATTAATTTATCTTCAAATTGAATGCATTGATTTGAATGGTAAAAAATGTATTTGCAACATGAAAACTGTATCTGACTATATTTGCAAAATCCGTCAAAGGACATAGATTACAACAAGATACTCTCGAGGCTTTTGGATCTAAGCCTAGCACCTCAGTCAAATTTGCTTCACCATATTTGCCTCATTTAGGTAGCTAAAAGAGACAAAGTTGCCTCACTCTACATCTTAAAAGTAGATGTAGCACTAACTGTATTGATTGGATGAAAATTGTTTGTTTTTTTCACAATTAATCTTCGCCAAACAACTCTGGTGAGAGCCCTGTTCATGACAATACTACATTTTCAGCAACAAAGCTAACCCTGCAGCAATATCTGGCAAGATGAATGGCTTTGGGATGGAGGGTCCAGGTCGCAACTGTGAGAGCTGCTTCAGTAAGTGACACTTAACTCTCTTTGCTAGCTTTGAATTGGCATATAATACAAGATAACATGTGCTGTGCAGTTTAAGGAAGCAAATCTTTGGCTTAACATATTACATGGTTAGTTGGTACATCATTGGTCTCCAAAAATCATTGATCTTTCCTGTGCGGTGCAGATAGTCACTTAGGCAGGAGCAAAGTGGCTTAACATGTAATGTAAAGGGGGAACAAAGTACATGTATTTTAACATCAGAAAGTAGTAAAGATGGCGGTCGATAGTGGACGTGTTATTTCGTCGAGCTACAATATCGATGTTTTTTCGGAACTATCTCAAGATATTGGCAAAATTTTAGGAACTAGTGATTCTGCATCGAAGTCTACAGTCGTTGAGAACATTGTATACGAGATAGATGATGAAAGCGTCTTGAAAAGAGAAAGAGAAAAACTTTTCTCTTTGTGTAAACTGAAGCTCAAATCACAATGTATTGAGCACTATGGAATAAGCGAGAATGAATACACTAAACCTAATCTTGTACTGATCAACAGAACCGGTGACAGTAGGATAGCTACGTATGCGAATGACATCTATGATATGTTTGTTTACGTTTGGGACGAGTGTGAAAATGATGACTTCCCAAGGAATATTTTATCTGCAAAAAGTATGGCTCTTCCAAGTTTGAAAAACGATATAATGATACCAATAAAATCTAAAGTGACGGATCTGTTTACCAAATTTACTATGGCAATGAACATGCTAAACGACCTGTCCAAGAGAATAGATCAGCTCGAAGCAAAGGATAAGGAAAGATGCGACGTAAATACGACACTACAAAGGGATATTGATGAAATCAAAAATCGTATGGATAAAATGTTGGATCAAAACCAGGATGTAAACAAAGACTCATACCAAGGTAGGCCAAGTTCACCTATACTGTGTAACAGTGCCAATGATGAAGCTAATAAGCCCCAAGTTTTGCCGAATAGTAAAAATTGTGTAAACGCAAACAAGCCAGGTAATAACAGTGACTTAACACCTATTAGGTCTAGTTCAATGCGTATGCGAGCTCCAGTGACAATAATGCCCTCAAAAACTCAAGTCTTAGCCGTTGCCAGGCAACAGCATCAGACGCAGGATGATCGCCCTGAAACTATCGAAGTCGCCAGCACGCCATCTTTAAATGACAATCGTACTAATAGCAATCCGCCTGCATCTGATGATACGAATAATGCACGTTTGATTGGTAGAGCTGCCAACACGCCATCTTTAAATGACGATCATATTAATATCCCTGCATCCAATGATGTAAACAATGCAAGTTTAAGGTCGACGACTGATTCAACCTTTGCTTCAGTTGCCGCTGTTAATAATGATAAATGGGTAACAGCTGGTCCCAAAGGTCGCCATTCCCCTCCACCTAAAGTACCAGTGATAAAAGCAGCACGTAAGGCCGGTGCTCAACAGGAACAGCGAAAACAGAATACATTTCAGATCAAAGGAATCAGAGAAGTGGCAGCAGGATACGTGTACGTTAGCAATATACAAAAGGACGAAAACGTGTCTGATGTTGACATTCGCAATGCAATATCGCAATACGCCAAGAATAAAGGCATTAGAGTGATGAAAGCCGAAGTAGTTCATAACAGAGTGTGCGACGATCAAGTTGGGGTCAAACTGTATATACCAGAGGATCATATGAGAGCGGTGATCAGCGATAATTTCTGGCCTGATTCAGCTATCTCTTGTAGGAGATGGGAACGCCGCTACACAGGCTACAGACGCCAACGCGACAATAGAGATGAGGATCCCAAGTATAGAGATTACTCCTTTCCAAGAAATAATCGTTTTAACGATATACCCAATGACTATAGCTCGAAGAGAGACACACCCGCTACAAACGTTTATGGATCTTCAAATAGCCAAATTCCAGTGATGATAAGTGGAATGACAAATGATAATTTATACCCTCGTTCGTATGGTAATGACTGGTCAAGTTACAGCCAGGACTATGTCGACTAATATTTTCTTTCAAATAACATGGGATTTTTACTGTCAAGCGTGATACACTTTGCGACATTTTATATCATTTCTTGTTTCATTAAACAATCAAACATGAACAAACAATGCCAAGATATGAATACGCTTAACTTTTTACAGTGGAACTGTAGAGGTTTTAATGTTTCAAATATTTATATAAAACACCTGTTATCTCAATGTGATATTTTGGCGCTCTCAGAGCACAAATTGTATAACTGTAACTTAAACAAGCTTAATGCAGTGTCTGAGGATTTTAATTGTCTTGCTATGAGCAGCAAAATGCTAGACGATATAGAATGTGGTCAAGTCTGGGGAAATGGTGGAATAGCGATTTTTTGGCGAAAATCATTTGATAATTTTGTTGTACCAGTCAAACGTATGTGTACAGATAGAATCGCCTGTATTCAGATTTCACTTGTTAATAGAGCCCCTTTATATGTTTTTTCCGTATATCTGCCTCAGCAGAATTGCACTTCTGAATTGTATGAAGATGTTCTCTATACGTTAGAATTATACGTTCAGGAGGTAAGTGTAAATGGATCCGTGGTCATACTTGGAGATACAAATGCAAATCTAGGTCAACTTTGCGGCAGCAGAGGTAGTGGCAACGCATCTGCGAATGGGCTTAAATTGTATGATTTTTTAACTCACAATGCTTTTAACTGCAGTTGATATGTGCAATATGACCACTGGTCCGTGTCATACGTTTGAAATGGTAAGGAACGATACCGTTTATGTCAGTTACATTGATCATTTTATTGTATCGTCAGATCTTCTTGACGGAATACTGAGATGTCACGTTATCAATGACGAGCCAGATAACTCGTCTGATCATTTGCCTTTACATACTGTTATTGCTATTAATTGTATCGCACTGCCAAGAATAACAAATGCAAAACCTGCTGTTAAAGGGATAGCCTGGGATAAGCTAAATGACACAGAAATTAAAAGCACGTACACAGCCTCTGTTAATGGGTCATGTAAATTAATAGTTGATGGTTTTTCTAAATCGTCTAATGGTCTCTTAAAAGAAAATGATATTGAACTATGTACTAATGAGATAATAGATGTCATGGTTAAGTGTTCAGAAACCCACGTACCAAAACGAAAGTATCGTGCCTATGTAAAGCCTTTTTGGAACGATGATCTAACGGTTATGGTTAAGGAGAAAAAATATTTTTGGAGAGCATGGGTAGATAATGGGCGGCCTAGAGAGCACACTAATCAATTTCGTAGACGGTACAAAGATGCCAAAAAACGCTTTAATAAGGCTTATTATAATGCTCAGGTAGAATATGAACAAGCTGAATTGCAGAAGCTGTACAGTTCAGAGCAGACTGACCAGAAATTTTATTGGTATGTATTGAACAAGAACAGAAAGACAGCTCAAAGACCAGTAAGCCCAGTTATGTCAGATGGCGGAAAAGTAGTAACTGATGCAGACGAAATACGAAACCAATGGAAAATTCATTTTGAAAACCTAGCTACTCCTTTAATTAATCCTTCCTTTGATGATACTTTTAAACTTGAAACAGAGGAAAGATTAAATGTAATTTTGAATGAGCACTCAAACATAGATAATGATTATGGCTTCAAGCAGATCGATGAAGATGATGTGACGACTGCTATCAAAGCACTTCATTGCAGACGTGCTTGTGGTTTTGATATGCTCACTGCCGAACACTTAAAGTATGCAGGTGATGAGATGGTTAAGACAATTACTTTACTGTTTAATAGTATTTTTAATGCACAATGCATTCCCAAAAATTTCTGTATTGGGATTATGATTCCTTTAAGTAAAAAGGGGAAAGACCCCTTATACAGAGATAACTCGAGAGGCATTACTTTAATGACCATGTTACGCAAACTGTTTGATAACATTATTTTATTACGTATTAAAACTCCAATTGTAAAGGCTATCCCATTTCTCCAAGGTGCGTCTATTGAAAAATGCTCGAGTGTTCATACCTCCTTGTTGGTACAAGAAACGATAGCTCACAATGTTGAACAAGGCCAAATGTTAATTATTACAATATGTGATATTAAAAAGGCATTTGATACAGTGTGGATAGATGGTCTCCTGGTTAAACTGTACGACTGCGGTATTAGAGGCCATTTATGGAAAATATTGTACCTTAGCTATAAAATGTATGAATGTGCTGTAATGGTAGGCCAAATATGCTCTGAAACCTTCCCTGTATTACAAGGAGTACACCAGGGAGGGGTTCTTTCTATGCTTTTTTACCAATTGTATATGTCAGATTTAATTGACACTATGATGCAAGTTCATACCGGTGCATCTGTAGCAGATATCAAATGTGTGTGTCCATGTTACGCCGATGATATGTGTATTCTGTCAAACTCATATATGTCAATGCAAACCCTTCTAAATCATCTTACACATCATAGCAACAAATGGAGGTACCAAGTTCATCCACAAAAATGTGCATATATGACCTTTAATGACAATAAAAACTTACATGTTAATCACAGTTTGAGTATTGGAGGTGAGGCAATTGAAAAATCAGATTATCAAGTACATGTAGGTGTACCTCTGTCCTCCAAGAATGATGTCTCAACATATGTAGAAGAAAAATGTTCCAAGGGAAGAAAGCAATTTTACTCATTACTTGGTATTGGAAATAAATGTGGAGGTTTAACTCCAATTTCTGCATCTAAACTGTATAAAACTTATTCAATTCCATGTATGACCTATGCTGCCCCAGTTGTGAATTATCAGCAGAAGGACATTGAAACTATTAATAAAACACAACGTGATATTGGGCGAAGGATCCAGTCCTTGCCTAGATCTGCTAGCAATTCCATTTCTACAGTGACCCTAGGGTGGTTAGATATCGACTTGTATATAGATTTTTTAAGAATGATGTTCTTGTGGAGTCTTATTCAGTTATCATATAAGAATGTTTACAAAAGATTACTTGTAATACGTTTGACAGAATTCTTACATGAAGGGTTTAAAAATACGAAAATATTTTCACCCATGGCATCAATGTTGCAATGTGCTATGAGGTATGGATTTAGAGAGATTATTCAGAATATGTTGGATTGTAATATTGTGATAAGTAAAGGCCAATGGAAAAGATTAGTTTTCGCCAATGTTTCACACAGCCAAATTTATAGAACGTCTATTCAGTCAATCATGTACAGCAGTCTTGCAGATTTTAGAAAAAATGTTTGTATTACATTGGATCCTAATATATGGTGGATCGTTGCTCAAAATTTTCCGCGGGCAACAGACTCTTGTAAACTAATGTTTAGACTATTGGTAGGTGAGCACAACTTGAACTATAAGAATAGAGGAGGTGAAGATCAGTGTAAACGATGTAAACTTTGTAACTCATTCCAGTTAGAGACGGTTGAACATTTCTTAATGCATTGCTCTGCCGCACAATACGCCATTTACAGGCAAGAACTTAAGGAATGTTTTGATAAGCACAATTTCGAGTTTTCGTTCAATACAATTCTTGGGATAAATGTTGTGCCAAACCCAAATGCAATTGTTCTCTTAAAAGAGATAGCACAAATTATTTTCAAACAATATAAAGCACGGTCTAACAGTGACTGTGTTTGAGACACTTACAGTGCCTGACTCAACCGTACGAGCATTTTGCTCATTGAATAATTTTTATACGTCTAATATGTATATAATTTTGTCATAATTTTGTACTTTTATTTTACATCACTGTACATATAAATTGTATCTCCATTTTATTATGGGCAATAAAGATATACAATACAATACAATCAGAACATTACATGGTCACTTGGTCATGGTCAGATATCATTGGTCTCCAAAAACAATCATTGATCTTCAATCGAATTTCTATCTACTCCTGCAACCTCATTTTCAAACACATGAGTATTATCTCTTTTATGTGAATACACATTTCATCTAAGAAGTTGTATATTACAGTGCTGTATTTTTGGCACCTGTATGTATTTCAGTTTGAGCTCACCATAGATTGTTTTCTTTGCCATTAGAATTTAAGTTCATGTTGCATGTACATTTAATTGTCTGTTTCAGCCAGTGACTCCACTCAGTGGTATTCCTGGGGACCTGTCCATATGCAATGTAGACTTTGTTCTACTTGTTGGGGGTATTGGAAGAGATATGGAGGTCTCAAGATGCCAACACGATTAGGTAAGGTCTACATTTCAGAAATGGCAATTTTTGTAGATTTATTCCATAAGGTGATGTATATTTCATAATCTTTATATTTATGTTGTAATCTTTGTTATCGTTAATGTACTTTGTCATTTGTTGTATTCTGGTCCAGGAAATTTTTGATATTTATATTTATTGTAATGTACAGTATTGTGAACTCATATTTTGTAACTTTATATTCCCTCTACTCATTGTATTTACATGTTTCTTGTTTCATTGGTCTATTTGAATCGCATTACTGTGCATAAGCATGTTTGACAAACATCAATTTTGTCAATGTCATCTTTTACAATCATCAACTTGCATGAATCACACTCATCAACTCTCATATACAAAGACTACATCATAGAGAATTTTTGATTTTTAGAAATTTCCGGATTTTTGAAATCTGGAGAGCTGACGAAAGGTTTGTCTGATTATCTTTTTTGTTCACTTCTGAAACCGAAGCTTTCTGTCTTAATGCATTGTGCACGGGAATGTACAGTTTCATATTAACCAATGAAATGTGAGTTGTTGCGTCACATGACTTACATTGACCGATCCCTTGCTTGTATCTAGATGGTGATAGACCTGCTCCTGACAACAGACAAGGTTAGATGTGTTTATTTTTTCTTTATTTTTTTTAATATCATTGGGGTGTAGCACATGGTATGATAGCTTTAACATTGGACTAGAAGAAATATGCTTGCTAGTTAATCTGTCAGTATATTCAAAATATAACACAGTTATTAATCAAAAAAAAAAAAAAAATTTTTAAAAGCTAAAAATCAGATTTAAGAAGTCATACTCCATTTTACATTCTTAATAAGTATAAGAGTAGAGGTGACATGTACAATTTTTACTTTAAAATTGTTTATTTCCATCACTTTTTTTGGTATTTAGAAAATAAAAATCACTTGTTTAGGGCTATTTTATATTCAATTTGTCAAGCGGGTGGGTGGGTGTTTGTGTGTGCGTTCCAATTGATCTTGTTTTTAGGTTGTTGACATTTTACATTGTCCTTACTTATCTTGCATAATATTAAATATTAACATTTCTATTAACATTCATGCCCGTAAATTGGCTGAGTTTCTTTTTCAATATACAGGGTGTCAAAAACAACACCCCCCCCCCCTTCTACAGGGAAAAGTACTTAATATTACATGGTGTGTACTATCTCATTTTAATTCTTTAGTTACCTGAGCAATTTCAGCTTTGTGTCATATAATCTTACAGATTTACAGCTTATTGTTAGTAGTTGGTATAGTCACAACTTATCAGCTTATCTTGATGGATATGATTTCAATAAAGATTCAAATAAAGGTGTAGCATTGCGTTCTCCTTCAATCACTTCCCCCACATTTTTTAGCAATTACATTCTTATTGTATCTGTTTACAAGAAGATATCTGTCAATCAATCCTGGTACCCTATACTGTATATAACAATTGAACACTTTTTTGTTCAGTGCATTTGAGATCTGGGCTATATCCTCCATTTTCGCCATTTCCAAGATTTGACCCTTAACCAATAACAAAGTACTGAAGTAGCAAACTTTGAAACTGTGTAGCTTTCTCAATATATAGTTTTAGTAAGTGAAATTTCCCAGGTAACTTTGGGATTAAATCATCTTTCAAATAGGGTATGACACACCTGATATAACATAAAAGAGTTTTTGCTGCAGAGGGGGTGCCATTGTTTTTTAACACTCTGTACAAGATCATCAAATTATCTTGTGCATTGAAATTAATGTTTTTTGTTCTTATGTCATGGGTGGATTTTTTGTGAAGAATTGTACATTGTTTATTTTTCATTTAATGCAATCTCTTTGAGCAAAACTCATTCTCAAACTTTGATGCTGTTCATTGTTTTCTTTGCATTTTTCTCATAGAATTACTTGCATGGGTGTAACCATTGGCTGCATTACCATATTTCTAATAAGCATGTGAAATGGTGGATGGATTTTACAATTTGATGTTTATTTCTATTTATTAAATACTTTGTTGGTTTGTGTGTGTGGAAGGGGGCAATCAGCATGCCCTCTGTTTTATAAATCTTAGGAGGCAGATTAAGAAGAACATGGTTATTGCATTGTTTTGGTGTTGTTTAACTATTTGTGGTTTGAGGGCTTTAATTTCAGCTATAACTAAAAAAAAATATGTACTCACTGTTAAATACACAGTATATTGAAGGATCTCTTTTTACAGACATTTTTTACTTAATAAAATGATTTTCATTTAGATACAGATATTTTAAACTACACTACTTTATCTATAACATCACTATGTTACATCCCTTTCATGGTTGCATATTGTTCTTAAGACTCAGAATGTACAAAGGGAATCATTAGAAAAGCATTAAACAAGCTAAAACACTTTAACTCTATAAAACACTTCAAATGTCCATGACTATAATGTATGTTTATGGATTGTTTTGTGTTTTAGAGCGTTTGGCACACCTCCAGTCATTGAGACTACACAGATGTACGATCAGTGGATGTGGCAAGGTGAGTTGCACAATAGTCTTGTATAAAGCCCCCGTGCTGTCCTTCTCATCCTCCGATCACAGGGCTTCAAAATCCAGAATATATTCTTTCTTTTTACCCCCTGAGATAAGCAGTTACCATTTTCCCGATTAAGAACTCGCAATCTGATTGGATGTCGCAACTATGCGACAGAAATCATGTATAAGTCATTGGGCATAATTAGATCACATGATTCAGTTAAATCGGGCGCGTCCAAATTGGTTATAGCAGGGGGAAGAAGGAGGTACGGATTCTGGATACCTGCTTAGGAGGATGTCTTCTTCTTTGCTATTAGGTGACTTGAGGCGTATTATACATAGCAAAAACAAGACTCAGAATTGAGCTGTTAGTTGTCACAGGGGTTTGATGTAAGATTGCTTATGCTGTTAATATCACTAAAATTTATTTTCTAGAAATGTAACAAGATCATACATAAAATATTTTTAAGATAGTTGGGAGTAAGGAGCATTTAAAAATCCAGTGTTGTATTTTATTTCGTAGAGTATTATTACATGAAAACTTTCTCACTCTAGAACATTTTACTTTCAAACTTGATATATTGTTTGTAGGAATTTAAACTGAAGGCCCATCTGGCTCGGCACCTCGCAACAGCCCATGGGCTTGCAATAAGGGCAGGAAGTCCACGTCCTGTTATGAAGACAAGAGCTGCTTTCTGTCTCATCACTACACCACTGACTCGAATCTCTCGGGACGTCTGTGCTGACTTACTGAAAGTGAGGCACGCAGCCCGAAATCCATTTCTACCTATCAACATAGCGGGAATAAAGCAAGAATGTAAGTTTGAAAAATGAAATATAGAAATTATGTTGCAAGATAAATATTGATCGAAAGATTATGATAGATAATATATAAACCTTGAGGTGCAAATTTCTTGTTCTTGTAATCCTGATAAAGAAAGCTTGTGTATTAAATGAAGTGAAACTCAGTCCAAATTGTTCATACAATTAATGTTAAAATTGTGATTTCCATTGACATGACATTATTTGGAAGTGAGTTTCAAAAAACCATCATTAATCAACCTTTTTCAGGGGAAATGTTCAATTTAAATTCAGGTCAAACGCGTCTCCCATCAACTCTTAAAGAGATGTTGGAAAAGAAGAAAAGGCGTGTTCCGAAGAAAAGTTTGATGCGTGATGTGTCAGCTAAACTAGGTATAGATGTCACTATAGCACCAGATCTTTTGAGTAAAGAGGGCACTGGGATACCTTCAGGCAGGTCGCTAGCTTTCCCACCCTTGACCAAAGAAGAGCGTACGTGTTTTTGCCTTACATATTTATTCTGGTAAATTTCCCAAATTGACAAGATTTCTCTAAATTTAAGTTTGCAAGTCAGTGAATAAAACACCATTTAAATGGTTCTGTGTAAACTTAGTTATAAAAGAATTTATTGTACTGTACACACAAGTTGAAATGATTAATAAGAGATACATACGCTGTATTTTAGGTGAGAAAATTCTTCTGGGTACAGATGACAGGGATAATTCTCTTTCTATAATGAAAAAGCGTGGTTTTGACACCAATGGTATAGATGGTCCCCCAAGCAAAAAGGCCACAATTGGTGTAATCCGACAAGCAGGGAGTGTCAGACAGACACAGGTAAGAAGGGTTAGTCACATTTTATTTTTATTATTTATATCAATTCGTAGTTTAGAAGCATGAAAAGCATTTCTGTATGGTAGCATTTCAAACTTTATTCTTGAACCAAAGTCGGTTTTTATATAACATGAAGCGCACCATTGATAAAAGAGTGAAAGCCAAATGAAAACCAATTAATTAACTCCAGAGTGAGAGTAAAAGGGGGTGAAATGGATTAAAAGCTTATGTGTGCAGGAGTGGAAAGTATATAAAATATCATATTTCTGTCATTCATGGAAAGTGGAAATACTTAAATTACGGCTATAAGTGGTAATACTTTGATTATGACTGAGTGGTAATACTTAGATTATGACTGAGTGGTAATACTTAGATTATGACTGAGTGGTAATACTTAGATTATGACTGAGTGGTAATACTTAGATTATGACTAAGTGGAAATACTTAAATTATGGCTATAAGTGGTAATACTTAGATTATGACTGAGTGGTAAAACTTAGATTATGACTCAGTGGTAATACTTAAATTATGACTAAGTGGTAGTACTTAGATTATGACTAAGTGGTAAAACTTTGACTATGACTGAGTGGTAATATTTAGATTATGACTCAGTGGTAATACTTAAATTATGACTAAATGGTAATACTTAGATTATGACTAAGTGGTAAAACTTAGACTATGACTGAGTGGTAATACTTAGATTATGACTCAGTGGTAATACTTAAATTATGACTAAGTGGTAATACTTAGATTATGACTAAGTGGTAACACTTAGATTATTATAGAGTGGTAAGACATAGATTATGTTGCAGGAAGGGGATGAGACTGGTGCAGAGAGACGTAAACAAGCCCTAGACTGGATACAAAGACGAATGGTAAGCTAATAGTTTATACAAGCACTGACTCATACATTGATTATGCATGAGTCACATTTGCTCCGATTCATTGGTCGGTGTGAAACAATTTTGTACAAAATACTCAATAGGCTGGGCACCAGCCGATGAATCAGAGCAAATGCGACTCGGGCATTAGTGCAATATTTATTATTTGCAATATTTGGCAAATTCCATGTTTGCTAGCAGAGGGCAATAACTCATAGGTAAGACATCAGATTATTTATTCCTATCTACAAACATATTTTAAGGTTGATTTTACATCGCTAGAGTCATCCATGATTCTCATGGGCCTTGTGTGTGTAAATGTATGACAGTTTTATAATCTGTATCATTCCACCAATCTCTACCAATTCTGATCTTGAATATTACTAGTGCCAAGTTCTTAAAGCAATGACCGAATAAATATAAGATATTACAAGAATAACACAAGAGTCGTGGGTTCAGTTTACCATATCTCACCTATAGATGTTGTAAAATGATCATAGGTCTAGGATATCCAATAACTAAAAAATGTGTTCATATTTTGATGTTTCAATTACTCTTGACTTGTTATATGATTACTTTTTACACAAATTAATAACTCATGTTAAAGGTTATGTGTATGTTTTCAGGGTAAGGGAATGGGTATAACTCATGTAAATGGTGGAGGTAAGGGACCAATGAAGCGTGGCTCCTCACTAAATTGGATGGATGCCCCTGATGATATGTACTTCTACGCAACAGATGCAACCAGGTAAGCTATTGAGCAATGCATTCATTTTCAGTATAGTTTTCTTCACACAATCATGTTTCTGTTTTCAAAATGTTTCAGATGTCATGTTGGTTTTATTATTATTTTGCATGTTTATGGATAGTCAATATTCTTCTTGTTTGGTTTGCAAAATTCCCATTTGACAATGATATGTTTATGCCATCACACATATGTTTAAACAGTAACTTCCATTGGAAGTATGTAATAATTCATGTGTTCTATATCTTGCAGGAAAGTGCGAAAACAATTGAATGGCCCACAATTCAAACAAGCTGCTCGCAAACCTTGGCGTAAACTTGGTGTGAAGACACCATCAGCAGGACCCAATGACGTTGTTGTTTTAGACTGAAGTGAATGCGCATAGCGTCTTAAGTGTTTTGGCGGTGGTCAGGCAAAAAATTATGAGATCTAAATGGGTATTAAAATGCATGCAGTGAATATCAATTTCGTGTTGAGTCTTTTGATTCCTCATTTGAGTTTTATAAGACTATACCCTGATCATCGTTGACATTAAGGAAGCTTTAAGCTCATTGTGAATTTTAGAGAAGTGAATGAAATATTTAGAGTTGTTGATTTATCATTATCATCGTTCTGTGATTAGCTGGTGATCTTGTATTTAAGGGCAAGCTGTGTGCCAAAGGAATCGCTATTATCAAAGCAAGCTGTACAAAATAATTGGGAGATAATCGCCAGTGAGATCTATGGACAGTAGTATTGTTTAAAGTGGTTGTATAAAATGGAACTACAGTGTGCAATTGCATGCATATAGTAATAATATTTATAAAATACAGCCTAAATGCTGTACATCCTTGAACTTCAAATACTATTTCTAAAAGTTCATAATTAAATGAAATAGAAGTTAAGTCCGATTAATTGCCTTTTTGGTTTTTCATCATATTCTCAAAAGTCTATGGATGGGAAAATGTTGATTTTGTCATTGGGTTTTATTTGATTAAATGACCCCATTGACTTGTATCTTTTTTGGTTTTGGAGAATAGAGGTTTTCAGATTTAAATATTTACAAGTTGTAAATGCATTCTATAGACCATGTCAAAGTACATGTAAATACTTGTACAGCACTGTATTTTTAAGCTATGTATAAAATAAATAATAATTATGTGTAATATAAATTCAGTTCATTAGAAAGAACAATAATTTGTTTGTTTGTCTATTTGTTTAGCATTGAATATGTGAAATGTCCCTGAGCTGCAAGTAAACGTTAGTGATCCTATACAAAAAAAATTGAACTGACAGAATGTAAGGTATTGGCTCTAAAATTAATTTTAGTTCCCATAAGCTTCATCAGAAGGGGGCCTAATCTTTCAACAAATAAATTACTACTACATATGAAATATAATTTACTGCTTTATTGATGACTGATGCAGAGGGTGTCATATAGTGGTCTTCATGCATAGCATATAATTGCATACATACTGTAAATTGCTTTAATTTGATGTCCATTGCTATTTCCATGTATTACCTTGCACAATAGAACTGTGTAATCTGAAAATCTGGAAAGAAACATGAATAAAATGTCAATTTTAAACTATTTTCGAATATCTCCAAAGTCCAGATGGTTTCTACGAAACAATATGAAAAAATTGTGTTATTGTTGGCAAGCTGTGAAGTGAGAAATACGATTGATGATGGTCAATCTGCCAAATTAAATAGTGGATACAATTGCAAAAAATGCCCAATCTGCTAAATTAAATAGTGCCAAATTAAAGCAATTTACAGTATACTATAGAATGGTACCATAGTATGTTCTATATGCCAATCAAATGAGCTCTCGACTATGAATAGAATGAGCCTTAGGTGACCTCGGTGGGATGTTACTTCAAATGTTTCCTGTTTTTAAAGTGAACTGGTATAATACTTTAAGTACAGGAAATCCAATCCAGCAAACCATCTATTGAACATGTCATGATCATTTCACTTGAGAAATGGAATGAAGATTAGAAGTAACTTTCAAATCTTACAATTTTGTTACCAAACGTATCTGCTTGTTCAGAATGACATCATACACCATGGTCATGGCCTTGGCTTGCTAGAAGGAATCAGGATTGCAATTCAGGATTTATTGGAAAGGTCTGTTTTTGTTGGTGCTTCAAGAAATGATCATTACAAGTTATCATTCAAAAGTATTATTTTCCATTTTATTGCATGTATCATAGCATTTTTCATGTCAATTCTCAATCACAGTATTGTGCTGCCATCTTTCAATAGGTTTCTTATAGGTGTTGTAGGGGAAGGGGTTGCCTTTCATTTCCTATAACTTGGGAGTATATAAGAGAAATTTTGGTCCTCAATCAGTAGAGAGTTGGGGGGAACATCACACATCATTTCTCTTCATCTTATTAATCTCATTTTCATTCTTTCTTAATCTTTGAAGAGTTTTATTTCATACTGAAGAGTGAAGATTTTTGATACATTTCTGTATGTAATTGTACATGTTTACTCTTTTATTTGGAATAAAGTATAGTTTTATGAGTATATTAATTCTGTGTTAATCTTGTCTTTTATACATTACAAGACCAATTCATATTATTTTATGAAGAACTCGCAGAGCTATTTAAATAACAAAGCTTGAAGCTTCAGTATCACTAATTTGTTTGTGATTCTTAAATTCAGTATGTAGCATGCATACACAGTATTATTGATCCTTAATGAGATGTTAGTCCTCATGCTGAAAGTCAAACTATTTAAAATTCTGAAAAATCAATCCATTCTATTCATACTTCATTTTGTTGAAACTCAAAAACATATTTTATTGGCATTTAAAATTGAAAAGCTGGAGGAGACTGATAAAGGTCAAAGAAATGATGGAGCAGGTATTTATGAGTTGAATATTTTGGGTTATTTAATACGATCAGGATTTAGACAGATGTCTGCCCTTTTACTTATGCTTCAATAATGTATATGAATGATATCAATAAAAAAAAATTGAACACCTATTTCACACATTGTACTTCATAAGAAATAGGGTGTGGTCAAGGCGGGGCATTTTTTAAATTGAAAATCTTAAATTCCCTTCTATATACATTTACTTTGGAACAATTGCATTACCATTACCCAACAGTAAAATGACACATGCTACTTGTTTTTAAGTTCAACTTTAGCTATAGCTACACCAAAGGTCCTTCATCCAAAATATTCTTATATGTTTTCAAATGAGAATAACATAAAAAATAGATGTAGGATCATCGAGAAAAACCCTTTAGCTGAGTTTTATCGGAAACTTTTATGTCAAGGATATGAACTGTTGAGTGCTGATTAGATGAAATTGAAAAAATATTGCATTTTAATGATTTTAACCTTTTATGTGATCTTTTGACATTTCAGCAAGAACAAATTAACAGTATGACTACCATATACCAAAAAACATTGTGTAATCTTTTCCTCGTCAATGTTATTATAGTGCTGATCATAATTTATAGTGGCATATATTCAAAGACACAACAAAATATTGAAGGAGTTAGGATATTACGTCATCATCAAACCATAGCACAAGTGGAGAAAAATTTGATACGTCTCGCTAAAGATGTCGATATTACACAAAATATGATGGAAAAATCAATCACACATTTTGGAGATGTGAGCAAATTTCATCGATTGTGCAAAGAAATATTTCTGAAACAACGGAAAATCAGCATCGCAATTTTAGGTGGTTCAGCTTCAGCTTCATTTCATACTACATCTAAAACAAAGAGATATTTTGATCATGTTGCAATTTTTTTAGAAGAGATCTTCAATGTGGAAATTGAGATTGTTAATGAATCTCTCGGAGGAACACAGAGCATCATGTCATCATACTGCCTCCAGAACATGCTTAATGTCACAAATGTAGATATTATTTTGCTTGAATTTGCCATAAACGATAACTTTGCTCATGTAAATCTCAGGGGACGTACAATAGAAGATCTTGTGAGACATTTGAAATCATTTCCGTGCAAGGAACAGCCATATGTTATATTCGCCAACCTTATTTCCACCCAGATTCTATTTAGTAATCTGACCAAGTTTGAAAATTGTACAACTGTCGAGGATGAGTACTTCAATGCAGTTGCCAAATATTACAACATAGCTGCCGTATCATGGAAAAATCAAATATGTGAGAAAACCCATAAAAGTATGATTGGTTTCAAATTTGACGATATATCAAAACCAGATAAGAACCATCCTACACTGAAAGGACATGCCCAGCTAGGGTATATGATATCTTTCTTACTGTTAAGGCTATACAAAATGTTTCAACAGAATCCATCTGGAAAATCATTGAATACAAAGATTCCAAATAACTTGACAACAATGTTAACCAAACCAATAGATCCTAGAGTATGGCTTGCCAACCCAGCATGCTTTATGATTAAACACGACATTGAACAAATGTGTAATAATAAAAACAACAATGTCTACATTTGTCTTAAGGAAAGGAAATCATTTCGGTTTGAACAAATAAGAAATATTCCAGGAATTTATAGCAACACTCCAAAGGGATATTTAAAATTCCAATGTGTAGTTAACAAGGAGACTTTTAAAAATCGAAAGAAAATAAAAATTGGATTTGCATACAGGGCACCCCTGCTGGAAACTACATATTTAAAATTAAATGTTTTCAGTAAAAATACATCTTATCTGTCAGAGAACATTTTATTTCCACTATGTGTATTTTATGTAACACGAACATATGAATCCAATGAAATTCTAACATTGACTGGACGAGAATTCACAGTTGAATTTAAACCAGTTGCTACAGAGAAAGACAATTTTAAATTATACCTAGTGGCCTTACTAATAGGGTTTGTTGACGATTCCTTCATGGTTATTCCCAATAATAGCACAACAGGAGGAAAAACTGTCAGAGAACACCACCATCAATGACAGGGTAGTAGATATGGAACAGTGTAACAAATTATGACTGAAAAAATGTGCCAAAAGTTTGGTACCAATTATTTACAAGGCTATTTTCATTTTAAATCCTTTGTTCTAAATACAGGGAAGATTGTGCTCAAAGTGATATGGCTTACACAGACTTCTCCAATGATCAACTTAAGGAAGGTGTCACCAAACATCAACAGTTATGCAAAAACCAAGAACATTTCATTGTACTTCAAACCAGACCCTATTCCCCATTATAAGGGGATCCCAGCCAGGGGCTATAATCAACAGTTTATAATTTACCCCTCCACCCAAGGCCTAGTAACTCTGTGATTCCACAGCTGTCAACATTTGTACACCAACTTTTACTGAACTAGTTAGTTCTTATTTGCTATCAAGATTCAGATTCTACATTATGTCTAATCATTCAGATATAATATGGACCATATTGGTTCCACAATAGAAGTTAGTTAGTTATAGATATAGTTTATTTCATGACACAAGATATTGGAAAATTACAAAATATTTGCACTAGACACTAGTCTTCAAATAAGTTAACAGCATTGCTGTTTCAATTTTGCTATTTTGATCAGTCATATGACCACTGTACATACCACATGCAATGGCTTGTTCATATTATATTGATTGACTGCCAAATGTGACCTAAATACCATAGTTCTATTCTTAATCCATACTCAAGTTAGGCAGTATCATTTAAAATCCATGATTCAGGTTTGGATATGATTCAATTCTAATTCAAAGTCCCAAATGATTTCTGAGATCTTGATGAAAATCCCCCTGATTTCATCATAGTTTCATCATATGATTTCACAGTGAGTGTTGACTTTGGACCTGTGTGCCACTGTATCCCTGCATCGTCCACAATAGACGTGTCAATAGTGACATTATGTAGGCCAGTGACGGGGAATATTAGGAGGAACTCAACACAGAAATAGTCATTATGTGGTTGGCATGTCTGGTGCATGTTATTAGGGGAACTCTCCGATACCTGAAAATATACAACATGTACTTGTAAATGTTACGATCTATTCACATAAAATGTGAATGCATTTGTACCTTATGTAGTATTTCCCCAAGGCTGAAATATTGAATGTTACTCATTTCTTATGTCATCTTTCTGAACATGAAATTTTGTGTCAATAAAATGTTTATGTTTTGCTATGACTCCGATACAAAGTTCTACTATTACAATTTTAATCATTCAACACCTTTTTGTTTGAAAGTATCTCATTATTTTCATAATTTTTGAATGAAAAAATGTGAGATAAGCGCAAAAAAGACCTTTAATTAGTATTGATCATTAGATAGCTTAATTCACTGATTACACAATGATTAATTTCAAGAAATAAACTCAAAGGCCTCAAAGTACACTTACCTTTCCATTTGAAGAACTAGTTGATCGTGATTGCAGCACTGAAGCGACATCTATTGTTATAGAATTGACCTTCCTGTACAGCCCCTGTTGTATGGCATGCTGTATGACACCCTCAACTTTAACAGTCAAGTGAGTATTGTTCTGCACCATGATTGGATCACTGCTGCCCTTTGTTTGGGGAGATATCGCAAGTTTTACATCAGTCGATTGTTGCTGTTGAAAGAAGTATCGCGGGAATAACATAGGTGTCGCTGTAATTCGACATGCGGCATGTGTCAGACATTGCATATGCTGAAACGAGACAGGAAGCTCAGAGGTTATTTGGGTTAATGTTTCCGTAATTTTCTCTAAATCGTGACTTGTTTCAGCCAGTCGTTGATTCTCAATGCATACACTAGCTCCCTCTGGTGAGTAACTACTATTTGTGTCCATCTGGTGAGAGAGATTCTGTGTCCTTCTCGAGAACATTGCTTCGATCATGCCCGCCATCAGCTTACACCATTGCTGTTGCTCTTCAATATTCAACAAAGTGACAGGATCAGCATCAAAAGACATCTGATATAGAGACTTATATCCTGTTTCAAGTTCACGGAATCTTGCTGCATCCTTTTGTAACTGTTCTACCACACGTCCACATTTTACAATATTTTGTCCCGTTGCCTCCGCCAGTGATGTTGCGATTGCAGGTGGGGGAGACAGCTTGAGTGTGTTACATGTTTTCACCAGCTGAGCCAAGGCTTCAAGGACTCCTATGCGAAGCTTGGTGAACTGACAGGGAAACTCAAGGGAGAAGTTTGAATCAGATGCAGCCTGAAAGCATTATCACATTACACTTAAATTTCCTTATGTATAAAGTACACGGTAAGTACAGGGTGGTCAAAAAGAAATACAGTTTTGATTTACTCTTATTCATTCATTTATTTGTAGATTTTCTGTCAATCTTCAGCAGTTTATGGTAATCTATTGAAAGCCCATGGTTATAGAAACAGATTTTATTATGTTTATTTCAGGTTTCTCTGATTAAATCGTTTTTGAAATGTCCTCTTAACATATTACTGAACAGAAAACACACAGATTTAAGAAAAATAAAAGTACATTGTACATTCAAAGGTTAATTTATTCCCGAGGGTTGTAAGATACCCCTTCCCTGGGCTTGCCTTAACATTTCATAGCCTTTGGATCAAACATATTATTGAAAAGCTATCATTGACTGAGAATTACCTGTAACATGACATAGGCCTGATGATAGTGGACACCGGCATCTGCCAGATCCTTCAACACGAGCTCTAAGTCCCCTTTGATGTCCTTCAGGCACATCTCACCTTGGCTCAGATGCCTTAGAGCACTCAACCAGTAGTGGAGGTTCTCAGTTGACACCTTCAGTGAATTAAAAGAATTTCTGATTTCAAGACATTATTGTTTTAAAGGTATATGTATGTTGTAAATACATATATAGGGTGTCTCAAAAAAATGTACCCAAAAGTATATCAACACCATAGACAAACCAATCAATATTTTCAGACATTTTTTGCATGGTCTTGTAGATAAAAGATGAAAGTTTTTTCCCCTATACACAGTTTTTAATTCAGTTTTGCCTTTTTGATACTTTAACCCGTTACCTTTTACCCCACATATTCAATGTAATGTCATATTTCGATGACAGTCTGCATCCTTACTACTACATTGTTCGTCACATTTGATATTTCTGGTGGAATGTTTTGATTTCTGTTCGGATGCTGGTCTTAAGTTGTTCTAGGTCTCTTAGCTTGGGTTTAGCATAAAAATGGTCCTTCAAATAGCCTCAGAGAAAAAGCATGGGCCGTCGAATATGGTAAATAGGGAGGCCCTCACAATGTCTCATAGCCCCCTTATACAGAGAGGTCAGAGGTTCAAGAAACTGCATTGGTTGGGATTCTAGTGTAGCTTTTGTTGTGTGTATCAATTTGAGAGCACTGTGTTTTCATTTGGATATCATTTGGTCTCCAGGCTAGCCTGCCTAACTCTGGAAGGTAACTCCTGAATCATTTGCCGATATATTGACCTGATTATCTGTGTTTGTTCTGCCATCGTCATCCTCAAACATCTTTCTCTGTGGCTATTTGAAGGAGTGTTTTAATGCTCATTCCAAGCAAAAAGACGTAGAACAACTTAAGGGCAACATCCAAAGGGAAATCCAAAACATTTCACCGGAATTATTATCAAATGTGATGAACAATGTAGCAGTAAGTATTCAGGCTCTCATCAAAATATGAGGTTACATCGATTTTGTGATGTAAAAGGTAAAGGGTTAAAGCATCAAAAAGACAAGACTGAAATAAAAATGGTGTATTGGGGAGAAAACTTTCATGTTTTGGCTACATGACCATGCAAAAAATGTCTGAAAATATTGATTGGTTTATCTGTGCTCTTGATATACTTTTGGGTACATTTTTTTGAGACACCCTGTAAATTACCTATACAAAGGTTACATAATATAATAATATGATTCAAACTGTTACAGTAAATATGCAAAATCATAATCGATCGATTGGAATCAATTGAAAAATCGACTATACCTTATTGGTCAATGTACCATAGATCTGAGATGCTGTGTTATGTTGCCCATAGCGACTGGCCTGTCGTGCTATTTTGTAAGCTATCCACTGATTGGTCCACATGGTGAAGTCCAGGATGACCTCTTTAGCTTGAGGCATGATCTCTGACCCAACTGAGGCTTCAAATATCAGTGTGGCCAATATAGTCTGTAATTAATAATTCTAAAAGTCATTTCTTATTTCTATATATTTGCTTTGCCTGTTTTGCATAAAAGGTTCCTGGCACTCTCAAAAATATTTCCCAAAAAAATTGTGTATGGTTCATAAAAAAACATTGTTGGTTTTTATATTACACATTTCAAGCAATGTGTTTATTTTCCACTAATGCCAATTCTGACAAGTATCTTCATAAATAAAAGTTAGATCTTTAGCCAATAGCTTTTAAATCATACATAGTTTTTTGTAACATCTGTTTGGTTTTGCTTTTCAGGTTTCATTAAATCTTCACATTAAATCTTCACATGGCTTTTCTTTACAATTTTTCCCTATAATCTATGAATTAATTGATCAATTGACTAATTGATTCCCGTATTGTTCAATACTTACCGCCAGTTTTTCATTCGCCTCAGTATCAACATTAAGGTTGGTGATAATATCTTCCAGTTTCTTGACCAGGTCAGGAACTAAGCCTAACATCACTCCAGTTCCTACATGACACAGGGCACACAATGATTCAGCCAACAGCAGTGTGGTGGCGCCACTAGCAGAGGTCAAGGCTGTTGCTATGGTTTCAACAAAGGTCCCTGTCAAAGTTGGACAACTCTGGCATAATTCTACAACTGTTGCCAGGACAACCTGAAAATTATTAATAACACAGAATAAATAATAACTGAATGTGTCATCTTGTATACAAATTCTATGAATCAACTCTATTTTACCATCAAATGAACATATTTCTAGACATAATTTTGTATGCACAATTCAAATATGACTTTAATTTTAATAATCAAGTTTACTGTCATCTAGACTTTCAAATGGTTTTTCTGTTCATCTCTAAATGAACTAAAAATAAGTATGTGTGACAATCAACATTATTCTAATTGACAAGATGCGAGTAGAAATAATCTTGATTTACATCATTTAATATTCAAAAATCAGTCAAAGTGATGCCATATTTGAAATCTACATGTAAAAATACTTCTAGAAATATGGTTTCGAAAATTGTTTATCAACTTTGAAAATTTAATTTTTTTTGAAAATGGGACTTCTAGTTCGGGTTGACCCCATGTTACAAAATCACAAAAAGTGAAATATCTTTTCTTGTACTGGACATATTTTAAATTACATAACAATTGGATACATAAGGGTTACATGAAAATTGAACCACTGAAACAGATGTAATTCAAGTTAAAGAGAACTTTCTACTATCTGACCCGAACGAGCTACCTGGTGGTGAAACTGGTAACTACTTACTCGCATCTGCGTTATTGTATTTACCTTAGGAGCAAGCTGATTGGTTGAGACCTCCGTAATAGATGTCACTGTGATAAGAGACTCTAGTGCTAAGGTGGCATCTTGTATCAAAACCTCTGAACCAGTGTCTATAAATCATAATTGATTGTTGTGTAATATAATACAATACAGTAATATGCATAATATGATAGACCCAGAATTATAGTAAACATGACTGTTATAATAATCTAAAACAAACTAGAAATAAAAACAGGAACCAGCCCCTGGAGTAGCAAATCACACCAACAAAACATATTTTATCAAATCCCTTGTCATTTTGTACATTACATGATAAAATAGCTAAACAGTACCATAGTAGCACTGTAATCTAGCACTCCATTTGCCAAAATCAACACCCATGGTGTGACACAATCATAATTGAATCCAGCAGCCATCTTGAAACTTCCTTCTTCAGCAGACATTAGCTGATCTTATTTAAACCAAGTCCGAAAATTGATGTTTAATTTACCAAAAAATGCATTGTTTTCATGAAAAAAATGCTGGCTATTTGGAATTCAGCAGTCTTTTGAAAATTCCTCCTATAACAAGAGGAAATAATGCAGAATTCAAAAATGAACCTTTCTTAATGCTGAAAGGACCTTGAGGTTTATCTTTTCTGCATAAATATGAATTCTGGTTTATTCTCCCTACTTTACTTCAGAAAAAAGGCAGCCATTTTGAACTGAGCAGCCATATTGAAAATTCATTCTTAGCATAAAGCCTCAACCCATAAAATTTGATCCCAATATGTCAACAGGTAATTCAATTATGACTCACACATATAAACAAATGGATGAATGCTTTTTTGAAGAAACCCCCGAGAAAATTCCACAAAAATTAAGAGGCCATTCCATAATTAGAGGGTTTTATTCTTGGGTACATAGTGGTATGCCCACTGAAAGTTTCATGGAGATTATACAGTAAAACCTGAGACTATACGATTCAACACCAATCATTATGACGCAAATGATAAAAGTAAGTTATCAAAAGGTAAACAAATCTGAATAACTATCTAATCTGAATGAACACATTTTTTAACATGTTTTTCTAACTAATATCAAATCTTGTTTAACCCCTGTGTTATAAAGAGGGTTATATCTTAGCACCAAGTCAGTCTCAATGGTGTTTGATACAGATGGGTTTTACAGCAGGTAAAATTGATAAGAGAGAAATGATTATGGCAATGGCGTGACAATATTAATCATTATTATATCACTATCTAGCTAGCGACAGTATGATTGGTCAAAACCGGGTCACATGTCGTGGGATATCAAGCGATATCCCTCGCTCCCGGGAATTTGGAATATCACTTGTGAAAGATGTACAGGTATTCACCTCAATAGAGTGAAATATTTGTTCATTATCTTGCACTATTAATCATTAATCTTCTGTAATCTAAAGTATGACATTGAATCAACTATAGATATCAATGAAATTTTTAGAAATTTCAGTATTTACAAAAATACCCTCTTCAGTCTTCATCATATTGAATATCATTGAAAATTTGATTGTGTTTATCTTATACACCCAAAAACTTGTTTTATTCTCTCTTAATGTCACGGGGTACCATCGAATAATTTTGGCAACGTACCGGATATTTTATTTTTTTAAATTATATAATTCAACTGATCTGCTCCGGTTACGTTCCCAGCTCCGGTTACGTTCCTAAGTAATATTTTTAAAACTTTTTTTTAATTAAACAAATCAGAGTCGTGTGAATCAGAAATAACAGAATTATTCAAAAGTATAAGGACTATTCTGTACTTTTTTCAAAAGTCTATACTTAAATGTTGTGAAAAGTTATAATCGAAAAACCATCTTTCGGAGTAAAGTCCGTCTGCGCCGATTTCAATAACTTCGTACTTGATCAGAACTGGGTTCCAACAGAATTCCTACAAACTCATGAATGAAATAGTTATTGCATGGAATACTTACTTTTGTCAAAATCAAAATAGAACTCTAGTTAAAAAATATATTGTGCTAAATTATTGCCATTTCTTAGTAAAATGTCGTTCTCCGGTACGTTGCCAAAATTATTCGATGGTACCCCCTGAATGTAATAGTTTTGAATCACTATATGGTAAAATGGAATTTGACCAGCTTAAATGATAATAATGAGTCAGGTTAAGCTGACAATGAATCAACTGCTGATAAAATAGTATATAATATAAGGACAGTTATCATTGGCAGTTGACCTGATACACTTAAATTTAGAGTCAGAGTCAGAGCTATAAAAACTCAGTAAGTGGTGTAAAAATAGCACATGACTGTATTATAGTAAATTATATATAAATTAAAGTAATTTTCATTGTTTTGGGGAAAGACTAAATAACATAAAGCATATCATTTATATTTGAGTTCATCAACTTATATTGTTTAAGGTAAGTGATTTTCTCTATATGTATGACATAATAATGTATATCATCACTTTACTGGGTTACAATTTTCTTCTGAAAAATAGACCTCAATAGAAAATGTTTCATGTCACAAAAGCCTCAAGAGATCAACAAATTTGATTTGTTGAAAATGAGTTATCAATCTATTGTATATTTTTTGTTTTAGCAAAGTACAATGCACGGCGGTGGAGGTGGTGGTGGTGGTGGAGGATACAATCCTGCTTTTTACGGTGGTTTTCATCATCACTATGGCAACAGGAATGCTAAATGTTGTCTGTGTATTGGCCCTATTTTAGGATTCATAGTGTGTTTAAATCCCAGCATGTCAAAGATGTACAAGGTCATCGTACTATGGGTCTGGCTCCTTCTGCTTGCTTTGTTGGTAGGCCTTCCAATAAGATATTCCACATATGGTCCTGAAACCGTATTCTCCTCGCCAGGGGATATGAGGCATATCCAAAAGAGATTCAACAGCTTTATGTGCACTGGACTTGAGATAACAAACAAAGAAAGTGAAATGGTTGATGTGTACACAACATCGGAAACACCATATGTTGATAAAAATAAAACGTTAACACAGACCATTCAACGGGCAAGTAGAATTGATGATATGAGGTTTGAATACTGGGGTTACCACTTAATAGCCGGATCAGAAGTCACAATCAGGACGACAGTCAATGCAAATGTCGAACTATACATTGCTAAAGGAGTATCTGGGCGCAACAAATGGCGAGGAAAATTTAATCAATGTAAGAATAATTGTGAAAACCAACTTCAAAAGGACGTAGAGTTTTCAGCCCTGTATAAAAATGAGACCTACCTAGCGAACTTATCGATTTCTACTACAGATGATTATTTCTTCATATATGCCAGATCACGACGATCAGAACAACGAGGGATTACCTTCGCAAACATAAATATGACATTTTTTCTGAGAAGGACACGCTACAACCTATCAAACACGAAGAAAGAATGCATCTTATCGACAAAAGCCAACAAATCTTGCACTATAGACCTCCCCTACAGAGCCGACCGAAACATCCTGCTGACATATGACGTTAGCTCTAATGCACTTAACCTTGATGTTATCACAACATGTATTCCCAGAGAATGGGTCTATCTGGTGTTTTTCCTTGGATTGCCCTTTGCTATTGGTTTAATTCTATCAGGACTTATAATGCTTCTATGCAAGGATAAGCAGAAGACACTGGAAAGTGACATTGCACCAAATGAGAAAACTGTCACTTTAGACAATAAAAGAGGCTACTCAAACCCAGTGGTACAGTACTGAACAAAGTGGGTGCATTGACATATTGACTTGTACTTATGATTTATATAACATTGGGTGAAATAGATTGATGAAATATTAAAGACAAAAAGTGAAATACCCACCTGAAAATCTATTTGCACCCACTTAGGAATGAAAAAATTATAAAAATTAGCAAATCAGAATTATGAAAAAAAACTAGAAAAAGAGCGACTCCCTCAGAGTAGCAGATCCCGTCAGACAAATCAATATTTTGTCAAATTGCTCGTCACTGTAAATGGTTCGTGGTAGAAAAAAACAGGCAGTAGCAAAATCTACATCCATGACATAACGCCATATGTTACTAAAATATGTGCCAAAAAGTTTGAAAATGTATAATTAAAAGAGTCAACTTTAAGAAAGCATAGATGTGAGGGGGTGTTACCTTTATATGTGTTGATAGCAAGATGTGTCAGGATCAGAGCAGATTTAGACGCAACAGCCATGTTGTCATGGAAACAACCCTCCTCACATAGTCTTAGTACTGTGGAACCTATACAGCAATAAATAACAAGACATATAATATCTGTTGCAATAGATCATATAATGTTTGATATTTTGGAAATTATATCATCAAGGAAGAAGGTTGTTTTACATACAGTATTGCTTTTATTTTATTTTATTTCTTCTTTCAAATTGCAAAGTGCCATCTTTGTTGAAAATAGGATAAAAGATCTAAATTAATACAGCCCAGGTCCAATGCTCAGATGTAACAATACTTAGGTTTGTTTCTCACCTTGATTTGTGTCAAAGTTAGTCACAGCCATTGAGTTTGAGAGACTACATAACACAGTCAGCGTACATAACCTCAGTCTTGTACTCCTGGTCTCCAATGCAAAGCAGCATAAGGCCTGAATCAAATGGGAAATACATGTAGACTAATTGTACATAGGGCATTCAATAAGTAAACTTGATTTTGCTTAAACACTGAAAGTTTGAACAAATATTTTGAGGAATCTGACTACTAAGCGAAATTCTTGAATTTTCCCTATAACATTTAATATATTCTCATATAACAATAACACGTTGACATCACGCTAGATTTGATTTAGTCCACCACGTCCTTGAGTTTTATACAGGTATGAATAATTCTTTGGGACATCACATAGCTTACTAATTCATTTAAGCATCACATAGCTTACTAATTCACTGTGACGTGACGATCACATCCCGGGATCACATAGCTTACTAATTCATTGTAGCATCACATAGCTTACTAATTCATTGTGACGTGACGATCACATCCCGGGGATCACATAGCTTACTAATTCATTGTAGCATCACATAGCTTACTAATTCATTGTGACGTGACGATCACATCCCGGGATCAAATAGCTTACTAATTCATTGTAGCATCACATAGCTTACTAATTCATTGTGACGTGACGATCACATCCCGGGGATCACATAGCTCACTAATTCATTGTGACATCACATAGCTTACTAATTCATTGTGACATGACGATACACATCCCGGGATCACATAGCTTACTAATTCATTGTGACATCACATACCTTACTCTTTCTGAGATATAAAAGTACTCTATCAGTTCCCTTCTAGGAAAATTTTTAGGAAGGCAAAGGTGGTCTGATCATCAGAATGTAGGTTACTCAAACAATTAACAACTCTACAAACCTCAACATTACTGGGAAGCCACATGTGTGCACCTTTATCAGCCAAGACTTTTAGGTTCCCCAGTATTGCAGCCTGGACTGGTTTTCTTGTCTCAACCTTGAGATGTTTCAACAACAATTCAACCTAAAGTCATAAACAAGCACTTATTGCCAAATATGGGAATGACATATTGCAAGATGACTGTATCTTTATTGTTATACATTGTTTTGGATGCACAAACATCAAACAAACACCCTTCTGTAAATATTTTCCCAACTTTGTTATATTTATAATATGTACATTATTAAATGATCAAATTTGGTCGCAATAAAGGAAAATATATATACCTTATATAAGTTTTTGGTATTTGTTGTTATGTGAAAAGCTTTACTTATTTATATTATTTAGATGCATTTGCTCCCTGAATTCAGAAAACATTTAAAAAATTGTTTTCTGTTTATTTCAAAACTACATATTATATTATGATTTAAATAATTGTTCATTTATTTCTTACCTGTAAGGGGATGTCCACAAGACAGTGTGCAGACAGTTCAGTCAAGGTATGCAGTGTGATTGTAACAAAGTTCTTTGATGGATAGTTCAGCAGTAGGTCCTGACAAACCTCTCGTACCTTATAGGAATAATATTATATTATTATATGAAAGACAATATACACAGTCATAAATATCACACTTTAAAGAGCAAAATGGGTAAATTACCAAGCATCTCCAATACCTAATCAGATGTTGGTATAAGTGTGCTCTTATATCTGTAAAAATTTCAAGTTGAACATATGGATTCAAAATGGCCACCAAATAATTTACCCAGCATTCCCAAAACCTACTCAGATTATGGTACTAGTCTGCTTTTCGCATCTGTAAAAATTTCAAGTTGAACAGAACAATGTAAGCGTTTTTTCTGGAATTTTGATGACAAGATCTATGTGGCACCAACCCAAACAGATGCACACACAGCCATCAGGAGAAAAGGTTGACAAAATAGCATTTTGAAAAGATGTTGACAAAATAGCACTTTGAAAAGAGGTTGACAAAATAGCACTTTGAAAAGTGTGATAAAAAGCAAGTGTTGTGAAATAATTTATTTTCTCATCTACTGACTGTAACATTTCCAAGAGAATTCAAGATTGCATATGTTAAAGATTTGCTTTCCAAATAAGCTTGATAAAATGAAAGCATTATCATGAAATAAAGTCAGAAGTCCATCTGAGGCTTGACAAGGAATGTTCTAAACAAAACTTTGTGACAATTCTTTATTGAATTAACATTATTACCTTGGTAGTCATGTTAAGGTCATGGTGCATGTGCTGACATATTGGAATAAGCTTTAGTTTCATGTCTATAGGTGTCTCTAGCTTCTGAATCAAATCAGCCACTTTACTGCAAATACTGCTGGCGAAAGTCCTATCAATAACATGAATATTCTTCAACAGTTATCAAAGACAAAATACACATACAGTAAAACATGTCTGAGTGAAACACATTTGGCAATTCTAGAGTTCTACTTGGGAGGTGCTCCACTTATAGAGGTTTATCTATGATGAACTCAGTTGGACTTGGTACTATGAAAAGTGTTCCATTAATAGAGGGGTTCCACTTCTAGATGTGTTCCAATTTACAGATTTCACAGTTCATCATATAGTCAATTAATTCTATTGACACAATGATATTTCATCAGACTCAAAAGCACAAATATATTGATGATAACTTCAACCCAGCATATGTAATCAATGATGATAAACTGTGGTTGATACAAGGGTAATAGTATGACGTGAGATGCAGAAATAAAATTGAAGGGGGAGACTGAAAGGGAGGAAGTAGGGGTCATGCCCAGATAAGGAAAATAGGGGAGACTAGGTAAATTACAAGGTGGTGGGCACCAAGCTGATAGGCTTCTCCTTCAGGAGACAATGGAATAATAGACTAGTATTGAAGTTGATGTGCCCACTTACTACTTGGCACCACATGGCCTTACCTAAACCAGCCAATCAATCATGGGGACTTGGCTCACATGGTAAGGAGGTGTTAGTTCAGGAGTGATGGGTTTTTAACAAATGTTAGTGATAATATACCTGCTAACTTTTAAGTTAAAATGAATGTTAATTTAAAGGAAAACAACATTGTTGATTTATGGCTAATAGTGATAAATAATATTTAACACGGTATTGCAAAAATTGTTGCCATTTTGAAAATAACATATGAGACATGCAGCTAACACCGCAACAGTTTAGAATAGAGTCCAGGCAAAAAGATATGAGAAATACAAAATGGATGACCTACTTGGACTGAGAAGCGAAGTGTGTAGCCGCATATATAGCGGCATCTTGCTCCACCAGATCATGGGAGTCAAGTCCATTCAGTATGCTATGATGGACGTTCTTACGCTCTGAAAAGATTGAGGCAAAGCTCCCCAGGGTCCTGGAAATATGAATGATTGAAAAGAGTTTCATTAGCAGCAGGCAACAGGCAATTTTCACCGGCTGTTTTCACAAAATTGCCTGTTGTTTTTAGGGACTTTTCAATTTTTTCTATATTAAATTTATGATTTCCATCAATTTTGCCCATTGTTTTTATTTATTTAGCCTGTTGTGAGAAATTCTAGTGAAATCCCTGAAGTAGTTCATTTAATTTGAAACTTATACTTGCATCAGTACCAGGTAAGGAATTTTTTCATGCATTGATAATTTTAGAAGAGAAAGTTTAAACCAAATTCTACATATTTAAGGTACATAAAGTTACAATTAGGATGAACATACAGCTAATTACCCGAATCAAAAATTTGATAATGTGATTTCAACACAGAAAAAAGCTTCATATGTTACCTTAATGTAATTGCTCTAGCCACTGGGTCATTGCTATATATGACAGAAAATATACGACGCAGGAAGTCATCAACACTCAATATTTTGTCTAAATGTTTTTCACTTTGTTGTACAACTTTCAGGATCCAGAGTCGAAGAAAATTACTCCTGAAAGAAATAAAAAAAGATTTAACAAATAAACAACAATGATGTCAATTTTTAAATGATTACAGTTAGTCAAATCATTCCTATCTACAATACAATTTCTTTCCATTTCTATGTTTGATGTCTTTGATGTGTTTACAGTTTTGAAATAAGCTTGGAGATATACAGCAGATCAGTGCAAAGTATTACATTCATAGAACCAAATATTCCTTTATCATAAGTTGAAAACATTAATTTCTTGGCAAATATGAAGAAAGGCATAAATTTCTCTGACTACAATTCTGATTGGGTGACTCACTTGAGCAACACACTTGCAGGCCCGTAGCCAGGATTTGCCAAGGGGGATTCACTTTTTGAAAAATTCCAAGGGGGTTCACTTTTGATCATTTTGGTCCAAATATGGCCAAAATCACTTAAAAGGTGCTCAGGATGATGAAAAACTGCATGATTTTGAAAGAATTTTTGGCCAGGGGGGGGGGGGGGGGAGTTTGCTCGAACCCATCGTCCCCACCCCCCCTGGCTACGGGCCTGCACTTAACTAGACTAGCTGTTACTTTAAGAGTCTAGATGGAGCTCTAATTTAAAGAGAAAAATCAAATTATTGAAAAGGGTAACTAGTCTTTGAACACCTTAAAAGTATATTTTGAATTAAGTGAATTCAATCAAATACACTTCATATCATATTCCATTATGCCTATACATACCACCTGCCTATCAATGGTTAATTCTGGCACAGTGTCAGCTCCATCTGTTAAACATAGCCATGAATGGCACATTATATTTTAATTATGACTATATACCCTAAATACTCACCCTATTCTAAAAACATCAGCCAATTTTAGAAATGCAGAGTTGACAAGGATAGGGAATGGGTACTTCTCCAGTAACTTTTGAAACCTGACAATAGATTCACATTGCTCACCAACTTTAGATGATCTTAGACCTGAAATGAAGGTAAAAACATTTGATTCAAGAAAACTATTATCATTCATCTTTTCAAAGTTCTCGCCTACCGAGGCACTAATATAAGATTAATATTTAAAGCCCAAAGACAGTTGCATAGACACTGGTGATCCGCTCAATTACGTAAGTGAGGAATTAAATCTACGATTCTGTTGTCTTCTGAACTATTTGTTCGCAAATATGTACTTTTTCTTAAACATATGATACTGATACATGTTTGTGTTAAAAATGTCGTGGGAATTCTGCCTACTATACGACGTGTGAAATAAAGAAAAAAGAAAAATTGTACCTTCGATGTTCCAACATTTTGTTACCAAAGTATTTAAGGTAACGCTTAATTTAATCAAAAGTACAAAAAAATGGCAGGCATATTTTTTTGACTAAGTCACAAGATTTTGTTTTCTGTTTTCCTTATATGTGAATGCATTTCCTGACTAAAGAGACATGTCAAAGAAAGCTTCACATTTAAACGCATTTTTTTAATGCTGAATTGCAGGTGCATGGGTCCCTAAAGCTAGCATGGAGACGGTGAAGTGAGGATAAATTTTTAAAATTTCAAGGAGTAGGATTGCAATGGAGACACATTTGTAAGACTCCAAAATTTCCACAAATCATCTTACCTTACCAAGGAACACTGAAGGAGCATTAAAATGTGTACTTCATGCATTGTTAGAGTATAATAAAGCTCAAACCAAAGTAAATTCTAAATATTTCATGTTCACCATTTTGTTTGCTGGGACTATTTTCTAGTCCAAAATAATCCTCACTCATGTATCCATTGTTTACATTTAAAAAACATCAATTATGTATCTATAATGATTATTATACTGTTATATATAAAGTATACTAGACTAGTGATAATCCATGCCACTTAGTGAAGTCACAAAAACTTATATGAGGATTACAGGAAGTCTAGAAGTAGTTCCGGCAAGAAAAATGATGGACATGAAATATTTATCAGAAACTATGGTTTGAGCTTTATCATACTCTAACAATGCAAGAAGAACACATTTTTATGCTCCCTCGATGTTCCTTGGTAAGGTAAGATGATTTTCGGAAATTTTGGATTCTTGCAAATGTTTGACTGTTGCAAGGCTACTCCTTCAAACTTTCAAAAATTAGCCTCATTTCACGGTCTTAATGTTAGCTTTGGGGACCCATGCACCTCCAATTCATAGTTTTAAAAAATGCGTTTAAAAGTGAAGTTTTCTTTGACATGTCTCTTTAGTCAGGAAATGCATTCACATATAAGGAAAACAGAATACAAAATCATGTGACTTAGTCAAAAATATATGGCTGCCATTTTTTTGTACTTTTGATTAAGTTAACGGTTACCTTAAGTTTCAGGCGGTACGATTATGTAGCAGCTTACTGTTTGCAGGTAAAGGCTGCTGTATCAGAAGAATCAGACAGCCTTTGATTCAAAGTTTGAAATATGTAAAGGTAAAATTCCACATACAGTTGGGGACAAAAATAAATGACAGGTCGATTTTCGATCACCATTTCCTAATTATGGTGGTCTGAAAGCCCATAATTTCCAATATTGTCTAGATATATATCCCTTAAAATTTGTATATTTTACATTTTGTATAATCTCATCCACTGATGTATGGCCTCTTGTAAATTCTCTTATTTTTAACATGGGAAATCCTCACTTCAGCAAATCCACCTGTCATTTATTTATGTCCCCAACCATAGGCTAAGGGTTAAGTAATAGTAAGCTGTATATATAAGAGACAGGTGAACAACTCTGACTTAGACCACTTGTTAAGATGGAGATTTCAACAATATTTAGTGTATTATTTTCAAAAAGCCATGGGGAGTTGATATAAAATTGATAGTTTGTAGCTCTTACCTAAGATTGAAACTCAGTCAGATGATATAGAGTGAATAATGCTATCTAAAAGAGAGAATTTCTGAAAACCTACAATTGCCTGGCAAGTTCATTAGTAAACAAGTGATCTGATTGGTCACTGCTGACCTCCCTGACCTCCACCAGTGACAATCAGTTTCAGCTTGCCAGGCAATTGTAGGTTTCCATAGTTGTTGTTTTATATGCAGTATAATATGCAGTTTTTAGATAAAGATTTGAAAAAAACAATGATATAAGTTTGAAAAACACTTTGAAGAAGATTTTGGAGAAATTTTGGAATAAAATTTGATACCAGTAAGGAGAACTAGTGCCAAGACTAAAAAAATTTGAATAATTTTCAATCTTACTTGTGGACCTGTCTCTTATATATACAGCTTACTATTACTTAACCCTTAGCCTATGTCCCCAACTGTAAATGGGCGATAATAAGTGAAGTTTTACATTCAATGTCTAATTTGAACAAATATGAGATGTGGAAACACAACATTTTGGCTTCAATTGTGAAATATGATACCAACCTTTGTCTAGTTCCATAAGAATTGTATTTGCATCTTTTTCTGGCTCACCATAAGGTGTCAAACCTAAAGTTGATAGTCTTGCAGTTACACTTGCCATATCCGGGCACTTTTTAGATGGAGCATGACTATATCATTTTCATGTCAAAGGGACAATCAAAACAACAACATAAAATGACATTAATCATATCAATAATTATTTGTCAAATCAGACTATGTAAATCGATGATCCAAACTATTGACTTTAAGTCATAAAGAAGAAAGATGTAATATGAAAATCAAATATTGAATGGTCCTGTAATTAGGTCAACAAAATATGGCAGAAGGAAAAGTTTTACTAGCCCTGCTAAATGGGCTTGCACGCAAAGAATACTACAATGAGGCGGATATCAATGATGACATGCTAAAAGAACAACTTTTTCCTGACACACCAGATGATGAATTCGCTCATATAAAACAAAGGGCTTCTTCAATAATACATGTAAGATTTTTCACACTCCCCTTTTTCAATTTATTTCATGCTTTCTAGGCTAGAGTCAGATCCATTCAGCTCAGCTCCAGTACATTCTATGGACAGAGTTGCTGTCTGAACTGCGATTTGTAGATATTTGTGTAATGGGTGATACTAATCCCGCGATCCCTGCTAGGACTATAGTCCTGAGAACGTCTCAATCTTTTGCCTGTACGATTACAACATGGGAGAATTTTCTACAGTTCTTTCACCAAGATACCTACTTCACTAGATTCCTTGGTATTTTACATTTTTTCCTTCATAAAGTTTTGCATTGTACTTTGTGACCCTTTGACCTGTTCATTCAGTGCAGTCTATATGCTGCTGCTATAGCAGAGCTTTAGTCTGAACCAAGTGAACTCTATTCAAACTTTTTGAATAGACAATTAGTTACAGTCTGGCTTTCTTAGATAATCCCTTAGCTGTAAAAATCATCCCTTTGTTTAGTGTCTGGCTGAAGGGTCAGGTACTACACTAGACTATGGTAATCTGGCTGCCCATCGTATATATTCTGTCTGGTTCCTTTGGTCATCATTGTACGCCTTGACAGTCACTTGAATGTTTGTACTTATCTTCCTACTTTTAACATTTAGCTTATTTGAATTTAACTTGTAATCAACACTTAAAATTGCTGTTTTGCCGTCTTGCTGATATGTCTGACCAAAGAGAACCAGAACAGTGGGTAAGCCAGACTAACATATTCTAGTGTCAACAAACCTTGTTTGTAACATTGTACTTGTGTTCATTATCTTTGAGATTTAATTTACAATAGATTGATTTAAAACTTTATCTTATTTGTTTCTCGTTTTGTAATATAGTATCACACATTTGTATTTATCAGTACACCTCATATTCATTAAACTTTAGTTCCCTTTCATATAATTCCACGTTCACTTCAAATACACGCTACCATTGATTTAAATTAACTTATTCCAATTTGCTTTCCAAATTTCCACGCTACCAGCTATTGTTTTTTTTGTATCTATTTCATTTGCCCACATATTTACTGGTCACACTACCAACTGTTAATTATTTATTTCCCCCATTAACTGACGGCCCTGATTTTGTTTTTAGTTAAACTTCCCCTTTGTTATTATTTAACTATTGCCCCAGGGTCCTCACATATTTGAATCCACAATTGTCTGGGTTTATCGGCAGAGCGAAGAAATTTTAGTTTTTGATTGCAATATTTGCGTGTAATATTAACTTATTTCAATTGTCAAATTCCTCTATTTATTGGTACTTCCGGGCCAGTCAAATGGGGAATCCCCTTTTAAATTCAACCGCCATCTTGAAAAGTGATGTGATGGAATCTCTCTCGATGAAACAGAAAAATATTCCCATTCTGCCGATATACCCAGATAATCGTGGATTCAACTACACGAAAAAAATGCTAAAGTACCCAGGAATCTATTGAAGTAGGTAATGGTATCTTACGTGTAAGAGGCGTTGAAAATTCTCCCATGTTGTAATCGTACAGGCAAAAGATTGAGCTGTCTCAGGACTATAGTCCTGGCACAGGATAAGGTGATACTATTGGCATTCGAGGCCTTCAACTCAAAATTTCCAGAAATTACAAAATCAAGATGGTAGGGATTGGTCAATGTAAAACATGCTGTGATTTGATTGGCAAATAAACTGACAACCTTTAGTATTTGATTGGATAAATGAGATAACAAGAACTGACTTGACGGGTAACAGAAAATGAAGTTACAGGACTCAAACTGAGATGACGGGTACCAGAGAAGGAGATGACAGGGACCAAATATAGTTCAACAAGTAAAACCTTGTTTGACATTTCCATGGTAGCCCGACTAGTGTCCAGTCACAATAAAATTCAAATTAAGAAATTAAGCCAAATTGGGTTTAACTTGTTGCACTAGGATCAAATACTGAGATGCTGACATTTTTATCAAACTATTGCCTGTAGGGATGCCAGTTTGAAGCTATTGGTCGATCATTCACTTTTAATTTTATTCATATTGTGTCTTCTATATTTGAGGTTTAAAACATTTTTAATGAAACTGAAATGACGAGTATGGGGATTGAGATAACAGATATGAGACTGTGATGACAGGTGACACATGCATAATGATGTTGAACTGACTTAACGGCAGCTTATATATTTTCTGGAAATGTATTTAGTTAATGGCAGAATAGGTGGCTCTGTTTGAGTGTAATAAATGGTTGCTACAGAGCCTACAGTAATGTATGGTTAATATTTCAAATTCTGAATTTCAATGGCAAAGTAGTTGAGTCAATCAGTCAATATAAATCTGCATTTATTTTTTTCATTACGTCTGATTTTCAGAGTATGGTAGCCTCTAATATGGACCTGAATCAACTCGAAGTATTTCTAACATCCCAAACAAAGAAAAAAGATCATCCGCTAACAGAAGAACAAGTTAAAATCTATGCAAAATTTTGGAAACAGCATCGAACAAAGATTCATGAACAATTAGTTACACGGACAGTTTGGGGGAACACTTTAAAAGATGTTAGCTGGAGAGTTGACGTCATGTCCCAGTCACGCTCAATGGAGAGTATAAATACACCTACAGCCATAGTGGAGCTACAATTAGAAAATAGGATGAAAAATGTCAGTTGGTTTCATAAAATGTATAATGAATCTTTATTATGGTTGTTCTAAGTCAATAAGTGCAGGTTTTGAGAAGTTATAACTCTGAGCATATTGTTGCCCTAAAAATCTATATATTTTTCTTTGCATTAAAGCCTGTGGATGTTATTTTGAAAGTTCTTTGCCCATAAATAGCCCAAGGTTGGCCATTTGAGGACTAACATATCAGGACTAACTGGGAGTTCTAATTTAGTAAACTATGTTTTTATAAGTAACATTGGCAATTAACAATGAAAATGAAAAATTCTAGTTATAATGTATAATAATACTATCATTGAAATAATCCCATGTATTTTCATTTTATTCACCCATTTGCATTGTATTCGAATTTTAATATGTTTTTCCTTGTTTTTCAGGAGACAGATTCCATTACATTTGAAATGAATGAGGAAAAGTTACAAAGTGTTCTTTCAAGTCTGCAGGAAATTGATGATACCATCAAGAAGTATAGCTCTTGAGCTACTCAATATACATTCAATTTGAATATTTGTAATTGTATAAACAATCTGCCATAAAGATACTCACTATGAAACATCACATCTCGGAGGGAAACCTTTTTTTGACAAACTACAAAATGTTGGTCTATCCCAACACATGGCAGTATTCATCCAAAGAATTTCTCTGCTGTATGCAAATTTATTTAACCTATTCTGACTAAGAAAAATCCAACATGTTAACAAACCTAATTTTCATGATTTTCCAAAATCTCAAATTGATGTTTAACTTAATACAGCGGAATTTCAATTCCACAACTTCGTATAGTATTTCCAGTTGCTACAGAGATGAGGTAATTAATGTACTGTACATGTAAAATGTTCCCTAATGTATCACTCTACTACTTGATCACGTTTAAAAGGATACAGGCCACAGTGAAGTTGCAAATTGAGCGTGTATTCTCTATCTTAATTTGTCTATAGAGCTTTTCTGGTAATAATAAACTGCAAACTGCTTGATGAATCTATACAATGTTCAATAGAATACTTGGAACATATAAAATCTAGTTTATCTTCAGAAATATTGAAATGAACAAAAATCCTCCATTTGCAACTTCATTGTAGCCTGTATCCCTTTTAAATGTGGTCGCATGGTAGGGTAGAACTGTGTTAGAACTGTCAATGTAGACCTATTATATATAAATGAATTATTTTTTAAATAACATCTATATTTTTTGTTGGTTTGTGTACTGATCAGTGTTGATATTCTGATCATAAGATAAAATTAATTTTGATAAGCAGAAATGGTAGATTCTATCAGAAAATAGGTGACATGTTATTATAGTCTCTGACTTTTTCTCGGACGGTGAGTGATGGTTGACATTTGGCAGCAGTCAGTGTCTGTTACAAATGGCAGGTGGTGACATTTTGCATGTTGATGTCTTGTACATATGTACCGAAGTTATATATTTGTGCCATTAGGCCAAGGGGAGCAATGAATATAAAAATCTAACCCTCCCATCTTATGGTTCATAATAATGATGACATGAACAATTTTATAGATTTTAACAATCCTTAGAGGATTAAAACATTTATTTATAACTCAAAACATTTTAAACACAAAATACAAGAATATTTCATTATAAAAAAGATTGCAATATTCGGTATCATCATGATACCTCTGAAAGGAAACCATTTACAGTGAACTTATTATTATTTGAAAAGTTATATTTCATGGCAAAATCAATGTCTTTTATTTCTCTTGTACATATATCTGCCATTTAATATAATATGTGACACCACGATACAAGTCACTAAACTTAAATGTTGGAATATACTACCAGCTAGCACAATCATGGGCAGTGTACGTGAGTTGGCTGGCAATGAAGGCCTTCAAAATAGGGCTGGCACAGAACAGAACTATTGTCTGAATCATCTGATGCAATGCCCATGATACTGCTTAATATAAAACGTATTTATGTCATTGAGAATCCAATGAAGTCTCATGGATTATATTGGGTTATAAAGATTGCACTAATAGCAACACAAAACTGCTTTTTAATTTATTTAATTAAAGCTGGTGACATAGCTTGGATATTATAAGGAATTGCACCGTAACATTGAACTTTTAACTCATTGCTGGCCAAAGCTATTTTTGAGGTTTTCTGTTGGTGACTGGCCATTTTGATAAAAAATTGTTCAAAATGCCATGCTTTCATATTGGCATTTTAATGGACTGTATCAACACCCTCTTTGCTATGTTTATTTATACCATTGTGAACAGCAATGACAATATATTTCAACTGCACCCAACGGTATTCCCCATGTGACCCCTACAATATTTCGAAAGACTATTGGTACAAATTGTGTTACAATTATTGTACAGCACCCCGAGATATCTCGGGGTTGATCAGATATGATTATGATGTCATAGACGAGATATCTCGGGGTTGGTCAGCAATGACTTAACATTGAACATTTTATCCTCATGATTATTGTAAAACCAGAACCAAAGTTTTGAAAATTTGAGGTACAGTATAACTTTACTGTCGATATGGCAATTGGAAATCAGTTTTTGTGCTGAAACACTGGAAAATACAAAATTTGTACATGGTACATGTATTTACCATCATCAGTGTCTGTAAAATAGCTAAGCTATATAATACATACACACATATTATTTAATGCAATAGTTGCTGATGACAAAATGCATATTATAAATCAGATACTAATAAATGAGGGCATAATCAGGATCTAAATTTAGTACTATCAAATAGCAATGTAATGCCATCATGAGACTTCATTTTCTTAAAGAATGCCTGGCTATGCCCATGTAGATGTAAGGATACATGAAGTAGCAGTTGCATGACTTGATTCACATGCAGTAATAATTATCCATACCATCTGCATGATGTAATGCCCTTATTGGAGATTAATTGAATTCTCCAATGTATTGTGATAGGCCAAATAAGCATGATTACACTTAAACCATACCATCATACGATAATGGTTTTGCTTGAGGTCTTAAACTGAAATGATCTCCAGAACTGTACAATAAACAAGCATGATTATACTAACCATACCATCTTACATGGTTCTGCTTGAGAAGGTCTTAAACTGAAGTGATCTCCAGAATTGTCTAACATATCATGGGCGTACAATGAACAAGCATGATTACACCAACCATACCATTATACATGGTCCTGCAGGAGAATCTTATAACTTAAATGATCTCCAGAATTCTCTGACGTATCGTGAGAGGCCATTAAAGCAGATAATACTACACTAACCGTAACACCATGGTTCTGCATGAAAATGTCTTACTGAAATTATCACCATTCACTTGGTGTGTCTCTATGTAGAGAGAAGCTTGATTGTAAGATCAATTCATCCTTATAGTCCACGGTTTTTTGTTTTATATTGCATAACTTGTAACTTGGGAGGATATGCAATGAAATTCAAGGATTATGCAACATATTGTTAATGGATCACAGTCATGTAACAACTTGTTAAAGGATCACACCTGTGAAAAAGTATGCAATATATTGTTAAAGGATCATGCTTGTGATAGGTATCACATTAAAAAGATCACACTGGTTTTGGCAGTTCATATTGGCTTGCTGGTTTACACTTGATGCTTACTAGTCTCATTACAATTCAGTCTTCCTGAAAATAAAAAATAATATAAAAAATAAGAATTCTTCTGCATATAATTTACTTCTTGCAAATATTGTTACAACTTAAGCATGTTGTACATTTTGCAATAAATTCAATTAATGGCACATGAAATTAAATAGTTGTAAAAACTATATGACACACAAAATTTTTGTAATATTTATTATAATTATGAATATTTATTTCGAAAAAAAGTGATAATTAATGTCCTGCTACTAGTATGTAAAAGAAATTGAAGTTGAGAGAAATCCTTACCCTTTTGGCCACTGCTTCTCTTGGCTTGTCAGGGGAATGTATATCACCCCCATAAGATTCTTCTTGCTTATTGAGCCGTCCTCTAGCTTATCAACTTGCGTGAGCATCTGATTGCCTCCTTCAGGTCCAACAGGTATGATCAGTCTACCACCAGGCTTCAACTGCTCGATCAACTAAAAATGCAGAATATTGAAATATTGTACACTGTATAATATTTTCATTTTGACTTTTAAATATTTACTTTTAATAGTCACATAGTAAAGCACTAAATGGAGAATAATAGAAGAACTTGTGTCAGGCCAGTAGTCAGTGATTATGTGATTATCAACTCACAGCTTCTGGAAGTGGATTTGCTGCAGCTCCTACATTTATAGCATCATAGGGGGCGCCAGGTAAGTACCCCTGTCTCCCATCTCCAGTCACTAATGTAATTCGACCAGTACCTAACAGAGCACCTATTTTAGAGTCCTTTTTAATATTTCTAATAGAATCTTGCACCAAACTGTCTATGTGATCAATGCCAATTACTTTGCCAGTCTCTCCAACCTGAAAAAAATATAAAATACATGTTAAAAACACATGTTAAAAACAATAAAGGTTTGGTACATTTTATGAGGCTGGTTCACAAAGTAAATTTTGATACAAGGCATTAACATGACAAAATGTCACCACCTAGTTGCTCACAATATTATGAGTTCAAACTTAGGTCAGATTTGAATTTCTGAGAACTTGTAAAGTCAAATTTGAAATTCTGAAAAGATGTAGATGATTTTGAAAAAAAAATTTGGTCAATTTGAAGCAAGTTGAAAACAGACCTTTTTGACCTTTTTTGACCTTGAGAAGGTCATTAAAGGTCAAATGTCAAATCTAAAGTCAGATTTGAATTTCTGAGAACATGTAGATGATTTTGAAAAAAAATTGGTCAATTTGAAGCAAGTTGAAAAAAGACCTTTTTGACCTTTTTTGACCTTGAGAAGGTCATTGAAGGTCAAATGTCAAATCTAAAGTCATATTTGAATTTCTGAGAACATGTAGATGATTTTGAAAAAAAATTTAGTCAATTTGAAGCAAGATGAAAAAATACCTTTTTGACTTTTTTGACATTGAGAAGGTCATTGAAGGTCAAATGTCAAATCTAAAGTCAGATTTGAATTTCTGAGAACATGAAGATGATTTTGAAAAAAAAATTTAGTCAATTTGAAGCAAGTTGAAAAAAGACCTTTTTGACCTTTTTTGACTTTGAGAAGGTCATTGAAGGTCAAATGTCAAATCTTAAGTCAAATCTAAAGTCAGATTTGAATTTCTGAGAACACGTAGATGATTTTGAAAATTTTTTTTAGTCAATTTGAAGCAAGTTGAAAACAGACCTTTTTGACCTTTTTTGACCTTGAGAATGTCATTAAAGGTCAAATGTCAAATCTAAAGTCAGATTTGAATTTCTGAGAACATGTAGATGATTTTGAAAAAAAAAATTAGTCAATTTGAAGCAAGTTGAAAAAAGACCTTTTTGGCCTTTTTTGACCTTGAGAAGGTCATTGAAGGTCAAATGTCAAATCTAAAGTCATATTTGAATTTCTGAGAACATGTAGATGATTTTGAAAAAAAATTTAGTCAATTTGAAGCAAGATGAAAAAATACCTTTTTGACCTTTTTTGACATTGAGAAGGTCATTGAAGGTCAAATGACAAATCTAAAGTCAGATTTGAATTTCTGAGAATATGTAGATGATTTTGAAAAAAAAATTTAGTCAATTTGAAGCAAGTTGAAAAAAGACCTTTTTGACCTTTTTTGACTTTGAGAAGGTCATTGAAGGTCAAATGTCAAATCTTAAGTCAAATCTAAAGTCAGATTTGAATTTCTGAGAACACGTAGATGATTTTGAAAAATTTTTTTAGTCAATTTGAAGCAAGTTGAAAACAGACCTTTTTGACCTTTTTTGACCTTGAGAAGGTCATTGAAGGTCAAATGTCAAATCTTAAGTCAAATCTTAAGTCAGATTTGAATTTCTGAGAACACGTAGATGATTTTGAAAAAAAAATTTAGTCAATTTGAAGCAAGTTGAAAACAGACCTTTTTGACCTTTTTTGACCTTGAGAAGGTCATTGAAGGTCAAATGTCAAATCTAAAGTCAGATTTGAAGGTCAAATGTCAAATCTAAAGTCAGATTTGAATTTCTGAGAACATGTAGATGATTTTGAAAAAAAATTTAGTCAATGTGAAGCAAGTTGAAAAAAGACCTTTTTGACCTTGAGAAGGTCATTGAAGGTCAAATGTCAAATCTAAAGTCAGATTTGAACTTCTCAGAACATGTAGATGATTTAGAAAAAAATTGAAGTCAGTCTAAACAGTATTTGTTAAGTTATAGGAAGTTGTAAGAAATTGTTACAGACGCCGGACGCCAACCGCCGGACGCCGGACGCCAACCACCAACCGCCGTCGCAAAAAAACGGAGACCATAACAATATGTCACCACTTTTGGTGGTGACATAATAAATTCATTAGTTCAGCCACTGTAGGTCAAATAGAGCTAATCAATATCTTCAAAATGGCCTTAGTTAAGCTTTTATGTCCAGTAAAAGACGCATTTTCTTACCTTTGAAAATGGATTCTACCAATACTCTCCCACATGAATATACTTGTTGATAAACTTTGTATTTATCCCCATGTGTGATGACATGATGATATACAGCTTTTTTAATTCACTTGTGTATATCCCCAGCCCCATGTTAAGTCAATACGTCATTGCTGAAACCCTCATTATCTCATAAGAACCTATAAGTGGAACACCTCCCAAATGAAACACTTGTAGGGATACCAAGGGTGTTACACTTAGACAGGTTCTACTGTAATATGTTACAACATACCATGAGTGCCATACATGCTGTGAGGTATCCACTCCCTGAGCCAACGTCCAGAGCTGAGGCACCTTCAGTCAACTGCTCACTTAAGATCTCCAGGGCATGGGCATGCTACAAATAAAGAAACTACTGTATACATACATTGTATTACAAGGCATTTACAAGCTAAATGTCACCCTAACATTTGTAGCAGACACCAACTTGGGTTACAGACACCTAACACCATCCACAAAAATTTGGAGGCTGTAACAATATGTCACCACCTCTGATAGAGACATAATAGTAATTTACAAATATGGCAAGTATTAAACAAATCATATCAGGGATGGATACAGGTTTTTGACTGAGGGGTGACCCACCAATTAAACAGCACCTATAATTATACTTAACAAAGTAGTATGTTTTAGAGTATTTTTCAAAATGTTTCTGTCATGCAAGATATTTCAGACAATGAGCGAGTTTCTATATATCTGGTTCTGGATAGCTTGACAAGTGTCAATTCTTTTAAAACAATGGAAAAAAGAATGCACTCTTCTTTGCTACAACTGTATGTTCTTTAAAATAAATAACAGTGTGTTGCTACCTAAGTGAGGTTTTTTTACACAGGGAAATCACTGTACTGGATTACCTGGCAAAACATCAAAATATTTGACAATCAAAATATACTGAAAATTTCAGTCAATATAACTGAATACTCTAGCAGCAAGTTTAAACAGTGGTGGTGATATCTTTATAAAAGTCTACAGAAAATACAACCCCTCTAATAGACTCCATCTAATACTCAGATGACCAGATAATCTTGCCACTGTGACACCTACCATGTCATTTAAATTAAGTTAGTTGGATGGATTTCTCAGTACAGTAAAACCTGTCTTAGTGGAACACTCTGATACCTCTAAAAAGTGTTCCACTTGGGAAGATTTCCATATAAATAGAGGCTCACTTAACATTAAATCAGTTAGCCTTGGAACTGAAAAGTGGTCCACTAACAGAGGTGACCACTTCCTTTTTATTAATTTGTCTTGGGTTTGAATATCTTTATTAGGGGTTAAAGGTTGCTTCATGATTTTCAAATTTTGATCTTTTGTACTTTCTCATCATGCCCTTACCAGTTGGACCTTCCTTTTACATGTATAATAGCAAGAAAAAACTGCAATTCTTAAATGAAATAATAAACAAGTCTACAGTGCTCACCATAAATAAATGACACCTGGATTTGCTGAAGTGAGGATTTCCCATGTTAAAAAAGAGAATTTTTAAGAGGCTATACATCAGTGGTTGAGAGTATACAAAATGTAAAATATACAAAACTTAAGGGATGTGTATCTAGACATTATTAGAAAGTATGAAGTGTCAAATCACCATGGTCTGGAAATGGTGATAGAAAATCCAGGTGTGATTTATTTATGGTGAGCACTTTAATGGAAAGAAAATATTTGAAACTCAAAATGATATCAAAATAAAGATATATATTCATAGACCACTAGAGGGCACTAGAGTGTAGTTAAATGGATGTGGAATTCACAAAAACATTGTAAAAAATATTGTACATGTATATATTTCAGGCCTAACATTCAATCATTACAAATATACTGTACTGCTTAAAAAACCTTGCCATGTCAGTATATAGGACACAACAAAGTATATGTTTATCCTTATGGTTCACAATATAGAACGCAAGTATAAAACAAATATTGAAATATACAATCAATAGTCGTATTTTAAATGACAGAAAAGATAGATCACCAATAAATATAAAATACTGATAACATGTACTTGTGCAAAGTAAAAATAAAGAACTTTATCTGCTTGGGGCAGAACATTTAAATATACAAGAATATCTTGCAGTACAAGTCATAAAAGAAAGGGTAATGTCTTCAATTCCTATGGATAAAGTGACAATAATTCACAAAATGCTAGAACTTATTGATAGACCTGGTGTACCAACAGTTTGAGTATTATAAGATTTCGCCATAACCTTGGATTACATGCATATGGTACTTGACAGTACTATGAATGTTGACTTGACCAGTAGATAAGATAGTAAAATAGTAAACATAACAGAATGTCAATGAGTCTCATATTTTAGCCTTGCACTTTTAAATAGAATGACGGGACAGTGCTAGATCATAATCCTATGTTATATATGTCTCTGGCAAAATGGCATTGAGAGGGACATTATTTGTGTTTGTTGTCTTTGTTAGCCTGTGTGTAATAATTGTGAATGCTGATAACAAGAACAAGAATGAAGGACATCCACATAAACAACAGCAACTGAAAGATGATGAGAAAAGAGAAAATGAATTAAAAGCTGCAGAAGAAAAAAGGGCAATTGAACAAAAGATAGTAGAAGAAAAAAGGCAAAATGAATTAAAAGCTGCAGAAGAAAAAAGGCAAATTGAACAAAAGGCTGCAGCGGAAAAAAAGAAACAAGAACACCAAAAAGTTGTAGCTGAATTAGAAAAACTTCAAAGAAAACTAAAACTCGAGGAAGATGCTAAAACTCTACCAAATATTGTAATTTTTCTTGCAGATGACCTTGGCTATGCAGACATAGGAGCTTTTGGAAATGATACCCTAAGGACCCCACATGTTGATAATCTGGCAAGGCAGGGTGCTAAATTGACACACCATTTGGCAGCAGCTGCCATATGTACTCCCAGTAGGGCAGCTCTGTTGACAGGCAGATACCCTGTACGATCAGGTAAGTCATCTCTCGGTAGGTGGAAAGCTAAAGACATTTTACCATGTAGATACTAAACATGGCATAAACAATGAAAAATATTTTTGACATGCCCTCATGAAATCCTATCTTTAGTTTTAAATTTGACAATCAACGTAATCTTATCCAATATTTTATTCTATGATTCTAGGTATGGCAAGCCATGACGTGTTGACTGCTTTTGGATTTGTCGCAGCAAAGGCAGGTCTTCCACCCAATGAAACAACTTTTGCAGAGTTGTTAAAACTGAAGGGCTATAAGAATGCATTAATAGGTAAGTTCCTACAGTTCCTAACACAAATGCAAGGGGTAACATTAAACACTAATATATTCATCTATAGCCTCTTCTTTAGTAACCATTCCAATTACTGTTATCTATTGATTCAAGAGGTTTGATGAAAATTCATCTGAAAATTGAAGTCTTTTCCAGATTTTGTTTATTTATTTCCCAGGCAAATGGCACCAGGGAATCGACTGTGGCACATTTGGTGACAACTGCCACAACCCATTAAACCAGGGGTTTGACTATTTCTTTGGAGTACCCCTTTCAAATGCTAGGGATTTTGGACATGACGGTGACACTGTTGTATTCCTTATAAGACCTACATTCAAGCGTAACTTTGCATTAACCATCATCTTAGGGATCTTGACTGCCTACATCCTACTGAAATACAAGATCATTGGAATGTTCCAGTTCTTTCTTCTCTGCTTGCTGGTGATAGCTTTGCCTAGCTGGGCATACTGGTTCCTTCAAAACATCAAGCTGTGGAGCAGTGTGCTCATGAGAAACTATGAGTATGTAGAACAGCCAATTGACTTCACTGATATGACCAAGAGACTGGTTAATGAGGGGAATATGTTCATCAGAGAAAGAGACCAAGATAAAAAGCCATTCATGCTGTTTATGTCATGGCTGCAGGTATAAAATATTTACTTTTTTTCTGGCATTTCTAATGTACACATTTTCTTTAAGAGATATTCTTGTAGAATATGAGTTCTGTAAAGATATAAATCTAAAACATTCTATAAGACAGCATAGAAGTGAACATTTTAAAAAATACAAACATATTGTAGGTTTATATAGATAGTCATTACAATAACAACACTATATTATTTCTCATCTTACAACAGACATGCTGAATCCATGTGAGCATGGGTGTAGCCAGGGTTGAGGCAGATTTTTACAGAAAAACAAGTTTATTTTCAATGGAAACTTTGAAAATAAAGTAAATAAGATAATGTAATTTCACTTTTCAATCAAAGTGCCTCACAAATAGGTCAAGAATTTAGATCCTGGCTATGCCCCTAGATAGCCTAGTCTTGATTGTTTGTTTTCTCACCAGGTTCACACTTTCCTGCATACTGGAGATGAGTTTAAAGGAGTCAGCAAACATGGGGAGTATGGAGACAATGTCGAGGAGATGGACTGGGGTAACAATCATCTTTAATTTCACATCAAACTTTGTATTGCAGAGCTGTCAAAACCTAAATAAATGCCACAGTACATGCCTGAATGATTATGGGTAAATTACTGTAGAACCAGCCAAATATTACTAGAATGCTTTTGGTTCATTAAATTGTAATTCACAATGTTTCAGGAATAGGAGCAATCATGCAGACATTAGAGAAGTATGGTATGACTGATAACACAATAGTCTACTTCTCCTCAGACAATGGAGGACATCTAGAGGAGAAAGACCTGAACGGCAGACAAGCTGGAGGCTGGAACAAACCATTTAGGGGTAACATTTTGAGTAGAGATTTGGAGAAACCAATAAAATACTAGCTGTCAGATGGAGGGGGGGGGGTGTTAAGTGCAATTTGAAAAAATATATAAAAAAGCAAAAAAAAAACGAATAGTATCTAGAATGGTAAAAATCTAAAGGTGGCCAATTTATATTGAGAAATAAAACATTTCATTGATGTTTTGGACAAATCTCAAAGTGGTTAATCCAGTCTTGAAAATAATTGTTTTTCTCAAGGTGGCAAATCTCAAGGTGGCTATGATGGAGGAATACGAATGCCTACGACTTTAACGTGGCCAAAAAGAATAAAAGCAGGAACAGTCATTAGTGAGCCCACATCTCAAATGGACATCTTACCAACTCTAGCAAACATTGCAGGGGTAGAAGTACCACGAGATCGACTAATTGATGGTAAAGATTTGATGCCATTGATAGATGGCAAGCAAGTAATTTCGTCACATGAATTTATGTTCCACTACTGTGGAGTTTGGCTGCATGCTGTAAGATGGCGCCCTCAATCAGGTACATCTCAAAAAAGAGTATATATTTTATTTTTATTTTTCACAATTTAACTATACTGTTAATTAATTGTAAGGACTCATTTAAAATATTATTAAGTGACAAACAATAGAACTTCTGGCTCTGTTGACTAACACAGACTGTGTACAACAGAAATAAAATGGAAAACAGAAAATTAACCAGAAAATATGGCTTGAATTGTTGACAAGAAGTGACTTAATTGACAAAATGTATATACTGTCGTTACATCTTGTGCTTTGAGAACAGTATCATTATATTTCACTCTAGGAAACGCCATCTATAAAGTACATTATGGGACACCAAAGTGGCTTCCTGGGAAAGAAGAATGTGAGTGGGCTTGCTCCTGTAAATACCACACCATATGGCATGACACCCCATTATTATACAACATAGCAGATGATTTGGGTGAACTTCATGAATTAGACACATCAACACCAGAAAACCAGAAAGTATTAGAAATAGTTGCCCAAGCTAAACAAGAGCACGAGGACAGTGTGCGATCTAGACCAGTACCCAGACAATTCGAATTCATGACAGCATTTTGGAATCACCAGCTTCAGCCATGTGGAAACTACCCATACTGCAGCTGTAGAGACCATGGATCTTGTAAAATGGAACCGCTAACCTTTTTAAAGGCAATAACTCTACCAGTAACAAGAAAATTCCCAAATATTTTTGGATATTGATGAATATTTGAACATTTTTAACAGCTTCTATATTCAAAAGAGATTGTCTTGCTTGTATCACTTTCTTGGGAGATTTTACAAGTAAAACCCTCTTTTTCGCCATCTATTGACATTTTAAGGCCACTCGCACTACCAACAAACTTTGATAAATGCAAAAAAGAAAATATAAAAGCATTGCACCTCTTTTATTTTCTAAAAGGCAATTTATACAATAATTATATTTAGTTCTAATATTTTATTAAACATGTCAGAATCTACATAAATATACATTATATTTTGTTGTAAATTCCAAAAATGCCACATATCATATGCTTTGTACAGAGTCCTAATTAAATGCATCATTGTTACAAAGTTGTAAATAACTAGAATCAAATAACCCATAGAGAATTAATCAATACAATATATATACATACATATGTAAAACATAAAAGTACAATGAGACCATCAACAAAGTTCTCAGTCATATTTTTACAATAACTATTTCTAAAGATGTGCCTGATATTGAAAAATTGAAAACTAATTTTGGATGAAAATCAAATGTACAATCAAATAAAAACAATTCCCAGAAAAAATTGGCAAGCAAAACATGTTGTGTATTCAAACCTATAATCTGTCTCTTTTTGTGAAATAATTTCTGAATTCAAAAAGAATATCCCAGTATTTTCAGACTAAGAGCATTAAAACCTACTAAAATATTAACTGCATATTCCAGTTAGTGGACTCAAGTTTGATTTTCCATGTGCCGATATTTCATACAGAGCGTATGTGTAGTCATTATTGAATTTGAAAGCTTTTACATAATAAAAACAACAAAAATAGAAACTTTGAAAATCAAATTTTTTTTGAAAATGTGATTTCTAGTTCGGGGAGATTCCCCATAGACCCCATGTTACAAAATCCCAAAAAGTGAAATATCTTTTCTTGTATTGGACAGATAACATTTTCTCTTACTGAAGAAAAAGGGTGATATGAAAATTGAACCACTAAAGTAGATGTAATTTAAGTTGACCATTTCTCTTTACAACAATATTCCTTGAAAATCTTTCTCCTTAATCAATACTTTTATGTGACTAATGTAATCATGTAATGATACAATATGTCAATAAAAGTTATATATATAGTTATTCATAAAGAACCCATTTCACAATTTTTTTACTATCTGTAATGTGGGGTGTCATTCGTTTGTATTTTCAAGAGTATAAACTTTTCTCTATTACCCTGCCGTTTAACCCATTGCTGGCCAAAAATATTTTGGAGGTTTTCTGCTGGTGACTGGCCATTTCGATGAAAAATTGAGCAAAATGGCATGTTTTCGTATTAGCATAAAATGGACTATATCAACACCATTTGTGCTGTTTTATGCCACTGTGAAGCCAATGAAATGATTATGGAATGATTATTGGTACAGATTGCAGGCCTGTCAACTTGGGAACACCTAACATGAGTGACTTGGAAATGTTGAACACCTCCCCTCAAAATGTGGACACCTTGGTCCAAATTTGAACACCTTGATCCAAGTTTTGAACACCTTGGTTTAAATGTTATTACATCTTGCCAAAATTTGAACACCTCAAATTTTTCGCGCTAGCTACGCTCGCGTTTCAAACATCCATCAACGAGGGGGGGGGGGGGGGGGGGGGGGGGGGGGTAAGTACGAAAAATTTCGAACGGAATGCGTGACATATCCGTAATTCGCGTGAAAAGTCCGAACGAAATGCGTACGTATTTTCCCGTCGTTCGTATTTTTGCTGTGTAGACGATCATTTTTTGAAAAGTTTCTACAGAAATATTTTTGCTTGACAATTACCAGGTAAAATGCGTATTTGCGTGACATTTTCTGTCACGCAAAAATAACTGGCGTGACTTCAAATTCTTCAGCAAATGCGTGACAAATACGCAAAATGCGGGACAGTTGACAGGCCTGAGATTGTGTAACAATTAGTGTACTGCACCCCAAGATGCGATTATGACGTCATAGATGAGATATATCAGGGTTGGTCACTCACTTTTTGGACACCCAGTAAATCACAGATTAAAAGTCAGAGGTTTAGGTCACTGGTCAAAGGTTTTTACAATAGCATTATCCCAAAATGACAAATAAAGTCATAATACATGTAATAAGAAAAACGATAGTACCTAAGTTAAGACTTTAGGTACTATTGTTGTTTTTATTGTGATTTTTTAACTCCATACAAAAATTGCTATTTTTGGTTTGTTTACTATATTATTATAACCTGCATTAAATTATCATTACATCGGATTCTATGAAAACAAAATTATGGAAAATATGTGACATGAGATTTCATGTTACCTCTTAGAAAAAAGGAGTCTATTAACTTTAATTGCTTCTTTAGTCATAAATTGTACCATTAATCATGCATGGAGTCTCAATCTTTTAAAAGAAGGGGTGTAATATAGGGTGGTCAAATAAAACAGCAACCCTGCCGCTATTTTCCTCCTATCTTTGTCATTTAAGAAAAGTACTCCCTGATATTTGGTACATGTGTACATCATTCAATCTCCTTATATATGAGATTATGTATATGAGATTTGCACTCACCATATGTGGAGCACTGATGGTTGCATGGTAGCCGATCCCCTGGGGTGAATCCACGTAAGATGACACGTTGGTGTAATGTTTCCTATCGACTAGCTTCATGACTCTCTCAACAGACTCATGCTTGATAATACCATTTTCTGAAAATAAAAACATTGGAAGGTTAGCTCGTTCTTTTACTGTACATGTACATGAATGTGAAATACATGGGACTTTTCCTGCAGCCTTGACAAGATCCATACCATTCTTCATCATTCATGTACAAACATCATGATAGACATTGTGAATTTCAGGAATTGTGACCTATTTTAATTCTGAAAACAAGGCATTAACATGTAAAATATCACCACTTACCATTTATTACAAATACCATGTTACTCAAAACAAATCTTAAAAAATTTTTTTTAGTGTTGCTTATGCCACGATCACTGTGTACATGTACATGTATGTGAAATACATGGGACTTTTCCTACAGCCTTGACAAGATCCATGCCATTCTTCATCATTCATGTACAAACATCATGATAGACATTGTGAATTTCAGAAATTGTGACCTATTTTAATTCTGAAAACAAGGCATTAACATGTAAAATATCACCACTTACCATTTATTACATATACCATGTTACTCAAAACAAATCTTAAAAAATTTTTTTTAGTGTTGCTTATGCCACGATCACTGTGTACATGTACATGTATGTGAAATACATGAGACTTTTCCTGCAGCCTTGACAAGATCCATGCCATTCTTCATCATTCATGTACAAACATCATGATGGACATTGTGAATTTCAGGAATTGTGACCTATTTTAATTTAAAAAACAAGGCATTAACATGCAAAATATCACCACTTACAATTTATTACATATACCATGTTACCCAAATGTTACTGACACCATGTTACAGATGCCAAACACCAACACACGTCCACAAAAAGTTGGAGAACTTTACAATATGTCACCACTTATGTTGCATTAATCTTTGTAAAATTCAAAACAAATCTTAAATTTTTTTTTTAGGGCTGCTTATGCCACGATCACACCCCCTCCCTGACTGAAAATGGAAATCACAACCCCAGACTGAAACCTGGCTACATCCCTGACATGGATACATGTAGTACAGTATATGTCATTCTAGAGACAAGTATTTCATGATAGGGTGGGGTCTTCAACAAGGGTCTACTAAACTGTTTGGGAGTAGAAAACCTAGTCTATCCCCTATTCCCTCAGTTTTATGCAATTTTCTAGAGTGAGTACTATAGTAGTATGCAACAAGTACATGTCAATTCTAGTAAATCTACATGATTCCATGAATCGTCATTCATAAAATACACTCATTGAGCATGTAAATGACAAAGTGGAAACAACCTTTATAAATGAAATACTATGTGGCATCAGTAAATTGAACAGAATAAATATAAGAAGATTTTTTGCCTTTTATGTGATCATCATCAACTATGCCGCACAGCACAATCACATAAATTATATTGCTTTTTTATTTTTTTCATAAATCATTTCATTTTATTGCTATTTGTTATGAGGTTTCCTTGAATATACATGAAATCAACTCACTCTTCAAGTTATTAACCAACTCCTCATTGGTGGCCCCACTTGACCTCCAAGCCATGCCTGTAAAGATCCGGGATGCAAAATTCAGTAGAAACGTTGTGGCTAGAAGTTTTCTTCCCCTCATTAAGGAGAAACATGGGCCATTTGCAAACCTGGAAATATCAGAGATATAAATTGTATAATTCAATACAATCATGTAACTTAAATAACCTACATTTACAGACAGGATATACGGGGATATACCAATTTGCTCCTGAGATAATTGGCTATAAATAATCAGTATTTTGTCAGATTCATTGATGACAAAAAATAAAAATAACTACATGTACATACATGCAATCTTTGTTTTCCTATCTGCTTCTGCAACTAGTTGCAAGAATACTGCTGCAACCCTACAATATTTGCAACTATTTTTGCAACTGGTTAGCAACAATATTCAGTTTTATCCAATATAAACTTTAAAGTCTCTGACACGACTGAATTTCAAATTACTGGTTCATTAACACATGATACATTGTATAACTGACAAAATTATCTCGTCTCAAAAGATTAGTGACCGTTAACTTGTAAAGGACTGCAAGTGACTGTAAAAAGCTTGTTTTGACAAAGTTCAAAATCAAATTACATGTACTTAGTTTCTTAGCGGAATTAGAGATTATTTTTAGTAAAACATTCTGTTCCTGCTTTAAACATGGCTACATTTAAACTTTAGGAGAACCCCTATATTTTTGCTTCTACAGAGTTCACATAATGTATAATTGAATTACTCTGAATGGAGTTACCAAAAAGCTTAAACTAACACATAATATTGATATCATAAAAAGTTCCAGCAATGTCTTTCACATTTCATTAATAAATATACAGATCTTATGAACTTTATGTTTCAACTGTATCTAATTCACCCTGATTGTCACAGCATGTTTTAGATGTATGTAGCTCTCTGTTGAATACAGAAGCAAAATCAAACAAATTAGAAAGTACTTTATATCTAAGTTTCTCATCAATATGACAGCCTGGTTTTCAAATAATATTCTACAGGCAATAATAAACATCCAACCAACAAATTAATATTATTTTTGATCAGTCTAACTATAAGTCAATCATCAGTGAATATATGATTCATTTGATAAAAAGCCTTATCACATACTATGTAAAAATCTAGTGATTTGATTGGTTGCTTTCTATGACGTATTTTCCGTATCACATAAATTTCATATGATACGAGCACACGAATCACACGTTGTCTATGGTAACAAAATGACATCATACAACTTCATTCTATTCTTTCCTAATTCAAAATGACGTCACATATTGGCTATGTTACTATTTCTTAGAAATGATGATTTCTTTTTGAGGAACTAGAAGTTAGAACGACAAAGAAAGCTTCCAATCAAATCACTAGATTTATATATAGTATGTAATAAAATTGTCATCACACGTTTCAGCGTATGTGATACGGGAAATATTCCACTCAGTAAAAATGTATCACCACTCAAGCTGCGCTTTCGTGGTTATACAATTTTTACTTTCGTGGAATATTTCCCGTATCACATGCTGAAACGTGTAATAACTGATAATATCAATGTTTGACATTTAGATAATTGTTGAAGATTTGAGTGATACAAACGAGGTATGCAGAAGGATGGAGATATATCACCAGGGCCTGTTTTAATATTGAATAGCAGGGACAATAGAATACTATATGCCTTGTCATAAGAAGAGCATTGCTGCACATGGTAACAACTACAGTCAGGACTCAGAAAAACCATAGTACATGTAATGATAATACATGTACATGTATTTGCTGAGGACCTCTGGATGACTTTTGCCTATGAATGGCTATACCCATATATCTACCAGGCTATTCATTAATGCCGTTTTTACGTAAAATTAAGCAAAATTTTAATCCTGGGATCGAAAAAATATTTGTCATTTTTTTGAGTCACCCTGTATTTTAGAACCCACTTTTTCTGACCTGGACCCAGATTTTCTAAAATGTGGGGTCGGGGACGGGGACCCACTTTTTTCAGACCCTAATGAAAACACTGTCTACTATAATAAAATAGTTATGACCAAGGAGGATTGGAAACCAGAGTTCCAACTCGATAATCTTTAATCTCCAAGTGATGCGATATTGCTGATCATGCCTGTATATTTCTACGCCTGCAGGGAGAATGAACCATTTTCCCAAAAAACTTGTAGTCCTAGACAATAATCATATACATAACAGCTAGCATTCTGATGTCAATTCCAATGGCAAAAAATGAGGCTTGTTTCTAAAACAGAAAAATTGGTTATCAAACGTACCAATATGAATATCAGCGCTCTTATCGCATCCTACGACCCCTTTAGATTGTGGTCGTACGCCGGTATCATTGGTAAGCCTGTCTTTCTACAATGTCGGAGAATGAACTACGCATTGCACTATTAAATGACCTACCTCGATACATTCCAGAGTATTTTAGAATTCTTTTTATGTTGTTAGATCGCCAATTGTATGGGTTTATCGGCAGAACGAAGAGATTTTAGTTTTTACATCGGAAATATATCAGCAATTTTCAAAATGTCGGAAGGGGAATTCCCCAGGGATTTCCGTTAGACTGGTGCATGCCGGGAACTGAATGGAGGAATTTGACGGTTGAAATAAGTTAAATATTACAAGCAAATATTGCTATCAAAAACGAAAACCTCTTCGTTCTGCCGATAAACCCACACAATTGTGAATTCGACTACACAAAAAGAATGCTAAAATACCAAGGAATCTATTGAAATAGGTATCTTAAGTGTAAGTAGCGTAGAAAATTCTCCCATGTTGTAATCGTACAGACAAAAGAATAAGACATTCGCAAGACTAGAACGTAGAGATAGTCTTGGAACGAGATAATCAGCGCTCATCTTGAGTACCCCCATAAATGTGGGATCGAATTGGCGTTTTTTTTCTTATTTTTTAATATTTTAGGCACAAGAATGACAAAATATAAGATTAAGAAAAAACGCCAAATCGACCCCACATTTATGGGGGTAATCTTGAGAACCCCCCCCCCCCAGCAATTTTTCATTTCAGGTGATCTTCTCATACTTCAGCCTCAAAAAGACATTGCAAGAATTTAGAACGTAGGATATAGCCTGGTTGCAATAACTGAAATGTCGAAATAATTGTTTTAACACCTGACAATGAGTAAAACATCATAAAAACAAGTAATAAATAAAAAATACAAAACCTTTCCAGAGTGACCTTGACACCTTTATTTACCCACAATTCCGTTGCTATCAACTTCCGGCATGAAATTCGAACGAAAGATTTTGGTAAGTATTTATGATATCTTATGTTTATATGCATATAATTCCAGCTCATTAAACAATATTAGATACCATTAGATATATGCTTACGAAAATCTCTGTCCATTGATATGTGCGAGGTTACAAGTGCATTTGAGGGCATCAGCCTGTTTTTTTTTGTGAATATTTTCGCCAGTCCAGAAACTCAGGCTCAATTCAAGACAAGTCAATCTTCCAAAAGAATTCGTCTAGAAGGAAAAAGAAGTCAATAGAGCAAGCCTTGACTCAGGGCTGTCAACTTGGGACCATCTAACATGAGTGACTTCCAAATGTTGAACACCTTCCTTCAAATAAATATTTACAGTTTGTAAATATTTTCGAAAACAAATGCGTGATATAAACACATATTTTGTACCAAATGCGTGACATAAACGTTTTTTTTCACCGTTCGATCCTACGACCCCTTTAGATTGTGGTCGTACGCCCGATTCATTAGTAAGCCTGTGTATCTACAATGTCGGAGAATGAACTATGCATCGGTAGGATACGATAAATTTTACCGTATCGGCATTTCACAGAAAACGATTTTTAAAAATTTCAACAAAATGCATGATTTGCGTGATATTTGATCATACACGCTAAATTGATGCGTGATTTCTATTTTTCCAGCAAATGCGTGACAATCACGCCTAATGCGTGAGGGTTGACAGGGCAGTTGACTCAATAAGCAAATAAAAGTAAAAAGGAAATTATCCTTGTAAAGTTACCACATTTTGATCAAGGCCAAAAAAAGCAGGGAAATGTAAAAAATATTCATACTGCAGGACCTCATTGGATAGGTTAAAGTCTATTTCGCGGCCTGACTGCGTCGGTAGAACTTGAAAAATAAGATTTACCTGAAGATTAGGAGTCTTACTTCCCCTCTAGAGGTTAGAACACACATTTCAATGAAACCCTATCTCCTTTGTTGCGTCAACTATAGAGCATTTAGTACATTATCCAAGAGGTAAATTATGGACCGTGAAAATGAATGTTATCCTTGTAAGTTCGGGAAGTTTCAATACGATAAATTACCGAACATTTGTGAAAATTGAATGTTTGTTTGTTGATTTTATAATTTACACATGCGTGTATTCTTCTATACTTTGGTCTAAATTATAAAGCATCACGAACAGGTCCCACTGTATTATGTGACTAATACAGCAGACAACCCATTCATTCAGACCAATAGTTCAACTGTAGATCATGCAGTTTCTTCTATCTTAGAACAGGCCATCTTCCTCTGCCCTGTCCTAAACTTGTCTGCAAAAGACAAAACATTCTTTTCTAATTTTTTATTTTTAATTATTTTTCAAGTTCTACAAATTTTTAAGGCGATTCAGTTACTCACCTCAAGAGTCCTCTACAGATCTTATTTAAATAAAATGCTTTATTGACCTATAATCAGTGCTCTCCTTATACATCGGACCATGTGACAAATCCGACTGCTTTTGCTCTGGGCTGACCAGGACTGACAGACTTTCAGTCGAGTGTGCGACGTAGAAATGCTCACCAAATTATGGTCCAAACATTCGGTCGGATTGCCCTTTTATCCGTCCCTAGGAAACTTCAAATATTTCAAAAGATTTTCAACAATTTACGTTTCCTGTTGGTGTTGTTTTTCTGGAGAGTAAAGGCGCCACCTGGCGAGAAGAACTACTGTTCAAAAACTGAAAGTTTTTCAGTGTTTTTCAATTCAAGAAATGATTATGTTTGACAGTCTAATTGGATTGCTGAGAACCCGATATTTACATTACCTTAATAATTTTGATAAATATTTTATAAGTAATAAACTTCACATTTATTAGGGGTATGGCTCATGTGGTGAAAAGTATGATAATTATTTATAACCTTACAACACAGAGATATGGTTGTAGATGCTATCACTTTTGTCAAAAGTATAAGATAATTCAAGATTTAATTCCTTATGAAATTTTGAGATTTGATCACATTAAATGAAGTTATTTTGTTGTTATGACAACATCAAATAAGAAGGGCAAACAAAAGAAATTTCTGCATTTAATTAAAATAACTAAGTAGGGATATCTTATCTTGATATCTTGATCTTTTGATACTTTTATCCGGTTTTAGAGCAGATATTTGGGACTGGATTTCAATTTACTGGCCGAATATTCGGTATGAGAATTTACTTTTTGTTTCAGCCTAGTGATGTAAAACATAAACAGAAATGCTGTAAACATATTGTTCCTGCTATAAATAAACTTTTCATCAAAAACTTAGAAGAGAATTAATATGTGATCCAACAATTGTTAAAATTTAGGGAAGTCACGCTGAGAAAACCCATGCACCGGTATACATCTAGAATTTTCTGGAATATCACATGCCATACAAAATTGATTGATCTTCTTAAAAAATATCAACGATAAACCTCATATGTAAAACATTCTTGATATATTTCTCTAAATCTTATATGCATTTTGCACCAGTTTGACCTTATACCTTATGTATATCTAATCTTTGAAACAGATGAACAGATGGTTATCATAATAATATAATTTTTCATATTCGACCGTTTTAAGTTCCTCAAGGATCATATTCATCATTAAAAACACTCTCCTAAATGATATTTGCATTAATATTTTTGTGATGATTCTAAATAATTTTTGACATCTTTCTCTAGTGTTCATATGTCTAATACAACTACAAGCTTACATACATGTTTTTGTCTGCTCCTTGCTGCTATAATGTTGCTATAAAATGTGATGCATATACCTTTATTATAGTGTTGCATTTTTTATTACTTGAAATATAAATTATGTCCAACCATATTATTGTAACATACTGTGGTAGTTTCAATATCTATAATATATTTGTTTCATTTTATTATCCCATCAATCAAACCACGTTGTCTCAATCCACATGGCTGCCTGTATATCCACATGTAACATGTAGCACATTTTAAATGCAGATTGTTACAGTATTTTTTGTTAGAACTTTTTTTTGTAACATATTTATTTGCTATAATTTTGTTTTTACATCATATACAGTATTGTATCATTGTTTACATAATAATAATAGGAAAAACACTGATTATAATTTTATTTTGGTTAAACTGGCAGTAATTATTATGGTGTCGATTCAATCCAAAATCTAATTTAAAAGATGGCAAATAACTTGAAATGATATTCCTTTTTAATGTGGATTTTATCTTTAAAATCTGCCTACATATATTTTTATCTTTAGCATTATCTGTTCATTAATGACTTTTTTGAATAAAAAAGTTTAATATGTGAATCTAATGTATGTTTCATCATTCAATATTGCTAATAATAGATTGATATTTTTATAATGGGATACCTGTAGCTAAAGAATATTGCCATTGTGATGGTTAGCACATACCTTCATAACAGGGTTCGTACACACCTGGAAATGTCAGGGAAATTGATTTATTTTTCCAGGTGCTGGAAATGTCAGGGAATTTTAAAATTGGGTCAAAAAGTGCCAAAAATGTCAGGGAATTTTAGAACAGTATATGTGTCAGGGAAATGTCAGGGAATTTTGTATGATTGTTGAAAAAATCATGTTCCAGCAAAATACACTTTAAGGTGTACACAGGATATCAATGAAATCCAAAATTGCCCCACACAGGAGTTGCTACTTTTCTTTAGATCAACATTTTGAAGTTCCAGTTTTTATTTGGATTCATTACAAAACATTAACAAATTATAGTTTTAAATGCTTAGAATGCACCATATACAATTGTCAATTTTGAAAAATTGCCAGGGGTGAACCCCCATACCCCCCTTTTGGTTTTCCTTCTCTCGCAATGATGCAAACCCCAAAAGGTGCACCTCCTTGACACTTGTTGGCTATGCCCCTGTACATGTATGTTTACCTTTGTCCTAATGCAATGTAAATATGGAAAATTGAGAATATAATGTATCAGGAATAGATTAGTGAATAAGACGGCCTGTAGAAGTTAAGTTAAGTCATGAGAAATGGTACTAAAGGACAAACCCAAAATGTTTCATAATAAGTCTTGTTACGCGGAATATGGCATATATTCATGGTTGTGTGGTATTTGTGAAACTGGGGAATATGCCATACTCACCCGCGGTATATGGCATATTCCACAGGTGAGTATGGCATATTTCGCAGTGAATATGCGATACATTGATTTCACTGCGGAATATGTCATACTCTCCTGCGGAATATGGCATACTCAACTGCGGAATAAGATGCACTAAGATGTTGATTCATAATAATAATTTATAGACTTTAGCACATTCATTGAATCGATGTAATTGACAATTGCGTATTTCCGTATCGCATTCTCTTTGGTTAATATGTTAACAAGTTAATATGCTATATTAGTCGCGGAATATGACATATATTTGTATCATGTTTACCGCGTAACAGAGACTTTTTAGAGGCCGTGGAAGGAAAACTAGATCTGGAAATTTCCTTTTTTTGCCTGGAAATGTCAGGGAATTGTCAGGGAAATTCATTTTGAAAAAGGTGTACGAACCCTGTCATAATATATCTATGTAGTTAAATTGCTTCATAATAACCAGTTGAACTAAAAGAATATGAAATTGAAAGACTGTTGTGCAATAATATATGAATAAACATATTCATACTGTATATGAATGACATTTGTATATAGATTATCTAATCTTTCGTGCAATAAACCTGTGCTCTTTTGTAATTTGAGGTCTATCAGCTATGTTAATCTTTCACAATTTTTTCAGAATTAACCTGTCAGAGAAGCATCAAAATATAAGAGGTTACAGACTTTATAAGCCAATTCAGAAGCAATCCAAGATATACAAATGTCATTCATGTGCAGTATGCATATATTTTTCCATATATTATTGCACAGTGGTCTTTAGATATCTTCTGGTTTAGGCCCAACTGGTTATTATGAAGCAATTTAACAAACTGTACAATATGTTATCTTTATCAGTCTCCAAAAAGT